GCTCATTAGTAGGTTGAGGTCTCGTGGTATTCGGGCTAAGCGCGATGGGGATAAGGTTCGGATTTTGCGTGGCAACGATGCACCACACCAAACTTTGTGGAACCACAGTATGACCACCGAGGTGAACAGCTCGGTGGAGGAGTCATAAGCAGTCGAACAAGTAATCGCATGCGTAAAGACTAGTCACCAGAGGTTAGTTTTTTTTTTACTCGGGGGTAAAAAGTATTCTTCGGTGCTATAACTCTGGGAATCTAGAGTTCCAGTTGTTGTAAATAGCACTAGGAGTAGGCTTAGACATGAGGCAAGGTTTAAAGCACCAACAGAATATTGCTTAGGTGATTATTAGTGATTTGTGAACTGCCGTCGCCATAACTTAAATCCGGATACGTGTATCCCCCTAATATGGCGAAGAGGTCTTGATAATTAAAATTCTATTCTCGATAACGATCATAGATCACTCAACCACGTTACTCATCACAAAATATCACTCGTCTGTACAACCATCGGCCATTCCAGATTGAGGTATCCTTTTAAGCTTATTACTGAGCCTAAACAGCTTAAAAAATTGCCGAAAAAAACATATCTCCGGTCTGTGATCCTAGGATAATGTGATATCGGTTTTGCCCCAGAGGTAAGGATGCAGGCAGTAAGGGACAGCGAGTGATACTTCGTGATCGCATACTCCGCCGTCAACGAATCACGCTGGATGGAACGTGATTTGCCCAAGCAAGATAGCGTCCCGGTGGGGAAAAAAAAAGCAATCACACATTAAGGGCTCTTTTACAGAGTTTCGGACGACATCACCATGCAAATCATCTGCTGTTGCCGATTCCGATCGGACGCGCCGACATCCCGCCCGATCGAGATCCAACCTGTCAAAATTCTAAAAGTGTATATCCGTCCTATCTTTCGACTGTTTCTCACCGCGCTAAAACAAAAGATTCCAGAAACTGAGTTCCCCTCCTTTGGGGTACGTCATCATATCATACGTTGAGTGTGCAATATACTACCCGTTTCGTTGCTGCGATCTTGTGGTATCTTGATCCTTCAGTTACCTGAAGCCATGGTTCACGCCGAGATTCCGGTCTTTGCCGTCCCTATCTCAGCGCCCCAACGGCGGTTCCCATGGTAACAGGTTTGCATGATTCCTTAAACCCGGTCTGGGCTCCGTCGTTCCGGCTTGGAAGTCAGTGCCGATTCGACAACAACGTCATTTGTTTCCGACCTGGTGAAGACATGTTTGTTAGGTTATTTTAGTCTGTGGTATGTGTTATTTCAGAAAAACATTGCTTGTCTGACGCCTGATGACGATTTTGATCTGCCTGATATGATGGAGAGAGATGAAGAGTAATCATTTAATTGTTTTTACTATTTTTTGTGAGCTACATCAGAAGAGAAAAAAAAACATGTATGTAGGTGACTTACCTCAGGGGTTGTTATAGTATACATAAACTAAGGCTGCAGTATCCGTAGGGATTTCAAAAAGCTATGCGCGTGTCGAAAGTGCTTTGTAGAACCACAGCTTGTGAAAACAGATACAGCAACCACCCCCAGTGTCAGGCGCCCTTTGGTGTAGATATGAGGTTCGATAGAAGCTCTCTTATTTCTTTTATATTCACACACACTCTACCATGGTCTCACACAACTTGATTTCTTTAACGTTGGGTGGCGGCACACGCCGCACTTCCTGACCGCACATTTCAATGCATTGCGCCGCACCACGCTGACTGCACATGGATCCAAAGAAGAAGGCAGCAAGGTGTGGCTGGATTTCAAAGGCCAAATCCAGTGTCACCAAGGAACTGGATGCTGGAATTTCATTTATCCGATCGCTGATAGAGTACTTACTCTAGTCTCTAGGGAGAAGCTGTCTGTTTTCACTCGTGATGCTCAGCGTTTGTGCGAGTGGGGGTTGGTGGTGGGGAATCGAATCGCACGGGCGATAACCCCATATCCTGCTATCGTAATCGATTAGATATAGGCCTGGAAAGGCGGGGTATGAGATTGGCTCAACGCACCACCGGCACCCACGAATGAAGGAACCTCGGTACAACATAGGGCGAATTTGGGCAAGAATCTTCATCGAGATCCTAAAACCCTTGCATATGGGCTGGGGGACAAAAGCTACTGCGAGTGATAAGAATAGAGACGCTATTCCACATGTGCAACTTACATGAACCTTTTCCAGTTTATTCCCCTGCATCAGCCTTGACATCGTGTGCATAAGTGGAAGGGGCTAAATGCGCCGTTGAAGGGAGGTCCAAGAAGTTCTCTCTCCCCGGAGGTCCCCCGCGAGTGCTGCTTGCTTGCTTGCCCAGCAGTGCCCGATTCCATTATGGTCCACGAACCTGCCTCGCTTCCCCCCTCCTTCGCCTACTGAGGGTTACGATAGATAGACAAACAAGCCAGGCAGCCCTCTCTCCACAGTCAGTCACACACGCACGCCTCTTCATTCCGGTGGGTCTTATTCTTGCAATGGAAGTGCACGTAGAGATAGACGGAGTGTAAGAAACACGGGATGGATGCCTCAAATAAGTCCGCCGAGACTGAGCGAAAAAGCTCCTCCAGTCAGACGGGTCTCGAGACCAGACTTGAACGAAGAAGTTCGTGCAAATCCTGCCGGATTTGAGTGCCAAGTTAAAGAGAGGATGGGTGCAGGCTTGGTGGTTGCAACTTGGGGCTACCGTCTGGTCGGGAGGGATTTTATCTCTCATGCTTTTTGAGGCGGGATTCTGGGATGTTGCGCCGAGAGAAGTCCAGCTGGCTGAAGGGGCGAGGAGAGTTGGGCCTACTAAAGAGAGCTTGGCTCCCTGAAATAATGAATTACTTACATCTCTGCGAGTCTCCAGCTGCGAGTTTACGTTGCTTTGGATTGAATCCTTTGTTGTTTCTCTAGGGGTATCTGCGTAATAATTGAGGCCGACAACCTGATTTCTCGGCCTGCGTCATTATTATCCTTTGGAGTTCTTTCGAGAAGTCTTTTAGATATATCAGGCGTTAGAATTCACACACACCCTCACTCCCCTCCGGACTATTCCTACCAGAAGACCCAAGAGTTATCTATTCACAGGTTGCATTGAGTGGCGTTGCTACTGTCGTTGTCAAGATGTTAGTTACTGCCCTGTCGCTCATTTCTTAATCCGATCAGGCTCTGCGGAAGCTTACACAGTGAGATCTAGGGCCCGCTCCGAGAAGAAGAACCCTCTTACAGTGTCGCAACGGTCGAATAACCTCCAGTTCTCACGTTCCCCGCATTTTAATGGACTCCCCTCATCACAACTCGGAACTCGATCGATTTACCTGTATACAGACCCGCGCTCAATTTCTGCGGAGGGACGTCCGGCGAAGAAACAGTTCCAGCCTAATAATGTCCATACGGTCCCAAGGGAGGATTCCAGCCCCCCACCACCACCGTATACCCGTCGAGCAATTGCTTCGTTGATTACACCTTATTTGCAGCAAAACCCCTCTAAGCGTACCAGCAAAAATGCCCGCCATCCCCACAGGCTTTCCTCGTCTGCTTCGTCCATCCGCAGCGTAACCAGTAGCATTCTGTCTAGGAAGCGGAAGCACTACTATGAACACCCCACTCTGGCAAAGCTACCCTCCGAGATCTTGGATGAAATATTCTCGTATTTGGACCAGCCTACTCTACTATCACTTGTGAAAGTATCCAAACGGATGGTAGAGGAAGTGGCGTACACGCTGTATGCTCAACCATGCTTTGCTTCGACTTATCGTTTCGCACAGTTTGTCACGGTAGTGACTCAAAATCCCATGCTAGCCCGGATGGTGCGTGTTCTAGATCTGTCAAAGTTAGGAGCATGTGTCGAGGAAGATGTTCCATTGGCTGGCTGGAGGGAGTGGAAGTACCGAGACTCACCACTACACACCATTCACAGAGATGATGTAGGAGGGAAGAGAATCACGTCTAGACCCTCCATCATGTCCATGAAATCCGCCACCTCCAGCATCATAAACAGCAGCTTACATCCGCTCCCTTCGCCGTTTCTAAAGCAGTATTCCCTTTCCCGGGACGTGCCCATCGGAGCACTCATTCATCTGCTCACAGCTTGCACCTACATCCGGAAGCTCAACTTTTCCGGCGTACCGCTGGCAGCAGATTACTCGGTTATGCACACCAAGTCTGCGTCGTACACACCTGTGGCGTTCACCGGGCTGCTTTTCGTTTCTGATGTCCCGAAAAGTTTCACTTGGAAAGAGGGTGACACGAAGCCTTTGCATGCAGCTGTCGACCTGGTGGATGCTATCACAAACCTGAAATGCTTGACCTCGCTTAAGATCAAAGGCGGGCTTTGGGTGACGCGGGATGCAGCCACCACACTTGTTGAAAGGTGCCCGAAGCTCGAGGGGGTTGACTTCAGAGAGTGTGGCATGTACAAGGGGAACCGCTGGGCGGTGAACGGGCCAAGGGACAAAGTCAGAGAGGTTCTGCTTTCGGAGGGAGATGTGCAACCATCGAGGAGATAAAATTTGGGTACAAACTCGGAGTATCAAAAGTGTTTAATGGGAACTGTAATAACTGTAGCATCATGGGCGGGGACTTTTGCTGTTTTGTCTTGCTTGGTTTTTTTTCTCCTTGTGGGCTCGGTCCTGGCGCATTTGGGATATTGGCGCGGGCACCCTTTATCTTCTTCTCTTTCTATTATCTTCTCTTCCGTTGTATATAGCTACACACAGCTTCCTTTTGTCTTATGAATTATGCAGTTATGATTTATCTGATCATCATACAAAGAATATCGATCGAGTGATATTCTGTTCAAATGTTGAGGCTCAACTCGCGTAGCTTGGTGGCAGTGATTACCCCGCCTAAGCCACAACTCCACGTCCCCCACAAGCTTGACACCTGTGGGAAGTCAACCATACGAGACTTTGGGAAACCTCATCTGAATCTCAAAACATCTCGTGAGCCACCAAACATCTAGATAAAGCTCTGATACCTCTGCCAGTTGCCACCCTATCACTATATTCCGCTCGAAATGGCTTCCCCGGAAATTCAGAAACAGCTCGCCGACATCGAGAGCTCCTCGACCTCTCAGGGAGATAAAGGATCGGCCTTTACTTCACTTCTCAACTCCATCATCGCCTCCTCTGCACCGGAGCAACTAACCGCCAACCTCACAGTTTTCATCGACACTATTCTTTCCGACAATGTAGGAATCGTGACCTCGCGCCCCGTGCTTGCAGAGTACGTCAACGCAATCTCGAAGCTCCCCTCCGCCGAGATCAAGAAGGAAGTCTACGAATACACCCTTGAAAAGATCCGCCCCAAGATCGTATCATTCGAAGAACAAGACTGCAACATCCGGGAAGCCCTCGCAACCATCTACGAAGCCGAGGAAGAGCATGGCGAAGCAGCCAAGGTGCTCCAGGGAATTCAGCTGAACCCCCACCAACGTCAGATCACCGATGAGTTTAGGCTGCAGATTTACATCCGGATCATGCGCAATCTACTGGAGGATGACGAGTCTATCTCGGCGGACATATGGCTCAACCGTGCTACGCTGTTGATCCACAAGTCGGAGGACCCCCAGCTCAATCTCATGTTCCAGATGTGCCAGGCTCGTATTCTTGATGCGAAAAGGCAATTCTTGAATGCTTGTTCCAAATACCACCAGCTGTCGTTCTCGCCAATCGTGGCCGAATCCGACAGGATGCAATGTCTTTCTGCCGCTATGACTTGTGCTATTCTTGCCCCAGCAGGTCCGTTACGTAGTCGTTCCCTCGCAACACTCTACAAAGATGAGCGTTCTCCTCAGCTCCCACAGGACTATGCACTCCTTGAGAAGATGTATATGGACCGTCTTCTATCCCAGAAAGAGGTTGATGAGTTTGCATCACGTCTAAAACCGCATCAGGTCGCTACGCAATCAGATGGTACAACTGTATTATCAAAGGCCGTCATTGAACACAATTTGCTCGCCGCCTCTCGTCTCTATAATAATATTGGGGTTGGGGAGCTTGGTGTGTTATTGGGTCTGTCGGGTGAGAAGGCGGAGGAGTACGCTGCCAGAATGATTGAGCAGAAGAGAATGAGTGGGCAAATTGATCAAATTGATGGACTGATCTACTTTGATTCGATCTCTGGCGCTGCAAAGGAAGGTGGTGCGGCCGTTGGAAGTGCAGAAAAACCAGTAGGCAGGCAGATCAGGAGGTGGGACGAGAACGTTAGCGCGTTAGCACAGGAGGTAGAGAACATCACTAGTATGCTACAGAACGAATACCCGGTTAGTAATTCATCAAGCGTAGCTCCATTACTTTGGTTCTTAAGAGACAGTCACTGATGTATTTTCTTTACAGGACTTTGTGGCTGCGCATTTGGTCACTTGAGTAAATGTTAGTGGGCTCCTCTGTAGTAATTTTATAAGCATTAGAGGTGATATCTACGAAGGGTAAAGATAAAAAAAACTTGACCTGGTTTTGTTTTTCATTTGGAGTTTATGGGAGGGGTTATGTTTGTCCTGTTTTTATTTCCTAGTCGTCATTACGATAGGTTGCTTCACATACCAATCAAGAATAGAGAGGGAATCGCAGACAAAAAAAGTTGCCAGTTTAGCCACATGCTTCAACCTGCCTTTAGGTCCAGGCGTGAAGCACAAACGATCACTCGACGCATGTGCCAGATTAGGCCTAGCGCCCGCGAAGGTGCCTCTACAGCTTCCACCGACCACTTGACCCTTTCTCCTCGGGCAATAACTCTATCCCGAAGATCCTCCAATAGCACAGTGAGGGGGATCCGCAAATGATGGAATGATGATGATTGCTTGGGTGGGGTTGGGAAGGTTTGCTTTTTCATATTCCTTCCTTTTTGTGACATCAAACGGCGGGTGTGCAGAATGACACGACACAGTCCAGAACGATATAAAAAGAACTCTGGATGTAGTTGCACGGAAATATCTTTCTCTTTCTTCCAGACGGTTTTGAGTCGAAGCTGCAAATAAAAGCTGCATGTGAAGTTCTGAGAGCGAGCTTGAGCCTGCTTGACTCAATAGTGCCATGCATTCCCGCGACTCTGCACGTGGTGACTGCGCGATAACTACCAATGACCGTCCAACCGGAACTCAGCAGTGAGCAAAGGTTCCATAATCTCCGAACCAAACACTAGAATAATCACTGGTGATTCCCGACCTCCACCAAGCGTGACAATAGGCCGCCGTAAAGCACTTTATATCAATGCGTATTTGACCCGGGTCCGGGATGCATAAAAGTGGCGTGTAAATGTATCCTCACCTCAAGTGCCGTACGTGCATGCTTCGTTTTGCTTTTATTATTGTCGGGTATCAAAAATAACCGATCACTGGCACCCTCGTGAGACTCATAGCAACCAAAACCGACCTGCGAAGAAACCTCACATCGAGACTTTCGAGGTCAGAAGGGTAATTCCATTCCCCCCAAGCACCTAACTCCATTTAGGAGATTTAAAATTACTCAATTGCTCCTGGTTGAGTTATTCTGACCTGAAGTGATTTCGACGTTGTCGTGAGTGATCGGTTATTTTGATACCCGACAATACAATATAATCCCATTAGTCCTTCTCTGCAGCACAATATCCCGTATCCCGGTTTATATTCATAGTCAGAGCCCAGCCAAGAGGTCAGAAAGGCATAGTTTGAAGGTGGTGGCGGTCAAGTAAGTCACTACCGACACTGCACGCGCAAAGTCTAGCTATAGGCCTCTCAATAATTTGCTAGAGCTTAAAAAACCAAAAAAGCCAAGAGCTTGGACGAAACCTCAATCCGCATGCGCAGCTGCGCAGACAACCTCCCTGACATTGCTTGGCCGGCGAATAAGCTGCCTATAAGTATCCTCTATAAGCTCAAGATACCTATCATGGGTGTGGTATATGCTTCGCTCAATTCTTCTCAAGGTAAAAGAGCATCTTCCTACATGCTGAACTCACGAACCCTGTAAAGCCGGCTTGATACCGGACATCAAACGCCGAAGTGCAAATCTATGACTAGCACAGAAATAGAGGTGTATTTAAAACCCATCTAAACGCCAAACCCCCAAATCAAAATCGACCTCAGGCCCATATGCATAGTCCACATCAATGTCTCGCACAATAGCCAAAACATTCTACCTCCAATGACACTGCTCAGCTGGTAACCAAGTTTGATATTCCATATCCATTAGCTACGGCCAACTCCTCCTAAGATCAAATTTTGCAAAGCCCAGGAGTCGCAGGAGCCAAAAAACTATTTGAACTTGGCCGGGGCTGGGGACCGGAAGAAAATACTAGGCACCAAACGCCGAAATAAATCTAAACAAACATCCGTCATGTCCACAGCTAAACTTGCTTAGCACCTAAGGAACCGCCCGGGAGAGCATTCTCATCCGTGCTAAACTATATAGCGGATGGAGAAGGACGCGCGTACATTGAACTCCATCCATATTCTCCAAAATCCAAACTCCACATGGTAAGCCGAACATCGACTCCAAATTCCGCAAAACCCCAAGTCCCAAGTCCGCTGCTAAGCTCAAGCTCGTCCCAGATATTAGGCTATGATTTTTTCGTTGATGTACGCCATGATTGGGACAAGGAGCATCTCAGCTCATTGACCAGAGCCTTCACATATCCCAAAAGCCCGTTATATCGGGGATTATCATACCTAGGAAAGAGTAAAGGTGCACGCACCGGTAGGGACGATTGTAGTTGAAGAGTACTCTTTTGTGCCGGCAGCCCGATAGACACCACTTCTCCATCAAAGAACAGTAACAACAGGTCACTACCCCCCTCTTCTTGGTGGGCGAGCAAACTCAAGTCTATATTATATCCCCATAACCTCACCATAGGTCCATAGCATGAAGTATCACAGGTTCGATTTATCGTCTCCTGTTATAAGAACCGACATGGGAGGTAACGGAAAGCATATATCCTCTATTCCTCGCTGCCGTGGAACCCCTCAAAACCAAAGCCAAATACATAGGCAAAAGATCCAAACCGCAAGACTTGAGCTCCCAAATGCCAACCTAAAAAGCCAGACCATAAATAAAAACCCCAAGTCCATAGCCAGCTCTACAGGGCCTAGGGTACTCGGATTATAGGTTAGCTCCTTGGCCAGTATCACCCATGCATAGCAAAAATGATTCGGCACCCATAAGGTAGAAGGTTATACCGTCTCAGAAAATGATGATGAGAGCCAAACCCACAAAGCCCAGACCCACAGAAGTCAATTGCAAAGCCAAGACCTACTCGATTTTCCCAAAGACCGAACAAACTCAAGCAATAACCAAAAGCCGCAGCCCACAACTGACCCTCTCGTAGTACTTTAAGACCATTATCCCAATTGACTCATAAGCATGTGAGTTCCAGTCTATAGATCTATATGTTCCTCGTCCCACGTGTATTCCCGCGGGCTCGGTTTCCCCTTAAACCAAACTGCATAAATCCAAGGTGGGCAAGTATCCAAAGCCCACAAAAGCCAAAGCCAGACCGCAACTGTCCAAATATCGACCCCAAAGCAAAACCTCAAACCCACAGCCTACATCAAACAGCTCTCGGTTTCTCAAAGACATTTCCCCCTTATATTACTGCTTATCAAAAAGCAAGCTGCAGTAATGATGGGCACGAGACACACAGTCCCGAGACTTTGTCTCGAGACCTAACGAGACGACCCTGGGACAAGACGAGATGTCTCGAGAGTTTTTTTTCTAAATCTCGAGATAGGTCTCGGGACCTCCGAGTGATGTTAAATGATTCAAAGCGAGGATGCTTCCTGGTATTTAGGCCTCCCCATGCCCAGGCTTCCTCATGCACCCTCTTTTGAAAAATCGAGTGTGTATTTCGGCCCCAAACTCTATCCATCATTTCTTGCCAAGAATATCTAGTCCCTGTTCCAAAACGAGCATTAGTGGATTCAGGTACAAATTCCTACCTCAAACCCAGATTGAGTTTAGCTTATATCAATCTCGAGACTTCCGAGACCACGATGGGACGAGACAAGACAAGACGAGACCTGGTGAAAAATGGTCTCGTTTTGTCTCGTGCCCATCATTAAGCTGCAGTCTATATGCCTCATCCCCTCACGCCGCATACATCACTACTATCAACCTGCTCAAAGCAAAGAGCATCCCCACATGACATCTCAAGCAAGGAGTGAAGAAGAGCCTATAATAATATCCAATTCCTAAAGCTAATTCCCAAAGCCAACTCCGCGAAGGACCGAACCCCCAGGGAAACAATTCGACCCCCAAAGATCCAAAAGAACCCAAAGATCCCAAAATCCAAGCCCACAAGCCCACAGCAGACCCCTCGCATAGCAGCCAGAGGCCGCCGCTGACTATGTTTCGGTCAATTAGCGGAGCTTAGGTTCGCACAGCTGCAGCTAGTTGTCTGTTCCTCATGTTGTGTCAACGTAGAGAGGGTAGTTGGCTGGACGTGGGAGTGAATGTATAGGCATGGAGTGGTTGATAAGGACAGAAAGGTTATAAAGCTGAGGAACCGAGCAGTTAAGGGAGAGTAGAAGAATTGTGGTTATGCGGGTAAAGGTAGACATGAAACAGTGCGTAGTAAAAAGAGTAAAGACAGTTGCGTGGAAGAGCACAAATGATGCGTGAAAGAAAATAAAGAGCTCAATGGAGAGTTGAGTTGGTATAACAGACAGAACAGGACAGTAAAAGATATAAAGAGGGAGTAAAGACAAGCGTGGAGAGTTTGCCGTGGATAGAACAAAGACGGGCGCGGGGAAAATGGCTAGGAGGAGAGGGATGCGTTGAGGAGTTGAGAAAGAGAATAAAGATCGACATGCACGGACATGAGAGCAACGTCAGTGGGCGGTCAGCTGGGTAACTTGCCGGTTAGCAGGAGGAGGAGGAGGAGGAGGAGGGCGAATCATAAACGATCACTCGGTTTGTCTTGTACCGGCCGCGTGTTGGATACATGTATGTATCGTTCAAGGCAGCAAGGTCACGGTGTCAAACAGTAACGGGCCCTCTGTCAAGAGGGACGGTGTCCTAATCGGGCTCCTATAAGATAGCTTGGATTAGCTTTAGACATGGACATCAATTGGAAAACCCTAAAGCTCGTCCTACTTCCAACAGCCAGCAGCGTGATTTACTTGCTGATAGGACACAGGACGAGGTCAATTCTTATTCTCACCACCAGCGAGATCCTTCTGAGTGCAGTCCAGCTTTAATAGGAAAGCGATAATGGGTGGACATCGGATTCTAAGCACCAATAGCTACAACAGACCTAACTAGAAAGAAAGAAAGAAAGAAAGAGACGCTGTGTTCAAGAATACCATTAGCTTCCATTATTAAGAGCTTAAAGCTACATATGTAATATCTTTGGAATTGACCGCGTTCCTAAACAGACATCGTCCCCTGAGCTACCAAAAGTCTGGATAGTGTGTTCTCTGTTGTTTCTACAAAGTGTTCAACTAAGCTGACTGACGATCTATTTAGGAACTATTCTAAAACCCAACTTCCACCACGAGTGGCCGTCCGTGAGCAAACTCACACACCCTAAACCACAACCACAACCACCAGTTCACCAGCATCGCGGTCCCAGAAAGCCAGTACATACGGTCTTTCAAAAGCCATTCACAGCTACCCCGGCAGCATATCAGGGTTAGGGTTCCACACTCACCCGTTCCACAAAGCAACCACCAGCATATATTCAAGCTCTGTTAATTCAGGAGGGGCATCTCAACCTCATCTGAAACCCCTTCACGCCCCCCCCTCATAAACCCGCAACCAAAAACGCGCAATGGACCAACTCGCCGGCCTCTCCTGGAGCTCGGCGTCTCCAACCACAAACAGCAGCAACAAACCCCCAGCACTTAAACCAACAGGAATGTCGTCGTTCGCAACCACCACCACCAACAACAACAACCTCCCCCTCCGCCCCAGTCCGCTCTCCTCCCGCACGGCCTCGCCGGGCCTCGCTTCGCCGCCAGCGGGTGCGGCTTCGGATAGCTTCGCGAACTTAGTGAGCTTCGGGCGGAGCAAGCAGGCGTCCGAGAACCTGTCGCTACAGGAGCAGCAGCGGAGGCTCCAGGAACAGCGCGCAAAGGAGGAGGAGGAGCGCAGGAAGAAGATTGATGCGGTATTTGGCGGCGGGGATGCGAGTGCTGGCTTCTGGGACTCTCTGGAGACGGGGAAAGGGGGCATGCGCAGTCATGCGACACCACCACCTCCTCCGCCCCTGGATAATGACGATGAGGACATTCTGGCGGCGTTTAGTGCGTCGGTACCGGTGGACAACAGCTCGCATTATCCGCCGCCGTCGCAGGTGTCAAACAGCTCTTATAGTACGCCGAGGAGCGGGACTCCGCGGAATGGGATGGCGCCGTCGTCAGGCTCCCATCTGCAGGATTTGATGGGTTCTACGAGTTTGGGCTACAAATCGGCAGAGCCTATAGATCCATTCGACATTGAGAATCTACCAAGTCGGGATACACCCACTACTACTACTACAAATAATAACAATACAGCCGACGATGACTTTGACATCCTGGGTGACCTCGCAAAGCCGGTTTCTGAGCTTCCCCCACGACGAAACCCTACACCCCCGCCGAAACCGCAAGTTGTGGAGCCACCGAGGAGCGCGGACCCAAGGGACCCGGTAATTGCCGAGATCATGGAGATGGGGTTTACAGCTGCCCAGGCCAGGAAGGCGCTTGTCGAGACCGATTCCCTGGATGTCCACAGGGCTGTCGGGTGGCTACTAGAAGAGGCGCACCGGAAGAGCCGGCCGGCGTCATCGCAGCCAATCTCGAGGTCTGTCTCTGAGCAGAGCCAGCGCGGGAGACGCAACGATGAAGGCGGAAGGCGTAGAGAGGAAGGTAGGGAAGACTCAAGTGTACCTGCCTGGGCACGAGACCGGAGCCGAGAATCGGGAGGTGAGAAGGACATAGGTGCATTGGCTCAGGAAATCGGCGGCACTCTATTTAAATCGGCAAACAGCTTATGGAACACGGGGAGAAAGAAGGTTGAGAAAGCAATTGCCGAATTCCAGACAGAGGGCTCAGGTGGGGAGGGGAGCGATCCAAATATGCCAAAGTGGATGCGGGACCAGCAATTGGAGGCCAACACAACCCCCCCACGAACCCGGGAAGCCGGTGACAGGCCGCCAAGAAACAGGTTCGACGACGAGGACATGAGGCCTGCACCGAGGGCTGCACAACGAGCACAGAAAGCCGCCCCAGAACCGGCATTGACCGAAGAGGCAATGATGCTGGAAGCTGGCAGCGGGCCTCCACCCAGGAGAAAGCAGGAACGGGAGCGAGAGAGGGAATCGTCTTCATCGGTCCCACGATCCTCCTCGGCCCTCTCAGAAAAGGAAATGATCCAGCGGCAACGCCAGCTCGCATTCGAGCAGGCCATCCGGGACAAGGAACGGGAGCTGCGAGAGCAAGAACGGAGGCAGCAGTCTTCAAGCATCCCCAACAGCAGTGAACGGAACAAGAAGCTGACGCGCGAGGCCGTCGAAGAAGACAGCTCTGTGCAATACGTATCGAGAAACCGCCGCCGCCCACCGCCACCAAACGTGCCATCGAACTCTAAGCCGGCCGCCCCAGAACCACCGCAGGGCGACCTGCTATTCGGCGGCGGGCCAGCTCGGGAACAATCACGCAACCCATTCCACCAACATCAGCAGCAACATCAGCAGCAACAGCAGCAACAACCCCGAAGACCCGCCCCCCGCCGCTCTCCTGCCCCAGCACCAACTCCACCCCCTGCCCCACGACGCACCACCCCCCCCGCGCCGCCGTCCCCCTATCTTCCGCCGCCGCCAACACCTCAACAGCCTCCCGCAAAGAAGGCACAGAAGCCTTCAAACGTGGTGATTACACACTCGCACTAACACACTACACCTCCGCGCTCTCACCCATCCCCGACGCCCACCCTCTCCGCATCATCCTCCTCTCCAACCGCGCCCTCTGCAACCTCAAACTCGGCGACCCGCGTTCCGCACTATCCGACTGCGAGTCCGCCCTCACCATCATCGGCCCCGCCCGCGGCGAAGGCGAGACAATCGCCATCGACGGCGCCAACAAAGACATGAAAGACTTCTGGGCCAAGACGATAACACGCAAAGCCGAGGGCCTCGAGCAGCTCGAGAAGTGGGCCGACGCCGCCGCAACCTGGACCATCGCCGTCGAAGCCGGTGTCGGCGGCGCTGTTGCCGCTGCTGGTCGACGCCGCTGCGAAGCGGCACTGAAGCCGAAGGCGCCGCCCAAGCCGAAACCTACAGCGCCGGTGCGGAGACCTGCGGCGGTGGCAAAGACGATGGGGGATGCGACGGCGGTGCGGGCGTTGCGGCAGGCGAATGCTGCGGCGGATAGGGTGGAGGATGAGAAGCTTGCGCTGCACGATAGTGTGGAGGCGCGGATTGGCGCGTGGAAGGCGGGCAAGGAGGGGAATCTGCGGGCGCTGCTGGGGAGCTTGGATGTGGTGCTTTGGGAGGGGGCGGGGTGGAAGAAGGTCGGCATGGGAGAGCTGTTGATGCCGAATAAGTGTAAGGTGGTATATATGAAGGGGATTGCGAAGGTGCATCCTGATAAGGTATGCGGATTCTTATTATCGCTACTCTTTTTTGGCAATGGGCTAACAATTGCTATAGATCTCGCAAGACGCAACGACGGAGCAGCGCATGATTAGTGCTGCGGTGTTTAGTCTTCTCAATGAGGCGTGGGACGGGTTCAAAGCCGAGAATGGACTGTAGTCCTGAAAATGGGGGGGCGGGGGGTTTCTTTCCTTTCTTTGTGTTTGTATTTTTTTTTCATCAGAAAAAAGAAAAGTAAGCATTAGTTACTTAGTTAGTTGGTGCAAGCGGACCCGGTAGAACTGTGCGGGATAGACTTTTTTTCAGGTTATTCATGTGGTAATTAAGTTGTTAAATAGGCAATGAGGATTGGGGAGAATATTCGGTAGCTACATGTAGCTATTATAGTTAGCTACAGCTGTAGGTCCGGGGGGGGGGGGGGGGTTGACTGTAGCCAGCTACATACTGGAGCTATGGAGTGAGTGTCTGTGTTTCTCCGTGGGGCCAGAATAGTGAATGGATAGGATAGTACTAATAAAAATGAACATCTAACTAAAAAAAGTACAATCACCAGAATTCCTGTCAAAACTATCATTCTCACCGTACCCTGTGTAACCGCCAGTTAGGATCCCTTGGCACAGATTGCTTGGCATTCCATCCTTCATGCGGCTCAAGTCCACCTCAACAACACAGCTCCATCACCACAACCACCTCACCACTATCACGAACACCACCACCACCACCACCCTCTACATCACCACCCCAAACACAGCATCCCCCAATCCACAATGGCCGAGCTCCTCAACAAGCCCCGCGCAGACCTCACGTACCCCCCCCCCCCCCCATCCCCCCCATCCCTCCCCCTCTCCCCCCCACCACCACCAAGTACTAACACGCACAACACAACAGCGAATACGAGATCGCCGAGCTCGAAAAGTACGAATTCAGCGCCGGCCCGCTCTCGATCCTGCAGACGGCCGTGCGCTCGCACAACCAGGTTCTCATCTCGTGCCGCAACAACAGGAAGCTGCTGGCGCGCGTCAAGGCGTTTGACCGCCACTGCAACATGGTGCTCGAGAACGTCAAGGAGATGTGGACGGAGACGCCGAGGAAGGCGGATGGGAAGAAGGGGCGGCCGGTTAATAAGGATCGGTTTATCTCGAAGATGTATGTATCACCCTTGGGGGTGGTGTGGGGGAAGGGTAGAGGGGGATTGTGGGGATTGTGGGCTAATATATATATGATGGCGGTTGTAGGTTTCTGAGAGGTGATTCGGTGATCCTTGTGTTGTTGAGTTAAGGGGGTGGGATTTTCTTCTCTTTTTTTTCCCCCTTCTTTTTCTCTTTTGCTACTTCGTTGTGGTTACTTGGTGAGTGTTACGTAGGTATTAGCCTTAATACAAAAAAAGCATGATGCCTGGAAAATTGAATTGTTGCGTGACTGAATAGTATATCATGTCTCTCTCCCAGCTACCAAAGAATTGCTATACACTAGCTACTTAGCCGTGCGTATAGAGGTGGATATAATGGGGTTGTGAATATCAATTGTGGGTGATGATATGCGGAAGAGCTTCCCACATGCCTAGGGCTAGCTTCAGGAATAATCAAAGTTATCGAGAAAACATATATTTGTACCGCTGTGATTTATGTTATGGAGAGGTGTGCACAAGTATTGGGAAGATATGGCGCTTTCGGATCACTAGCTATCACTCGCATCGATTTATCGAGGTAATAATTGCCGTTAACCGTGATGGAGCTACTTCCTTGTGCGTGATCTTCTGAGGGTTGTGGATAGGTACATGTGTCTACATTTTCCACATCATCCATAGAACATTCAGGGTTAGTAGGGTGAGATTCGTATTCCCTTCATAACTGTGGTGGGAAAGAGGAACTGGATTACCTGCCCAATTTTTTCTTGTGTTTAGCAAACCTACTATCCCTGATGTGGGGGAGTCGCGGCGGCTTCACCTCACCAATTACAAATAGATATTCAATTCACGAAGTTTATGGCTGTTGCTTCGAATCTTTCCAATATTTCCGGATGAGGAAGAAAAGAAGGTAGCTGGACACAAAAGAAAATTGGCTAGTACATGTATGTGAATATGGGTTGGGGTTAAATTTCGTGCGAGTGGTTAACACAACCTTTTCCGTTAATTGCTGTTAATCTATTGATGCCAAGACCTACCAACGTTGAAAATATAAACCACAAGTCTAATACATGATAATATATGCCCCCTATGAGGAGTTGTTAGCGGGCAAATGGCAAGCATCATTAAACAAAACGAGTACGACCGGCGTTGCCGCACCAACCCAAACAGAACTGTGCAATCACAAGAAATCACTCGAGAATAAAGACAGGCCATTCCAAGCCATCCCTCCGACAAAACAAGGCTACACATAGCTTGTCGAGTCCCTGATCCTTTCGCTATCTCCCTGGTACTATGCACCAGAATAAGCAAAACCTCCAGTCACGAAGACCCTAGTCTTATTTAAGGTTGCATGCAATCAATGAATTAAACCAAAAAAAAAAAAGGAAAAAACTCTAGTCTTACTGCGCCACTGGCCCTACTACGTAAGATTATGTATGTAGCTATATCCTCACTGCGTACTCTAACTTTCCCACTGCCCAAAATAGCCACTACAAGTCACAAGCTGACGAAATCTCGTTTCGGTATCTCTTCTGCTTATTTGACTCTAGCTGTATCTCCGTCGCTCAGTGTGAGGGAGGTGAGGGCCTACGTACTAGCTACGCATACAACCCCCCGGAATGGACACCAAACTGTCGCTCGATCGAGGCATAGAAGCACTTGACCTCGTGTCTGCCCAATAACTAATCAGATGTAGGATTCTAATGCCGAAAACAACAACCCATCTGCAGGTGATCTGGGCTTACAGGCTGCAGCTTGGTCGACCGACAGCTCGTATGGCAAACCCTAGTTGCCCCACAGGGGCGATGAGGGTAGGTCATCTATGTGCTTCGCCGTCTTTCCCCACCCCGAGATGATACGAGGGAAGATGGGAGCTCCTCGGCCGGTTTCACCTAGACGTAAAAGCATACTTTGGGGGGGGGGGGGGGGTGGTGGAGATAGACTGCCTCCTCAACTGCAGGGAGATAAAGTTTTCGAGACAGGCTGGCCTTTCTCGTGAACCACATTTGCATACTCTACCAGATGTTTGCTTTTTTGTACTCAGGTGCAGCCCATCTAGTGTATTGTACCTTGCTTCGAGCCGTTTTGTTAATGCGCTGCATGATGGTACGTCGTTTCTTTATTGCATGCAATCTATGACATACGAGGCTTTCCCTCAGTTTGGCACCCTATCAATAGCTTGGAATGAGCGCTATCGGGTCCTGTAGCATAATCAACGGAAAATAACACTTTGCCTTCCCATCACAGTAACAGCGTGAATGTACTTGCACTCAGGTTACACAACTTATGCATCTCCACGAAGGCAAGATGCTGACCTTTGTGCTCCTCGATTATTAAGATCCGGGACCAGACGTAACAGACGCTCATGAATAACCCCCAGGACCATCTACAACATGGTGGAATATGCACGTGTGCGCTTGGAAGCTGGCATCCTCACTATAAACGGAGGCATCGTTCTGTACGACAGAAGGATCATAAATCTCTCCACATCCTGCACTATGAGATATCCTACATGCTGCAATACCTGATGGAGCAGTATATATACGTAGCCAGTAAACTCCGCGGGATATGTCTACAAAGAAGCAGAAGTACCAAACCTCAGGAAGATAGCACACGTGGGCATTGGGGTCCAATGATATTTATTGCCTTAACGTCGGCCATGGATTCCGGTTGATGCATACCCAAACCAACGCAAAATTAAAAGTGATCCCTTCTTTTTGGCTTTGGAAGAGTCGTACAACAGTACTCTAGTGCATCGTTTATATTTTCGGGCCGTTTAATTATGCGCAGGCGATAGGTCGTCTACGTAGGTAACTTCACTCTGCCCTTTCCCAAGGCGTACAAAGACATCCCGCCGCTGAAGTTTGCCTCGTACAACTTTACAAAGCTCGATCCCGACGTCAACCCCCGATGTCCAAACCGGCCTAATTCTCCAGTGACCGGGCTTGATTAGGTCATGATTATCTATATCTGGCCTTAACACAGCATTCAAGCTTTAATTCGATCTCGGGCAAAAATTAGAATTTGTGGTGTCCACAAAGGCCTTCGATCAAGGCTTGTGCTTTCTGTTGGTTCTTGCATCCTGCATAGGAGGCAAGACGGATTTTCGAAAGAAAGACAAGCACTGGTTCTATATTTGCACTTTACCGAAAGCCCCCAGCGTGGCTGGTGGCTGTGCTGGAGATGCAGCGAGTGATCTCTCATGAACAAAGCCTGTCCTACCGCGCATGGCGATCATAGGTCGGTTAATTGGCTGATACTAGAGACTTGAGCTTAATCTTGACAGAGATAGCTTATTACTCTATGTATTCTCCTTCATGCATTAGATTAGGGGTATACGATGAAGATATTCTCACAGTTTTGTGTAACATTAGACAATTGCAACGTTAACATCCATCGTAGGGTTTAAAGACCCTAGCCCTGCTATCTCCATGGGAGAGTTGGCTCTGCCTTCTTATCATACGGAATGGGGAGGTGGTGGGTTCGTTCATAGATCAGCACACGGGTCTCGGTGGCAAAATTCAATGGAGTACAATATGATATATACGATAAACTACTTGTAGCTTGGTAATAGTCTCATGTCTAGCCTGTGTTTGCTTTGATTCTGCACACAACGAGACTAGCTTGGCAAGTTAAATACTTGATGTTTAGATACATAAGTACATGTACATACATACATTTAGATAACCGAATTTTAAGGCTAACTTGGGCTGGTCGTCTGTGCGGACCACTAAGCTCTCTCAAATTTGTAAGGCATAATAATAGTGTGCATGGATTAAAACCTACGGTTGTATCTTGACCTTCTTTTGGCACGACGTAAGGATTTGAGCCGGGTTTCTTTTTCTTTTTTCTCTTCCCATACAGGTTTACCCAATGTGCCTACAAGCTCCCGAATGTGACAGCTGACTGAAACTCCAAAGTGCTCGACCAGAGCTCAACCATTCATATTACAGAATAGTAGTAAGTACCAAGTTCGTTATAATAGAAACTTAATGGATAACTTAATACTTTTATTAGTAACGTGATATTGAGATTCGGTCGCAGCGAGTAATAATATCATTTTGATGTCACTTTTTGTCCCATTTGAGTATTCGTATCCATTTTATTGAATTATAGATAATACTCTATTTAAACTCACGCTTTTAAGCAGAGTTAATAATATCAATAACTATATGATTTTATTAGCTTTTCTAATTCTAGAAATATATGTTTGAAACAAACTATAGCGGGTAGGGAAGAGAAAAAGTAACTTACAAGCGGGCTTCAAGCTAGCGCCACCAACCAAAAATCCATCAACATCCGGCTGGGTCGCAAGGTCCTTAGAGTTTTTGTCGGTGACAGAGCCGCCGTATAAGATCCTGGTAGCATCTGAGACCTCAGCGGAGACCTTTTCCTTAAGCCACGAGCGGATAGCAGCGTGAACTTCCTGAGCTTGCTGTTGGCCCCACCGAAATTAGTTGAACTCCAATGTCACAGTTTGAATTAGAGGTGCAATCAATCATATTACACGTACCGCAGTGGTAGCAACCTTTCCGGTACCAATTGCCCAGACAGGCTCATACGCGATAACAATCTTACTCCAATCCTGTACCTGTTCGGCGACAGCTGCAAGCTGCCGAGTTACGATATCGATGGTGACTCCCTTCTCACGCTCCTGTTGAAGACATTATTATTGGTCTTATTTGAGAGAGTGAGAGGGAAGAAGAAAAGGCGACACAAACCTCCAATGATTCACCAATGCAAAGGATCACACTCAAGCCTGCATCAAGGGCAGCCTTGGTCTTAGAGGCCACGAACTACTCAATTGGATTTAATAAGTAATTACGAGCATATAAAAAGATATTAGACTGGCAGATACCTCATCAGACTCGCCAAAGATACTCCTACGCTCAGAGTGACCAAGAATAACCCAGTGGACCTGAGCATCCTTGAGCTGCTGGGCGCTAATCTCACCAGTATAGGCACCGTTTCCCTTATTATAGATGTTCTGAGCAGCAACATCAACGCCGTTTCCAGTGATCTCCTTCGCAAGGAGAAGGTACAAAGCCGGGGGTGCGATAACGACCTCTGGGAGAAAGTTAGCTTTTGTTTTTGTAGAATCTATTCTTCACCCTGGTGAAAGATTCTTCTTGGATAGGGGAACCAAATATGGATATTTGAAGAAGTTGGAATACTAACCAACACTGTTGTTCAACTTTGCATTGTTGAGACCGTCGATAATGCTCTTGATTGAGGCCACAGTCCCATTTGACTTGAAGTTACCACCTACAAAGAATTTACGAGCCTTTGGGAGGTGATTAGTGAAAATTCTTTGAGCCTTCTCTAAAGTATTGGGGTTTCGGAAGATGAAAACAGATACCCACCATTTTATTTGGTATGCGATTATTTTTGCTTTAGCTACGATTGATTGCTCTGTTGGGGCCTGAAGTTGTAGTGTTGATGAGGAAAGCTTGTGGAATTGAGATCACCAGCGGGGTTGGCGGGGGAGGGGCAGTCTGTCGCACAATTGCAACCACGCACCCATATTAGAAACTTTAGGCCAACGATCAATTTTGAAAAATGCTATTCGCCACCCAGCCAAATAATCCCTGCAACCATCAATTTTGACCAAAATTGATGCTTGGCCTAAAGTTTCTATTGCCGCTTCTCCTCTCACACCATAGTGCTCTATGTGACTAATAGATGAATAGTGCCTTAATTTAATTAAGCCCTCCAGGCTGCTTGTAGCGGTCAAGTAGCTGAGTACAATAGGTTATGAAATGATAATATCACCCTTAACCGTGGTCAAGTAAGTTAGACAGCTTAATTCATGGATACAGTACAGGATATATAATAATCCCGATTCAAACGCAAAACGTCTTGAGTTAGATTTCTCAAGGCCCCTTTGGCGGTTTATTAGGTGGAACTCGGGCGTTTAAACCATACGTACCTACATGTATCTACATGTATGTATGCATGTGCGTGCATGTAGGTACTTCAGTTGCGTTCAGCCCTAATACAATGACATGGAGTAATGTATGTAAATGGTACATGTAGTAGTACAGTCCTGTAGCACATACAATGTCATACATGGCTTAGATATTATTATGGGACTTCTCTTAGTAACTTACATATCGCTATACTCTAGTAGCATTATGCGTATTATTTCTGTAAATACATGTATGTACTACAACGCTAAACTTCAAGTCTCAGATACTTTTAGTAACTACATGTACACCTATACATGTAGTTAATATACACTTCCCCTCTACTTAGAATATAGATCAAATCTTCGTGCACGACGTAGTACAATACAGCAGTGCTACTGTATATACATGTAGGTACTTGCTTACCAGCGAGTAGAAATTGTAGCTGACATCCCTGCTTTGAAGGTGACGGAAACAGCTGCATCTTCACATCGACAAGTAGCGGCCCTTCACGTTAGGCCGATTATTCAGTACTGTTTATAGATAATTTCTGAACACAAAATGCCATTAAAATAAGTGATGAAAAAGAAAAAGAAAAACCTATATTCCTAAACACTTCAAGAATAAACCCGTTCAACTTTCTAACCCGATATATGTTTATTTAAGTAGTTACCTCCACACACTCTAAAACCTCTATAGAAATCGATCAATCAGTAGCCTCAGCAACAGGAGACTTCGCCTTCTCAAGTACTTTTTGGTACTTTGCATTGTCAAAGACCCAGATACCATCAGTCTTCTCTGGTTCTAGAACGACGCCAGATTTATCGCCGAGGGCTTTCAAGACGGGGTCTTCCTGGACTCTAGTGAAGTATCGTCTTTCCCACTCTCTTCCTTCCTCCTTCTCTTTTTTCCGAAGCTCGCGCTGCTCATTTTCAATTTTTGTCTTTTCCGCGCTAGTGGTTTCGAGGTCGCCATTGACAATTGCAGATTGGACTTTAGCCCAAGCATTCCTCGACTCGAGAGAATCTTGTTTCTCGAGAGGGGCGATATACAAGGGCGTAGTTTTGGAAGCCTTTGCGTTGTAAAGATCGAACTGTATTCTATAAGCAATTGCGTCTTTTACAGGAAAACTAGTCCGACAAACCTCCTTCTTGGATTTTCCTTCCTTGATTATGAAGCTATCCGTCCATTGACCATCAATTGTGTATAGGATATCCTTACTGCCTTCCTTTGATAGGGTTGCCGTGAAGGTATTCTTCTTACCAGTGACCCATCCTTTTCCACTGTATTCAATTTTGGCGACATACCCAGTAGATGAAGTGATAGTGCTGCTCTTATTCAATTCAACATATGGGGATCCATAAACAATTCCCTCAATATGAAGAGATGGGAGCGTGATAACATCTAAGATGAGTCAGTGATACCGACAGCAGACCAGGGCTATGATAAAAAAATGAGCTCAGCTGACAATCTTCGTTGAATTCCTTCAGGTGGTATTTTGCATGACCAATTTGCTTGACAGTGATTGTTCCCCTGGTAAACGATGCTTTTTGGCCATTGTAACCCTCAAGTTTTACTCCATGTTTATCATTGATAATAGCGTATGCAGTGACTGGTGGGTGGTGGCTATAATCTCATCTATCAGCTAAGCCTCCAATTATCCAGGAACCCAGAGAGCTAACCTGACTTGCTCCGAGATTAACTGAGTGTCGCCGATAACTCCACTTGGGTCTTTCCAAGTGCCAAGAAATAACTCCCCCAGAAATGGGTTCAATGGCTTCTTCTCGGAGCCGCTATTAGTAAGTGTATCAGTACCGAGTATTCTCTTCGTCCAAACCATTCTTCCAAGGCATGAAGGAATAATTTACAGTTTCTCGTTCCTGGAGCTGTATTGTTGCTTTAGTGTCGACAAGAACCACTTTAGCACCGCTAGAGCTCTCTTCTGCGGATCCTTTTCCTGTGCAGGGGCTACAAAGATTTCCGGATGTTCCGCCTGGGTATTCAGTACTACGCTTATCTCAGCCCAAGTAAAAGGGGGCCAAACTCACCCAGTACCCGGAATACTCAGTCAAACTAGTAACGCTCAAAATAAAAGGCTACATGCGAGATCATGTCAGCACTACGTATACTAGAGGATTGGTATATCCGTATGAGAGATCTGAGAAACGGACAGGTGCTGTCAAGCTCGCCAAGTCGCCGTTGAATGATGCGATGGACTGTGTTGTCGCCATTTCGTCAGCACTGCTTAGTCAAATAAAGGAGGGAGATTAACAAACCTTTAGGAATGGTCCCCAGGAACTCTTTGCAGCTTGCGGCACATCGCTACCTTCTTCTCTACTGGTACTCATAATGACGGGGGGCGGTCTAAGTTGATTAGAAATGGCAAAGAAATACTCTGAGTGACAGTAGGAGGGTAAACGCAAATCAGAAGCAAGTGTTGTAGGGGTAGTTAAGATAGATTCTTTGGAGCTGGCGACGTTGGAGGTGAAAGGAAGGAACGACGGATCTCAATTCCACAGGGCACCCGCATATTCGCTGGGCAAGGGCGGGCATATTACGTTATCACACCAAGAGTTGGCTGGGGACGAATGACGACACGGCCGGCGGCGGACCTAGACAGTAGACAGTGATTGGCGAAGGACATAGAGTACATGTAGGCACATGTAGCTAACATGCAACATTTTATATAACGGTCTTGTGAGGTTTAAAGGTTTTAACCTACTTTATATGTACATAGTACCATATTAGACGAGGAAATGGGTTATGTAGGGTTGCGATTGTGATTGCGATTGTGATTATTGCCGAGCTGTTGCCATACAACTCTATACAATACTTTATGCCTGACTACATGTATGTAAGGGTTAGCTTGGTATTACTCTACTGTACCTACATGTACATGTGACATACTCCGAAGACCTTGTGATTAGGCCTAGGTACATTACATACATTATATATATACAGTCGCACCTCGCTATCTCGTAATTCGATATCTCGGATCTCTTGCTGTCTCGTACGAGTTTGCGGGACAGGTACTGCCCTTCTCCACCAAAAACTATTTGCTGTCTCGTATATTTGCTATCTCGTAGGGGTTTGGCTCCCAGAATACGCTAACGACATAACGAGGTGCGACTGTACTACATGTAGTAACAAAGACATTGGATGATCCATACAGTACGAAAACGGGTACTGTACCAATATGGGGTTGTGAATTAAATCGGAATTCTAAATATTATACTGTAGCAATACCCCAACAATACCGTAACGATACGGTATTTTTCCAGATACTGGAGCCACCCGCTTTTTTGGTACTGTAATTATTATTATATATTAGCTTTAGATAGAAAAGTACATGTATTTGGTATCGTATCTAGATTTAAAGATTATATATAGTTAATTTACGAGTGTTACTAGCTTATGCAGGTATACTGGCGCTGCTGCGCTGCCCTGCTAAAGAGGTGTGCCATCACCATGCTGCGATGGGGGTAAACCCATCACAGATATCACCAAATACTAGCAGAATAACAACAAAAAGAAACAATAACCTCTAACGTACATAACCTTTCTTTTAGCTGACTCGCCCTATTCAATAGCTCGAGAAAGAGAAAAACACCCAAAACTCAGCCAATCAAAGCCTTTAAAATACACATTGCATTCTAGATCGACCCGTTATATCTATACTAACTAGCTGATAACCTTAGAAAAGGATTTGCCCAGTTTAATTTATACATGTAGTTGTCCCTACAGAAATTTAGAAAGCTGACTGCCCCTTGTAGAGAGTGCTGAGAATCAATATGTATTAATTGTCTTTTGGAAACACACTTAATTACTTTAATAGCTACAGGCCCTCTTCCTTTACCATGTACTAGTGAGTACATGTAGGTAGCCGTATCCCTGCAGCAATTAAACTTGGGAAGTACATACATGTATACATGTACGTACGTGTAGGGAATTGGTACATGCATGTATTTATTTACATCCTTCCCCCATTTCAGTAGGTTTCTGGTCTCCAGCCTTAGGGGACTAGAACGATCAGTACGTAATGTAGTACCTATCATCTGCAAATTATTTTTGTCATGACCTTCCGTAATATCCTCTAGGCCTGGATCGTAGATTTTGGTCGTGAGGTGAGTTTCAAAATATAGTAGTCAGTGAACCATAGGGGATTTAGCTACCCCTACAGGTCAATTGTATTCCAAGTTTGATTTCTATAGCATATATATTCTCAGAGTCATAAGACAAATTTTTGATATTGAGTGAATACGCTTGATTATAACGCTAACGCAGCAATCCCCCAAATTATAAGTCGCTGACGTCTCGAGTCAGTCAAATCAACCAGCTACATGTACGTCATGTACGATCGATCATGCAGGGGACAGGGGATCTTAAATTTATATATACGTACGCACTGAGTACACATACTAGAGTACTTATTTTTACTTTATAACTACATGTACATGTAGGTATGACCGCCTACATGTATTAATCCTGGCCTAGGTCTCTGTAAGCACATATATGTCAACTACGGTCACTTGAACATACATGTATATGTACTCACAGGAGCATTTCTATAAATATTCGAGCTAGAATCGGAAGCCTACATGTATGTACATGTAGTACATGCTAAGTTGTCCTCGTGTTGGACTGCTAGTGCGCACGTGCCCGACAAAAAGTTATTGTATGCATAATTTCAGACGAAATCAGCACTATCAAGATCCGGAATCCTGATACAGAGTGCAGTAATGGCGATATGTGTATTTTTTAAATTCACAATGAATATCTCACGATACTGGTTATAGAAATATGATACATGGGGTTTCGGTTCAAGATTCTTGGTGCGATGCATGATGTTAGGCAAGAATTTACCATTCTATGGCCATGGACGTGTGAACGAAGAAAACACATACACCTGCAAAGACACCTGCGCTCCTCCTCCTCAATCACACATCAACTACAGCAATTCATCGAACACATTCCTTCATTCATCATTGCCATGCCCTCCATTGTTACTATCAAGGAAGAAAACGTTGAGTCCGACTCCGTCCCAATAAAGACTCTAGATGAGAAACTTGAAGTGAAACTTGAAGAATCCTCTCCAGACTTAAATCTCAGTATTTATGAGGAGACCGATGAATGCGACTTGCAGCAATCAGATCAGCATGTTTGGCTTGTTAAACTCCCAGCGTTTATTCGAGAAAACTGGAATCCCATCCTCTCGAATTCTGAAGAGGAAGTTGTCCTTGGTCGAGTCATGATCAATAAAAAGAATGCCAGTGTAAGAGAACCCACCCTTCTTTATCGTAAACGAGTGGCAAGAAACTAATGATCCTGAGAGGGGTCCATGCACCAGATGATGAAGATCTTTCTTTCTGACGAACAAGATGTCAATACCGGAATTCCGCGAGTGTACAACCTGAAACCCACCAACTCGGAACTTACAAACACCTTCGTGTTCACGGAAAAGGTCACCTCAAAGAGAAAGGCAGAAGAAGATGACGAGCTTCCTGAAATCCCTTCCAGGCTCCTCAGGAAAGTGCACGCCAAGGGGTCACAAGGAGAAGGAGTAAACCCCACATTTACCCGCCGAATTATAAAGAACAGTGAGCATCATTACCACACATCTTCATAAAAACAATCTTTTTAATATAAAAAAATATAGGCCCGACTGCCCTCATGGGGACTGCAATTGCTGAGCTAGTTATGCAGCCTGTTAAAAATCCCGAGAATGTAGAATTTGAGCGGCAACGAATTTTGAATGCGAGGAACCTAGAAAAAAAGACGAAATATTTCAACAAACACATCGATAACAACGCTTTCATCTCCAAAAAGACTGGGTCCACGGCTATCAAGCCTTTCTTAAAGATCACAGTATGTGTCAACTCACATTCTTCTTTTATTTGAAAATATCATATTCTGACATCTTATACAATCATAATAGCAATCTAATAGCCTTCGTGTGAAGAAGCTCGACAAGGCATATCGTGGCTCAAAGGAAACCATCCAAACCAAACTTTTCGATCTTTTCGAGGATTATGAGTATTACTCAATTAAGCTTCTCGTTGAGAAACTTGACCAGCCAGAAGCATATCTTAGAGAGATATTGGAAGATATTGCAGAATACACTGTTCGCGGTGACTATGCTGGAAAGTGGTGCTTGAAGAGCGAGTATAAACGGAAGTTGGAGAATAGTTAGTGGTCAATCGATGAGAGAAATCACCATACGCGCGAATTACTCATAATCCTGGCGATCAAACCTTAGGCTACCTAGGTGGTCTGTTAGTTGGCTCTGGCGAGACCCCCTACTAGATTAACACATAAGTTGAATTTTTGATATTACCTTACGAGGGAGTAGCACAAGAAACCGATCATCTAATCTCATTTTTCATAGTGGTTTAGCAATCTTGAACCCTGTATACATGGGAGGAAAAGAATCGGTGCTACTCGGGTGTAATTTCATATGTACCTTTTTTTTTAATTCGCATGTATACTTTCCGTAAATCATGCTCTGACATCTACATGTATACCTTATGGGTTGGACACTTCCTACTTGTGTATGGGGCATCACTAGAAGTGTTTGAAACCCCTAATAAAGGAAGCTCTAGTTCATTGCTGGGAACTGATACCTGACTATCTATTTGAAAGGTTGGGTGAAGGCATGTCTAGGCGCATTGAGACTGTTATAAGGAAAGGGGCTGATACACAAGAAATTAGATGTCATATAGTTTATCTTCGGCCACAAAAAACCAGCTCTTTAAAGCATCAACTGTGGTTGTGGTGGGGCGGCGCGAACGCATGATTTCCGACATCACGCTATTATATTCATATATGCACGACCAGATAAATTCATTAACTATTGTGGTGCTATATGTATATGTGTTATGTATATGGATCTCGACCTGGTAAAACCGCCTGCACAGCCAAAACCTTATTCCGAAGAACCACGCAACCTATAACTCCGAACCTTCCTAAAGTTCAGAGAACCGTGGCGAGGGCGCAAAATTACCTTCTTTGTCATTTGTCCCATCAATTGAAGTTGCAGAGTGTGGTAGTGAACTATGTAGGCTTCGTTGCTTTTCCACAGTACCAGACTTTTTACTAGATTGACATCCCTATAGGACGTGTAGCCCGCCGGAACTAGACAGTGGCTTACTAGAGGTATGTACTTGAGCGTTCAAGTAGTTTCATAAAACTAGACGTAAGTTACCGTGAAAGAATCAAAAAGATACCGGCAAGGAAGGCCAATGTTACCCACCAAACACAAAGTGCCTTGAGGGATACACACGATGTCACTCGAGGTGTCCACGTGATTTTTGCCAAGAAGGCGGATGCGCGCCACACAGCGATCCTAGTTGGACATGCCATGCACGGACCTGGTCCCACCACTTATGATCGCAAGGACAAAACCCAGCGAACCGCCCCCCTTCTCTCCCTCTTTCCCCTTCTTTCCTGCATTTGCTCTTTTACCCCACCGTCATCATTAGAAACTTCATCTGCATCCTCCACCCTTTTGGAATCTCACAGTTTGTAACATCTTTGGCGCATCATTATCATATCATGTCTGAAGACCAGGCACTTCTAGCAAAAATAGGCCAGCTTGCTGGTTAGCCACCCGGCCCCTATCGCATTCGGTGACTCTTTCGATGCATGGTCTCAGAAGCTGATGATGGAAAACAACGTAATCTACAGGTCAAATCAACCGACATAAAAATCAACGGGAACTGGCACCAGGCTCTCCTTCTTCCAGTACTGGGCATCAAGGACAACATCCTTATCACTCTTCTAACTATCGTATGGGGCTCTTTACTCTTCTGCTACGCTGTTTACTTCATATCTTTTTCTCTGATAATCTGGATTTGTGGCGGCCACTACTTGCACGCGATGTTAACAGTCAACTATTAGAAAATTCAACTAGGGGAAGAGGCACGCCATCATGGCGACCGCCGATAAGGGCTGCTTATACCCGAACTAGGTTTCGAGGCCGAGGAGGCCGGGTAGCACCTGTTGCTTATTCACATAGAACCCTTGTGGTCAATAATAATAAACCAGTATCTGGGTCGACGAGCTCTACAATTGCCACAGCTTCCCCAGTATCAAGTTTTGGTACCGAATCTATAAATGCGGCGTTGCCTTCTCCAACGTCAGTCCCAGCACCTGGGCCTAGTTTGCCTGCCCAGCAAAAGTCGACGGCATGGGTGGCAAAACGCGCACCAGGTGCGGTGCAACTTATCAATAGCTCCATTTTTGGCCAACAGGCTCAGGCGAAAGCCAAGGAGAGATTGCGGAGAAGAGAGGGAAAAGATAAATTGAAAATGAAAAGTTGGATGCAAAAGTCCCGTGGTCCTACCTATGGAGGGTTGGCGTCAAACACAAATCAAACTCCTTACGAGGTTATAATATCAGGGGAACGCTATCGGGTTGCTGCAAACGGCAGCAAACTAGAAAAAATATCTGGTGAGGGCAAGGAACAAACATTAATAGGAATGGAACAAAATAGTGTTGGGTTTAACTGGTCAGCAACAGATGATCCGAAGGCAGCGAAGTCCACTCCTAAGAAAGCCGTCGTTGGTGGTGTTAATTTCGTGCGAAGTAAGAACGGGAACCTCTGGAGGGCTGGTTTAGTGAAAGCATCACGGTGAGTATACATCATTGCCTCCAAAGAGCATTGTCCTACTCTTATCGTCTCTCGTTGTATGGCTGACAATGAACCCTATTGTTTTGCGGTACAGCCAATCAACAAACACGCGCGGTTTAAAGATTAATAAACCCTGCAAATACTTTTCAAATACCGGTACCGACTATTTCTTCCAATCGCTTATCTCGGCTCTTATTGCAGACTTCATTGTTGCCTTAGAGCTCCCCTTCACAAAAAAATACCGCGCCATTGGATACAAATGGAAAAGGGTTGATGAACTGACTCGATTACTCGTATTTTTTTTTACTTATAGGACAATGCAAATACGGGATGTCTTGCCCATACACCCATGATGCTCACAAAGTTGCTATTTGCCCACGATTTCTCAAAAATGATTCGTGTCCGGACGGGGATTCATGCGACTTGTCTCACGATGCCAAGCCACATCGTGTTCCAGCGTGCCTACATTTTGGTTATGGCAATTGTCAGAAAGACCAATGTTTGTATGCGCACGTCAAGGTTAACCCTGCTGCTCCTATCTGCCGCCCCTTCGCAACCTATGGATATTGCAACAAGGGCGCAGAGTGCACCGAGCGACACGTACGAGATTGTCCGGACTTCGACGAAAAGGGCGTTTGCAACGACAAATCGTGCAAGTTATCACACGTGCAAAAGGCTGGACGAAGGCGAGTAGTAGAGAAAGCGGCCGCCGCAGCCGCTTCGGCCCATAGATCCAGTGTTGAAGAGGACAAGGATTCCGAGGAAAGCGATATTTCCAGCGAAGAGGAGGGTGAAGAAATCAACAGTGATGATGTCGATTCTGATGCATTTAGCGACGATGATTTTCTCTCTAAGGACGACACTCCTCATGAAGTCACTATGCAACAGGACTTTATCCACTTCTAACCTAATGAACATAGATACATAAAAAAAAAAAAAAAAAAAAAAAAAAACAGCCAAACTTGCTCTAGAAGCAATGGTCTTACTACTTTTTTTTGGGACTTATTCGGCCTTTCCAGATATACCCCCGGTTTTTCTTCATTATACCATGTTTCATGCGCGCGTCGTTAACTAATCTCTATTAATATGGGGATGACTTCACCCAACATTGGACGAAGTGTTGCTTTTTTTTTAATGCGTTCATTCCTTTTTTCTCCGTTCTTTCCCCTTGTATTTTCTTATTCTGCTTCAACTTCTATTCTCATGCGATAACGGCTGGGAGTCTGGGGAAAGTAAGCAGGCCGTCTCCCCGAGATGTTGCTTTATTGGCGGTATTAGTTTTTGTTAGGGTGGGAAAAGTCGGGCGTTTGGAAGGTTCTATTGGTTGGGTTGGTTGTCTCGTTTCTTCTTACTGCGTCTCCTCATCGGTCGATGAGACAGACACGTGGAAAGCCGGTGTCGACGACGAGTCGACAATCGATTGTTTGTGATACACAGAAGTAGTAACACAGTCAAGAAGAGTGCAGGCTGAATAGAAGAGCAAAAAAATAAAGAACTGGAAGTAAGAGTTGGAAGTGCAACAATGGAATGGTTATTTTGGGGGGGTCAGGCGCTCTTCGAAAGAGGAGGAAGCGAAATACATGGTGGGATTAGTTCTGAGGCAAATGTTGTAGTTACGAGAAATACGAGACAAAAATAAAACATAGTAAAAATGTTACTTGGAGAAGTCAACTCTTGTTGAAAACAGATGTGATCCAGAAGCCTAATGATGAACAATGCAAGGTGATGATGTATGTTGCCTTGTTGGGGCTTTGAAAAATGCCTGCGGTTTGTTTCCCGGGATCAGTAAGTGGGAAACATTACAACAAAGCGCTTGTATGTGGGGCAAGACAAGGGTGGTGTAGAGTATTTACAAAGTTAGCCAGGGCTCCGGGATATCCTGTGCCATCTGTTGGTGAGCTGTTCGTCTTGGGTTGCGTAAGAGTATTTGGTTTCTGCCCTTTTCTACACTCCGCATGTTTCAGGATTGGAAGTTGTTAGTTCTACCCCTCCCACGCCTATTTTGTATGTCTTTGTCCGTCTGTCCAGGCCCCCGTCCTGTCCGGTTCGCTGGTAAACGAAAGCATGCAAGGTTAATGTCGAGCCATTTCATCATCATCGCTGGTCTCTGGCCGCAAGCCCATTCCAGTCCAGTTCAGCCAGTGATGATGCCGTTCCTTAGCAACTCGTCTCGAAATCAACAGGGGCAGGGGCAACGCTTCTGCACGGCGCCGCCGTCACGAATGAAATGACATGACATGATGGCGGAGAGCCTCGACGATCGAGAGAGGTTGATGTGCTTGGCTACAGTGGAGCAATGTATGTAATGTTGTACTCGCGACCAGCAACAAGAACCCGAAAATGCACGTCCTAATCTGCAACTTCCATTGGAGTAGAAGTCAAAATACACCAAAGACTTGCAGCTGCATATTCGGGTTCTTGTTGCTGGTCGCGAGTATAGAAGATTTCACCTGAAGGTCCCTGTCCCTGGTGATCGTGATAATTGCAACTAGGTAGAGTACATACCGGTGGTGGACATTTATTCATTCCAGTGCAATGGATAGCCCAGGATGGTGGCTGGAGGGATGTCTGCACTCTAGATTACAGAATTTCAAAGTCATGTTCATCCGAGTTAAGTATGTGCATAGTAAGCTCCCTCAGGGAAGTACCCAGAGTATTTCTACTGATGTCTAAGGCTACATGTATCCTGTCTGCAAGGCCGAGGGTGGAATATTTAGAACTGGGAACTAGGAATAGCACAGCTACTAATCGGGTAAGGGTGTACGTACTGCCTTGAAGTGTGGATTCCATTTCCGCATAGAAAGAAAAAAGGTCTAGAAGGAAAAGGGGTAGTTGTCTATTCTATTCAACAGACGGTCCATATCGATATTTCTAATAATTCTCTGGTTTCGGTAGTTGAGATTTGACCAGGAACTATATCGCGGTTATCGATTATCGATTATCTATCGGTGTGACAACAGAGGGGCGAGATGAGTGATATGTTAGTAACTGTAACGCAATCCGTGTTGAGAAGATAATCTGGGGAACCCAAGCGAGCAACGTCTATGGTTTATGGATTAGGGTTTGCATTCTTCAACTCGTGACAGCGGGGTTCGTCACGTCAACCCGTTATCGATATCGGGATCTATCCTTAAAGTTCCTTGCCGTTTTCTGACCAGCTCAACACACATAAATTGGGTTGATAGTTTTGTAAACATGGTCCCGGGTCGAGACTGGCATAGGTACATACTCAGAACAACGTTTGCTGCCCAAATTTCGAGAAAACCCCATACTGATTCTGATTTCTAACCCCACCGTCTGCAAGAACGCCGTCCCTGCACCGTCAGTCTTAATCCATCCACACAGTCATCTTACCCCCACTTGATTCTATCAGTCCCCGGATCCATCCGCCTTCGAAACCGTTCCTGAATATGTTGCGTGACGTGAGGTTGAGGCTCCTACCGAACGTTCTCGACTGTCTACGCTGGTCTCCGGATGGGCAGCTGGCCGTGTCAGCCAGTGAGGATGTAATTATCTTGGTCCGTTCTTTCAATTTGATCTTCCTTGCCCCCCGAGATGTGGCCAAAATCCAAATACTTCGCAGAAAGCATGCCAAATAAAATTTTGCCTACGTGCATTAGAGACATAGCTAACCAGAAGCTCTGAGTCTTGCAGGTCCCGAAAAATGGAAACACTAGCGGAAAACGCTCGCACCAGTTTCACCATGCTCGGGCGAATCTGAGGGAGTTAATGGTGAATTCCATGAACGATGAGATCCCCCCTGCAGATGGTATTGTTCCATTCACTGGGCTTGATCATTTTTTGAGTGTGGGCGAAATCGAATGGTTCAGGGGCTTTAGACTTGATGCTGATGTTTGAGATTTCGAGACGCAGCGGAGATTTACAGTATCGGCGACGAGCAGGGGCCCGGCTATGCGAAGCAATTGGCATGGTCGCCTTTGGGAACTTCCAAGTATCGCAGGTTAGTCCGGTTCAGTGGCTACAGGATGCAGGATAAGAGCTTAGAGCATGGATCGGAGTCCCCACTAGTTGAAGAGACAATACTGAAATATAATGATGGTGATTGGTGGTGAAGATGTATTTTGGCAGTCCTCGCAACGAACCACCAAATAAGAATTTTTGAGCCCAAAGACCATCCTTGGAGCGATTGGCACCTGGTACGTGAAGCGGACTTTTTTTCTCACACCAAATCTTTTAGACCAATCATTTGTTACTCGATATAACAAAAATTAACTGGCGTGGGCAGAAACACGATCTCACACTTGACATATTCGACTATGAAGGATGGACGTCCGAAAGCTCCGATGAAACTACGTCCAGACTACGCTCAAGAACACGAGCCATATCGTGGTCCCCCGCATGTCACTTATTCGCAGCACGCCGTTGTGGCGAGTCACTGATAGCAGCAGCCAATGAGAACTTTGAGATTATATTTTTTAGGTTTAACTTACTCTTGTATCTAGTCTGCCGAGAAAATTTCGTTTTGCTAACTAGGTGGGGGAATGTAGGGTCACGCATGACTACCACTCAATCGTGGGGTATTTCACTGCTGCTGAAAGTGCAGGATTGCAAGTGGGAACTGGAATACAGGCAACATGGGTGAACAATCTCACATGGGGCCCGTGGAAACGTGCGCAGGGGGAGGGGAAGAATGAGGCCTTTTTGGCCTATTCATTTCATGGAAGGGTCTACATGTCCAGAGTTACCACAGGCCTAGACGTGGATAAAGAAGGCAATCCCTCTGTCAATGTTTCGGTTGGAGAAGAGACTTTGGTGGGCAAGTCTATGTCGGATGTTCATCCGGTTTTCGCAATCGCGTGGGCTGACGAGGTATGTTCAGACCGCAGAGTGATCAGACAGTATCAGTGATCGTTTTGTTGATATGATATTGGTGCAGGAATTCAATGGATTGTCGATCCTGGCGTATGCAGTATCTAAATACATTATGATCGCTGCGATAAACACCGATGGAGAAATTGTGTCCACGAGGGAGTTCGTGAATGGGTTTGTAGAGCCTATTACTGGTACGTAATATTCCTGACTGGTGTTTTGAAGCAAGAGCTCTGACCCAAAAATATGCCTGTAGGCTTATGTTTCACACCCTCAACCAATTCATCCGGAGTAGTCCTACATGCTATTACTGTCAATGGTCAAAGCCAAACGGTAGTTTATTCTCCGCTCTCCGCGGCTCTTTATGACCACAATAGTATCTCCACCTGTCACACATCTGGAGATATCGACCAAACAGATACCCATATGCCCGATTCCTACCCAGAAGACAAAGAGGAGGAAGAGGCACTTCGAGCAATGGCCACCCGCTGGACCAACGCCATCTCACTAAGAAAGCAGGATTTCGTGAACGAGTACGAGCTTTCTGCCGCCAATTGCAGGGTGTATGGTATTGCACCGAGCCCTCTAGGTGGTGTGATAGCGGCAGCGTGCAGTTTCCACCCAAATGATAGCTTGGAGTATATTACTGCATCAAAAGAGAACACTAGGATTGTATTTGGTACACATGAAGGTAGTGAAGGGGTATGGAAAGCAAGGGGCTTCTTAGCTGGAGAAGAAATAGACCTAAGTAAAGTGCCGAATCCTATAGCCCGGGCAAGTGAAGCTCTCCTCTTGGAGGCAGAGACTCTTGGTGACAACCGGGAGGGTATCTTGAGGAATATCCGGAAGTCTTTAGATCGTTTTAAGGGAACAGGTTGGAGCCTAGGCAGTGTTTCTATACCATCGGAGGCGGTCGAGAATGCTTTATCCGCCAATATCCTCCTCCAACCTTCATTGAATGCGCTTCGATATAGTTCCTGTCTGGAGATAGTCCCTGATAGTAACAATTTTGGTCTTCCGTTAGTCCCACGGGAGAACACGGAAATAGTAGCACATCACATCAACAGTATCCTCCGAGCACCTCGGAATGAGACTACCGCTAGATCGACGCTGAGCAAACGCATTCTATATTCAGTTGCATGTATCGGCATTCTTGGGTTGTACAACCGCCGACCTGTACTTGAAGCCGCCCGGGATGCTCTTAGCTGGCTTTCTGGTGTCGATGAAACGTCTACCGATAACGCAGGGGATGCCGAAAGAACCATCATAGATGTCATTTCTGAGCTTCAGATTGTTGAAAGACGCATTGCCGACTTGGACGTCATAGAACGCGGAGACGATGACGGTTCGGGTCTGGCAACGATTCGGGAAAAAGACAAGGTGTTCACCAGCAAGTTCGAGAAATGCACGCTCTGCAAGAAAGGAATGGTCTGGGAGGATCTGCGAGTCGCGGAGTGCGAGGGGAATCACCGCTTTTCGCGTTGCGCGTTGACTTTCCTCCCAATCAAGGAACCAAAACTCACCAAAGAATGCACAATATGCTCGAGGACCGTGCTCGGGGATGCGGTGCTTGAAGGTGATAAAATGGAAATGAGGGCTAGAGGACATGAGGGTGAGAAAACTTTGGCTGAGGCGGTTTTGACCGGATTGGACATCTGCGTACATTGTGGCGGGAGGTATTGGGCGAAAGGGAGTTAATCACATATATATATATATATCCTTCGCTTTTGTACTTTGTTGTTATGGACGTCACGGTACTTGTAGACTGAATGAATATCCAATATCCTGGGAATACTTGTGTTTTTGAAACAACTCCTTGATCGTCCGCCTCACTCGGGCATGGGAGGAAAAGCCGTTATGATACCGGTACTCCGGATCTCTCAAAACTCGGGATGTACGATTGCAAGCTGTGCATGAAGCATGGCCAATGTGGAGCCCCTGCGCCGTCCGATTGGGGAGGTCTTTGCTGATTGGAATACTCGCGATGCAAAAATCGGAAGGGGGGACCCTTAGGTGATATGTGACCGCTAAGTCCTTCAGTTTTCTAGAATGCGGGGTAGTTCTGTCTTGAGAGTTACTAATTGGGCTGATAGCGCATGCGTACCCTATTCGTCTCCCGAGACCCGAGCGAGACTTCGTGTCTCATCCTATCGCTTTGTGCAGTTCTGAAAATTAACAAGGGTGAGAAAGGTGGGTTTCGTCATTTATATGGAGATGGGTCCTTTAAATGGTACATCATATGATCTAATGTAGAGTATGTAGCAGCTTCTCTGCCATTTTATCAAATTGATTGTGTCGTTGCCCGTTGAAGCCGACAGAACGGGCAGTTTTGTATCATGCCGTAGGATAGGTAGAACACGGTCTATTAAATAACACAAGTATACGATAACCCGCATTAGCATCAAGGCTCCAATCCCAAATCTAGTAGCTACACAGCCCCTTTCATCCTTACGTATTTAGATGTGGGGTGGGAGTGCACCAGTAAATTATTTTTCTCAGGCAGAAAAAAAAAGAAAAAAAGAGTTGAGCAGCAGATAGGTAAGGAAAAAAAATGTGAGATGTTGAGATCCACGTGAGACCGTCTTCAAAATCATTTGCCCTTGGTCGGAAATACAGCCAACCAGCGATGTTTTTTTAGTCCCTCTCCCCTCTCCAAGGAGCTCCGCGATATTACATGACCAATGTGACGGGCCGGCGAGCTTCATTATTTTAAAGTGACGTTTCTTACTCATGCTCGTTACAAAACCACTGTACCAAGCGAGGAGTTAGTGTGCGTTCATTTGAGAACCGCATGTGCCCGAATTTCACGATGTGTGACCGCAGCCAAAAGGAAAGTGAAGAAAAGAAAACTTCCTCGAACGGCGTGAGCTCCGAGGAAGAGGGTTCAAGAAGAAATAAATCAAATAACCTAGAACATGCCGTATTCAACTGTCTTAGGAAAGCCGCAACTTAGCCGCATGCTATCATAGAACCAAAAACTGACATCAAAGGGTTTTGCATCGGGGATCTGGCCCATCTCTGATCTCCGAAGTAGAGTATTTGCGCGCTTTTCCCGAAAGCTTGATCCCCCCCCAATGAGAACTAGAGGACACACACAAACCAAAATAGACCCAGAAAAACTGAGTATCCGACTTTACCGATCAAGGTGGGATTTGTGACCTGGTTCAATTTATGTTTCAGGCATGCGGCATCATGATAAAGACCTGCATTGTGTGCACTTTTTTGACCCTAAACGACGTAAGAGTAACACCACATGTCTGTAAGTGCTTCTGCTGCGAAGAGGAACGTTTAGAGATCTTGAATTCAGCCGGGTAAATTTCTGAATCCTGTGAGGGGGAAGGTCTGCTAGCAAGACATCAAGGTGCAATACCTATCTTGTCCTCTAGCTCAACTCTCCCCTTATCGTACTCTAGAGTATGTGTTTATTCGGGGACCCACCCAGTATGCAGAGCTGGTGGTTGCACCACCACCAAACTTAAACGAAGAGTGGTTCGTAGAACTGATCGACGGGTAAATACCCGGGTCTACATGCGTTCCGGTTCCACTGTATATGAACTCGTTTCGTTTATGTCGAGGTGCTGAGTGTGGAGACGAAGCCGAACGTGATTCAATTCGTCAGTTGCTGCTTGCAGTCTGCGGTGAAGAGGGAAGAATTGAAGACCCGTCCGGCTCTAGTGTGGAGCGTACATCATGTAATTATCAAAATATCCGCCGCCGCCGCCGCCATCATGTCCGATATATATGTACATGTATATACATACCAGAAGTGATATCAATTCGGAGGCTCTCGGAAGATTTGTACTGATAGCGGGTACCTGACTGCTACTTTCGATGAGGATGGATGAGGATGGATGGGGCTCATGTACACCATCACACATATCATCGCATACATGTGAGTACGGTTGAGTACCGTAGTTAGAAACCCCTGTGTATGGGGTACACAAAGTACGGATATATGAAAGTAATCGTTGAGGAGGTTGAGGTTATAAGTAAGGATTGTTGGATTGTCGGATTGAGGTCTTTAGCACACGGTAACGTAACATGTAGTTGCCGAAGATCAGCCTTATGGTGACTCCTTTCCTTTATTCCTGTTCCAGGGTTCGCCAAGCGTCAAAGCCATTCCCGACAAGGCCTTCGAGAACGCCAGGGCCGCACAGACTAGAGACCTGAGCACATGCTTAATTCAACCGCGAACCTCATTTAGTCCCTTCCCTGATTACACCACCAGAATCCCTGGGTACATCACCACCATCACTTAATAAAACGCCGGACAGTGAAACAGAGGCAAATACGCAATATTCTTTCCCACCACAGGTATCAATCCGCAGCTGCAGATGCAAGGGCGTTTGATTGTATTCTGCGCGTGCACAGAGACAGCATCGCATCAGTACTTAGCAAAGAGGTTTGCGTCGAAGACACGCGGATGAGATGTTCCCCGGGAAGGATCAGAAACGAGATGAGGGTCGAGACTCCCTCAACCAATTCTCTATGATCGTCATTTTTATGTCGTATTCCGTTTTGACAGGATGGATCGAAAAGAATTATACTTTAGGTTTGTAGCCACCCAATGGCTAGACCCTTCAAAAGATCCTAGTTAGGTGGAAAACCGTTGATGACATTCTCAAAGTGTGAGACCTAAAGGTGAATCATAGAATCACATGTTTGGATTTAGCGGTTGTGGTGGTGGTTCTGGTGGCTATTTGAGTTTTCCGCCTACTTCTAGATCTGTTACCGCGGGTTTTTGTTTAAGGGACCTATCAACGCCCACTAAAATTGGTACAGTATTACTTTAGATAATTTCCTCTTTTACCGGCCCGCCAACTCCGCAGGCTGCACGTACGTGAGTGTTTTACTGGAGTCTTAGCCAACTCGGGTACTTGGGTAGTAATAGTAACTGATAGGGTCGATGGTGTCAAAATGCACATGTTTAATGATCTCCAACGCAGTTGTGGGAAAATCTTTTCATCGCAGATGTCACAATCCGGAACTGTCCTTGCGCATATTACCTGCATTGGCAAGATCGAAAGATCGAGGGAGAAATCAAGGTTCGGATGAAACGTTTATGCGAGATGGAAGACCTACAATCGTTACCCATGCCATGCCCGGAGGATTACACATTTGAATGTAGGTATGTATTTTAGCCTCTTTCACAAGCCACTCACATATCTTGCGTGCACCGGCGGCCGGACTCTGGAGGGACTTCAACCGTACCGGATCTTCGTCATATTCTATTTGCTGAGGACTTCGACATTCGATTAGCAGATCTATGGGATTGATGTGGATCGAAAAATATTGACCGGAATTTTTTTCGCTACAGCATTGGTGCTACTGGTTTTCACCGTATGAGCTCAAGCTAGTGGTGAATAAAAACTTCAATCGCTACCAGTCGTTATTCGGTTTTCAATTTTCAATGGCCCTCTTGATATCGGGCACGGATTGGTTACAGAGGAAACACCTAATAGCCAATTGATGAATACTGGGAGTGGGGAAGAGCGAAATGATTAAATCTCGGCTTTTAGTGTCGGTAACAATACTGACGTTGATGATTTGAGTAACTTCGTTCATTGAATTATTAACCACTGAGCTATATGGAAGGTCCAAATTGCAATTCTTGGTGATGGGGATAAAAAGCGACGTTTCTCTGTATTCCCAAAAATCTCACAGATGGCTCCTGTGCTTCAGTAAGCCCTGCTTGAACCGGATTTGAATCTGTACTGCAGGGTTTCTGCTTGACCAAAGGAGAGAGTAAACGCCTACGTCAACGATGGACCTTCTGTGACATGAGCATGAAAGCCTCCAACAGAAATATCTCCTCACGACACACATATTGTGGTACATACATACCAACCAATCTTTTGGATGTTGTATCACCACCAAAACGCGGGTGTGAAGTTTATCGAGAAGTTTGGGTCCTCCTTCCGTCCCGCCCGGGGTTCGGCAAACGAAATAAATCAAAAGGGAAAGAAAAGAAAAAGAAAAAAAAAGGGCGGGGAAGGTGAGGGCGGGGTGCGATGCCGGGTACGATCATTGGCCGACTGGTATTCGCCCCTCCTCCCGCTTACCTCGGGCACCAGAACCTAGAGTATGCCACAGCCGCAAAATGGGATAACGTTTGCCTTCCTTCTGTCTTGCCATGTTTCATTTCTCCTCAGGCGGCTGAGGGTTTTTTCCCTGTTAGCCATTGCAACTAGGTCGATTGGGTACGGGCTACTGATGTACAAGTTGACCTGGGTACATATGTACTACCGATTTGGACCACAATTGTACCAGTCGTCGCGGGGAGAGGGAGCGAAGCTGCGGACTGATAGGAGACGACAGTCAGTGGGGCGGCAGCGGCAGCGGGGACCAGTCGACTGCCTACGATAAAGCGACCGGCCGATAAGTTTGCCTTAACCTGTCTCGGAGTAAGTAAGCCCGGTCCGAGTGTGAGGTAAGGTATGTAGCTCTTTAAGCTAGTCTTGGCTCCATGTATGTACCCCAAGTATCAGATACATTGGGGGCGGCGTAGAGTACATCATGGCCTAGGTCTGGTCTTACGCAAGACAACTGCTTTCGCGATCATTACCCACATAGTAACCTTCCGATAGAGACATGTAGGGAAAGCATTGGTCCCGATACATGCCTTGCCCTCAGCTATCGCCGGAGATTTTATTTTAGCTGCCTACATCGGGCGATGGAGAGCGGCACTCTAACTTTAGGGTATGGCAAGTACATTCCCAAAGCGCACTTTAGGTTGTCTCAATCGCAATATCACTCTAGATAGCAGCAAATCATAGTGTGGGGTGGAAGTCAAGGCCCATGGCTGACCCTCTTTGAGAGTAGTACTCCAACTACGCACATCTGATACATACATACATGCACTGACTGGTACTCACATACATGCCTGAACGCGCAGCCTGCGGATGCGAAATCCTAGAGTAACGAGGTCAGAAAGAAGTGCAGTGGGGGAGTCGAGTGGGAGAAAAATTTCCCTTCTTTTTCTACACTTTTGGAGTTCGGCACTTTTAACTATACCGATCTCGAATCCCCTCGCGAGGTTCCATCTATAAGACATAAGCCTGAACCCAGAAGAAGCAAAGGAACTGTCGAAAAACAGGAAACTGGGCGACCTGAAAAAGGAAATATCGGCTCTTTTATCACCCAAAGGGAAAGCAAAAAGAAAATGCTGCCTGCCTACTGTCTGCATACATACAAAAAGATTGGGGAAAGGTTCAAGGTGACAGGCGGCGTGACATCGCCAAAAAGCCCGGATTGGGCAGCGGCAGACGCGTCATGAAAATCACGTCCGGAAGGCCCGTGGGGGACTCAACTTTTTTTAAGACCCAGGAAGGGGGCTTTGCGCTGTTTATCCTGCCTGGGACAGTGGGACCCACCCTATCGCCTTTGTGGAAGCTCCAACCAATTGTCTGCATGAGCAGAGATCAAAGAGGGGAAAGGCGCAAAAAAGGGTAGGATTCCGTAACCGTGATCAGGCGTGGGGCGGAAAGGACGGGGTTTGCTGATACGGGATTGACGGATAGTTGGGCACTTCGGACCAATCGCTTGTGGTCCTGGTTAGTGGAAGAGGCTGCCAGAGGCATTCTCGGTCGGTAACAGGGAACTTCGGAAGGTATCCTGCCTGGGAGACTTGCGTGATAATCGTTGCTTGGGGCGGTGCGCAAGGGCGGACGGGTGCTGTTTGGAGCAGCTCGAAGCCGTGGTGGTTTGCGACCTTGATGCCTTTTTTGGCCCTCCAAGCTTACAGTACATGCTCTACAGGTCTACATACTCTACATACCTAGAATACCTACCACTTTACTATTCAGAGTACTCCCATGCTCCGCCGCCATCATTCTCCATGAGCAATGCCAGTACTCAATGTGTAACTCTGCTCTGCCTAGAGTAGAGTCAAGGAAGTGCTCTAGGGTAGAGAGTACTTACAGTAAGCTATTACTCCAAGCAAGTACTTTTTTTTACTGGGGTGAGTGGTCAAGACAAGAATGGGGAAAAAGCAAATACGAGACGCGAGAGCGAGGCGACTTTTTTGGATCATCCCCAGACGAGCGCGTCCATTCGGATCAAAGAAGGAAAGGTTGGTGTTTTATGCTATCCTTAGTTCCCTAGTTCCTCGAGATCTGCTCACGCGCGCGTGGATCGATTTTTCGCTTATTGGGCTGGATCCTCTAGTTTTTTGATTTTTGATTTCGTTTATTTTTTTGGTCCTGGCTTTTCCCTTCTTTTCTGCCTGTCTGATTTCGGCGGGAAAGGCCAATGATATGTTGCACTCCATGTACCACTACCCGCCGTTTCCCTTCGTTTCCTCTAACTATAGGGTATGTAACGGTCAATGTTTGGCTTTGTTTGTGAATGGGAACCATATTCAGCTACCGGTGTATATACCTATTTGCATGAAATGGTATATTCGACGAGGTTCCGGCCGCGGCAACTTGCAACAATTGGCGATAGTTTTTGTGATGAGTTTCCCTTTTGTCACTTTTTGTCATTAATATTCTGAATGCATTGTATGTACTTTCATGTCTTTCCTTTTCTTATTTTTGTTCCTCTCTCCTAGTAGTTGGCTGGGATGATGTCTTTCTCTCTTACAGGTTACGCCACGGACCGTCTGGTCTCTTCAGAGAAAATCAGGCAGGACGCGCGCAATTGGGGGTGGGTCGCGCGAAATCTGAATGGAAAGATGCCAAAAAGAAAAAATCAAGGCAAAATGGTGCGCCGCGGACATGGAGAACCTTGCTCTACAGTACAGCCTGCAATGTCAGTCGAATCGGCACCCTTCGTTCCCCAAGATAATATAAATTATTTATCGATGGGATACAAAAATATTGTCGGTATGAAATATACATTTTTTTTTTTTTAAAAAAAAGACTGCATGTTACGGTTTAGGGAACAGAATAGCCCCATTGATCATGGGAAAGGTGGGATAAGGATCAGCGCAGATTCCTAGCCGGATAGCCCGATGGAAGGAATATTGAGAATCCGGGAATTCACGAGGGCAAGCAAGCCAAAAAAGTTTGGCTCCGGAACGGATACAGACGATTGACAAATGGTCACGGTGCGCCGTAAGGACCGACATACCTATGAGGGAGGACCAGACGGGGGCAAAAAAAAAAAACCATCGATTCGCTGCGTCGAGAAAAAGAGGCTGCGAATGGTCAAGACAGCCTGCCCTGCTCAGTTGAGACACAGCTCGTGAATGGATCTTCGCGTAGATGCGACACCCTCTCCACTCTCACTCACTCTCACTCACTACTCACTAGAGCGCTCTCAATCACTTCCAACCAGCTAGCCTCGTTCAATAGGACTCTCACTGAGGACCATTCAGAAAAAGCACATTTACATGGGGAAGGAGGGGTGGTTTTGGATCTTAGTGGAGGGCGCGAAGGGAAGAAGAGGGGCTTTTTCTATTCTAATACCCACCAGTGTATTTGATTATTCCTGAGAGGTCCTGACCGCATGTCTCCTCCCTTCCCTTCCGGTGGTGGGCAGCAGCTGGCTCTATCGAATGGAAGTGCAGAACAGATGCTTCTAGTGGCCAGGATCATGAGTGGACAGGGTGAAGGGGGAGGGATGGGTGCAAGGTGACAACGAATCAGACAGGAGGGGCTGCAGGCTGAGGAACAGAATCGTCGCCCCAGCAGCAGCAGCAACAGGAAGCACGCTCCCTCCCCAGTCGCTTTCCCAGACATGGTCCATACTGGATTGGACGAAGGGCGCGGGTCTCTCTGTGAGGGAGGGGGTCAGGCTACAGTAAAGAAGCAGCCAAGGATCATGCCCACCCGCTATATATCAAAGGGACGAGCTCGGGGCTTCTGATTTTCCATATTTCCTCTCCGTTTCCCCTCTTCGTTCTATTTTCTCTCCCCAGACCCAAACGTGTATCCGCCGTTTTAAGAGACGACCCATTTGTCTGTATAACTGAGTTAAATTACAGACCATCGTCACGAATTTACTACTACATCTTCATAAGTCTTGCAGATACTGCATTGATATTATTTTGCTTCCCCTCACTTACTTTACGATACCCCTCTGTCATAGTACACACACACACACAAACACATACGCACACACACGCGAGCGAAATGTCTACAGGAGGATATCTTCCGTTCCAGATGGAACAATACCTTCAACATAGTCTTTCTGTCGATACACGACGGACATGGCTGGATGATGATGAATCGTCAATACTTGACGAGAACATCCTCGACAACAACCTTCTAGATTCTGCTCTCGATATGTCTCCAATCGACCGACGACGTCCTTCTCTATTGGAGTCGTCGTCGGCCATCTTTTCTCCCTCGAATGACTGGGATTTTGATCATGATATGGGTATGGCTGGTCCCGCCGATGATGCTGCCGTCCCAGCGGCTACTTTCGAGCACAGCAATGGAACCAACAACCCATTTATCAAGCTTGAGCAGGCACAGCCATCGTACGCTCAACAGAATGGTTCATGGTCGTCGAATCATGGTGCTTCAGGCTCGTGCACACCTGCCCCAGCATCATACGACAACAATGCGTTCCCCCACTCCACCTACGAAGATGGCTCTGCATACCTCGCTCCCGCGATTTCTGCAAGCCCCGCAGGTGCTTTTGATAACAACATCCACATCACTCCCCATGCCACTGTCTTCCAATCGAGCCTAAACAGCTCTATGCCATCGACACCGGCTCAGAAGGATTGGCAGGCTACTGGTGCTGAGCACGAGGGACAGCCAATGCAGAAGAGGATGCGACCACAGAGCCCCAGCCCGAGAGCACACTCTCCTCTGCACGTTCTGCGAAGAGACGGGATCCGAAAGAAGAACGCCCGTTTTGACATCCCGGCTGAGAGGACTTTGATGAACATCGACCAGTTGATTGCCCGATCAAACGACGATAACGAGATCAAGGAGTTGAAGCAACAGAAGCGATTACTCCGAAACCGACAGGCGGCGTGAGTAAACCCTTGGATGCGTTTTCTTATCTTGTAGCCATTTACTGATATGTCATCTAGTCTCGATTCTCGCCAGCGCAAGAAGCAGCACACTGAGCGCCTCGAGGAGGAGAAGAAAATTCACAGCGCTGTTATCCAGGAGCTTGAGGATAAGATGAATGCGATGGCATTGCAAGAGGAGGCTCTTCACCAGAGACTCGAGGCTGTCGCCCGTGAGCGTGACTTTCTTGCACACAAGGCTGAGACTCTTCAGATGGAGAAGGAGGATATGGTTCGCAACCACACCATCGAGACTGGCGAACTTCGAAAGAAGAACAGCTACTTTGCGGAGCAAATTCAAAAGATGCAGGACACTCTTGAACGCACTCCTATGGCACATGCTGCCAGCTCATCTGGTTTCAGCGATGACTTCAACTTGGATACCGACTTTGATCTTAATGACAACTACTGGAATGACCCTATGCAGATGTCCAACTCCGAGGTTTCTATTAAGGCCGAGAAAGTTCAATCACATGGCGATTCGGACAAGCCGGCAGCTGCTCCTGGTCTTTTGCTTATTGTATGCCCTATCATTGGCTTTTATACTTCTTTTTTCTTTCTTTTTTTTCGAAAGAAAATATGTACTAACATCTTGTGCTTTAGCTTCTTTTGTGTGGTGCATTCGTTGCTTCTTCAAAGTCTTCGATTCACTCTTTGCCTCCTCTGCCAAAGCAACTTCAAGCTGCCTCTGCTAGCGTTTTAAGCAACATCTTTCAAGATGCTGGTGTCACAACTATGCAGCCAAACACTGTTGAAGTTGCTGACGGATCCTCCACTTCTGACTGGGTGGTTGCTAAGTCTGCCGTACCAAACATGGTTGGACTTGACTCTTCTTTGGCAGTATTGAACGCACAACTCGATGGCAAACCGACTACCGAACAACAGCATGAGCAGTTCATGCAACTGAGTGCCGCTGAATACAACGATGTTACCACAAACAACTACCTTCGTGATCCTGAACCGATTTCTCAACGTGGCCGACGACACCTCGAAGAGGGTCTCGCTTCCATGCGAAATAACAAGGGATCTGCTGCTGAGGTTTATACACGATCGCTTCTCTGGGACAAGGTTGATGCCGAGGTAGTGCGACGCTTTGCTGCCTTCGCTGCACGAGCACAAGCAGATACCAAGGTCAAGACTACAGGCGAGGGTGGCGGATATGGCGATAGCGCTGTATAAAGCGACTACAAATATTTTCTTTATTTTTTTCTTGGAGGCACCAGACACACCCCAAACGGACTTTGCTATACGCATTTATTTCATATGTCTTACACTTCCTTCCCGACTATGAGCGGAACAAACTCTTCGAGCATTTGGCTCGACCGATCGACAATGATCACCTTGGGTCTTCACCCAAATTTTCTTTTGTTTTTTTGTCTGAAGAACGGCCTAATCTTTTTGACATTCCTACGCGGATTTGCGGATTGATGGCTCGACCTTGACTATCTTGGTGCGGGGCTTGTTTGGTTACCTACGAGAGGCGTGGTACTTATTATGCGATGGATTGGACGACTGCGATCGACGAAATTTAAAGACGATGCAAAATATTTACGATATTGACGAATTGGGTGGCCTTGATGAGCGGTATTATTCAGCAATTTGGACTTGGTTGGCGGCGGCATAGCAATGGAAATTGGTTTTGATATTCCTGCTTTTGATTTTTGCGTTTTTCTTATTTGATTTTAGCGTTTTCCCCTCGTAACCTCAAGTTTGCTTTGCGTGCGTTGCTATTTTTTCCCCCTCCCCCCCTTAGTATTTTCTTCCTTGTATCTTTCTGTATTTTTGCGTTTGATTTTGCGTTCTTGTTTCTTGCTTTTTATACTTTATATTCTCAGTATTTTGGCTATACCTGAGGCTGGTTTCCCCAGGATGGCTCTCTGGCGGCCTCTTCGAGTTTTGATTTCTCGGTTCTTTCTCTGTAATTAAATTCGTTCAGGTCATACTTCTTTTTTCTTGGGGGGCTTTGCTTATATTCTACCTATTGTCTTGTTTTTACTGCTACGTTTTTTGTCTTATGTTTGTCTTCTTGATCACGAACGTCTACGAGTTACGATGTTATGATGTTTACGCCGTTACGACGGTTTACGATTTTTCTATTACTCTCTATCTCAGCCTTGGGGCTTGATATGTTCTTGTTTGTTAGTTGTGTTGAATTGGCTTCTTTTTTTTTTAATTTGAGGACTGAGAATTCTTTCTTTCATATTTTTGATAAAAATTTGGCGACGATATTAAGAGGAGCCTTTCATCATATAGTAAAAGGGCGGTTTCCTGAATCTAGTTTTTTTTCCTCTCAGACAGTATCATACTTGGATTTTTCTTTTATATTACGATAGACTACTAGTAACTATGTACTACCTGAAGAAGTTGAACAAATAAATATAGCCGGATTTTCTATGATATCAGATATGCTTCCACTTACGATTCCACTTTGATATCGCAATCTAAAGCACTACAAGATTGATGGTGACAGGGAATAGGTGTCCCAAGATCCTAGAGAATGGTGCTTTTTGGCATCTAGAACATGGAACGTTTTCCCATCTTAATCGTCCTTCATGTACTTGTCCTTATATATCCTAGAAAGACCATGAGAAAAAAGCAAGGTATTGTCAGCCTCACGCACGATCAGGTTATCGTATCAAAAGAAGGATAGTGAAAAAGCATAGGCAGGAATGAAGCGAGAAAGCCACTTGTGGCCCTCCCTCACAACAAAGTCACTCAGCAAGGTCACCCAGGTTTCCCGAAACAAGTGGCGATCCCAGTCGAAACGCTAAAAAAATAGCAGCGACCAAAAGAGAATAGGAGGGAAAATATTGACCAGCATGTGTAGTAGCAACAATTAAGGCCATGGGGGATGACGGAATGCATTCTTACCAACTGTTACCGAGAATCTTGTTGCCTTGCTTTTCAGCCATGCGGTAGAATTTTGCAGCTTTGTACTAGAATAGAGTGTGAAACCGAGACCGGGGGTGAACCCGGTCGATTTTCTTTGCGTCAGCCTAAGTCTAGGAAGCCTTATTTCTTTTACAAGCAGCGATCAGGGTAAAAAAAAAGAACCTCTTTCCCCATCTTCCGAGAGAAAGTACCGACATGCCGATATATGCCCGGGGTATGGGAATCCCCGAATGGAGGTTTGAGGTTTATACGTAGATCATAGATACTGGGAGTGAAGAGCGATTATCAGGTACTGACCTTATCCTTCTTACATCCAAATCCCTCCACATAGCACCACGCGACCTCATTCTGTGCGTCCGCGTCGCCCAGGTTTGCTGCAGTCTCGTAGTATTCCCTTGCGGCAACGGGATCCTTCTCCACACCCCAGGCGTGACGGAAGCAATTGCCAAGCTCGAATATGGCAAGCACCAGCTCTCCCTTCGCGGAGCCGCCCTTCTTCATCCCGGCGGCGAGTGCTTGCTCTTCGACGGCGGCCGAGTTACGAGCGGCGGCCTGAAGGTAAGTGAGTGCCCTGGGAAGGTCTACGTCGATACCCCATCCGTGTCTAAACATCACATATTAGTGGACCCAGCCCTTGACCTCGAAACTCCTGGCAACCCCCGACTGGCAGAACTTTTGAATCATGAATCATGATATGGTGATAGCGATGGAAACAATAGAGGGTGATCGAACCTTAAAGCTAATCCATAGAGAACCTGGCTCAATGGGTTATTCTGCTCGGCGAGCTTGCCGAACATTCGAGTTGATCTAGCTAGCTCTGGATAGGTTCAAAATAGCTGTCAGTCCTGTCCGTTCACCGCAAGCTTACATATTGCTTGTCCAACCCATTCCCTTCTATTTATCGACCGACCATGGACCTTAGGAACCTAACAGAATACAATGAAACCCACCTACGTACCTCCGGCTTCATGAAGTCGTATGGCTTCCTGAATATTATCCTGTTCGTCCGATTTCACCATCAGAATCGGCCATCAACGATCATCATCGAAGATCACTTACATCAGTATCTACGGTGCTGACGACGCTCGTGCTCCTCTTACGTCCGCCGCTGTCTTCTGCTCCAAGATGTCCCCCAAGATGCCCAACGCCGTTTACAGAGCTCGGCTGTCCCCCGGACGCCAGGAGGGCTGCTCTGTGTTCCCACTGATCTTCGCCAGCGCCTTTCTCGAGGCTTGGTAAATTTACAGGGACATGAGCCGAGGATCTTGAACGGGGTCGGCCAAAGCTATGGATATGGAAGGAATCTCTGAAACGGTCGGATAAGGGTGACTTTGGCCGAACTCTATCAAGGGACAATCTTTCGTTTACCGGGCTTGAACGTGGTTGTCCATCAGGAAAGTCCGGAGTCATGAGGATAGCATTTTGAGACAACTGAAGCTCTGTATTAGCTCAAGATATTCCCTTCGTCTGATAACTTTGATAAGAAACGCAGAGGGGAACAGGGGATGTGTTGGGTGGAGGGGGGAACTTGCAGTATCACTCCGCATGAGTGTGATTTCGGGAGTTGATCGCGTGTCCAGCGGGGGTCCTTTCATATTTTTCTCCTCTCTCTTGAACATACTCTTAAACTCAGTTAAAGGCATGGCGTTTTGCTGATCTGTAGGGTCCTGTTGGTGTTTCTTCGTGTTTACCTCGTGACAGGGACAGTGTTTGGAGCTCGTTTAGGTGTATGAGGGGTTATCTTTTCTTGATGCGGTTACCAGAAGCTCTGGTGATTAATGCAGGTGAGTATCTGTGAGCAGTAAGCTATGCTGCTGCTATCCGTGACGACGATTGATTTATTTGGTTTGGTATAAGAATCTTTTCGAGAGAAAAGAGTTGTGATGAAGCGGTTATTAAATGTGCATATATAGTCCAAGTCGCCTCCCTTCTACGCCATGATATCTCATCGCTCGGCCCCAAGGAATGTTTGTACATCGAGAAGTCCGTGAATAGGGAAATTATATGGTGTTGCAGATCGGTGGAGAGTGGGAGGGGGGGATGAGCAGCTAAGCCACACTCAGTCAAGTAGTTACCGAACCCGACAGGCTTAATTAATACATGTACCGTACATAAAGTAAAGCTGACCGTGTCTTAAAATACACACTTCGCGCTTACCAAGGTTGCTTGTTACCAGGCCGCTGGTTTTCCTCAGCCCAGAAATGTCATTCGGAAACTTCCGTCTTCGCAAATGAGGAACATGCACACAGATGTATCTAGCAGCATTTGTTTTGACAATAGACACAATGCGTAGTCTTTCTTCTCCGATCGTCAGAGCTATACATACATGTACATACGTACATACATAGATACAAATACAGAAAATTAGGATAGGGAAGGAAGGAAAGAGAAAGAACAAAAAACGACATGGCTCAAAGAGTAATGAACGTCGAGTGTGCACGCGGATATTCGGGCCGCCTAGAAAGTAAAGAAATATAATAGTAACAATAAAAATGGGTACCAAAGCATGACTTGTGACGCCTGGTCCCATTGCAACGCTTGTCCCCGCAATCTGCCATACAATCAAATCAATCGCTGTACATACCAGTTCCAACCTCTTCGCCTTATTTTCTCCTTGCAGAAACATGATAAATAAAATCTGCCAGAAAGTTCCTCATAGCTCATGTAAACACCAAGAGAAGGGAAACAGCAACAAACAAACGCCTTTCTAAAGCTTTATAAATAAAGTTCATGAAATAGAATATAGACTCCACACACACACACACACACAAACACAAATACACACTGACGCGCTATTAAAAAAAATATCCATCAACCCAACCATAAAGTACTACTCCTCAGGGGTGTTGCTTCGACTCGAACCAAGGAAATGCGACTGATCTATCTTCATAATCCACTCGATCATATCTCTTTCATCTTTTGCCGCAAAGAGATATGTGTTGAGTGGTGCATAAACTGCAAATACATGCGGCCTCCGCAATAATTTTGCTACTTGTGGCTGATGGTCAATTCGGCAGTGGCTGAGGTTGACCGCCATGATCTCCTGGCCATCAGGTACCCTAAACATGTGCATGTATGGTCGTCGCAGCTCGAAATATCTCTTCGTCCAAGCCTTGTTAGTTTCGTCCAGCGTCCACAGATACCCGGACTTAAGCATTGGTGTACTACAACAGCGTCAGAAAGTTTCAATTATACGATATACTAGTCTCGATACATACCTTCTAGGAATCTGCCGAACTTCAGCAATCAACCTAGGCGGCTCTGCCTCAGTTGCTTCCGCAAAGCAGGCACCATTTTGCGGAGGCTCGGTATTTCGTCTCACGAGGATCCTCTACATACCCGTTAGCACGTTACATAGAGATGACTAGCGTATTGCGGTAACCCACTTCACTTGGGTCCTTCCCGGAGGTCCAAAGCTTTACGAACTTTCGTAGCACAGTGATCTGCGGGTCTTCCTCTAGGATTGGCATGATGCTTGAAACCGTTGACGTCTCCCGTGTCATTATCTCAGCTGTTACGATTTGCTCGAGTGGCTCAAAGGTTTTAACTGTCCCGGCTGTTTCGATTTTGGTAGCAGAAGGTTCCTGCGCCTCCCCTTTAAGTTTACCGTTTTCTTTAGATGCGGACCTCTCCAAATCCAAACTTGTTATACCCTCATCCACGAGGATGCTCTCCTGCAGACCGTTTACACCAGTCACACCAAGTCCAAGCCCAACATTTTCAGGTTGCATGACCTCTTCCATCGATACCGATACGGGATTTAAAGTTAATGGAGACCCGTTCCTAGTAACAGGTAGCGACCCCAAGAACCCTTTCGCATTCTCCACTTCTGCGACCCTTATCCTTCTCTTTCGTGCCCTTAAAAAGTCTCTGACAAGACTCACACCTCGAGGCGTCCATGGGCCAAGATTTTCCTCGCCCTTAACATATCTATGTAGTGTATTCATTCTCCATAGGTCCCCCGCCCTCCTTGCTACAGCAGGTCGGATAACAAGTTGAAATAAACCCACACTCACATGTATGATCCTGCTGTTATTCCACATCTGCAAGAATTTGCTTGGGGTTTTGACGACCCTAGGCTGTACTTGCGAGTAGATATCTTGTGAAAACGCGATTGGTTCCGACAGCCTATCCGATGTAATGTTCCACCGCAGACTCATCTGAACGCGGTACTTATCAGCAGTAGTCCGGTCTAATAGTATCGAATTGTGTAGACTGGAGTCCCATTGTGCGACAACCGTGACCGTACTTGTCCCGTCCGCGTTGGTTTTTACTACAGGGCCCAAGACAGGATTGAGCCTTATTTCTCGAGTGGTTGAAGAAAGATCAGGGATTTTGCCTCTAGGATCTAATAAACGGACTTGGCCCATCCGAATATGCGTGATGTCACGCCACTGCAATGCGTCTCTTGAACTGTGCGTGAGGCTAAGTTGCACCCTACGCTGCAGGCCCTGCCGGAGCTGGAATGATCCGGGGTCAATATCAGACTGCTGCGACACCTCTACTGGCAGATACTCCCCCGTTTCAGAGAGCTCCAGTATTTGCACCGTCGAAAACACATCATGCCGTTCTTCTGTGTAGAACTCGGTTTCGTTTAGGCGTGCGCCCCTCTTCTTCTTTGGCGAAATTGGCTTGTTGTCCCTCATATCATCCCAGCTGATGAGCTTTTCGAGGTGCATCTGCATTATTTTTGCGAAGATAGCTACCCGTAACGTTGCATTCCTTAGCGGAGTTCCTAACGGAATACTCATACTATGGGTGCTATGAAATTTGACCGGGCCTTCATCAAAGTCGGATACAACAGTGGTCGCAGTAGCACCGCTCTCATCAGAGACTCCAGGGATAAACATCTGCGCGTGAACTGATGTTCCCTCCCGTTCAGCAAACCCGACCATTTCCCGCATAACGACATTGAATTTTAGAGTAGATGAGGGGGCTTCTGCAGAGGATGGCTCCAAAGCGAGCTTAATCATGCCAACCACGCTGGCAGTGTGGGGCGAAGTAACGTCTAGGACAAATTCTTGAGACCGCGACTCGAAAATTGCTGTGAGTGGTACATCAACATCCCCTATCAACGAATATTGTGGAAGAATAGGTTCTGAAAAAGGATCGTCGAGTCGGAGGTGCTTTATAGAGAGTTAGTTGGATATGTATATATGTGGGGGTTTGGAGAAATTCACCTGTAAATATTCTGGTCGATCTATGTACTGATAAATCTGCCTCATTTGACGTACACGGGTTTGAAGTTTTTCCAGGGACCAAAGATGTACTACTGCGTTTTGAAAATCCATCACTCTCACCCCAACACAGGGCTTGCGTGCCATGTCTAGAAACTCATCGTCTTCTGCTGATATCCCATTAAGTACTAGATCATAGCTTGACTGAAATGTGTGTCCCTCGTCCACGATTGTAAATTGGAACACAACATTCTTTTCCATTTCATTGCTCATAATCTGTGCCTCCTTCAGAGTAGCAGCATGCTGCAAAATTGCCTCGGCCATACGAACATATCTCCGTTGTCGCCAATGATCGACGGTTTGCTTCGCGAGACTCTTCTCCTGGCCCGTTAAATCCTCTGGATCTTTGTTTTTCGGGGGAGAAAGACTAATCTCCTCGAGTCTGCTTTCAAACTCCTGTCGCTGCTTTTCTAACTCTTGTCGCATCTCTTGTTTGGCCGAATCCAGCCTTTCCTGCATCTTTGTTCTTTCTGCTTTGATCTCCTCGAATTCAACATTAGCTTCTTCTGCAGCCTTCAACTTCTCTTGATACTCCTCTTTTTGCCTTTCCAGTTGCTCTTGCATTTCCTCTTTCACCATCCTGAGCCTATCCTCAGCTTCCCCTGGAGTTCCAGGCATCGTGATCATCGTGTCAAGTGAAAGATCGTCTAAGGTACCCATCGAAGTGTATTTCTCTCGGCTGCCAGGGTATGACATTACTGACTCCGTCTCATCATCGATTGAATCCAGCCGACTATCTGGTCGCCCCTTCCGAATCATCTTTACCCTCTGCATTTCCTCCAATAATACATCCAACTCATCATCCGTTAGATTGGTTATCCTCGAGTTTTCTCCTAGTAATGCAGAAGCAGCCTCTCTTCTTGCAAATGACCAGTCGATATCCCTACTATTTGCAGGGATGTGTGACGGTGAGTCTGGTCGGCTACTACCATTTGTCTCTGATTCAATCCTTTCCATCATATCAGCAGTTATCCCATTGCTCGATGAGTGTCGATGGTCGGGGGATTGTGCCCCAGCGTTCATGGTAGCAGACTGTCGTAGTTTATCCCTTTCTGCACGTGCTTCCTGCGGGTGGTTAAATCGAAATATGTGAAAGTCCCTAAGATAATACGATATCCTGTTCGTAGCCTTCGAGGTGCATCTATTCGCAGACCGTTGACCATCACTGCTGCCCCTTCGTTCGGTATTAATGTAACCACTCCATTCTCATTCTCAAAACGGCAGTGATCCATGAGAATCTTAGAGCCGTTGAGCCGCATCTGCGCAGTTTGTGAGGTTTCAACGTTTCCAACAGTGGTTGTCCCTGCCTTAATATTATATACAAGGCACTCAGCGAGTAGGGGGTCATCACTAGCTTGCGTGAGCCATAATTTTTAATCGATATATAATTAGGATATAGGAGCCGAACCTCAGATTAACAAGATGTGGTATCCTTTTTGGTGTTGATAGGCCAACAAACCCCTTTTCTATACTAATTCCCAATTCCTCCAACGCCGCCTCGCGCTCCTTGTGGACAAGCTGTGTCTTCTCCATTCTTTGTTCCCATGTTTGATTGAGATCTCCCAGAAGCTTTTCAGAAGCAGTCAACTGTTCTGCAATTTCTGCCTTGGAAACCTTCTTTACCACTCCATCGGGGGTCGTGATCGTAACCATTTGTTTTTCCAGTGGTGTGTCTGGGGCATACCTCTCCTCCTCTGGTAAACTTCCACCGCCTGATAATTTTGATCTCAACTGCTGAAGCTCTTCCTTCAACTCCCGAATCATTTTTGCGTTCGGATCCTCATTGACAACGGCATGATTCTTGATCCGCTTTGCTGAGTCGGCATATCTTAGTGTCGATAATGTCTCGTCGAAGTTTATATCAGCCGGTGAGATGGCTGCAATCATAGCTGTCATACTATTACCTCCCAGTGAATCCTTCAATAACCATGTCAAAATCGAGTCTCTATATGGAACCATATTTGCATTCTTTTTCTTCCCAGTTGATAGATCTGCCAAAGCCGCAATGACACGGCCCAAAGTTGATAAAGACCTATTAATTTCTGCTCCCTCCTTTAACCTAGCCCCGGTAGCCCCGGTAGATTGTGCCCTCTCAGATCCTGCCAAATCAACCAGACTTATTCTCGATACCTTTTCAGAATCGAATCCAGTCTCAGTATCGTGAATTTTTTGCGATAATATAATTGTAAAGACGGCGTGGGAACGCGAGGATGTTTCGTTCATGTTGGTCGCCGCAACTGTTCGTGCTTTGTTGCCCTCGTCCATAAGGTTCTCAATTTCAGCGAAATTGTTAACTATCAATTTTGCAAGATCTTCAACGTAAGGTCCTAAAGCTGGATGCTCTCTGACTTTCAGATTCCCTTTAGTGGATGGATTTAATAAATCACGAACACGCTCGTTATAAATTTCTAAGTACGAAACTTCAACGGTGCATTTCAAGTTCGGATCTGCTTGCATGGCATCACTGTGGCGAGTAATGTTAGTCGGTCATCATATAATATGTTAATACAACTTACATTCGCTCAAACATATGCTGGCAAATCTTTGGGATAACACCATACTCCTCTCCGTATCCCATCTACCAAACCACAACCTATTAGTATCAACTCCAAAGTTTTGTCCAAATCCCCCCCCCCAACTCCCCTCTCCAAGTGATAGAAACCACAACTCGTACCATAGAATATGATTTCCCGGAACCTGTCTGGCCATAAGCAAAGATACAGTTATTATAACCCCCAAACGCATTATCCAGTAATGGTCTTCCGAGGTCGTCAAAAAGATTCTCCTGGCCCGCTAAACCGGCCGTCAGCATCAAATCCCATCGAACTAGCCCATCCCGAGATACCCACCGTATGGACAATCAGGGTCGTCTTTTGAAAAACTCCAGTAACTCCGGTCGAAATTAAACGTCTTGGGGCCGCCATGATCTTTCGACCCTTTACCCGCAGTCTTTTCCGCACCAGGCGGCGGTAATAAAACCGTTTGGCTGTCTTTCATCTGAACAATACATTTTGCGCCTCTGTCTCTCTCTATTCAACGAGTTCCACCGGAGCATCAGCCGCAGTCCTCCTAGGTATTAAGCGGTGACAAGCAAGTACCTCTGCTATTGAACGGCCGCACACGCACCACCACCTTAATATTCGCCCCCATTCTTGCGGTCGTTGACCGGATCCCAAAATTCCCCCGTTCCACTTCTTCAGTCCCTTATCCCCAGTTAACCTAGAGTAGTTTGATAGTACAGATACAGATGGAGATAGCAGAAAGCTTCGGGTTTGGCGGGACCTAAGAACGTTGAATGCGTTAACTGTCAACTGTCAATTTTGAGGTCTTTGAGTAAACGTTCTTATAAGGGATAGTAGAGAAGGAGCGGCAAACCGTAACGCGTCGGAATATTAATAGCACGCACCGTGCCCAGTGATGTAAAGAAGCCCGTGTATCTTTGCGGGCAAGAATAGTTCAACTGATCTAGTAAACGGGGGGTTGACTGTTGACTATGCTGGGGCGAAACCTAGGAGATTTGAGACCCTGAGATGGAGTGCAAGGGGCGCGGGTCTTGGCAAGATGACCTACCTACACCAGATGAGCAAGCATGAACTGTCGTGGTGGCTTAGAGCCATCAACAGCAACTCTGCCACAGCTACACTTCATCAAAGAACTAAACAATCCACACAATGGTATACCTCTCTCGAAGTGGAGAAAGGGAAAGGGGATTCCGAGGACGATGTGCTAATCTACAATTCTGCAGTCTGCCCAAAATTCAGCTGGAATACAGACCCTCCTCGATGTACGAACACCCACTAGCTCCAGGGAATAATACTGATGAACATGTAGGCCGAGAGAGAGGCACAAAAGATCGTCCAAAAAGGTACGAAGCTATTCCACTCAGCTATCATATAGAAAGCTCAACGCTGACTGTCTACCTAGCAAGAACTTGTGTGTAACCTTAAGAGACCCCGCCCTCTACCCCTCAGCAGTATCTAACACCTACAATCTCCCATTCAGACCGCACACAGAAAGTGAAAGATGCTCGCAGTGAAGCTCAAAAGGAAATCGATGAGTACAAGAAGCAGAAGGAAGCAGAATTTGCAAAATTTGAATCCGAGGTTTGTTTCTTATCTACACACGGCTCTACGAAACCTCGGGTGGTGCCCACTAACTCATAATAGCACACTGGGGTCAACGCAAGGGCCGAGGAAGAGGCAACTAAAGAAGTCGAGGAGAAGCTGAAGGAAATTGAAGCGGCCAAGGGGGAGAAAGGCCCCCAAGTCATCGAGGAACTATTGAAAGCTGTCACGGACATTAAGCCGGAACCGCATCGTAACGCTGCTGTCACTCCTGTTTGAGCCTCTTTATGTCCTCAATATTAGACTTGCATGGACGAGAACTCGCGAGCACACCTCGTCGCCTCAATCAACCATATATTTCTTTAAAAACATACTAAACTCTACTACTTTGCCGCAATTGTCTTCAACAATATCCTTACCATTCCTCTGAAACATGAAAATAGCTGTTAGGTCTTTAATTCACTTGGTTAAACGAATCATCCCAGGAGCACATATACATATACATATACACGCTAGCCAAAGGCTTTCGGTAAAAGCTGTGAATTCAGTGCAACTAGGTGAACAAAACTAGGCATCATACGAACCTATTTCCTTTTATTATTTTCTTGCCCCTGAATTTTGAATTTTGTGTGAGGTATTCAGGTTTATTATCTGTCTGGCTTCACTGAATTTATAATTTTGGTGGACGATAGTATCCTGACCCGTGGACTGTCGAGGTATTGACGTGCCCAGGTGTTCGAAAGCGATATCTATCACAACATGCACTCCCTATATTCACTCCAAGTACAGAATTCCGCGCCATGTATAAGCATAAATTTGGTGGTATTTTAATACAAGACATCTAAGTACTTTCCAGGCAAGAAGCCAAGTACCGCGAAGGAGGGTTCAGTCGCCGTGACGGTCCAGTTATCGTTTTTCTTGGCAACGACATTCTGAGAGAGTGATCTACGAAGTTTTCATTTTGAGAAAAACAGCGGCCGGACCATCACGGCGACTGGACCTCCTTTGCGGTACTATGAGGCAGCAATAATGATCCAGCTTCCAGAAAAATAATACTAATAACAGACCTTTTTTCTCTCATTATGAAAGGAATCTGCACTCATATTGGCCTTGAGATAGACTCATATGAGAAATCACCGAATGAATGCGCATCATCTTCCAACTCCTTGGTAGTTGATTTCAAACCTCTAATTCTAGATACATATTGTAGATACGATTACGAAGACCTTGAAATTTCAAACTATCTAGGCCCGTAAGTGCTCAGATAGCCATTCGAAGATAGCCCGACCGATCTATACAGTTGAAATATTATCATGTACTAAGTGTAGGTATACATGTAGTTTTTAGATATAGATCGCTGTCTTTGCGCCAAAATCGACCGACCACTTAAGCTTCAACTGTTTCCCAAAACCGTGCATGAAACCCTCGATTGGGATAGAATGATGTGCTACTTAAGAACTAGAGTCTACATGCACCAAAAAGTATACATTTCAATACAAAGTACATGTACCTCCACTCATCAAATGCATGTATTTAACGAGTTATTTGGCTTTCAATTCGTAGATTTTGAGATTTGAGCAGATTTTGCCAAGACACATACAATTCGAAGCATACATATTAGCACATTTTCTAAGAACAAAATGCTCTACAGTGGTTAGTGCAAAATTCTAACGTTACATCTCGATATTTTTTCCTGATTTTCAAATTGCACCATACTGAACGTCGCAAATAATATATTCGGATTATTGGCTGTACTTTACACCCATTCGAAAAGGGGGATAATTACATGTAACTCCGTATATTACCAGAAATACCGCAAAGGAGCTATAGATATAGATATCACTACCGCAGTCAAGCAGCACGCTGATGAATCCCGCCAACCCTTCTACCACCTAATCAACCAGCCAAGTACGTTTAGCAACTTAAGATCGTGCACGGTCCTCCATCCTTAGTCTGCCCCGCATCCCACTAAATATATCTCAGAGTACATATGTACATATCTCAGAGTACCTACTCGTAGTTTTTTGACGTTTCCGGACGCGACCACTATTGCATGCCATACAAAAGATAGCCTTGGCGATTTTTTTCTGTGTATGCAATAGCAGTTGCGTCCGGAAACGCTATGAAATTGCGAGTACATGTAGCTGGCCACAAAGTTCTCGGCGGCCGGAAGAACTCCTGAATGGCCAGAAAGATATTGTCTGCCACAACAAGCCACAACTAAATACACCCCAGGACACTAAAACAGAGGAGTGGATACTAGAGCATGTACAGCGACCGGAATGATCTATGGAAAAACAGGGTGGTGAAATTGTATGGCGAAATATCTGTGCACCATATAACTGTTTTTTCCATAGATCATTCCTATCGCTGTATGTACCTACATACATGTAATGACACCAACGCTCCTCGCTACTCGATCCATTAAAGATACCCGAGTGGCTGAATAGTAGGCTGTGACGTCATTATTCTAGTCGAAAGATACATGTAAATACATGTAAGCTTTCACTGTGGACAGAAATTTTAAGAAACCACATGAATCCAGCCTGCTTTTAAGCAGGTTCTCACTTGAATTTGTACAGCATATAAATATAACCACCTCGTAATTTATCCCAACAAAATCATCCCGGTATGTAAAAAGACCAACTATAAAAAAACCGATTGACAAGAATCGCCCAAAAATAAAACACAAACAAAATATTATCAAACAGTAACAGGAAGGAACACCAATATGAAGAATAAAAAGAGAAAAGAGAAAGAAAAAACTCCCGCCATCATTTCGTCAAGATGAAAACTATTTCCCTCAAAATATGTTATAGTTGAAGTCGTCCATAATTCCACAAACCGGACTAACTAGTTTACTCGAATAGCAGGCAATTCAACACCCTCTTGATTCAGTGGCTTATTCCATCCTTAACTTTCTTACCTTCTCGATCTCAGAACTCTTCCCCCACTTGAGGACGCACTCGCATCCCTCTTGGTAGCTTTTATTATAGAGCCCACTTCCTTCTTTATACCTTCAACTCGATTTTCCTTTAAGCTACCGTTACTTCCCGTAGCTTTCACGCCACCCCGTCTCAACCCTGAACCCGTGGAAGCTACCGCCGCATTTTTGGGTTTACTCTGCGAACCTTTTGTCCCGCGATTCACGGCACCTTGACCAACTTCCGCGCTAGTGAAAGTAGCATCTAAGGATGAGCGAGTCGTTGCACGGGAAGAAGATCGACTGGAGGATGCTATTGAGGGAGGGCTGGAGGGTATATTTCTTATAACCCGCGCTGGTGCCTTAGAGGTTGCATTTTTATTAGTCTTGGTGGAAGAAGTCGGGTGAGTAGATGCTGAGGGAAGACTGGGTTTTGAAGGCGATAGGGCGAGAAGGCGGGATGTATTTGCAGTAGCAGGAATAGGTGGTGGTGGCATTTGTTCCCGGGCAGAAACTACTGCAGAGGTATTCTTAGTGACCCTTTTCTTCTGGACCACAAGGCGTGTTGACTGGGGACCTCCTACTTCTTCTTCTCCCCCGCTATTGAAGATACACTTAGTAACGGTACGACTACAAGAGGATATAGTTATAAAACCTCAGCCTCTTCACATCCTCCACAAATTCTTTGACCGCCGCAGAGTTCAGTTTAGCTGACACTAGTCCATCAGCAACAGCAATGGGTCCATGTTGTGCGAGTAATTCCCCCATTGTGACATCCCATAGTTTCTTTGGTACTCTATTGATGCGCATTTCGATCCTTTGTTTGAGGGCCTGCGCTTGCATCGCACATTGGGAACGAAGTTTCTTGGCTCGCTCAGTTACTATACAAGTTAGACAGCCTTTCGAGGTTTCATGCATATAATGTCCCACAAACGTACACTCTAGGTCAAGATTTTCTATTAAAACCGTTTTCTGGTTCTTTGTAACTCCAGCAAGACGTACCTGGCGCAAAGGCGACTTCATGGGTGTCTTTGCGGTCACTTGCCGTGAGGGTGATAGCTGTGGAATTGATAATGGCGAGGCAGAAGCTGTGGGTGAAGCGCCCTTCTTGCGGCGGAGTGGAGCCATTTTTCTAGAACACTTTCCCTTGTAATATCTTCTAATACCGCAGATTCTAGGTCCTTTTCCTGTATCTGGATGAAGCCGGATGAACGCGTAATTGTTGGCCAAGTATAGAGTGTAGTTGATTAGGATGTCGCGTTCTGAATAAACAAACACGACAAAGAAGCCTGCTAACAATGCTTGGCACATGGCCGGGTAATCGACTTCACGATTGTAAGTTGAAGGTGGGTTGCGCTTTGCACCTCCGGATAGCTTACTCTAGCGTTCGACCCCCCTCCATCACCACAACCACAACCATTGCCATCATCGCCATCAACTCAAATTACAACCCAGTATCGTCTTCATCTACACCATCTCTCTTTATATAATTCATATCCAATACAGCTTTAACCATGGTTCTGGAGGCTACTATGATCATGTACGCCTTCCTTGGATGTGTTGAACTTTGTTTCAGAAGCTTACTAACAACATATAGAATCGACAATAGCGAAAGTAGTAGAAATGGAGACTATTCGTATGTTTTATACCGTTCTCTGGATTGTTCGAATCAATGTAGAGCTTGTGGCTGATAAAATACCTGAACCAGACCAACCCGTTTCGGAGCTCAAGCTGATGCTGTCACACTCATTTTTGAGGCCAAAACCCAAGCAAATCCTGAATCTTCAGTCGGACTGATGACGATGGGTGGAAAAGGCCCGGAGGTGTTGGTTACGCTCACAACGGATGTTGGGAAGATATTGACTGGAATACATGATACCAAGATAAAAGGAGGAACTCATTTGACTACTGGGATTCAGGTAGCAGGGGTAAGTCAAATATATACCCTTAAAGGTCCTCGATATAGGGCATAATATGTATTTATTGCATGTAATGTGAACCTGGTGCCGAGGAACCTCGGTAGCAAGTATGCTGACTTCAGAGTTTACAGCTTGCGCTGAAGCACCGCCAAAACAAATCGCAACGTCAACGTATCATTGTTTTTGTCGGATCGCCCATCACCGAAGATGAAAAGACACTTGTCAAGCTTGCCAAGAAGATGAAAAAGAACAATATTGCGATAGACTTTATCAACTTTGGAGAGGTCGATTCAGAAAATACCACCAAACTTCAAGCCTTCGTTGATGCCATCAACTCTAATGATAATTCTCACCTCGCTACAATTCCTCCGGGACCTCATCTTCTCTCGGACCTTCTTGTTACTACTCCGATCTTGGGCGAAGCCGGAAGTGCGCAATCCGGTGGCGTGGGTGGTGAAGGTTCTGGTTCCGGAGAAGGTGCTGGGGCGTTTGAGTTTGGAGTTGATCCTAGCTTGGATCCAGAACTGGCTCTGGCGCTTAGAATGTCTATGGAAGAGGAAAAGGCTAGGCTAGCAAAAGAAGAGAAAGAGAAGGCAGATAAAGAGAAGAAGGAAGGCGAAGGCTCGGGGTTATCGGGAATCAAAGAAGAGGATGAGAGCACACCCTTGTTGAAGGACGACGAGAAAGACGACGGTGAAGGTTCGAGTGGGAATAAGAAAGATGACGATAGAATGGATATCGCATGAGCAACGGCTAGAGTCTTCGCTTTAGGAAGAATTTCGATATATCCGGGTTCCAGTTTGAGGTCAAGGCCAAGGCCAAGGCGCATGTGCAATGTACAGTATCAGCCATTAGACCATCGTCTTCTTGATCCTAATTCCTATCAAGCATCATTAGCATCAGATCCCTGCTCTTCTTTATGTCTATGCCTAAATAAGTGTAGAAGAAAAGCTAAATTTTTAAGCAGCCCTCTGGAGATAAAGCATTGTATCAGATGCGGGTAAATCCCCAATGATTTTTCTTTTTTCTATGTCAAACCTCTCCGCAAAGGAAAATAAGTTTGATTTTAGGTCATGTCTTCAATATATTCCCGGAGCTAATAGCCGCCCAGCTGACCGCGATGACCCCATCTAAACTGGGACTGGGACTTCCGACTTTTTCCATAATGAAGCATACTGCGTGACTATCTGGGCCATTTTATGCGGCAGTGGTGCCACAACAATTAGCTTTTATACCTGTAGTGTTTGGGTCCCCAACAATTAACGGATAGGAAAGAATAGTTATATCCAGGCACTACAGCCAACGCGAGGCAGCGATACCCCCGTTGGCCATCGGCGAAGCGGGGGCGGCGTAAATTTTTTTTTTTTTTTGGTAGAGTAGGTACATGTACGTACTGTACCGCAGGTACTCTACTCTAGAGTACTCCACATACTCTAGGTACGTACATGTAATTACATGTACATATTCCTACATATATTTCACTAGAGCATACTTGTATGTACCTACATGTAGGTACTCTAGCGAGAAGCGTGTAAATCCCAAGTAGGAGGCTAAGGCCGTTATTGAGGTATCATGCTGGTGCTGTGGATAGAGTACTCGTATTTTCGTGACGTTTGTAAAAGGAACCGCTATTGCATACCATACTAAATTGTGGACTTGGCGCGTATTTGTATGGTATGCACTACTATGCAATAGTGGTTCCTTTTACAAACGTCACGAAAGTACGAGTAGAGTACATACATACCTACAGGTACATATGCGTACTCGTATTTCTCTGACGTTTGTGGACGCGACTGATATTGCATGCCATACAAAAATACGCCAAGCTCATGGTTTTGGGTGTATGCAATAATGGCCCAGTTCAAAAACGTCAGCGAAATACTTGCACTATCTTTTTTCTTTTTCTCTTTCTTTTCGTCCGAATCTGTGCTACGATAAGGAACTCGGTATATTTATTTTTCTGACGCTTTATAAACCCCAGGTGCGCGTAGATCCTCTTGTGAATTTTTTTAGTGAGTTACGCGCCACGTGAGGACCACAGACGGTAAGGTATCGTGACTTAAGCGCAACCGCGGGACAGTAACAGTTCTATGATTGACTTTGGACTAGACTAGTATGTACATACAAGAAAACAACATAGATAACCATCACAAACTGAGCTCTAGAGTTCTGTATACTCTTCTTTTCTTTCTAATGTGCTACAATTCTTCGGCGACACGCACATCCTCTTTGTTACCTTGTCGATAATAATTATAGGTCCATAGCTATATATATATATTTGCTAGCACCTCACCCAGATGAGCTTATACTCTGCTACCTAACATGGTTATAGTGACAGATAATATTATGACGTCATTGCAGAACCGGTAGAACGCCGTTCGAAGAGATATTTCGAGGATCATTATTATCCGGTCCCGGTCATCTCTGAAAGGCTACGTCTACAAAACTTCTGGAACTCGAAATACTCGATACAGCCCTGGTACCGTTGAGAATTTCAACTCTGGTTCGCAGATCCTATTGCACATTAAATTAATATAATAACATTTACGACAAGGATGGTACGTTATAGGGCAAGATATCGAAACGTTTCCTCGTGATCAGGCAACGTGAAAATACATACATACAAGTACATGTATGTACTACCGCGGTATACCAAAGTACATGTAATCCTTGTGACACCGGCGGCCGAAATTCCGTAAAACTTAGGAGACCGAGGTATCACCTAAGGGGATTGTGATGGTATGTTATTTGACCCACGTTTCCGACGGATTTCAAGATCTTTTAGACTAAACCCCATATCACGTGCCGTAAAATTCAGGAAAGCTTTCTGTAAAAAAAAAAAAGAATCGATACATAAGTACAATGCAATCGTTACGAGAAGAAGCATCTGAGCGGAAGCTAATACCTTGCCGGGAGCACTGGCTGAAATCACCTTGCCTTAAGAATTAATTATCAAATCCGCTAAACATCAATCCCTTTCCTGGTGATTTGCTGAGACCATCCCAACTCAGAAGGGGTCAGAGCAAAATACTGTTGAGATCTCAACCGCATGAGAAAGGCAAAATTCATGATGCCAAAGGAGGCTGTGATGACAATCTGTAGATGTATGTACTAGCCGTAGGGCATGTAGCAGATAAATGATTGTGATAAAGTTCGTCCGAGAATGCTGTGATATTGAATCGTACTAGGAAGCGAGGCTGTTTGAGACTACTGTGAGTTGCATCGGTTGAGGAGAGCCCCACTATGGAGGATAAGGGCTTTTAGTGCTACAAGGTTGAAATGCGGCCACGAACGTGCGCATTATTGTTCGGAGCTACATGTAACTAATGGTGCTGTTGCAAAGGCCTTGGCATCATTGACACCTCACTAGGCAAGTACATGTAATATCGTAAAAATCTTGTTACAAGACTCCAAGACGTATCTACACGATACTCACATCGCACGATGATAACTAAGTGCAATTGTCAAGGGTCGGGGCTGATAAAGTGAAAAAAATCTACATGTTCATGTTTCCCCCGCCTTCGAGTTTTAGTAATTGTAGACACATAGGGTATGCCGCACCGGCCTGTAACTTATCTAATGTTTGAAGAGAGATATGTAACTTCGACGATCAATACTGTACTCGAGGGGGATGCAGTACTGCCTTGGATCCCAATTGTAACAGTCCACATAAATTTTAGGAAAAAATAATTCGCTCGCCTAAGAAAGGTGACGGTTGAGTTTACTGCGTCAGCTGCAATGCAACTGATCATACTCTACTCCTCTTCCCCGGCCCCTTGTAGGAAGTATCAGACGTCTGTAGGTGGATAAACAATTTTTCTATCATTCTTTTAAAACAAAGAAACCAGTAGTAAATTGGGCTACTGAAGCACAGAAGATCATAGCACTAACATACAGGGAAGGCATGATCCCTGACCGTCATCGAAATCGACGAGCTAGCGTTTCAATACAGACATCATGATCATCCCGGACTTTCTGTAACTCTGATACACTTATTGCTTACTGTGCCTTCGAACCATGTCCAGTTATTGCCCCGTTACCAATTGTGTACTTGCCTAGGAATACCTAGGCATGCAAAGTAACTACATGTACCTACTCTACGCCCCCAGTCTCTTGTGGTTTGCCGTCTTTGCATGAGCCGGCCGGCTGTTCCACTGCCTATATGCTGTGCTTTGTACCAACTTATGATAATACGATTTTAAAAAAAAAAAAAAAAAAAAAAACGGCAGATATCACCAATGAGAGTTTATTCAAACCGGCGGAAATAGGCGGAAAGGGAATCAAACAAGTCTTGAGTTTTTTGGAGTTATGAGTAATGGAAACCATAGCTCTCATTAATTCTCGCAGAACACACCCTCTTGGTTTTTTTGAAACCTGTTTCTCGCTTTTTCCCCTTCTCTGAGCTATTCTTTCCCTTCGGGCATTTCTCGATGGGTGTGTGTGATGCGTGTGTACGTGGTCGGAACGATAAGCTTTTTCTTTTTCTTTTGGCCCGTTCTTAGGACGATAAAATCTGAGGCTCAATCTTCCCGGGCGATAACGGGGTAGCAAAAACAGTACCACCGTGAGATCGATATCGGAGGTGAATTTGTATTCAGATACCATCGCCCAAAGAACAACAATAAGAAACTGGACTAGGAAGAAAGAGAGAAAACGGCAGACGGGACTTATGCCGTACCGTGGGCTGTTTCAGCAGGCATTCAGAGGAGTGAGACAACCGAAGAAACATGGTGACATGCGAAGTTTGTTTATCAGAGTCCACCGAGCGGGCACGTGGACATCGCTATGGCAAGACAATTGAAATCAAAAGTGAAGAAAAATTACATGTACCTACATGTAGTACTAAGACGGTACTTCCCAGGTGAATACATATCACTAAACACGCTCACTCGCATCGGACAGGAGAAAAAGAGCATCCCGACAGCTTTCGGGTCTTGCAGTGATCAATCGATTTCGACTCCCTGACCTCAATCCCGTGTTGCTAGTTATACAGTAGATCTTGTCTTCCCGAAAACTAATAATAATAATAATAATAGCAGTAAGAAAGAAATTGTAGTAATGAAAACCTTGCTCGCTTGCTGAAAAACCACTCTCTCAGAAACACCAACATAAACACAAACCAAAATACAAACCAAAGGATATAAGGCGAAAGCAAGAATTCGCTAATAATGATAATAAAGAAAGAAGCGAATGTATACCCCACCCAGTGATAATGAAAACCCCCAGAAACCATAAGAACAGACCCCAATATACCAGAAACCAAAAACCAGAAAGAGACCCATTGTTGACAACCTCTTCGCCGAAATTTTGTTTTTTCCCCAAGATCTTAGAATGTTACTCCATAAATAAAGAAATGGAACGAAAGAAAATAAAAATAAAAAGCCCCAGAAAACCCAGAGGAAACCATCCAAGAGCCATTATAAAGGAAAATCTGCGAAACCGTGACTTTACCAGCTAGTATCTCTCCCAATTTTTTTTTGATAAGTTTTCTCCCATTATATCCTTTTTTTGTCCTTTTTCTCTTTTACCCTTATTTTTCAAGTTTTTTTTTTTTTGGTTTCTTCGCTTTCCATCTTGTCATCGCAGTAAAAGGGTATCGTCCATTTAAGTATTAGCCTGGTCCATCTCGTGTGTCGTGAAGATCTTCGGTCAGGGTATGGTAGTCAAGGGTGCCACGCCCTCATTACCTGGCCCCAATGCTCAATCTGGAGAGAAGTGAAACGGCATAAACAAAAACAAACGCAAGGTACCAAAGCGAATCAGATGAAGGCAAAAGGTAGAAAGGTAAAGAACACTTGGGTTTGAAGTGAGATATCCAAAAAGAAATTAGAAGTCCAAAACTTTGAGGTGAGATATAAGATATAAAACCAGAACCAAATGAATCAACCACTCTGGATACACCAGTGCCCAAAACTCTGTAATCACAACCGCTGATATAAAATTCCTAAACACGCTAAATAAATAAAAATGCAAAACAAAAGAAAATGCCCCAACGAATAGAGAATAGAGAATATCACAGGAAACTTTGGAGCATGTTATACTTGATCCATGTTCAGTGATGGAAAAAAAGGTCTTGCTATGAAAAGTGCTCGTGGAGCTCGTATCGTCATCAACTTCGTGAAAAGGAGTTAAAGAGCTAAATGATGTGCGTCTTGGGGTCGATAGGATAAATATATATTGGGATCTTCGATTTTGCCGAAGGTCTCGAAGGAACATTGAAGTATTTTGGCGAGTTCGTGGATTTAACGCAAATCGTTTTAGATGAACCCCCATCACCGATGGTCTAGTCTTCTTCATCTATACCCCCCAAAACATCATCATCGTCGCTCTCACTCGGCATGTTGGGGAGAGACAATCTACCATTAACTGTTTTTGGCTTTTTTCCAGGAGTGCCAGACGACAAGCCTCCTGGAGCCTTCCTTTTCATCCCACCACTAGTTGGCGTCGTGTTATTTCCAGTTCCAGTCCCCATAGGGTGGGGTTGCCGATTAGGTGTTCGATTCACATTGCTGTTCGGGTTCATTTTGTCCGCCTCTTTACCCTTCACTGCACCAGCTTGCACGTTGTTACTCCCAGCTCCTGACCCAGCATTTACTTCCTCATCCTTCTTTCGTCTCTCCATTTCCGCAACTTCATCTGCAGTCAAGAATCTTCCACCAGGTCCTCTGGGCCGTCTCATTGCATGGTTATGCCGGGATTCATGCAGATATGGTTTTCGTTGCTTCGACGTTAACCTAAGAGCTTCTTCGAGCTTCTGACGAGCAACACGACGCTTCAGTATTCTGTGAAACTGCTTGGCATTAACATAAAGAGGTGATTCTTCCGCCGGCACAAGATCTGGGGACTGTTGGTGAGGTTGTACAGGCGGATGCATTGGTGATTGTTGCACCGGCTGTGTAGGAGCTGGGGGTTGTTGTTGAGGTGGTGGGGGTGGGGGAGCTTGCTGGGTTGCTGGCGGTTGCGGAGGAGCTGAGGTTCTTGTGTTATTTACTGGCTGGGCATGCTGCATAGGAGGAGTCCCAGCGGGAGCTTGATGTTGGCTCATCCTTCGCTGAGGTGCACCCATAGCCTGCTGTTGGGGCACTTGCTGATTCGGAGGTTGTATAGCTTGCTGAGGTCCAGCCTGGTTTGTAGCAGCTACAGCCATTTGTGGAGACCTCTGTGTTCCTTCCCGCTTAACCTTCACTGCTGCGGCATTCATTCTGGGTGATTGTACACTCTGTGGGCCATTTCCCTTGAGATTCATCGCATCACTGGACATATAGTATGTTCCTGTATTTCCCAGGTAGTTTTGGTAATAAGGGTGTCCTTGACCTTGAATTGGAGAATGTTGGTTTCCTGGCGGATGCATACTCGCGTTATTGTGATGAGATCCTCCCCCACCAATCCCACTACCAGTGTTCTGTGGCGAGTATGCTGCTGTAGCATGAAGATGTGATGGATGGGGTTGTGGGGTAAATCTAGCGTATGCTGCATCCATTTTGGAAGAAGGTCTGAATGATGAAGGTCAAAATGCCTCTGAGGATTCTGTGGAAATATTGATGTCTCTTTGAGCTTCCACTCAGTGTTGATATCTTATTTTCTGATGTGACAACTGGATGTTGGCCGAACGATTAAAGTTTGAGGATAGTTGATATTCTGTGTGTCTCGTAAAGCCGTGAATTCCGTAGTAATGTAAGACGCGACGACGCGATATGTCGAATGTTATCTCAAAGACACCACGGTGGGCTCAGAGAAGAATGACTGGATGGGGTAAATGCGGAGAATCTGTCAGGAACGCAACCGTGCGGGAAGAGGCAGCAAGGTCTATAAGCTATAGTAGGCGGCAAGGTAGATAGAGCTTAACTGACAGGTTGTGAACTGATGAGTCTTAAGCTTGAGGCTTTCAGAAAATCCAGCGTGCAAGTAAGTACAACAATGACGGTTCGTCGACTAGTTGTCGCAAGTCAAGTGGCTGGCCGGTCCCAATGTGCAGTAGTGGAGCTTCCCGTCACAAACTACGAAGAACGTGAACCCGGCTGTTGCCTTATTCGTGAACGTCAGAATACTATGTTCTGTAACAGGTTGTTGCCAGCGACTGTGCAAAATCTGCCGTAGAATGTCTCAATTCCAGACAAACCTTCGTTTGGGGTGGGTTTGTTATTTTTAATTTTTTCCTTTCCTCGTTCCAAAAAATTGAGACTCAGAGCAAAGCACGTGTCTGTCTGTTGCGTTGGCCAAATATTTTTGCGGAAAGAAAATTCAAAGGCCGCTGGTAGTGGTGGTGTTGGTGGGGTGTGTGTGCGTGGGTACTTCGTAATGGGATGGGGGGGCAACCTGCAGCTTGAGTGATGTGTTAGTGACTTGGAGTAAAGAGCGCGGGGGAGGCGTTAAAAGGGAAATCGTACTTGAAGAGGCTGATCTTCTACCTAGCCAATTGATGAACAGATTCTGATGGCCGGCGTTGAGTGGTCTTCAAGCGAAAGTACCAGCAAGGAACTGTATGATGATACTGAGATGCCCGAGCGTTTCGCACACAATGTTTCCCCGTTCCAGTGAAAGACCGCTGGGGATAAAGGTACTTTGTAGAGAGTAGTAGTAACGCCTAAATTGTAGAAAAGTATGATGACGATGAAAGTTCCTGTGCCGGATTGGAGGACCTGGAATTGGACGGATTCTAGGGTGAAGACTGCGTAGGGAGTAATAATGGGGAGTTATGATTAGCAACCGTTCTAGCTTGCGATGCGGCAGTGAGGATGCACGCTGATTGGGAGGGTGATGCGCTGGCAGTCGGTCTATGCAGTGCAGAACACGACACTACAACACTGCCGATCTCAACTAACTATCGAATTTTCAAGGGATATTTTATTATAATTTTTTCTCTACCTTTTTTCTTTTCTTCTTTTCAAACACTGCCTAGCTGGGGTGGTGAAAGTTACGTTACGGCCCCGAAGATTTACAACCCTGGTGCGGATTGTTTTCGTCGTGCTTCTTCTGCTGCTTGATGACGGTACCGTACCGGTGTGTGGTGCTGTTGTCGATGGTGTTCCTGCTGCCGCTGATGCGACTGCTACTACTGCGACACTACTCACAGCTGCTGCCTCCCACCAGGTACGGGGTTTTTTTCTTCTTTCCTTAGTAGACTAGTGTGTGGTCTGTACCCTGAGTTCGAAAGAAGCCCACAAATAGACTTTGATAATTCGTCAGGGTGACAGTCAAAAGGGCGGATTCGGTAGCAGCAAAGTCAGCTGCTTTACCTGTGCAGCCAGTCAGAAGTCAGCAGCCGGCCCTTTGAGCGCACACGGGTTCCCAGCCCTACGGAACAGACGCAGGACAGATAATCAAACAGGTCTAATCAGAAGGTCCAAAAAAAATTCAGAGCAGTACAGCCTGAAGAATGAGATATGACGAAGGGTAACAGATTCTTGGGATTTCACCTTGCTATTTTTTTTGGGAGCAGCAACAACCTTTTTTTTTTTCCTTCTCTAAAGGTGGGGGGAGGGGCCAACTGAAATATGATTGGGCGCGAGAGGCTGGGATTCAACGAAGAAGTTCTGGAGATGGCAGCGGGGGTCGCAGGGAAGGCCAAATAGGACTTTTTTTTTTTTTGGCTAGGCAGGGTTTGGGTTTGGAAATGAGATGGCACCCTGATTGGTGAAAAACACTCAGCAACGCCCAGCGACGCACCGAAGCCTTAGAAGTGTGGAGGCAACACGCGAAAAATCGAAAAGGGGAAAGATTTGGGGCAAGTGTCTCAAGAAATGCATTCCGGCCCACACTATCGGACAACCATAGCCGGTGTGGCAGATTATTTCCGTTGTTGTGATGTGATGTGTTCGTTAGTCATCACGAGAATGGCGGTGGCTGGGTGCTTCGTGGGGCATCCCGATTGGTTGAATCCAGTTTCACTTCAAATGTGAAATATGTACCTACCTTCCCTGGGCGCAACGTGATGTCGTCCGCAGCATTCTGAATCAAGGAAAAACATAGAAAGTGACGACAAAAGGTACATCCTGTAACCTGGAGCTGTAGGGAAAAAGAAGCCTACATGCGTAGGAGAATGTAAGTACAAGGTACTCTGCTCTAATAATGTAGTATTCTACATGATTATGCCTAATGTATGTAGGCAGAGTCTGATAATGCACAGCTCAGATCATCTGTTGTCATTTCACAAGGTGGTCTTGTAGGCTCTATCAAGAATTGGGCATGTAGTTCTGATATTCTGGCATTCTGCGATAATATCAGCTGGTTTCCAGATATCTTTTCTTTCCTATCGGTTTTCCCAGGCTTAATCAATGTGCTTGACGAGCCATCGCGACATTTGAGTCTCGATATCCACATCAATGTCTCTCCGGACACCGTCTGCGTCTCACCGTCCGCGTCTCACAGGGCCGAAGAATTGTTTTTTATCTCCATCTCCCCTTATGAACCCGATCTCCAATCCCTTACTCCGAGCCCTGCCGTGTCGACCTAGAAATACTATCCCGTGGAGCCTCCGCCACCCACGATCCCGGTCCCCAGAGGGGAAAAACAAGTGTAGCCACTCAAGAATTCGATCCCGTATAAAAGAATACGGCAAGGCGTTCACAGGACGAGGCTTGAAATTATTAAGGGTTCGAACCATAGGCAGCGTGCGGGCCGCTTGTTGACAATTGATATCTCATTGATATCGGATCAGGTAAAGCACGGACGAGAATGAGTCTGTTTTGACGGCAGACGCGATGGGATGGGTCGTCGTGCTCACGCGGACGCATAACGCGGGAGCACGGGTTAGTCGCAGAAAATCTTCTCGCCAAATCCTTCGGACGCTCTCATCTCATCTCATCTCGACTGATCTTCATTGCTTCATTTCGCTCCGAACCCTGCTTGGTCCCGACCACCATCGCTGTAAGCAACTACACGCAGGTGTCATAGTTCGTCTCCACCCCTCCTAATATCGCCAATTGCTTCCCACCTGTTTCGTCTGGTTGTTTTGGCTCTGGAGTTTTGCTCCGTTGATTTCTCTTTGATTTCTCTTGTTTTGTCTTGTCCTGTCGTCGTCCCTGGCCTGTCCCCACTATGAATGGTCCTTCTAGTTTATCGACTCGCTTGTTCTAGATTCCACCCTCTCGCAGCAATAGCACGTCACTCCAGGTACCAGGAACGAAACCACACATCGGATGGTTATTTGCACATGCCAACCATAGAAGAACCTACAGTAATCTCGTGGGCCTAAGCCGCAAATAAAATTAAAAAAACATAAAAACATAAATCGCAATAAAACGAAGAATATACCTCGAAACTGTCAAGGTATCCCAGGAGAAACAAATTGCGGGAAAGGGAAATCGAACAGAACAAAACAAAAAAAGAAATTTTGGAAGCGCGCGCTATTCACGTGGGCCCAGAGGTTTGAAACTACAAGTCCGACATCAACCGAAATGAGGTTTATGCGCAACACTTCGATAACCGATCTGCACGCCAACTTTATGTTCCTTTTGTTCGGTTTCAGTTGCTTACCCATAGCGCACGGACAATTAACTGAAAAACCCAAGAATAACAGGGGCGGTTCTGGATTTGCAGCAAGCGTCTAAGGTAACCATTATGAGACCGATGAAGTTATGGATAGTGATTTTTACCAGGTTAAGCGAATAAACTTACCAACAGATTGGCAAATAACAAGCAGGGAACCCTTTCCACAAAAAGAAGCCTTCATGTCTGAGATTTACGAAAACTGCTTAGTTCATAATTACAGGGATAGTAAGGCTGCTAACTAATACCGCACGGGGAGCTTGGTGTTCGTGATGAACTCGCAACACGATGTCTTTCTTACAAACAGGGTATCACTGTTGTACCTTCGGGTTCTGGTGGCTTTCCTCCTTCCTCAACGGCTGGCGAACGTTGGTATTGGAATGGACACGATCTTGCATCTCCACTTGTTATTTATGGTTTCAAGATCCATACATGTGAGTTTCTACGATCATGTGTCCAAGAAACATTCTAATGCTTCTTATTTTCCGCGCAGGTTCCCGAACAGAAAATTACCCGTGACAGGCCGGTTTGGTGCGATCGTGGGGGCCCCTCGTACCTCGTATTTCATTGAATTCGATTCATAATTGCCATCGGAACAACAAACGAAAAGTCCACACTCGTAAATCGCTTGGCTGGTTAAACTCGGGCACGGCTGTTACATGTTGTTAATACCTGCAGATCGTGGTAAGTTTCGTTAACTAACTCTGGTTCCGAACTTCCTGCATCTCATTTCCGGTAATTCTTAACTGCCGTATTGCATAGGATTGACTAGCCTGTCAGGTTTTCAACGGCAATATTCAACACTCATCACGTGTTTTAGTCTGTATAATTTGAATGCGGCATATCGATACTCCTGTGTTCGGTTACGCATGCAAGCGGATCGGTCGCATTCCAAAACTCTGAGCTTAGATCTCTCACCTTGCAAGTTTATTCACTAATCCGATAGTTTGCAGAGCGATAAAACCAGCTTCACGACAAGTTTTCGCACGGCGACCTTTATGATAAATTCCTCAATTTATAATCGGCCCAAGAAAACAGTATCAGCTATGAAAACACCCGTTATTGAGAAAGATTCCATCATGCGACAACAAACGAATAAACTTCCATATGTATTTTTTTCTGCAACCATACAGCCTAGGCTATAGGTCGCGCGCATGTACCTAATATATCGCTTTCTGAGGTTTCTTAATTATAGCTTAGGAGGCCGCTGACCCTTCCTCAATTGCTGGGCTGGAAATAATCTCACCATTTTATTTTATTTTCAAATGGGGAGTTAACGGGGACGACTTACCAATTTTGACACAAGCAAGAGGCTGACATGGTTTATCAAACGTCCAGTTATGTGTAACGGTAACAGTCCAAGCTAAATATTACGGGTGGTCGTTTTGTTACCCGCCTGTACAGTACACAACGTCGGTTCCTTATTCTGATCAACTAATATTAGCTAACCTATTTGGGTCGATTATTTAGTTGGATTTTATGTAAGCGGGCGACATCTTCAGAATGCGATACACCTCCGACCAAAATTTACTTACGCTACTGGCCCCACGATTATTTTCGAACCGGATCCCTGAATCACATAGAAATCTCCCCCTTATCATCCTAATAACCAATAAAACTTTAAATAGAAAACTTTGAGTATTAAGCAGCACACAATGACTATCTGGCCGAGATTGGATTTTCATATTTTATTAGAGTTCAGCTTCTGAGAGTGGGCTCCAAACTTAGAAATTAAAATAAAAGCAATAGAAGGCCTGATTCGGTTCGGGCTTTCTGACGAACCCAAAAACCAAAATCCGCGGAAGATGAAAACCCGGGGGAAACGGACCCCGATAACCAGGTCAGCTTGCTGTCAGGCAACAACATGTACTCAATGACTGTGTTCCTAGGCGATGTCTTAATCAGTCAAGTACCTGGAATTGGTATCTGACGATGCTGGGGTTCTATTACCGGTTTGGTGAGATTCTGCTTGCAGCTCGAATCACAGTCGGCACTCTAGTTATTCGCCACAGGATAGGCTGAGTGATTAGCGCTGCAGTCCAATAAGGAATTTACGGGAGAAGGCAGAAGTGGGAAAAGTTGCCTCAGTAGTCTAGGGTCTATGTATGGTCTAAATTGCTACAGAAAACTGGACCCCATCTCATCCATAGCCTCTCGCGACCCACGCCGTTGGGTGCATATCCTAGCTCACTGTGATGCAAATGGTGCGAGACGCGTGTGCCCCTGCTTCTGCCTCATGACAGGATGAAGGCACAGCAGAAGACATAGTGCGCGCCCTGGATACGTGGTTGATTGGCTGTGGTGGAGATTGCCAAGATGGTGATCTCGGTCATGAGTTATCACTCGAGGATGATCTTGGTCACTAACGGCTTTGGATCATGCCCTAGGCGTCTACAGCCTATAAAGAAGTGTTCTAAATAGTCATGAGCAGGTTTGTGAAAATATTGCGGTGTGAGGCGAGGTGATCGAATTATGATGATGGCGATGATGCTGTTGCCCTGTAGCGGTGTAAAGGCCTTGTGGATACGAGACACGTGAATATGCACACAAGCCATGAGTCCTCGAATTTACTCATAGTAAGTCACTGAGATCGCAATGTACTCATACCGTATAGCACATGTTAAAAGCTTCCAGGTAGATCAGCCTGGATCACAGTCCGTCACTCGCGCTAAATCTCCTCAGGGCTGGAGCAGCGGTGAGACATTTCTCAACCGTAGCTCCATCGACTTTGCCCTGGGAGAAGGTTTATCCGCGCTGGTGTGCCTGCAGGAGACCTCCGGTTTCCGGCCAAGTCGGTGGCTGGTTTTGTTTTATGATATTAGGGAATTCACGCTCCAGCCAATCTGATTGGTGCTTTGCCTTTGCGCGCTCTCATTGGCCAGAATCGGGATACAAGTCTCGCGCCAAAAGCTGAGTTTCAAGGATTGTTGACCGCAAAAGAATTAAAATGGATCTTATTTGCTTTGCAAAGGAGATCATGTGGCTATCACTATCCGCTAGTAGTTTTGATCTATGTATAGCCTATGATAGAAAAAACAGGAGAAAGCGCATAAAACAGTATTCCTTGGCTATCACTATAGCTTAATCTGATCTCCGTTATCGCACGCTATAGTAGTTTATTTACTCGGGATTGCGGTTATCGGCAACTATTGGCGGGATATTTCCTGTTTTCAGGTGTATATTCTCCACAATACTCTATGATGAGAACAGACCATTATCTTTGTTTCATGAAATCTCACCTCTCGCCGTCAAAAATCCCTCATTGATCAAGCTATGATGGAAAATACTAATACATGGGTAGTATCAAACACCTCATCTCGTGGTGTGCTTTCGTTCATATCCTCCCAGCCAGCCAGCCAGCCAGCACGCCCCGAAACTCCTCGCTGCGAAGACCGGGCCATGGTCAGGTGCATCTAGCTGGACAGGACCGGCGCGGTGGACCCGTTTCGTTGACTGCCATGGGAATTGAATTAAGTGGAAATATGGTGGCGCTTCTATGGACGATTGACTTCCTATTTTTTTTATTTTTTGGAAACGGCGGAAGGAATTCTGCTTTGGGATCGATAGACATTAGGTACTCTATCTATGGACTAATATTGACCTTGCGCTTTTCTTCCAGGAACCCCACCCATGATGGCGGTCATGTGGGGAGCTTAATTGCACAGCTAGAGCAGCGGGGATCAATTGCACTAGAGCGGTGAGGGCTAGCCGAGAGACGTTGGCTCTGTAGTGCTTAGACTTGCTTATGCTTCCAAGAAATCTTGCATGTGCTATTATGTCTCAATGGTTATTGATTCGATTTCTAGGTGTGGAGCACAAGCTCGACGGTCGTAAAACTAGTCACTCGGGAAATTGATAAGAAAATTACTCCCACATGGACCATGACAGTGGTGGTTACATTGAATTGCCTGAGAATTTTAATCTTTACCCCCCAAAGAAAATATTCCGCAATTAATAACTGCTAGTTTCTAAATTATATCGATTATTACATGTATGTCAAGGACTAGGGACCGTCAGATAGCTCGGAACGTCATCTATTCTTTTGCTACAATGCATTGAAAGGATATCCCAAGAAGAAATGATTTCTTCATGGATTAAGCTTGCAGTGATGGTTTCAGAACGCTCCATCGAGTATCTTCTCCCAGTCGGCTGACTGCTAGGTGTTGTAAAAGGAAAAGAGAGGAAGAAATCATTCGTACGTACGTAAGCACGTACCCGATATATCGACCCCACAAGCGCCAACTTCTACCACTGCATACATGTATGTAGGGAGCTGGGCTGCATGGAGGTTCGAATTGTTGCCGGTCCCACGAACATACATGTATGTGCAACGATTCTCAAATTGTAATAACTTTTCAATAAATCGGGGTTTTGTGTGAAGTATCGCTTCGACGGATGAAAAATATAGACACGTATATAGACCATAAACTGCTGTCTCTTCTGTGAATTGCCATCGGGTATGGAAATATCGCATCGTGATAAAAAGCTACATGCGGTGTGCATGTTTCGGATCGAGTGATAGCGTGTGATGTTGTCACCCACGCACCCCCTCAGCGCGGCACAACCTAACTCTCTAACAAGCTTGAAACCTTAGCATACTGCAGAGGTCGGTTAAGACTTTCAAAGTGGATCTAGACCAGTGATGTTAGGAGCTTTTTGAACCGCACACCACAAGCCACAGTAATTACTTTTTGGACAAGTTAAAATCTCGTGTGCAAGGCCAGCAAGCAGGATTCGTGTTTCATGAAGCTGCACTCGGGCTCCGCACACGTGGAAGAGCTGGGTACAAAAATAGTTCAGACTATGTAGTTCAGTACACAACTAGAGTAAATGTAGGCATGGTAGCTGAAATGACATAGTATTACGGGCAGTTGACTGCTCATTTATCATGCAAATATCTAATACTTCACTGGCGGATAGGTTTGAGCTCATCAACTCGCATGATAAACTGAGTGCTGATTGGGTGCATTTTCGGCGGACTCCGAGGAGTCAGTTCTGCGCATATCGCAGCTTTGGTATAGCATTTGAGAAGATATTTTCTCCCGCTGGTTAGAGGCAGTGGCCGGTATTGATGGCTGTCATGATAAGATACTAGAAACTTTAATTTCAAAACCCGAACATCTAAACCCGGTACCGGTAGGCACTCGGAGAAGCTAAGAAAAAAAGAATAGTGGGTTTCATGGCCCTGTATAGTGTGAGTGATGATCCGTGAACTTACCAACTGACTTGATCGAACTAGCTTTAAAGCTCAATTGAATATAGATGAATTCTACTAGTAACATGATGATAACACATGTAATAATAATAATGATGATGATGATGATGATGATGATGATGATGACGACGATGACGATTATGGTGATAGTGATGGTGATTATGGTGATGATGAATACTAAGTGTAACTATTGGACACTTCAATTACAGTACACTACTATAAAAACCATTGGTTACCTATTCAAAATCTCATGCACTGCCAAGGTCGATGAATACTCTACATGTAGGTAGTTATGTGCAGTTAATCTATTTCTCTGCACACTAGAGAAATCAATTATGGAAAAAGCAAATCATACATAGTGTTGAGCTACGAAACTCAATTATATTGAAATCAAAGAAAAATCCTGTCAACTATTAGTGGAATTCATATGCAAATGCAAAGCCTTGTACTAATGCGTACACCCCGTCCTAGGCTTATTTTCAAAATACTACAATTTCGTTATCACCTGCATCAATCCATGTGGCGTTTCGCGAGTTTCTGGAGCTCATGACAAATAATGCGCACCATAGCTAAGTGATGCAAGTCCACGATCAGTAATCCAGACTCGAATAATACTTAGTAGGATAATGGGATATGCAGGTTCACAGCTCAAAGGGAGATAACCATGACTTACATGCTCCACCATGCCACCATGGCAATATACCTTCACCACATCTCCAGTCCCCTCCAAGAACGCATTGACAGGTCCCAGCCTTCCGTGCTCTACATTATCCTTCAATATGTTCCAGAAATTAATCTTCTTATTGGGGCTCTCCCAGGTGCTCATATCGACCCTCCAATGACCTCTCTCCCAGGTCCGAAGCTCCCTAGTTTGGCCCCGCTTGAGCTTCTGATATTTCCCAACTAGAAGGTCTCCTACATCTGTCATCTCTCGCAGTTGCGGAGTTATGAGCACTGGTGAAGAATTTGTGTCCGGGGGAGGGGAGATTAACTCATAGGCCCCATCAGCGGCGAGAAGTGTCCTTAGGGGAGGTGATTTCGGATTATTGTTTTGGACCGAGGGTGAGGCAAAATTGGAATGCAAGGAGCTTAAGGAGTAGTCTGAGACTCCTAATGAGGACTGGTGGCGTGGGGACAGTGGGGTAAGGGTGCTTGTGGTTGGAGGTTGGTTGTAGCAGAATGAAACACCTGGAAGTGCCGGGAAAACCGTTACCTCTGTCTCATCGGTATATGCCCCTTCAGCACGAGCTGCAGGTACAGCGAATGGATCACTGGGCAGCGGGGGTTGTGAGTCTGGGATACTGGCAGGTGGCGACTCCCATGAATCGAAGCGGGAGGTGGCATAGCTACTGTCGGATTCAACTCCATCCTCATCTAGACTTAGAAGCCCGTGAGATTCCACCGAGCTTGGGTTTTGAGCTATATCCTCCGGAGTACTAGTTGTTGGTAGAGGAGGTATTCCTCCCTCATAATCAATGAGGGGTGATAATAGGCCAGGTATCACATATTGTTCTGCACTAGCTGTAACAGATTCAGAAAAGCTCCAATTTGTTATTTGTAGGCATTGAAGTAGACAATACATTCCGCACTATGCTTTAATAATATTTCATAAGAATCCCCACTCTCAGAAGAGGACGGCTCTTCGCCATGTTTCTTTAACGCCCTCAACTCTCTTTGTACCAGGTCTCCCCTCTTAGGAAAGGTAAGACTAGTGATATGCGTTCTTTTCTCCGGCATAAAGCCGAGGATTGACAATGCTTGTGCTCTGATTTTGTCATCTTCACTTTTGGAAGTTGGTGCCGCCGAATGGACGAGGATTTCGATGTATGCTTCGGACATTTTTGTTCATGGGGAAGTGCATGTTAAGGATGGAGGAAATTGTTCAGCGAGAATGTTGGTGTCGTACGTCGCTTAGTACAAGTACAAAGGATCGAACAGCGAGGTTGAAACTTGGGGACGTGGTCGGCTTGGCGACAGCACATGGCCTTGTGGTATAAAGTATGCAGGTATATAAATGTATATATGTGATCTACGCTATGTAGGAACATACATGCAGGCACATACTCTAGAGTAGAGTACTATAGAGCACATACATGTAGTTATTCGAATAGGCCAAAATACATGTACCTAATACAAGTATATATGGTTTGGGATTCTTTATCAAGTACATGTATGTATGTATGTATTACCGCAGTAATTCCTCTCAGCGGACGGTTACACAGACGTCTAACTTGCCTTTTACAGCGCGTATGAGGGAAGACAAATGACCAGAACAAGTAATTTCAACGTCAATGTGAGTGTCCGCTGAGACGAATTACTGCGGCACCTAGAGTAAGTAAATTAAATACAGCACTAGGTGATATCATCCTGTACCTACATGTAGGTACATCTTACATGTAGTATTGGTTACGATATCGATACGTAGATCTTGTTAGGACATACAATACATATATAATAAAACGCATATAAACTCTATTTCTATCCTAGTAGCTACAAACAGGCCAAAACTGGTAAGGGTTGATCAACGTTCGATCTTAGTTTCAGCGCATTTATAATTTATGGTAAAAACGATCTAGATCAGATCTGATCTAGATATGAAATGTGTAAAAGTGGTTTTTATTCTTCTCTACCTATGTACTTACCTACTCTACTGACCCGTGTTGATGCCACCTGTTTGGCTAGATCTCTATAAGCTGGTGAGTTTAGAACAATTCTCAATATCGCAACTTTGATACTGATCCAAGTATTACATGTAATTAACCCAGATTACTGACTGACAATTAACGGTATTACACATTAAAGTGTTCAGTTATTAACTACATGTAGTTAGGCCTGCTCAGTTGACACAAAAATCGGCCATGGATTGGACTCAATAAAGCAGTTACCAGCTCCAGAGGTGTTTTTATTCAATCCACGGATCGCAATTAATTCAGTATCAATTGAACAGCCCATATTTATGTAAATACATGTACTTACATGTAGCTAGTAACTCCGGCCCAGATCGGAATGGCGTTTCAATCTCACCCACAGGCCTAAATTTCTGTGGTAACACCTGTCAAACAACGGGCATATTGGCCATGGCTTTCCTCCCCACCTCACGGATACGATACCCTGTGCCTCTACCCTACCGGAACTCCGGCATCTTAGAACCCGGAATTTCTAGGATGCCTTCATATTGAGGCGGTAGATTGTTTCTCAAGATCCTTGTCGTTCTGTTGGAATACCGTTTTCCACGTGCGCGCTTCCCCGAAAAACAAATTGGGATTATGCTTGTATTTGTACTAATAATTAAAGCAACCGTACGCATATATTGTAACCCTGTTTCTCCCAGGGAACCTCTTGAATATATGTAGCCGCTAAAGGACTGTGTATAAAGAAAGCAGGTGTAGTTGTGATTTCCTAGGAACCTTATTATTCAAGATGATTGATCAAATACCCTATGAATATATCCATAGGTCAAATTTGTGAGTACCGTGTTGGGCTATAGATAAGTCCCATGCAGGTACGTAGTATTTAGTCACAAGCTGGATCTAGCGAGTGATAGATTGTGATTCAATACCCAGGGCATGATAATTTTCGTTGTCTCAAGGGTTTCTGTTTCCTAGAGTATTATTAATCTAGTTATACTATAGTTATAATACTCGGTGGGATATATGCATTGACTGCCGTCTAATCTGTGAGTTTTATTTTTGAGATAAATATGTCTTTCAGGCCTTCTGGAGCGTTTTATTTCCAGTATCGTAATTCCCCGCATGAATAAGTAGGAAGAGCCTGGACATGCATAAGTGTGGGAACGAGTTTATCTACTTCATTAGGCCAGTCTAGGTAATCAATTGGTCAGCTCAGGGTTACTGGGTGCTTTACTACCCCGAGTATACATAAACAGCCCTGTTTTGTCTCAAGCCTAAAACTTCTGTGGACAAATCTAGACACTCACTGGTCATGGGAGCCATTTTGTATCGGGCTTGGTGTTTCTAACGGTTCCTTATTTAACAAAGTCTCGATCATACGTACTTAAGAATGCATATTGAGCTAGTACAGATGAGTATCGTATCCCAGGAAACACTCAGTGAATCTTGCCGTATCATATTGTCAACCAAGCGTTTGAAAATGGTGTGCTAGGCATTGGCCCAACCCCTCATGTGATGTTCGCGATTTTCTTCTCAAGCCATAATGGCACCCCACGACCCGACCGTCCACCGTCTGAGGCATCGCACAAACCTAACCTGGCGGTCCCCGGTTCTCATGTATGAGCGGGCTGGCAAAGTACGGGCCATTTTGTTTCAAACAAGGTGGTCTGATCTTTGAACAAATGGTTTCTCTGCGATTAACGCCGTAGATTACACAGTCTGTCAGACGCTCGCATCGGATTGGATTGGATTGTAATCCTAGGTGTGATGGCGCAGCGAATGAGAAACGAACAGCCAAGCAATCAGGTAAAGAAAATCTATCGGTCCACCTCTTCGGCCAATGATATACCAGCCAACTGCGATCGAGCCTTCCCCTCGCTTCAGATTCTTATCAACATCGACAAAAAGGCAGTAGCTCTCGGGCCGGAGTTTCCTGCTTTATTCGAGTTAATTATGCAAATCACACATGCTGAAAACGAACGTGCTACTCCAATAAGCCGGCCGGGATCTTCCCCGATATTCATTGTACACGTAAAAAGAATGATGGAACATTCTCTGCCGTAATTTTACCAGCCTCTCAGTTTCAAAGAGATATGCGTTAAAGGTTCGTGAACCCCCACCTTTGTTCTATTATCCAAAAGGTGATTTTGAAATTTTGCAGTAGGCTATGCATATATGCCAGTCAATATGTAATATAATCCTTGAAAAGGTCAGCTGAGACGATCTGCGGGAGAGGATTCTGCAAGATGGCTGCGGGGCCTTGGAAAAAAGTGAAACGAAACAGTCATGAAATGTGAGCAATAATCTTTCCCCATCTGTGCTCTTCGGCAACCGGCTCTTGACTAGATCGAGATTGACCGTTATTCCCTTTTCCCGAATGATTACCACGCCATTAAACTTTGATTTGATCATTGACCAATCACCAAACAAGCCTGTGTGTAAATGTATTCCTGTTTAGTGGGTTCTTGTTAATCAATCAAAGGTAGTTCTAGAAAGGTAAAAACTAACCTCAACAAATATGATGATTGGGTGGCCTCCACAAGACTGAAGTACTTAAACAAGTGTGATGAGCATGTCCCGTAAATTAGTGAGCCTTTCGAACCTTTATTGTATGAAACTGCCAAGACATACCTACGAGTGATTTTGAGTGACTTGAAGAAGCTTTATTGATGAGGACGCTCATAATCTGGTTAGTTTAATTTCTAGATGAGTCGCCGCGTTCTGTGACTCCTCCATGTACGGGTCCATGACTCGGCAAAACTCTATGGGGGTGGGAAGGGGGTTTCTGAACACTGGCTTCTGGTATGAGCCAGTACTACTAACATTGATAACCATTGGCAAGCCCTTCAAGCAAGCTATTTCATAGAAAGCTTAATCTCACATGTTCAAAGCCAGTATTCCAAGATGGGACCGCAGAACCAGCTCGTCTCATGGAAAACATCATTTAACATATCCGAAAGTTGGTAGTAAAGAGCGAGCATCATTTCTGGAAAGCCAATTGCTAAAGGGAATTTGTTTAATTCACTACTTCCCATCAAAAAGTACTTTTTTATAGTGCTTCATTTCCCCAATACTTTCCAAAATGTCCATCCTCGCCTCATGGGTTTCCTTCTTTGGCGGAACATTTCTCAAGGTTTCGTCCGAACACCACATGCGCACAGCCTCCTTCACCGTGGAGACATCTAGAAGTCGGTAGTGCAAGTGGTCGATTATCGATGGGAATTGTCGGTTTAGGAAAGCCCTGTCAGCATGAATAGAGTTTCCGGCCAGAACTGCTACCTTCGGGGTTGGAACATATTTTTGTATATATGCGAGTAGCTGTGAGGTGGCCGCCTCAATAGTGGTTGTAGAATTCAAAACACGGTTGGTTAGACCAGTCTAGGTTCTTATCATTAGATTTCAAAGAGGAATATTAGAGTGGAGTATTAAGAGCGATTACAGAGGCATGAGTCCGCTGGCACCATTCTCCCATCTTGTCAAGTACAGGCTTTTCGTAATGTATGACGGTCTCAAATCCCCCATTGTCAAGAATATTTAACTCAAAATCCGTGATATAGCAACATATCTGCAGTATAACGTCATTTTCATAATCAAGACCGGTCATCTATAGCCAAAGGTAAGTTTCAAACCTAGTGAGTGTTTGTGGGCTATTGGGTGGGCTCAGTACCTCACAATCTATCCACACTATCGGAGTAGTTGAGCGGTTAAGCATCTTCGGTGATTGATATAAATTATGTTTAAATGTTCTTGTAAAATAGCTCGGTCCTGAGATGCGACTGATGAAATGGACTACAGGGCGTTGGTGGAACCAGAAAACCATTGTAATGTAATGGGTGAGGCTTGAGCAACACCCTGTCTCAGATCTCCCAAAACTTAAATCAGAAATAACCCTAGCCCCCCACCAATGGTGGCACAATGATCTGATTACATAAGTGTGCGACTTGAAATGTTTTGAAGTTTCTGCGCCTCTCTTCCTCCTCCTTTGGCTCTCATAATCTGGTTGTCTAAACGTCATTGTGACAAAAAAAGAAACCCCGTCGCATTGGCTTTTCTTCGTTCCATCCTTCTGCGAAGGAATTCATACTCTTCTCTCCTTTTACGACGGACCCTAGGGAGACCATTCTCTGCCACAGCTGTTGTAAAGATGAAGGTTCAATGCCAGATTATCACCACCCCGGCCGATGATTCTCCGGGGACCACTCTGTTACTCCATTTCGACCAACAACGTTATATGATTGGTCAAATTGGTGAAGGTGCACAGCGAGCATTTGTCGCACGAAGTGCACGGCTCAAGAAAATATCGAATATTTTTCTCACTGGGCGTACACAATGGCAGAATACCGGCGGACTCATCGGATTTCTCTTGACTTTGGGAGATAAGGAGGAAGGGAAGACTTTGGATGCAGCGAGGCTGGGCAAGCCAAACGTTGCAGCAAGCTCGGGTGTTACTGTTCATGGTGGCGAGAACTTAATGCACACACTTGCTACCGCTCGACCTTTCGTTTTCAGGAAAGCAATGAAACTGAAAGTTCGGGAAATTCCGCAGCAATCTAAAAAGCCATCACCTGGGAGAACGCCATATTATGGCGATGAAAATTTGACGGTTCATCCTATGCATATCTTTCCTGATGGCCATAAAAATTTGGCAGTTGTGGGAGTAGGATCGGAGAAATCTTCAGAAGAAAGTAGTCCAAGCGATGATGAGACTAAAAGGAAGCGTTCTTTTGAAGATTTTTCGGGCAAAGAAAGTGTACAGAAAGCTCAAAACCGAAAGTCAATTCTTCAAGGTGTGGTTGAGAACATGTTTTGTTCTGACTGGACCATGGATACCATGATGGAAGATTCTGCGCCTGTCAACGAAAACGATATGATGAGAAATTCGGTCAGTGGAGACTCAAAGAGGCAGCGCAGCTCTCCGCCGACCAATAATACTTTCACGACCCAGGAATATGACTTTCAACTTTCCACCAGGCCTCCGCCACCAGGAAAAACCAGAGCTCCATGGCCAGCATCAACTGTGACACATCTTCCACGCTCCAAACCTTCTGAAATTTCACTATCTTATTTGTTTACCCTTCGCCCCGTCCGTGGAAAATTCCTGCCCAAAAAAGCAATCTCTCTCGGTGTAAAACCCGGTCCAGATTTCTCCAAAATCTGTAACGGCGAATCAATTGTTGTCGCCGATGGCAAGATTGTTAGGCCGGAAGATGTAATGGAACCAACTAAACCAGGTACTGGATTTGCTGTCTGCGACCTGCCCGATCCATCATATATCAATGATTTCCTAGCGCGAGATGAATGGAGGGATATAGAAAGACTCAGAGTAGAAGTTGAGTGTTTTTTCTGGATCCTGGGTAAAGGAGTCATAAAAGATGAGAACTTAAAGAAGTTTATGAAAAATATGGCACACGCCCGGCATGTAGTCAGCTCTCCAGATGTTTGCCCAAATACCATCTTTTACCAGGGGGCTGCAGGCGCTGCAACAAAGCTTAATATGATGGATGAGAGCTTTTTCCCTATACCTCTTTCGAGCAATAAGGCATTGATTAAAGATTTAGAGGGGATTCAGCCTGCATTACCAGGGCTTGTTTGGCAACTGGAACCAAAACGGGAGCTTCTAAAGGCCGGCGTTATGGAATTTTTCGATGTGGAGAAGGCTGTGAAGGACACTGAGCCTGATTATGTCCAGTTGGCCAATGCGGTCAAAACCCAAACCTTAGAAAATGCAGCAGAAACGTCTAAGGAGACTCCGTGGAAAGATGTGGAGATCATCACTCTTGGGACTGGGTCCGCAAGTCCCAGTGGATATCGGAACGTATCAGCGACCCTTGTAAGGGTACCTAATGCCGGAAGCGTTCTCTTTGATTGTGGTGAGAGTACAGTTGGACAACTAAGGAGGCTATATACATCAACAGAGTTAGCTGAGGTGTTAAAAGACTTGAAGGCGATCTACATCTCACATCTACACGCGGATCATCATCTTGGTACCACTGCTGTGCTGAAGGCTTGGTATAACGAAGTTCACCTCAAGAACGAGGAAGTTATTGGAGATGGAATCATGAATGTTGTGGCCCCGTGGAAATTTCTAGTCTGGTTAAAGGAATACGCAGATGTCGAAGAGTTTGGGTTCTCGAAGATTCGCTTCGTAGCCTGTGGGGATATCCCATTGAGAGCAAGAGAGCAGGCAAGAGATCGCTCAATCATCACTAGTATCAACAAGCTCCCTGATGTTCTCAACTCCATATCGCTAAAAGATATTCAAACTTCACCTGCTGTCCACTGTCAGGGTTCTTTTGTAACGGCTTGGACATGGAAAAACGGTTTTAAACTCGCATATTCTGGTGACACTCGGCCCACATCTGGCTTTGTCAAGATCGGAAAAGATGCCACAGTACTTTTACATGAAGCTACGTTCGACGATGAATTACAGGCCGAAGCAATCGCGAAGAAACACTCGACGACATCTGAAGCTTTGAGGGCAGGGATGGACATGGGTGCAAAGGGGGTCATCCTGACACATTTCAGCCAAAGATACCCAAAGTTACCAGTTTTCTCAACCAAGGGGGATGGAAATGGGATGGACATTGTCCTTGCGTTTGACTTATGTAGGATTCGCGTGGGTGATATGGGGAGGTTTGCGGGGTTTTTGCCGGCATTAAGAGAACTCTACAGATACGATGACGATGTGGTGGCAAATCTTGATGAAGAGGAAGAGGAAGGGGTCAAGGTCAAGGTCGAGGTCGAGGTGGGAGCGCAAAAGAAGAAGCCAAAGAAAGAGAAAAACATGAAAGAGATGAAAGCAAAAGAAAGGGTATAGATTCCTGCTTAAACCGTCAAAAACAAAACCAAAAACTCTGTAACTATCTCAACCCCTTTGATGAAGACATTGCAGTTAGAAGTAAGAAATACACAATTTTGGTGTCAAAATTAATGGCCCGCTTGGGAGCGGGCCAACACTGAGTTTTTGTGGTCAAAGACAGGTACGAATATAACGCCATTTCGAGAATTATCTTGTACCCAGCCTTCTTCAAATTTTATAAACATCGGGTGTGCACATACATCATAAGAAATCTGTTGTAAAACGCCTAGGCCTGAGATCTGGGTAAGATCTGGATGGGATGGCAATTTCTCTGGCCCCGCTACATCAATCTGTTAGCTCATAATTGAAAAGTTTACAAGAGCTTTTAGTGCCCTGACTGAAATATAGGGCTCGTGGTTTCATCATCTCATCTGGATTACAAGATGAAATCACTATCTACTTCCGGTGGGGTTTAGAATTTATATCAGATTTTGGGAAACTCGGGCAATACTCGGCTGAGTAGTTCGTTTTCTGCACACTTAATATTTAATATTTAGAGATCATAATATTCCGGAAAGCTGTTTTCGGTAGTCCGGCTTGAGGAATTTGAGAAAACGTTGTGAGATACGGACCCGTGCCAAGTCATGAAGTCTGGGCACGAGAAAGGTCGATTGCGTCTGGCATGCCATCTTACATGTGTAGGTGTAGGAAGTAACGTTAACTTGCTGTCCGTTTACAGCCACTAATGGGGGTTTTAGTATATGTAGTTTTTGGTATGCACCTCCCTCGAGTGGGCCCTAAGGGTATTTCCACTGAGAGTACAGCTTGCGGTAAGATTATTGTAGAAGTATGGGATGAGTCCTATTGGCTTGCCCATAGAAACCCCCTGCTTCTACAATAATTCCACCTCTCGCTGTATTTGTCAACGCATCTACAGTGTTCTCCGAGTCATAACTGGTGAAGGAACAGCCACAGTGGCTGATGATAAGGATATGTGGCACATGCACGTGGCTTCACTTCGCAAGCTTCACCTTCTGGGACCATGGACAGTTAACAACCGCCGACCGCGACAACTCCTGAAGATCGGTCACCACCTCTACTTCAACTTACCATCCGCTCAACGAAATTTCACTCCCCCTCCTTCACAAATCAAATACTCATACCTTCGCTTTTGTACCAATTTAATTTCACGATTTCCCTAACATCTCGGCAACTATGACAACAGCAGGAGCAGGCTCGTACTCAAACCCGTTGAAGAAGTTCAAGTACGGTACCTTTCTTGACTCCTATTCTGCTATATCTTATTGCATCGGGAATTGCTAATAACATTTGCGCAGGTTGGTGTTTTTAGGAGAGCAGTCGGGTACTGAATTAACCAAAGAGCTATCACGAGAGTGGCCGGCTATAAATGCCGAGAACAGTTTGCTAATACAACTCGAAATATAGTTGGAAAGACATCATTGATTACTCGGTTTATGTACGACTCGTTTGACAACATGTACCAGGCCACCATCGGGATAGACTTTCTTTCAAAAGTGGGGCAGCATTTACTCCCTTGAAATGCCTCTGTTTTTATTCTTGGAGAGTGAGACTAATAAGAAGGGGGGTGCAACAGACAATGTACCTTGAAGATCGAACGGTGCGATTACAGCTTTGGGATACTGCTGGGCAGGAGCGATTCCGGTCCTTGATTCCTTCCTACATCCGGGACTCTAGTGTTGCTGTTGTGGTGTACGATATCACGAGTACTGTCTTCCCCAATCCTCCCCGATTCTGAATGCTGACTCCCCGCAGACCGTGCCTCTTTTGTCAATACCTCTAAATGGGTCGATGATGTTCGTGGTGAGCGTGGTAACGACGTTATCATCGTCCTTGTTGGTAATAAGACAGATTTGAACGATAAGCGCCAAGTCACTACAGAGGAGGGTGAGAAGAAAGCCAAGGAGTTTAAAGTTATGTTTATCGAGACTAGTGCGAAAGCCGGGCACAACGTCAAGACTCTTTTCAGGAGAATTGCACAGGCATTACCGGGTATGGAGGGCAGCGTTGGTGGTGAACAGGATAATGGTGGTAAGCGTTGTGTCTCAAAAATATGCGAATTCCATGTTACTAACGAAGTAAGTAATGATCAACATCGATATGAAGGGTGCCGAAGCTGGAAACCAGGATAGCCAGTGCAATTGCTGATATGGAGGATTATAAATATGCTTTTTACGGTAACGAGGATACAGATTTCGATAATGACTACGATAATAAATATGCAGTTGGTAGTGTATTTTTCCCTGGGGGATTGCAGGAATTCAAAGGGGAAAGTTCTCAAGGAATCGGTGTTTCTTTTCATGATATTTTCCCTTGACTCTTTATTTCTATGTTCGGATTTTTTGCTTATCTTAGCTTTGTTTTTTCTGTTGTCTCGCCGGTGATGCGAACTGAAAGAACACCTTCGCGAGTCCCTTTATTCCTGATAAATCATTTGCTGGTTTGTATGCTTTAAGGGGCGGTTACTTGTGCTTTTTTTCATGTATCCGGAAGGTCCATTGTTGATATTGAACAAATAAACCGAGGGTCAATATTTTTGAGGGCTTAACTCGATATATGAGTTTGTGCTATTGGCATTGATATCGGGAACTCAATTAATATAGACGTGGATGAATAACAATGAACACAAATACTGAGGCTTCTATTGGGGTTTATAGAGCCACTACATGTATTTATTCGGGTGTTCATGGTACTATCAAGCTGAGACCACTCGTCAAGCGACATCCAGCATGTCTTGGTATAAATGTGAATTTATGAAGCTAGATATAGAGAGAGTACTGGTGTTATATATGGATGTCCTTCAAGGCCCGTCGAAGCTCCCATACGGGTTTTAAGCAAAATAGTTAACTGCATATAGAGTGGAAGGTTTTTACTATTAAAAGATCATTTCTCCGCTAACGGCGATATATATTAAACATAAAACACAAAAAATCAAAGTAGTTAAAATTCCATTAGTTATTGGTATTGAATCTTTTAATCATATGATTAGCACTTACTCTCAATCATACTTGGAGTGGGACTTACCTATAGCCACATTCACACCGGTAAAATACCGTAGCACCTTCATCCGCACTTCGGAGCTGTAGCGTATAGAACCACATCTTTTCCCTCCCACATTCGGGGCAGATCTGTTTGATCTCTGCTTCTGTCTGTATATCTTCTGTAGCTAAACTTTGAACCGCACTCTTCTTCAACCGGAGCGCTGACGGGAATGCAGAAGGTGCAGACTGAGTTGTAACTGTTTTGTTACCGGGGTCTGTAGAACTGTAATTAGAGCCTGATGAGGTAAGAATTGAATGAGTTGGAGTAGACCTTTGGTAACGGTGCCGCACATTTCGCATTCGAGCCTGTCAGTGCCGGTGACGGAGTCGAGGAGGTTACCACAGTCGCTGCAGAATACTAGAGTTCCGACTGTAGACATTTTTTGAGTTGCCGCTTACACAGTGTTGAGTTATAGAGAGCGGAATTATGTAGAGACAGAGTTTCACGATAAATCCAATTGAGGCTCTGTTCGGTTTTTTTTCTGACGCGTGTGAGGAGGGTAACTCTATGTGAGGACTTGGCGTTAAAGTGAAGTTTTCAGGAACGTGAAACATACATGTATAGACCAGCTTGCCCATCATCAAACTTTGGTGGGTGGCAACCGTTGCATCCTGCGGGTAGCAGGGAAAATAGCGGGCGGCACTCGCTGATGGGCAAGCTGGTCTATAGGTTTCCTGCCGAAGGGGGTTGTAACTGATTGGATTGGGCGATGGTAACTACGAAGATCAAATCACCTTACCGCATTTTATAGCAATGCTACCTACATGTAGAGTCCGAACCTACGTGTAGGGGCATGTAAGTACATATACCTACAAGTAGCGCTATAGCACGAGTATATAGAAAAAATTAATTTTCAGTGTCTAGCAACAACATGTAATCCGTATCCTTCGAATCGTAACAATTTAGACAGATGGAACTGAGATGGAAAAGTTGCCAGTACCTGAAAGGTATTAATGTTCTCTAGCTTTGTATCCAGCACGGTCATAAGAAAAAAAGTACCGCGGGTTATTAGATAGCCAGAGGTTCATCCGTTTACGAAGTACAGTAAAATAAAAATAAAAATAAAAATAAATAAAAATAAAAATAAATAAAAATAAAAATAAATAAAAATAAAAATAAATAAAAATAAAAATAAATAAAAATAAAAATAAATAAAAATAAAAATAAATAAATATAAATAAATATAAAAAATAGTAAGAACAGGGAAATCAACTAAGAGGTGTTATTGCAACAAAGAGGGGATCTTATTTATTATGGTGCGATAGGTATTTATTTAAGAAGTATCTGATTTGTTTTCCTAAACTGAAATCTAGTTAGTATTTCGTTCAAAGAAAACTGAGCGCATGAATGGTTTGAGGTGGTAATGATAGAACAAGAGTCAGAAAGTACAGAAGGAGCAACCTTCATTGCAAAAGCTATTCCACATAGTAAGAGTACAAGTCTCTAGGACTGGTGCCAGCTATGAATTCTCATCATATTGTCCTGTGATAGAAGGGAATAAGAGGACGGAATTATAAACTTACATTATGTGGTTGGAAACATTATCAATGATTCGATGTTCCACGGGCAATGCGATGATGAAGGTGAGTGAGAATTTTTTTGGAATGCCTCCCTCCTGCCAAGATGCGGCGAAACCAAGCCCTAGCCCTAGCCCTACAGAGAACTGTTTACTCCAAGATCACACTGTATCACTCGTGAATCGTGACCGCATTCAGGCTATTAATTTCTTGCTTAGCATTGCCACATCGTAAGCCTAGATGTCTCAAGCCTGGAGGGCTTTAGAGTGGATTATAAGTACTGTAAAACTAGAATTGAATATGTAAAGTCTTTTAATAGGTGGAAACTGAAGGTATTAGGGACAAATAAACAAAACAAAAAACTAAGAAAGCAAAGCATTACCCCCCGTTCCCCATGTTTTCAAGCCAACCTCAACTTCACCCTAGCCAGCCACCGCAAGAGAAAATGAACAAAAGAAACAATCCGATCTAAGAAGCATCACGGTGCCTATGTAGAGAGTAATAATAATAAGAAATCAATCGAGCCCCATCACAAATATAGCCGGTAATAGCAACACCTGTCATTCCGTTTGGCGTATTATCCATCTGACCAACCCCATAAGGTTGGAAACCTTTGAAAATGAGTGAAAATTTGTATTCTCTCGACCAAAATCCTCTGCCTTCCTTCAAAGCGGAACCGGGCAGCAGGCGGAAACACAGAAAGTGACACCCCACCAAGATAGAAAGAAAAAAAATACACAAGAAGAAAGTATAACTACAATTCGAAATGCCACCCTACTACAAACTGCAAAAAAAGACAATCCACCCAATTTTTTAGTTTTTTCTCTACTCCATCCGTATCCGTTTACTGACGTGACAATCATATCGAAACCCGCTATCGTGCATGCATTTTCTCCTAAATATTTGGATTTATTATTTTCACCTAGGGTACGAATATGATTCTGTAAGGAAAGTCAGTACGGGCACTTTAAATAAGTCAAGGGAACTCACGAGAACCCTGCGCATCTCTAGGTATATTTAAACTCGCCAGAAGACCCATCATTGCCTCTGGTCTGAACCTTACTGCTTGGTATTGCTGTGCTCCTGGCAATATGCTCAACAAGTACATCAACATTTCTGGGAGTGCAGGCGCTGGTGGTGGGGGCGGCGGTTGCTGGTGCATTGGCTGCTGCTGTTGCTGCTGTTGCTGCTGTTGCTGTGGCCTTCCTTGGTGCTGCTGGCGTTGGTAGCCACCTCGTGCATCGTCCCTTCCGACATCCCGGTCTGACAAGTTACCACGCTCTCGGTTGTGCTGCTGCTGCTGCTGCTGCTGCTGCTGCTGTAGTTGTTGTTGCTGTTGCTGCTGCTGCTGCTGCTGTACACGTTTCTGTTGGTCAAGCCTTCGCCCAGCAGCGCCTTTAAGCGGTGAGTCCGGCCGTAAAACTTTTCGTGGTCGGTGCTCTGACGAATCAGAGAGGTCTTCATTGGCGGGCCTCTTAGGGGATGCGATACCAGCTCCAACGCGCCCATTAGGAATGGCAACTTGAATTTGTTGTCGGTTATCTGCCTGGTTGTAATCTTGCATCATTTCTTGACGTCCGCTTGATTTGGGCCTGCATTGTTGGCTTGGTGAAATAACAGATATATATGAACATGGGTCAACGCTCTTGTAAGAGTATCTTGTAGAAAACCGATTGAGATATGGATCTAAATTATCGTTAGAATCTTTCTCAACTACACTGTGAAATTTTTAAGGTTCACGGACCACCAGGAAATAGCTCACTCATCCGCTTCTCGAGCTTGTACACCTGATTGAGATCACCATAATGTGCCTCATATTCATAAAAATACTGGTAAATCTTCTTAGTGTTCTGCGCTGGCGCTTTGCCGACAAAAGTCTCAAATACAGCTCTGGCATCTGTTGATAGTCAGTACGTATCCAAACCAGTAGAACGAACCAAACTAGACTTACTAGTGATATCGTTATCTGCTATCAGGTGTTTTAGGTATTCCAAGGCAAACTCCTCGTCCTCAGGAAACAATTTCATGCCCCGCTCAAAGATCTTCAACGCAGCCGGGTCTTTATAGCAATGGAATTCGATAAGTGCACTAGCTACGTATACATCGCTAGTGATTTTGCCCCTCTTCCTCGCATCTGCAAAAATCTGTCTGCTTCCGCCAAGTGGCTCATTAACCTTACCATGGCCTTGGACACGGCGCATGGCACGCATAAGGTTGATCCAAACCGCTGAGATAGTTCCGGACATGACTTGAATCTGCGCCTTTGTCGACTCTTTGATGAATGCAATCTGGGACTCCTTTGCGGATTTATCTGCCATTATATCCGGGTCGTCGTAATCATCGTCATCTCGGCCTCCTTGAGGGTCTTGGTAGCCCTCCTCAAGTTTTGCAATCTCTTCTTTCTCTCTTTGTTGGGCCTTACTAACCTGGGAGTACAATACATTAAGAAGATCGTCATACGGCTTCCTAATCATTTGGCCCTTCCGTACTAGGGCCTCCTCGCCACCTTCAACAGAAATGGTTGCTTCAAGCCGCTCAGCGTATTTAAAATGTAATAGACAACTCTCTGGGTTTGCGACCATGCCTTGCTTGAGGAACTCTACTCCCTGGTCATCCATTCCATTCGCGAAGCACCATTCAGCCGCGTCAAACCATATCTCGGGCCAGAATCTCAATGCCATGAGAGCTTGCTTAAAGACATATAAAATTCTTGTTTTTAAGCCTGCGGGATCGTCCTTGGCTAGTACCAAGGGATCATCTTTCTCCCATTGAATCCATTTCTTCCACAGCTCTACCTGTTTGGTCCAATCCTCGTATCCTTCATATCCAGGTACTGGGGGGAGACGTGGAAGCGTTTCTCTTCTAAGGCCCTTTGTTGTATTTGTCAATTCGATGAGACAACTCCGGGCGGTCATAAATAGTGGCGATCTTTCTTGTAGGAACTTTCTAGCCTATAAATTCACAATGGAAGAAAGAAGAATAACCAATTTGTCAGAGTCACGTTTTTTTTCTATGCAAAAAAGCGTAAAAGAAAGAAAGAAATGGACAAATTTCTTGTGGATTGGTTTTAAATACCGTTAGCTTGTTAAGCCCTTGTTCGAATTGGTCGTACTCTCTCCATAGCTGCTCAACTCCTTGCACGGGCATGGTAACAGCTTTTTGGTACACCTTCCTCAGTGAATCCATTTTTTGCTGATCCTGCCAACCACTCCCGCCTACATTACCTGGTCCACTTTTGACGAACTGTACATGGTCACCCCAGATCTTGCCGGCTTCGCGGTCACATCCGACACTGTTTAGAACAAACTCATAAGCCTGGGAAACAATGGCACGGGCTTTGCCACCTGTATCGGTGGTGAGATTGTTGCGTCTCCGGATGTAGTCGAGGTAAAGTGACCAAAGTTCAACATTGGGTACATTCAGAAGAGAACGGAAAAAAATTTGCTCCACTCGAATCAATTCGTTGTTTGCCAGCTCCATCTTAACGTATGCAATCCATTGCTGGGCCTGTATCACAACATCAGTATATAATATATCAAACAGGGAGCACATTATTGGCACATAGTACAGATGAGATGAGGCTCCGACAAAGGAAAAGAGGAAGTAGGAAAGGGCCATATATATATTGTTTCTTTTATAGAAGTAGGGCTGTGATGACCTACCGCTGCTGGGAACACTACAAAAAACCTCTCATAAGCTGCTCTGGCATCGTCAAGTTTTCCCTTTTTGCGATGTTCCTCAATTAGCGCCAACCAGGCATCAATGTCTCCTCTGGGGTCTTCCTTGATCCTGTCCTCAAGTTGCCCTACGATATCCTGCGGAAGTCTTCTCCTCTTATTTGAAACAAGAGTAGCGGTCTTCTGGACAGAATTCTGTACTGGTACAGTAGGAGTAGGGGCAGTGGTAGTGGTAAGGGTAGATACTGGAGGAGAAGCAACGGACGCCGATACAGGAAGTGAATCAACATTATGAGAACCAGTATTTGGGTTCGTGTCAATAAACATGGGAGGAGGGGTCTGGTCACTAATATTCTCATCAGGAACATAGGCACCATCATCGACTATCGCAGAGTCGGCACGGGTAGGGGCAGCTGAGGAACGCGCAGAGGAATCTTGAGTAGTTGCACCAATATCAACAGTAGAGTGGTCGTGATGAAGAGTAGTAGCATCTTTCTCGTTGGCCGAGGCGTCAACACTAGAAGATCCTGTTTTCGGACTTGAAACAGTAGCAGGGAGAAGGGACGCAACAGGCGAGACTTCTTCCAACGCGGGAGTTTTCATATGAATATCTTCATCTTGTTCTTGTTCTTCGGCTTGCTCTTCCCCCTCTCCTTCTTCTTGCTCTTGATCTTCTTCGGTTTCTTCCACTTGTTCCACTTCTTCTTCTTCTTCATGCGGAGAAAGCCCCCTAGTGCCATCTTCTGACTCTGATACGGCTTCTAAGCTCTCTTGAGCACCCAGCGACTCTGCGCGCCCGTTCGCACCCTTATCATTTTCACTACCCAAGTCATTTTGGGTATTTTCCAATTCTTGCAACACCTTCATCGCGTTTAGGAACGCGGCTTCGGCATCATCAGAATTAATAGCTGCCATTGTTGTTAATCGTAAGAACAAGTAGTAGAGGAAATTTTTAAAACACAGGAAAAACAAGTATTGTTAAATTCCGAGAGAAAAAAATGAGTGAGAGAACAATTGTGGTGATAAATTCCGGGTGGCGATTATAGAGGTGCTAGTTTATTGTTCGTGGTTTACGTAGAAACGTCGCGCGGCGAAAAATAAAGGAGTGGTGTCTAGGTGTCTGTTCGATGAGATGAGGATGACGCGTGATGTCAGTCGTGAGTACAATAATGGTGAGAGAAGTGCCTGGATGGTAACAACTGACTGACCTTGGCAGACAAGGACCACCTGTCTTTGAGAAAGCGCCTATGTCCCGTAGGTGAAGAGGACAGAGGCAACGCGCGCGACAGAGTCGGGTAGAGATGTCGTCGGGCGACTTACTTGGCGAACACAATGGGTGGGGGGAGAAGATGGGTGATGATGATGGATTTGTTGGGTAGTGGAGAAAGAAAGTCCAGTGAGAGGAGAGAACAAGAAAAGGGCGAAATGCGGGTTCCAACCGAGACATGCAGCCAGCCAAGAATATGTCGCCAAGACGTAATTTTTTCTGATTTTTTTTGTGGTTATTTAATTCTACCCTAGAGTATTCTGATACTCTCTCTGCCTACAATCAACGAGCCACGGCGTGTTGCCTAATGAATTATTGTATGTACCTCGAAAAATACTGTACCTACATGTATGTATCCAGATTCAGGCGGTCAATTCCATTCATACCAACACTCAATACTTACTCTACGAGTCTCTCACATAACTCTCACATAGGATTCGCTTTGACTGTCTCTATGGGGACCGCGCGCACTCCTGAAGTCTGCAGTATCGTAAGCGAGACAGGATATACTCTATGTTGAGTACGTGTACTCTATTTTATCGGTGTTCCCACATGTTGCGCGCAGGCGCTAGTAGGTACAAGTGATGAAAAGTGTCGCAGGAACAAAGGGCGGAATAACTCTACATGTAGGTACAGTACCCATAAATGTAGCTACATATAGCATTCTACAAAACTAAACTTCTAGGCTCTAGACTCGGAATACTGGGACTCGGGAGCCCCTTGCTCACACCAGCGGTTAAGCGGGTTTCTCCGATGCCCGAAAGTCACACAAGACAGGACTTGTCGACCACCAGATGGTAATCATAAGTGATAATCTATGATCAAAATGATCAACAAATCCCGAATTCATCGAATTTAAAACCTGAAACACACGCGCGGAAATTAGTAAGGAAAAAAAAAAAAAAAAAAAAAAAAACCGCCTCTCCAACCCGAGCTCCGGTGGCTGCTGGCTTGTAAATTCTGTCTCTTTCTTTCCTCTATAGAGAGGCATTCCAAAGGAAACAGATCGACAATTCTTGGTTCTTTTCTAGTCCCCGGATTGAAATGAATTACACGGTCTAACCCGTTTAAAAGCTCTCGAACGTTGAAATAAAGACATTTTTACGAAGCTATAATACTGAGACAACACACTGACCTCGATATCGCAATAGGTACCATTTGTAGCGCACGGAAGGAGGGGCGTTAATTGACGTCACGACGTTAGGTTTATCTTTATCTCGCTAGAGTACATACAGGGTTCGCAGTGGATTTTAGTCTTATTTAGCATCCTATGATTGCATATTAATATTATGCGGTTTTGAAGGGAGTATGTAATAAGCTGAGGTATCGTACATTTATAATTGTCCAAAGAATAACCATGATTCTGGCTCAAAAACAGTATCAAAGGCTAGGACCAACAAGAAGATAGACTTAGTCCACTGCCTCTACTATAAATTACTTGTAATTTGGAATCCGGGAGGGGGTCTGCTATCACTTAAGTAAGTCTCCCTTCCCCACCTCCATACCCCCAATTCTTTTTCTCCCGATATTTCATGCTCCCCCTTCCTTTAAATTTCACCTCTGGCTCGCCACTTCTACCAACTCCCCGGTCATCATCCATTCTGGCGAATCTTTCCATCTCCCGTTCGTTCTCCTCTCTACGGATCCTCTCTTCCGCTTCTTCGTCACGCGTATACTCATATGCTTTCTCCCTATGCCTCCTATGCCGTCTTCTCGAAGGCGACCGTGATCCCGAGTGATACCTTCTCCGCCGGTGCCTATGTCGTGACCTCGAACGTGACGGAACACGCTTTGGTTGCAGCGGAGAGGAGATCGAGTCTTCCGGTTCCTCCATGATCGTCGTATTTGCATCTGCCGGCCCTGCGCCCCGACGCTCCCGAGACCGCCCTCGCGAGATATCCTCTACCGGGGCTGCGAGAGTTTCGGTCTCAGCGCCTCGGGGTCTACTCCTACTCCGGCTCTTTCTATATCTTGACTTTCCGTCCCGGGATCTTTTCCGCCTATGATACCGACTTGATTCCTCTCCGCGGTGCTCATCCCCTTTACCCCGCTCGCGCGACCGTGACCTTGGGGAACTGCGGACTTCAAGCTCTTTGCGCGTCTCTCGTGCTGCTGGAACAGGCACAGGGTCCCTCTTTTTGAACACGAGCTCTCCTGAGCTTGCAATAATGACATCTTCGAGCGGCCTATCGGAATCGTCGACCTTGAGGTCCTCTATCTTTTTGACAACATCCATGCCCGCGACTATATGTCCAAACAGCGTATGTTTATCCGTTAGGTACTCGCACTCGGCCAATGTTATGAAAAACCTTTTCATCTCATCATTAGTCCTCAAATTGTCCTTCCAAGGATGTAAATGTGCTTACTGGCTACTGTTGGTGCCCTTTCCTCTGTTCGCCATGCACACAAGTCCCTCTTTATCGATCTTCCGCCAACCCAAGTTCTCGTCGGCGAACATTTTACCATCATAGATACTCGCCCCGCCAGTTCCATCGCCATTGGTGATATCGCCGCCTTGGATCATGAATTCTGAGATTACGCGGTGGAAGGTTGAGTTCTTATAATGGAGGGCGTGGGTAACACCTCCGGGGGCTGTATAGGTTCCATTGGAGCCGGTACATAGGAGTCGGAAGCTACATAAGTCAGTTAAATGTATTTTGGAAAGGATGCGGGGCTGGGGGGATACTTTTCACAGGTTTTGGGGGTCTTGTCGTCGAAGAGCTCGATGGTAATGCGGCCGGCAGGCTGCGTGCCGATTTGAATGTCAAAAAACACGCGAGGGCGCGGCATTGTAAAGGTAAAAGTAAAACTATTATACGATGCAGGAGAAGAAGGTTCAACAAGGGTTTGAGGAAGGGAAGCTGGAGGAGAAGGTTGGAGCTTGTGATCAGAGTAACTGGTTGACGAGAAGGGTACTTTACAGAGCAAGGGTTTCCTTGCAGGGCATGAATCTTGGCGGTCGATACCAGATCATATTATTAAGTTAAGCTTATCAATTGTACATGTAGGTATTTGATTGTTCTAATAGATATTTATTCATGTATCTCGTCTCAGGTGTAGGGATGAACTTCACAGGCCCCATTAATTCCCTCGGTTTTAATTAATGCCCCCTTGAATCTCGCAGTAACCAAACACTGTGTACCTGTGCCGGCCCGGTGTTGGCATTCAAAGACCCTGCCATGTGCCAACGCTGCGCGGCGCCCAACAAAATAATTCCCTCTGTACGGTATTCTTCAGTACGATTAAAGGAGATATTGATAACACAACTTCTGCCACAATTTCGACTTGAACTCCTAAACATCCCACCCATCCCACCCATCCCACCCCACCAATCACTGACCATGGCTTCATTAGTCAACGAGGTCGTAGCCAAAATTTCCTCCACTCTCGGCCCCTTCGCCATTCCCGCGCTCGCTGTCTTCGGTGCACTCTCGGTTCTATCCATAGGCCTCAAGGCTGTCAACGCTATCCTGAGTCTCTTCATCCTCAGCGGAACTAATGTAAGAACTGTTCTCTTGTGTAAATAATCACTTGGCATCTTCTGATACACCATAGCTCCGCAAATTCGGTCCCAAAGGCTCATGGGCCCTAGTCACTGGCGCCTCTGACGGCATCGGGAAAGAGTTTTCCCTCCAGCTTGCTGCAAAGGGGTTTAACATTCTCCTCGTCTCACGCACCGAATCCAAGCTTGCAACCCTAGCAACTGAAATCGAAAGCAAGTATGCCAGTACCCAGACGAAGATACTTCCTATGGATTTTGCTGCCAATGACTCAGCCGACTACGACCGTCTTGCAGCGCTCATCAAGGACTTCGACATCGCAATCCTCGTTAACAACGTAGGCAAATCACACGATATCCCGGTCCCCTTCCTCGAAACTACTCACAAGGAAATGAATGATATCATCACCATCAATATTACCGGTACTCTAAAAGTCACACAGCTTGTTGCTCCGGGAATGGCGGCGAGGAAGCGTGGGTTGATTCTGACCATGGGGTCGTTTGGTGGATTGCTACCGACACCGTTCTTGGCGACGTATTCCGGGTCAAAGGCGTTCTTGCAGTACTGGAGTACGGCGCTGGGAGCAGAGCTGAAAAAGGATGGCGTTGAAGTGCAATTGGTTGTTGGTTATCTTATTACTTCCGCGATGAGCAAGGTTAGAAAGCCAAGTATGATGATCCCAACGCCTAAGGGCTTTGTCAAGGCTTGTCTTGGGAAAATTGGGGTTAAGGGAACGGCGGCGGGAATGGAGGGGACTATTACTCCATATTGGGCACATGGGCTTATGCACTGGGGTGTTACCGCGCTAGGAATCTTCAATGGCACAGTGCTGATGAAAAACTTGGGCATGAATGTGTCCATTAGAAAGAGGGCTTTAAAAAAGAGGGAGAGAGAGGCGGCGCAAGGAAAGAAAGGATTGTAGATGACGAGTTATGGTTAAAACATAGATAGCTTCAAAGGGTGCTTTTTAATTATCTATGGGATTTGGGTTTTAGGTGCTGAGTGATGCTCCTATTTCTATTCTTTGTTTGTGAGGGGTTGGGGACAGTTCAGTGATGTTTTTGAGACTCCCAAGAAAGCCCAACCTACCATTTATATATGAAGGAACCATCAAACCTCTTTCGCGCACCTTAAATAAATAATTCCCTTTGATATCCCATAAAAATAGTACTTGCGTATTCCCCAGCACCACACTGGCCAATCCTCCCCATCTGCAGGTAAACAAAACGCCCAGACGCGCCAAGCCCCCAGTCGCACCAAGCGCAACCGCAGCCAACAACACCACCCCAGCGAACCCAGACCAAACCTAAGGAACAAAAACAGAAGTCGTAACGTTCATTCATTCACGTCAACCGTCCATCACCACCACCATCACCTCCCTTACACATAACGGTCCGCTCTTTACCCCCAATCCTGGAACGCGTCTCAAATTCTACTCGCCTCCACGGTCCGCCCTACACCACTCTCCCCACACATAGCGTCACAAACTCGCACCTTACGCCTACAGGGAAATCCTCTCCCATCCCTCCCCACACGCGACAGAAAAGGACAAATACAGATAAAGAAAGAGATGTCGATATTCGAGACCCCGCCATCGCAACGGCAGTTCCAATCCTCAGTCTACGCGGCGCCCGCCGCAAACACTCTGTACCCAGAACTACCAACCGAGCTACGGACACCAGCAAGAACTAGTAATACATACGGGGGTCCTCCCGGTGCCCCTGCTGGCTTCGTGACCCCCGAGCGTCCGGCGGATATGGCAGCGCATCCGCAACAACAGCAGCAACTGCAAAAGGTCCCGCCTACCACAGACAACCTAAGCCCTGTTGCGCGCGCCGCAAGGACCGTAAATGAGTACCTGACCACCGAGGCACGGTATCCGCAGCTGGATGATATTGTATCTCGTAAGTTTCCCTCTTGATGCGTTGTTTTGGAAGGGCAATGTAATGCAGGGTTGTTAACAAGGTGTGGGATGAATAGAGGGCCAGTCGTCAGATTATGATCTCCCAAGGTCTCCGGCGTGGGAGCCGTTTCAAAGGTCGTTCAGCCATACGATCCCGGATTCAATTTTCGAACAGTATAACCGCGCAACGTCACACACGCTTATGGGCCTGTTTGCGGAGTTGAAGCAGGCATGGATTACGGTTGATAATCGGTTGTATCTGTGGGATTACACAACTCAAGGCTCGTTCCAGGGCTATGAGGGCCAACCTAACAATATCACAGCGATGCGCCTTTTGACACCAAAGAAGGGTGTATTTGTTGAGAGCGTGAACTATGTGCTAGTTGTGGCGACGACGGTCGACATCTTCCTGATGGGAGTGGAGGCGGTGACGAATAGCAGGGGTGGGAAGGATGTTAAGCTTCTCACTTCGCCACTGAGCGTTCCAACCAAAGGACTGGGGGTTAGTATCATTGAGGGGAGCAAGAATACTGGAAGGATCTTTTTTGGCGGAAGAGGCGATAATGATGTTTATGAATTTACATATCAGGTATTAAAATCATTTCAAGAGATTTTGCGGGTTCAATGGTACTAATAAGCATATAGGTACAAGAGAAATGGTTTCATGGAAAGTGTGGGAAAATTTGTCATACAAATGGTGGTGTTTCATCGTTTACCCCAAGACTCCCGTTTTGGGGCAGTCCTAAAGACAGTAAGTCTATCTTTGCTATAAAATAGAAGAAAATGAGAAACTTATTAAATTTGGCTAGCCGAATACATCGTACAAATGGTTATGGATGATACACGGAATCTTCTATATACTTTATCATCTAAATCGGCAATCAGGGCTTTTCACGTCAAGGGAGATACCACTCTCCAGCTAACTATTACCCACTCCTTCTCACATACCTTGGCAAATATCAGGGTCATGATTGGAAACACACCATTACTGGAGCCTAAAACTCCCATTATTGCCATTAGCCCTGTCACCTCATCTGAAGCTCGCCGTACACATTTGATTGCTGTTACGACCTCAGGATGTAGACTGTACATGAGCGCCGTAACTTCAGAGTATGGTTTTGGGGGCACCGATGCCGCACCAACAGCCATGCAGGTTATTCATGTCCGTTTCCCACCATCAGGAACTGGCCAGAGTTCTCTCAAGCCTACAAGAAAAGCTAAGGTTTTTCCACCTGGGTACTTCTTCTGCTTCGTAGACAAGCCAGACTCGAACGTTGATGAACTATTCCTGTCCGCCCCTGACTCTGGGAAGATTGCATTACTGGCCGAGAGCGGAACCTCTAGGCTTCAACTTGCCGAGACAGGCATGACATTGCAGCTTGATTCCCGTGTAGAAGCCGTTGAGCTTGTTTCTGCCCCCTTTGGCGCCAGCAAAGGACCCAACGGGTTCGGGAACGAGGCTGCAGTGCAGTATGATATGGCCCCAACTGAGGTCGCGATCTTGACAAACTCGGGGATCCACATTATCAAGAGACGAAGACTTGTGGAGGTATTTGACGCTGCCATCCGCTATGGCTCAGCTGGCTCCCCACTTGGTGTTGAGGGTGAGGTGCGGAAATTCTTTGAGACATATGGGCGGGGAGAGGGATGTGCATCTGCGCTTGCTGTTGCATGCGGCGCTAGCATCGAGGTTAACCAGATGCAAGCGCGTATCACTGACGTTGAGGTGTGCGATCTTGCACGTAAATACTTTATTGAGTTCGGCGGAAAGCCGCGCACTGAAAGTGTCTATGACTCATACGACCAATCCGCGCTGCCGAGCTTGGATAACATCAAGGTTTCCGGCAGAGCGGAGGGTATTGCGCTTTATATCTCAAGGATCGTCAGGTCGATATGGAAGAGCGTTATGATTGTTGAAGCCCCCGGCCCCGTACCCATGTACAAGAGCAATATTCCAATTCCCAAGCTGAAGGGGATCCAGGAGCAGCTAGTCAGGCTGGCGAAGTTCTTGCAAACAAATCGCAGCTTCATTGTCGGTCTGTCTGGCGCGGAGTCGCTCATGGGGTTGGGAAGCCGCGTTGAGGAGGTCGCTCAACAAGCTGAACATCGCATGCTTCATGCGCTTCTTGCCCTAATCGAAAGTATGATTGAGGGAATTTCCTTCGTCCTTTTCTTGTTTGATGATAAACTCGACGATATCATTGCTAGCCTGCTCCCAACCCAGCAGGAGGAGGTCAAGCGAATTACTTATGATGGGCTCTTCACTACCGAGAGTGGACAGGCGCTCGCGAAGGATCTCGTCACCGCTATCGTGAATAGAAATATCGCGGCAGGGATGAATGTAGATACAATCGCGGATGCGCTCAGGAGACGATGTGGAACTTTCTGTTCGGCTGATGATGTAGTGGTATTTAAAGCCATCGAGCAGGTCCGTAGAGCAAAGAACGAGACGTCAGACCCGGACGCTAGAAACAAACTGCTCAGGGAATCATTGAGGCTCTTCGAGGAGACGGCAGGAAGCTTGACCATGGAGAACCTGAGGGATACTCTGGAGCATTACCGGGAATTGGGCTATTACCCAGGCGCGGTACAGTTGGCATTGAAGGTTGCAAATGAACATGATAGGGGCAATGAAGCCCTTGGGTTTCTAGCTGATGGCGGTTTAGATACTGTGAGTTTTATTTTTGTTCTGATCTTGGGGGAATAGGGGCGCTAATTGGCGGAATAGGATCCGAGAGCTAGCTTTTATCATAAGCGGGTCGAGTGCTATCGTCTGATTTTCGAGGTCCTTGAGGAGTTGGATCTCGTGTTTGGCACTGTGCCAGAAATGATCGACGGGGTTCCTAGTCCAGCCACACGTATTCGCAACGAAACATGGACCCTTGTCCATAGCTCCACCGACGAGACATTCCACAATACCCTTTATGACTGGCTCTTTACACGAGGTGGTGGGGGTAGCAGTGAACGTCTCCTTGACGTGGACTCGCCGCATGTTCTTTCTTACCTCAAACGTACCTCCATAAACTCACTTCCCCACTACGAGTTATTATGGCAGTATTACGCCCGCCGTGAAGATTACTTTGCCGCGGCGGAGGTACTTCATAAGCTCTCACAGAGCGATTTTGACCTAACACTGGGCAAAAGATTGGAGTTTTTGAGTCGTGCGAGAGGTTTCTGCCACAGTTATGGACCTATGGGCACAAGACAGAAGATGAACGAGTTGAGCCACATGATCCAGGAAGAATTAGATGTAGCAGCAATTCAGGATGACATATTGAAGAAAATTAAGGACGACGATAGGATTACCCCAGCGAAAAAGGAGAAATTATCAAAGGAGCTAGATGGGAACTTGCTTAGTCTAAGTGATGTATATACCCATACCCCTTTGATTATGGTACATGATTATATACTAACTGGGAAAACAGCTTTTCAACAAATATGCGGATCCATATGGATACATGGAAATCTGCCTTGCCATCTTCCAAGGCGCAGATTACCGCGGTGCCAACGAGATTAGAAAATGTTGGGAACAGCTCATCTCTCAAGTCCATGCGAAAGCCGTTGCCAGCCAGCGAGTGCAGCCCTTCGAGATTGTCGCTGACACTGTTCGTCGTCTCGGTGCTCGCTTCTCATTATCAGAATATATCTTCCCTCCAAATGATCTCGTCCCTCTTCTTGAGATATACGCCTACGAGAATCAGCGCGATGTTGGCCCGCCTACATGGGTCGTTGATACTCTGTCGGAGGCCGGGATTGCAAACGAGACAATTCTGAGAATACTCGATGAGATGTTCTGGCGCGACGAGGTCCCATTTAAGGGAACCGCAAGGAGAAGGCTGGTACGCGATGCCGTCTTCGTGGCGGAGAAATGGTTCGCAGCCGCCGTGAGAAGAGGCGGCGAGGCTGCGCTGAAGACAGAGATGGTGAAGAATGTGTTACATCAATTCGCGCAGGCGATTCCAGACGGCGCAGACAAGGAGAGGATCGTGAGGTTGATTGAGGAGATCACAAAAAGGCTAGGATAACTTAATATTGTATCTTTTCAAGGTGGAAGAGGGGGAAATGATTAATGCAAGGTTTATTGTTTCCTGTATTTGTGTTGTGTTGTGTGGTTTTGGTACAAGTAATGTCTTTTTTTGTTGATTTCCTTGAAGCATGAGAGTCGGTAAAGAGTTTGTATGGATACATGTAGGTTGGGTTGGTAGAGCATTCTTGATTTTTCACCCTTTTCTGTTACTCTTAAGATCTTACCACCAACTACTATTACAGGTGCCAGGGATAGCGGTTGTATATTAGTATTCTTAGTACTGCATGCATTTTGATATCCTGAATTAGTATATGTAGATTGTGGGTTTTGTTCTTTGTTTTGTTCTTGGCAGGCGTTGTGCAATTAGTTATAGGGATTTAATGATCCTTGGAAAGCTTGATTTGACGATCGAAGCAAGAGTTATTTTGGGATCTCAGAACTGTAGGAACTTGATTCGAGGTCGAGAAAAAAGACTGGGAATTGCTTCTGGTGTCTGATTATCTCACTACATCTGCATGTAGTCCTATCGTAAGCTGTCCCTGTCGAATATGCACTTTAGGTATTGTTTCCCGCCCACGCGTGTAACTGGGCCGGGAAACTACATGTACTTCGGTATCAAGGGTAAGTGAGTAGAACGTGGCAGCGTGGCTAAAGCTGTAGTTTTCCTGTTTTGCTCGCGAATATGAACCGCCGCGTTCTACTCACCCCTGATACCGAAGTACATACTGTAGGTATATGTACCTACATGACATCATTTCCGGGGTTATCCGACTGTCCACCTCAAAGCCACTGGGTTGTTAACCACCATAAAGACTTCCGCACCATACCATTCCTAATACCGACATCCTTATCCGTTAAACATTCCAGTAGAACATCTCCGGTTCGTTTAATTTATTCCCACCTTCTATCTAACCCGGGTAACAAAGAAGGAATCTGGGAGCCACTACAGCGGAAATAAAAACTACCTATCATGACTTCTGGTACGATTATCCCTACCATCTCTGAAGAGACAACATTACAGCTACCGCCGTCGACGGACCACAGTAGTGTATGTTGCTATTTATTCCCACTATGAAGATGTTGAGTTGATGAACTGATGGAGACGAGCAGAACGACCATGCAGTGTATATTGACGGTGAAGACGATGACGAAGATAATGAGCACGTTCTCCAGGTAATATAAAATCTGATCGAGGCAAGCCTAAAAGAAGGCCTAAATGTCTATTTTAGGCTCGTATTTCTTAAAAACATTTATAGGAGCTTACCCAGTTTTGTTTGTCCCGGTTTAGATAACATTTGACCCCCATGTTCGAGCAAACCGTCGACGAAAGTCGTCAATAGTCAGTATGGAGCGGCTCACGCTCAATTCCACCATTCACGGAAGCGGGGTAGGAGTAGGAGCGGTCGAAGCAGAATTTCGTGCTAGTCGCTCCCGCAGTAGCTGCTTTATTCATTCCCACCTCGAAGCGTACCAAGATGCGGATGATAATCGTGTCAATGGCCCGCTCGAGTGCAACAGAAACAACCCGGTTGAAAGAATCGTCGAGCAGAATATCCCGCCGTTTATGAGCAAGTCAGAGCTCTCTGATATGGTCCTCGGGGTTGGGGAGCTGAGCAAGCGATTCTCAAACATGCGTATCAAAATTAAGGTTAAGACGGTAATGATCTTGACGAAGACTTACGATAAATCGCTTATAAAGCACACAAGGAGGTTGGCAGAGTGGATGCTATCGCCCGAGAGGGGAAAGAATTATATCGTCTATATCGATAGCGTTTTTAAGGACACACCAGAGCTGGACATCGCAAGGTTTTTTGAGCAGTATCCGCAGTACAAATCTCGTATTCATTGGTGGGATGCAGAGCTCTGTGCAACGAAGCCTCACACATTTGATATGGTGTTGACGTTGGGGGGTGATGGTACAGTCTTATATGCAAGCTGGCTGTTCCAGAAAGTCGTCCCCCCCGTCTTCTCGTTCGCTCTAGGTTCATTAGGGTTCTTGACCAAATTTGATTTCCCAGGATTCCAGGAAACTCTTTCTAGCGCTATCAAGGATGGGGTCATGGTTGGGTTAAGGTTGAGGTTCCAAGGTTCGCCCCATCATAAGTAATCACTCGATTATATTACCATTACCAACGCTCGGTTTTGTAGGGGCAATCATGCGGTGCATTGATAAAGCTGGGGTCGAAAACAAGGATCGGGATATTACAGCAGAAATTCTGGATAGGGCAGTTAATAGACAGTTGACGCATCGTTTCGATGTGGCCTACACTGTCCTCAACGAGATCGTGGTTGATCGCGGACCAAACGCAAGTATGTATCCTTTACACAATATATACCATTGCGTTACCAAGTGCTGATTTTCATTGCCAACAGCCATGTCCGCCACAGAGCTTTATGGCGATGACATGCATCTTACTACTGTCCAGGCGGATGGTGTATGTATTGCTACTCCAACTGGATCTACTGCATACAACCTTGCTGCTGGGGGTCTCTTTGCTATCCAGAGATTCCAGCGATGCTCGTAGGTGTCATTAATATGGATATTGTTTCCCCTATTAACACCGAACTTTAGGTTTCACCGATTTGCGCACATAGTCTCACTTTCCGTCCTTTGATACTCCCAGACTCCATGGTTCTTCGTGTTGGTGTTCCTTACGATGCCCGCACTACTGCTTGGGTCTCTTTGATGGGCGGCAAAGAATTGAATTGCAACGTATACTCCCTCACAAATTTGGCCTTGTTACCGGATAATCCTAACTCGCGTTATAGAGGGTGATTATGTGATGATAACTGCTTCCCGATTCCCATTCCCCTCTGTCCAGAGCAAAGGTGAGAATAAGGACTGGTTTGACTCTATCCGACGTACTATGAATTGGGGTGTGAGAGCCAGACAAGAAGCTTTTACTTAATTAGCTACATACACGTAGTTCTCTGGGCGGTTATGGAGCGGCACGGATCTTAGGGATATTATTTCATGAGATGGGTCTTTTAGACGCCGTGTATAGAATTTCTTTCGGACTTGCGTGGTGGGCATGAGGCTTGGGCGTTGTGCAGATATCTTTTAACTTCTATGAATACCTCAGTTTGGAAATATAAACTTCAAGAATTATTTTGTATATGTACGGCACGGGAGAGGTTAATGATAAAATACTGAATTCGCAAATTAATTCTGTATACTGCCAGATTACTATCAAAGTCCAACGGAATTCTGTTAAGTACGGAAGCAGCCTCACTAAGCTTTAGGTATTGTATAGAACTCAAGCAGCCCAGGAAATGTCTATTATGGTTCTCTTCGGGTGCCTCCGTATCCAAATGTTGTATTGTTTTATAGGGCTAGGGTTCATTGTGCTTACAAACAGCATCGCATATTCTCGTCACTGCGCCTCACGTTTGGCTTCTCTCCAACCATCTACCACCTTCTTCGCCCCGTTAAACGCTCTCCCACGTAGAGCCTCAGCATCACTTCTACATACAGGCATCTTACACAGTCCTATCTGTCGCTACTGCAGGATCGATAATCACAGGGAAAAAGGATTCTATCTGTTTGTTGAGTAGAGGATCGACGGATCAGGGCTCAGAGGACTTCTCCTAGGCAGTCGTCAACTGAACGGGTCATCGCCCATTCAGGACGCTTCATCGATAATTATCTAGCGCACAGCTTCGTCCATCCCTGAACACCAGCGAAAAGATGGCGATGCTTCCGCCCCCCGCCCCGACAGCTGCCCAGCACCAGAAAGCGTGGGAAGCAAATCATAACGTCTCCGTCATGTGTCCCGACTGTCGAGAGGTCCCGGCAAACCTAGTTGAAGAGTTTTCATCGGGTGATATGGTGTGCGGCTCTTGCGGGCTGGTTCTTGGTGACCGTATCGTGGATACTAGATCCGAATGGCGTACCTTCTCCAACGACGATCAGGGTGGTGATGATCCTTCGCGTGTTGGTGACGCTGCGAATCCATTCTTGAATGGAGCTCAGCTCGAGACCACAATTTCTTATACACCCGGCGGTGCGGGACGAGAACTCCACAGAGCGCAGAGTAAGACATCGCATGATAAGACCGCGAAAGGGCTCCTGGCCGCGTATAAGGAGATTGGTGCTTTCTGCGACTCCATCAATATCCAGAAGATTGTGTCGGACGCGGCCAAGCAGCTGTTTAAGGTTGTCGATGATAACAAGGCGTTCAAAGGGAAACCTCAGGAGGCCATCATCGCCGGGTGCATTTTTATTGCCTGCCGTCAGTGTAATGTCCCGCGAACGTTCCGTGAGATCTTTGCGTTGACAAAGGTTCCAAAGAAGGAGATTGGGCGTGTCTTTAAGGCACTGGAGAAGTTCTTTGCCGCACAGGATAGCAAGAAGATGGAGGAAATCACAAAGAGCGGTGGTATCGTGGATGATAGTCAGCAGTACAGGACTACTAGCTCGACGAAGGCCCACGACCTCATGATCCGTTACTGCAATAATCTGAACCTTTCGCAGAACTGTACTACAATCGCCCAGGAGCTTGCTAGCAGGGCAGCGAACACTGGGACTTTAGCCGGAAGATCCCCGATCTCTAGTGCTGCGGCTTGTATCTATATGGTCTCCTACCTCATGAAACAACCCAAGACCGCGAAAGAGATTTCAGGCGTCGCGGGTGTCAGTGATGGGACGATCCGGAACGCCTACAAGCATCTCTACAACGATCGGGCAAAACTCATTGACCCCAAGTGGATCGAGAACGGAAAGGGGGACATTAGCTTGCTCCCATCATCCTAAAGGATATATCTATATGCCTTCATACAATAGAGTGGTTAAGTATGGGAGGATGTGTTTATGGCTTTGCAGACACTATTTGCACCATCTCTTTTATTACCTAGACTGAAAAGCGCAGCTCCGGTTCTTTATCATCTTAGTGGTCATTAAATTGATTAGTTGTTCGTTTCCTGTTGTATTCATAGAGTTTTTTTTTTACCTCTCTCTTTTGTTTCGCAATATTGGCGTTGATAAAAATGGAATATGGGGAGATGGGAGGCTAAGGGGGGCATTATTTTTTTATTTTTATTTTTTCCTTTTACAGCCGACTCTCGTTATAACGGGAAGTGGCATCCTTATAACGAGATAATCACTACAAGAAGTTTATGGTTAGGTTTTATTGGAACGGAGAATAAGATTTAACAGCGGAAAGGGTAGAGGAGGGCCAGCGAAAGGGGGTGGGTCCAGAATGTACTAAATTTGGTATCAGTTCGTTGTTGGGTGAAGGTTTCTTTATCCATGCTTTTCCTTGCTCAGACCCATTTTCTCGTTCTCTTGATATAAAGGTACCCTTAAAGTACAGATTTTCACTAAATACTTATTAATATTGTTCTATCAATATCCCATACTTAAAAGTAAGGCGAATATCGCCATATCTCTGTATTTTCGAGTAGTTCCAATTAATCTATATATCTATAGTTATACTAGTTTATTCTAAGGCGGGGTCAAGGCTTTATACGGCAAAATATCATACTACGTTTCTAAGCAAATAAAAAAAAAAAAAAAACAATTTGCGTGAGTCAGTGCTGGATTGGAGGGTTTCTGAAACTACTGACTACGGGAACACGGGAGATCACTCGGCCGGCCTTGTATACTTTGGGAGAATGATTGACTGATTGATAATTCATTGATTGTATATACTCTGGGAATATGTTCGCGAATTCGTTGTTCGATCAATTATAATACTATAATTCCACCTCATGGTGGCTGAACTTTACTGGAAATATCGTAGAGATGGGATATAGAGGGAGGCATTTGTTTATATATAGCAAAAAACGGGTTTCGTTGCTTTAAACGCTGGAGGTTTCGTAAGGATGGAATTTGGGGAGGATGGAATTATAATAGGTTTAATTTCTGTAGTTGTGGTCTGGTGTACTATGTCGATGTCTATTTGGGTTTAAATTGATCATATCGCGGTCTGTCACCCTTGTCACTTGTTTTGTTAAATATGTCACAATATATAGTCTTGCATTCCGTCTTGTACCAAACAGCATATCTATAGGACGTACCGGGACAAGTCTCATACTTATCTGGAGGTTAGACCCCATGGTACGTGATTTGGCGTCATGGTAGCGTATGTGCCGGTCCCTTGATCTCGGGGTGACGCTTAAGGTCTTACTTTACCCCAGATTCTAACCGATACAGACTAGGAGCGGGTATTGTTCTTGGTTTAGTATTCAGAGCAATGCTGTCAACTACATGTACATACAATGTTTAGGCTTCTAAGATTGCAATAAAATTATGCCCACAAGGGTGAACAAAGAACGTACTAGGGGCCTGTTCGGCACGAATATCATAATGCTCTCGATACTATGGTAAGATGGCGTTCGGTAAACTAAAATAGGTACCTGGTATTAATAGGTATATGGTATTCCTGGAGGCATTTATTGACCACCGAATACCTCAATACCGCAACAATACTTACATGTAGTTTTTCTTTGGGATGAAATACCACGCAGCCGAGAATAACATGTTAAAACCAAGATGCACCCGAATAAGGCCTAACTATGTATCTAATAATGTAGGCACATACACAGAGTAGACGTATATATATGTATTATAGAACCGTTATACAAGGAATCAGTGAAAGCTGTCGCTATTGTCAGGAATAATTAGTTAAATTTAACGGATCTCGCAAGATCAATGAAAGATGGATCTGGAACTGAGTCCATGCTTTTAAGCTTAATAAGACTATGGTAAGATTCACGATACACATACCCATGGGAAGATCTTTAGTCATAGATAGTAGAGTATGTTGATGTAGACGCGATAGTGTACTCGTAGCACCTAGCCAGGATACTCTAGATAGGAGTTGCGCGTGCATGTGTTCCTGACTAGGGGCGTTCGGTGTTCTCCTTTGAGCCCTTTCAACTTTGGCACCTCCTGAGCCCGCCAAGGTGCTCACTTGTCTGTGTCCTTTCCAAGCTTCCTATCTAAACATTTGAAGGGGAGCCCGCCAACCGCTCTGAACTTTCCTCACCCTCCCCACACCCCGCCCCCGTATATATTTTACCCCGGGCTTCTTTGCTCCACAAAAACTCGCCTTCACCCCGCATAAGCAGGCGTGTTTGTTTGTTGAGAGCCAGTGAGCTGTTAGAAACAGGAGTCATGGTTACTAATTCCCTTCCACAGCTGGCCATGGACTCGGAACATTCACATTCCTCTCACTCGCATTCTCACTCGCATTCTCACTCACACTCGCCCTCTCACCCGCACTCGCCTTCTCATTCGCATTCGCATTCGCCATCCCATCTATATTCGCATTCCCACTCACATTCGCACCCACACTCAGGATCAGGATTAGGATCAGGGTCAGGGTCAGACTCGGATTCGCACTCGCACTCGCACTCTCATTCAGAGTCTTCCCATTCGCATTCGCACCCCCGCGCCAATGGCCACGCTCGTAATGGGTCTACGTTAGGCGTTCAGAACGGATATGCGTTTCCATCTCCCTTCGTAGGCACATCAGCACCAGCGTCCACATATCTCGCTCCAACGGAGTTCCCTGATAACGGGAGATCATCCATAGGGTATTTACCAATGTCTCTGCTTATTTGAGTACTTATGAATACTAACTCCACGCTTTAGGAAACCCTCAGTATCTGCTTCGAACTTTATTACGCCTCTTTCATTAGTGGCGGCCTTTCTTCTCGCAGAGCTCTCGGCTCCGCGCAATCAGGTCGCATTCACCTCCGAAAACGTTAATGTTTCCTCAGCTTTAAATCCACTCGAGACATCTGGGTCCGGTCCGACTCCGCTTTCCGCGCTCCTTAACAGCATCTCCTCCGCTTCTGCCTTGGGTGCTGGAACACTTCTTTTGCCCGGTAGTTATAAGAAGCTGCGGCAAATTATCGGGGGTGGGCGCGGAGGTAATTCAGATGAAAGTGGCGGGAAGTTTTACCCCAAGAAGCGTAGGGAGCAATTTAGCCCTCTTGTCGTGGTCGAAAGAGCGGTAGGCGCCATGGTGCCTTATTTTGCGGCGATTGAGTTGGGCGCTGTTAGGACTGCGGCGATAGTGCTAAGTATTTCTGCAGGGGGGTTGATTATGGCCGGGAGAGCCGGAGATATAAAGGGTATGGTAACAAGTAAGAAGGGTGCCCTGGGAGCAATCATAGTGGGTGTGGTGTATGATTTGTGGAGAAGTAGTGAGCTGGAGAATGGTTTGTGCCTGCCTCTCCCATGTTTTTCCGGGATGCCGAGATATTAATTACACCACATATATAGGCTCTCTTTCATGTTTAATAGCATATTTTTTTCTAGTCTTTTCACTTTTGTTCTTGTCATCGCCATACCCGTTATTGTTCATTCCGTCGGAAAAGTCGTCATCATCGTCGGGGACACAAACTCCGATCTCAACAAAATCTACGCAGCTGCGGTCTAGTTTTCCAAAACTCACCCGGAATCCGTCAACACTGATGACATCAGCGCTTACTGGGAAAAGCCCACTCATTTCCTCTTATCAATCTAAACTATCATTGATCTCTGGAGCCGTGTTATCGTCGGTTATTGCCATAAATTGGGTCTTTACCGGATCTACAATGAAACGTACACAACCTGAAAATTGGTTCTGTCTATGGGCTGCAGCGGTCGTTTCCGGATTGGTTGCGATAGAATTTGGCACGGGTGTCAGAAAGATTGGATTTGGAGTTGGTACCTTTACAGCGATGGCAGCTGGCTGGGCAATGTTAATGTCCGATATGACGGCCGTAGTAGGGAACGTTATTCTTGCTGGTATGATGTGGGCGGGAATACTACTCGATGAAAAGGCCCAAAATTATAGCCATGACCATGATCATGGACACCACCATGAACCGAAAGAAGCCAAAGCCCCATCAACAATTACGAAAAGTCTTCTCCGTATGTCCGAGGGACTGCCTCTATTGCATGGTATCCTCATCGAAAGAGATTCACGGCGGATCTTCTACTTCATGTGGTATGTATCATCCGTTCGAACTACGCGTGTATGGTTTCTAATAACGTCCTTTACATAGTCTTAACTTCGCCTTTATGCTGGTCCAGACCTGCTACGGCTTTGCAACAGGCTCTCTCGGTTTGATCTCGGACAGTGTTCATATGTTCTTCGACTGTCTCGCTCTAGGTGTCGGCCTCTGCGCAGCAGTAATGTCGAAATGGCCACCCTCAATGAGGTATCCATACGGACTGGGCAAGATGGATACTCTTGCTGGCTTTGCCAACGGCATTTTCTTGATGCTCATATCTGTCGAGATCGTCTGGGAAGCCATCGAGCGTCTCCAGAAGCCTACAGAGATGTCACGTCTTGTCGAACTCATGATTGTGTCTAGTCTTGGGTTGGCAGTAAATTTGGTCGGTATCATGGCCTTCGATCATGCGCATATGCACCATGGCCATAGTCACTCTCATGGTCACAGCCATGAGCACGCTCATGAATCATCTCACGATCACGATCACGATCATGCCCATGCCCATGCCCATACCCATGCCCATGATGATGACCATCACCACTCACACGCCGAGGAGCCTGTTGTATCCCCACCGTCTCATAATCACTCATATGATTCGGAGAATATGCATGGTATATTCCTGCATATCCTTGCTGACACGCTTGGCTCCGTCTCTGTTGTGATATCAACGCTTGCAATCCAATACACTGGCTGGACCGGTTTCGATCCGCTGGCGTCCGTGTTTATTGCAGTGCTCATCTTCCTTTCCGCCATCCCACTCGTAAAGTCTTCCGCCTCTAATCTCCTTCTCACTGTGCCCGCCAACACAGAATATACTCTCCGCGAGACTCTTGCAGGTGTTAGCGGCGTAAAGGGTGTCGCAGGATACACAGTGCCCAAGTTCTGGGACGTGGACGGTGTGGTAAGAGGATGCCTACATGTGCAGGTAGTCAGAGGCGTGGATGCCGAGGCCGTTTGCAGAGAGGTCGAGAGTTGGATACAGAGCGGGCTTGGAAAAGTTGAGGTCTGTGTAGTAGCGGAGAGAGGAGACAGTGCGGGCAATTGTTGGTGTACTAAAAGCTAAGTGGATTTAATGTTGCGTGGTGAATGGTTTTCTTGTAGTTATCTTTTTTCTATCCTATCATTTCTCGATAGTGATGATGCTGGCTGATGGGTAACTATGTATTATGTTATGTATACATGCGGATGCCGGGAATGCGCTATGAAGGGTGGGTTTAGGACTAAATGCAAATACTGTGCATTGGTTAGATATATCCTATGGGTGTTGTAAAGCTAGAAATAAATGCTTTCTATTGTTTCTAATTAATATTGGTGGTATGCGGTTGAGGAATCATTGGCATGATGCTACTCCAATATTAAAGCGTTCGTGAGAAGGAAAATAGAGAGAGTTTGCGGGTACCGTAATGATTACAAGAAAGAAGTGCGAGGGAATGATCTTCCTAGACATGTTATGCATACTTTCTAACCATCGATTCCATCTAAGAAATAGCGCCTAGGCGTTATTCTGACAATAAATGCTGTCGCTCACCCTAGTCCTAGGCAACTATAGTCAACCTAAAAACAAGAGTGCTGAATGCGTAGTAAGAGACAGCATAAACTTATATCGAGCCATACATAGAGTTACCAAAATGAATTCCGGCCCTCGGACACTTGTCGATGGTGATGATAAAGTCCCCAATCATAACTCATCACTCGGCAACATATAATGGTGTTGGCGCTGCAAGTATCCCTTAGTCTATCAATAAACGATGCCCCCTGTGTGCAAAGATTGTGGCAAATACTAACAAATTGTTATTAATTTTTTCATTTGAACTGATATTCTACTCGGATTTGCAGTGCCTATATGAAAGGGCAGCATGACAGAGTAGGGGATAGAGAAAGCAATAACAGAGAATGGCACACATTAGGAGAGTTGAGCATACTTCCTAGAGGTTGAATAGTATTATTAATGAGGGGGTAAAGAATAGGTACGTTGAGGTTTCCTGTGTTCTCGCGGGTCTAAATGTGCTGGTATTTTTGACCTGTATGAAGCCCCTCCATAAAACTATCAAGATTCTGCTAGAATGACAGCCTAAAGCTTGATAAGCTCGTCTACCTATATCTAATCCGAAAGAATTCACTATTAGTTAATGACGGATACATGTACGGCCCTCGAATAGGGGAGGAAAGAATAAGGGTTAAATTACTTTAGTAGAGACAGATTAGTTTCATCTTCATTTTCGTTTTCGTTTCCTTTCTTTTGGTACTTCAGGTGTTTCCATAACCTCCGGGTTGCATATAATTAATGAAGTAATCAATCAATCAATCAATCAACCAATCTAATCATGAATTAAACCAAAAAAAAAAAAAAAAAAAAAACCAATCTAATCTAATCTGAGTGAAATGATGCTCACGAGTGATACCCTGTGAAGATGTAGCCTTCGGAATACTGTATCGAGCAGTGAGGTCTGGATAGGCCGGATTCGCAGACACTTTTTCCTTGTTATATTTTTCAATCGCTGATAGACTACCCTTCTGTATTGGTAGAAATTGGGCCTGACAAAATGAGTTATTTATAGAAAAACTTAGATATGTACTTTCCTAGAAAGGAACTGCAAATACATCTGTTATTACCGACAAACCCCTACTCTGTATAGCACTTTCTCTCTCACCCGCTGACAAAAGAAATCATGTTTGTATTGTACCCAAATGATACTGACAACCGTCGTTTTCATACATTTGGTAGGCACTCGCTGACCACTGGCATCCAGATCTCACTGCTATAGCACATCATATGAACCAGTGTCTATATATTATCTCGGCACTAATTATATTTGAAATAAAGTTCCGGTTATATATACTTAATACCGGGTTATATACTGGGGGATATACAAGGCTATGGCATTAAGTGAGCGAATTACATGGGGTGTTGACAGGTGAGCATCCGTTCACTCACTAAATCCCAGAGCCTTGTACAGCGGTGGGTAATAAGTGATGGAACACAGCGATACCTGTTTTGGTAAAACGCCACCAACATTGAGTGTTTGTACTCTCAGGGCGTCACTTATTACCTACCACTGTACATGTATGTTCATGTATGTACTTGGGGCTTTCAAAGTTCAAACCCTCCAAAATTGTAAACTAGAATGTTCCACGTATCTCATGATCACCATAAAGTTCACTTGTAAATATCGATTTTTTGAGTTAAGATACTGCTAGATATCTTTGTTTTTATAATACGCCTTATGATTAGGCTGCAAGTTGACAAACTATAGGGTTGGGTTGGGCGAGTACTCTAGGGTCTGCTGTGGTTGTAGAGCTGTAAGATAAGTGGCTCAAACCATAGTCTCGTTCCCAGACTATTGCACTGCGTAGAATCAAAAAACACAGGCTGGGCACGAGACTACTCAAACCAGTAAGCTAAATTTATTCACATGCCGTGCCACTACTGTATTGCTACTGCACCAGATACACCTCCCTTTTTGCTGCTGTGTTTACTCTATTAGATGAGAAGAAAAATACGAGCGCTGCGTACCACTTCAATCCCATACTCCCTTCCCTACCATTTTTTCCTTTTTCTCCAGCTTCCGTACCTAACCGTTGACTATTCTGGCAGTGAGATGTCTAATTGGCGAGAATTGTAAAGCGCAGCCGGATAAGAACCCAGACCTGCAAAATGCGATGATTTATACAATGTATCTAACTGACAATACTTAACCCAGGAGTATTTGCCGGGAGATGAATTTGAATATGTTGCCTTTTTATATCCCGATATATATGTAGTAACTTTCCATATGGAGCAACTATTGTATCTACTAGTAGAAATAAATAATGGCAATGAGGTTTAATGCCCAAGCCGCCAAGACCCAACGATCACCAACCCGTAAAGCTTGTCCTATCCACGTGCACTGCATTGAACACCGCAACCCCGCAACTATTCTCACTCCGATACCGCAATCCAACATGGCGCCTACCCTTACAGCGGTATATGGATCTCCTCTTTCCACGGAGCCTCATATCTTCTCATACCCTCTACCGGAATCCGTAGCTTCTTCTACGACTACGGCTACTGATGCAAAGACACAGCATCTTTCGGACCTCCGAGCGGCGGTCATAAGACTTCAGGAGGAGATAAATACGTACTTAACTGAAAGAATGCAAGCGGAGAAAAAGGCGGAAGAGGATGCGATGGCGGAGGAAAAATACGGCGAGGAGGAAGGAGAGGAGGAGGATTAAGGTCATGAGGCAGGTGCGGATGTCATACGGTTTTGAAGATTTTTTCTACTTGGCGGGAGAAGGCTTTCGGTATTTTTTTGCAGTACTTGTTACGCAAAGGCTGTCGGTTGTCAAATCTCAGACTCGACCTCACCTTTCTCTTTCTTCTTTCTTTTTCGCAAACCTTGGAGTCCGCGGTTTGTGTAAAGCTTTGTGAAATTCCCTTCCCTTCCCGCTCGCTCTAAAAATCGGAGGACCGTGTCAAATCTGGAAACTCGTTTGACGAAAGGCTGTTGCCTAGCTGAACTGGCAATCTTTTGTCAAATCGCGATATTATCCTATGAGAAACTCATTTCTTCTCTTGCTAAAAAAACATTTCTTGAGGAGGATATGAGCTCAACAAATAACCAAAAGAAAAAAAATAAACCCCTGTGTGAAAGTAAAAGAACAGACATCATTAAAACTAGAAGAAAAAAAAAGTCGACTGAACCCCGAAAATCCTTATCTGTTATCAAGCGTACACGCTCGTTTGTAGCTTTTGCACACCTACCAACGGGTGGGGGGAAGAATAAAAACCATGTTGTACAAAGCAGCCCGTACTTTACATTTCCTTCTGAGCACAGCCATAATGTACTACCATTCCACTTAACCGAATATAAATTATGTCAGTATTAGCCATAGTTGGAATAGAATGGATGTTACATACCTTGCAGTTCTCAAAATAACACTAGTCCCCAACTTTTTGTGACAAACCGGGCACACCCTTTCCTCGCCGACAATGACATGCTTATTCCGGCTTTCTAACAATCTTTCTTGGACATCTACCCTAAAACTTGCCCTTAGTTGGGCTGCCATGCGGTTTTCTACCATACGGGAATTCGTATGTCTGATCCGGCTCTTGAAATAGGTTTCCAGATTCGAGATTTTGATGTCTTCAGGTATAAGCTTTAACGCGTCTGAAGCTTCTAGCCTTGCACCGTGCCGAGACAGAATTGAAAGTGCTGGACCGAGCTGCTGCATATACCCCGGTGGGGGACGTAAATAAAGAGAGAGGAGAGTATGGTAGACTGTCGTAGGCTTTGAGGTCTCGGCGGGATCTTCAGGAGGCGAAGCGTGGTGGATTTTAGCACAGTATCTATTACTATTAGCGTATATTTAGTAAATGGGAGAGCATAATATATACTCTTCGGCCTTCTCATGATCCTTCAGCTTGAACACATAAATCTCTAAGGCTGTCTTATGTTGTCCCATATTACTCAATACCACTGCCCTTGCCTCATAAAACTCCGGATCATCCCTCGGTAACCATCCAAGAACTTTCTCATTCCGGTATTGCTTTGAGCTAACCAGAAAGTCCAACAACTTCTCTCTCCATTTCAAGCGTTCTTTTTCTCGTCCATCAAAGTCATCCTCGGTTAGAGTTTGTAAATATAGCCAGACCATCCGAGTGTGGAACTCATGAGTTGGGTCGCCGAGCTCGTTGATGATATACTCCAAATACTGCACGGCAAGCATTCTATCAATCTCCTGTAGATACTCGAGAACTTTCCCTCTCGGTAACGATTCTGCGTTCTGGGAGTCGGTAGTGAAGACTTCCATCCCTAACTTTGGGTCTATCATTAGCGGCCATCTGGCATATTCAAGGATCAGGTCAATATGAGCGGCCTTTAGGTTCTGCAAGTACCCAATCGTCCTTTGTGGGCCCTGTAGGTTCATGGCGCGGGAATCTACACGCTCCTCCTGCCCGAACTGTCTCAATAGCTCTAATGCTTCTTTATGAAGCTCCTTCTGACACAAAAAGTCGACTAACTCTGTAAACATTCCCAGGTCCTGGAGTTTTTCACTAACGACCGCCGGATCGCCGTGTTTCTGGACTCGAACGAATGGACCGACTAAGCGGGGATTCGTGATAATATAAATCCTGAACAGAGTCGTATCTACAAGCCTAGCTGCCTGCATGAGGCTGTCTAGCCGTGTAGTGGCATCCTCCTTTAACATTTCAACATTTTCCGTATGGTTCGCAAAGCTAGCATCAAAGAGGTCATTCTTTGAGATTGAAACTGGAGAGGCGGGGCTACCGGTATTTGTGAATGTATCAAGCGGCTTTCCATCAGCATTGAAATATTTCGATATCTCGCGCCGTGTGTCTGCTAAAAACGCAGCCAACTCGTTGGCAGCTGTCTTTAGCTCGTCACCTTGTAGTATTGGCGGTGCTTCAGGGACAGTTTGAGTGTGCTTTACAGTGATACTCGCTGTATCGCTGTGATCGTCCGGTACAACCGCCGCCGCGTTACGTCGTACACCAAATGAAAATATGGAAGAAGTCTCAGAGTTCTTCTTCATGTGTGACAGATTTGTTTTCTTCAGCTCGGCAAGGTAAGAAGGGGGCTGGGCTTTCCCGGCCTCCACCTCCGCCTCTTTCTTCCTGCCAAGGTTCCCACTTTCCGCCGGCGTTTTATTGGCTTCTGGCGCTTCTTGTATAGTCGTAAGGGTCTCATCGCCTTGCTCAACTACCTCAGGGGATTTCGTTGCTTCTGTTGCTTCTGTTGCTTCACCTAGGCCACCATCCTCAGCAGTTTCAGAGGGGTCATCATCCCCCGAATCTGCAGACTCCGTTGTATCTTCTTCGTTCCTATTGGTCTCAACAATCGACAAATCACCTGCAATAACCCTAGGAAACAGTCGTATCGCCCTTTCTGGTGGTGCTGAAACTTTAATGAAAAGATCCATACTCTCTCGATATTTCTTTTTGTCAAACAATCTCTCTGCCTTCAGCATTTGTACCTCTCGTAACTTTTCCTCTTTGCGATCTTTCAACAAAACATTTTCAAGGATTTCTAGTAGACTGATAGCTTCATCTAGATGCTCACCATCCACGAGCTCCTTGATCTGTGTCTCGTAATCCGCTGTGCTCATGCGCCATACCTGCGTTGGGGATGCGACGTAAAAGAGCTTTCCCGCGTGGACAAGGGACACGTTTGGTGGGGGGACGTTAAGAGTTGATACATTAGGAAGATGTATTGTTTGTAGTAAAGTCTGTGTTGACGGATTACGGACTTCCAGGTGTTGTTTGGATGTGTTAAGAGATACTAAATATGGGTATGAAAATACAATTGAATCTGGAGATACTGGCCATGGGATTGGTGGTCTATCGGGTATAACGTTGCCTTCCTTATCGATGAACAGGCTTGTGGCTAAAGAGTATGTGTAAGTAGTTGTGACAGGGAGCGGGCTTTTCAGCCATACTTACTATCTTTCACTAACAAAAGCTCATCTCCTCCTAAATGTGTACTCAATGGTTTCGAACCCCATCCTCCCATCCCCATGTATGCCGACCAGCCCACTTGCTCTCCACCGCCTACTACAGCGGCACCATTGCCTTTACTCTCTGGTGGGACTATATCTTCAATAGCACCAGTCTGTACATTGACTGTCACAAATCCACCTGATAACCCCGCCACAACCTTTTGTCCACTAGCCCAAGTCAAAGACCTAATAGCCCCACTCAAAATGACTTCCTTGCCTTCCTGAAACTCCTCATCGTGCCACGAGTACAGTAATAGTCTTTTCTTGATTCCGATGGCTAATCGACTAACGATACTAGGAATTTGTGTTGTCTCATCTTTTTCAATATTACTGGTCACAGCAAACGTAGTGGCTCCTTTCGTCTTAGATAATGTTTCCTTGAGGGTGAACTCGTCAAGGTCGTGAATATGAACGTAATTGTCACTGAGTGTGACGAGAATCTTAACCTCCTTTATACAAGCCAGAAGCTCGATCGACCTTCGCGAGAACTTGTCTATTGTACGTAGAAGTGATAGTGATATCTCGGGAGTGTCTGGATTTAGTACTTGGCACACCCTTAAGGTGCCATTGGAAAGACCTAATAAGAGCTTGTCGCCTTCACAATGAATGTCAGCCTCAAGAATGCAAGAGCTAGCGGGCATGGAGTTATTGCTGTTGTTATTAGGTCGTCCTACCATATGCCAACAAAGACTCAATTCTGAAGCGCTCTCTCGGGCCGAGCTCCAAGATTGAGCGAGCATTAAAGGCGTTGAGCATGGCAGAAGGTAGCCAGCCCGCGGCAGAGCTGGGTCAGCTATTGTTATTCAAGAGCTAGATTGGTAATCTATAAAGACGACTGTAGACCGATATAATGAGAAGGGGTCCGATAAAATAGCGATCGCGGGACAACTCAACTCTACTCAGACAGAAGAGGAGACAGTCAAAGAGACTGGGCCACACCACCAGTGGGGAGTTGATGCAGGATGAAGTCGCGAAACGGCCAACACTGACTGTGCCAAGAGGTATGACCATGCACCCCAAGCGACATGCCCAGATTTATTGGCTTAGAGCCTCACTAACTGATTGGCTGACTGGAGTGTAGAACTCAATATGCCGGGTCCCGTACAAACTCTACTATACCGGGTACAGGAATAAGAACCAGAAAATGCGAGTGACGATACAGGGACTATTTGTATGGAGTGGCGCCGCTCTGCCATACAAACAACCCTATTGAATTTTCTGGTTCTTTCTCCTGTACCTGAGTACAAAATCCTCGGGGAATTCTATTTTGCGGTTTACCTACTACAAAAAATCCCTATTGTACGGCATGTAGGTACTAGTAGTGAGTTTAGCGTGGCCATGGGTTAGGCTCCATTTGGCAGCCACACAAATCATGGTTGCAACGCCCCAAATCATGATCCTGGGCAAATTTTGAGCGTTTGGATACACCACCCCAAGCCCCAATCTAGAGCCTGGGAATCATGCCCCACCAAATATACACAAGTTTTGACATGGTGTGCCGTTGCAACAAAATATTGTTCAGAGGCGTTTGGATGGTCAAAATACAATTTGACCAAAATACAATTCCCATCATCCAAATCACAATTGGCAAGGATTGTGGTTGCTACGAGACGGCGCTTCCAAACAGAGCCTTAAGACCTACGCCACCCATGCGCCAGTTAATAGTGGTAATCAAAGTGCAGTTGAGGTGAGGCGAGTTGAGATTTTTGGCACCTCTATTCAATTGCAAAACCTCAAACGGATCTAAAAGGTTCAACGCACTCCAAAAAGCTCAACCAGCTTTTTGACGGTTGAGATTTTTGAGTCGAGCTGAGATTTGACAAAGAAGGCAAAGTTTTCACCAAAGCGAGGATAGAGTACAGTCGCCCGCCGTTGTAGCGAACGCTTGTATACCGAATATTTGCTGTACCGAACCACTTAGGCTACATAGCCTTTTTCCCAGCAGGGAGTTTGGTCTGCTGTACCGAGTAATCTGCTACACTGAGCGGAAAGTTGCTCAATATGCACGTTCGTTATGGCGACGGGCGACTGTACCCTTTCAAAAGTTCAACCAGTTGAGGTTTACAAGTGCTTCTTTAGTTTCCTACCCCTGTTCCCGAATTACAGTCGCCCGTCGCCATAACGAACGTGCATATTGAGCAACTTTCCGCTCAGTGTAGCAGATTACTCGGTACAGCAGACCAAACTCCCTGCTGGGAAAAAGAAAAAAAAGGCTATGTAGCCTAAGTGGCTCGGTACAGCAAATATTCGGTATATGTACAAGCATCAACACAGGTGGATTTTAAAAACCTGCAACTAAAAACCTCAACTCACCTCACCTAGGCCTCAACTGCACTTTGATTACCACTATCAATCAACGACCATGGACTTTATCTACATGTAATTACATATTCCCCCAGCAGAAAACTGGCAAACATCAATATTATTATGTACAGTTTGCGGTAGAATTATTGCGAAAGTTGGTTCCCGTGACCCTATTGGCCCTTAGAAGATCTGTTGCTACGAGCACAGACCACCCTCTTAGCTCTGACTTTCGCAATAGTCCTACCCTACCGGAAACTGTATGTAACGCACAGCGCTGTATCGTTTTGTCTCCCTGAAATACGGCGCCAATTTCTGGTCCCTCTCGGTACTGCATTTACTTACGTATATGTATGCAAAGTACGTATAAAATAAATGTATGCAAGGTACATGTATTTACATCGTAGTACAGCGGTGGGTAATAAGTCATCAGACGGAACGCCACCAAAATACGCGTTTGCAGGCAAAATTGTGGCTAGGTCGTCCGATGACTTATTACCCACCGCTGTACTACATGTAGTACTAGGTAGAAGAATCAAATGCTTTTATTTATCCATTATTCGTAAACAATTCCTCCGCTAAGTGTTTTGTATTGTATAGTACAGGTCGATCAAAAGAGAAAAAAAAGGATACCAGCTTTACCTTTGAAAAGAAACTAGCCCCCCTTCGCCTTTTTCTCTTTCTCAATTTTCTTCGTTTCTCCCTTAGATTCTCAACTTCCTCCTCCTTCTTCTTGTTCGAGAACTGCATCTTCTCATACAACTTACGCTTCCTTCTGGACATCATTATCTTTTGCATTTCCTTTTGCTCCTCCTCTTCTCTCTCTTGCTTACTCTTCCTCTTTTCCTTCTTCTTTTTTCTCCGACTGGCAATTTGACACCTGCTGCCTCTGCTTCCAATTCCCGCTGATGCTCTTGTTGCGCCTTCTCCTCTTCATCCTCAGACTCTGGCTCTTCCTCTTCCTCTTCCAATGCGCCCACTTCGATCGCTTCGTGTTCGTCTTCCTCATCTTCACTTTCCAAGTCCACTTCCATCCCACCCTCGATATCGTCCTCCTCATCCTCGCTCATTTCCTCGTCGGCGACATTGGGCGCGGTAGGATCATATGTCTTCTCGTCGACCTTGACCCATGGACTCAAGTGAGGAGGTAACAGAGCTCCAGGGCCGTACTCGGCAGGCGAAAGCAGTCTCCCGATATTAATACAATCCCAGATATACTGTGGCTGCACGTAAATGCGTCCCGGGATTCTTCCATTGACTTTCTTGACCTTGGATGCATCTGCCATTTCTTCATCGCCATCAATCGGCATGAGCGGGAGTGCAACTTGCTTGGCGGGGGGGCGATCAACAATCTGGTGGGTGATTAATGGATCATTCTCGTCCTCAGTGAACGCACCCTCTCCGAGAACCAAGTCCCATCCAATTCTCTTACATCCGAACGATCTCAAAAGGAACTCGAGTGGTTGTCTTGGAGTCTCGCGAGAGAGGAAGAAGGTGAACGGCGCAAAGAGGTTTGCTGGATCTTGAGAGCCTGAGGTCCCAACATTGCTCATGTGAGGTTGTAGCAGGACATCTGCGCCAGTGGCGACAGGCTTAAAGGTGTCAATAGTACTCTCCCCCATCACAGAATCTTCTTCCAGTGTAGTGGTCTCAACAGGATCTTCCTCATCCTTCTGTTCAAGCGAGGCGATCTTCTCGTTAAGTGTAGCAAGCTGCCTCGACATCGCCTTGGTATTGTTTTTATCATTTCCAGCAGCCGGTAGAAGGCCAACGCCTTTTGCCTCTAGGCTAAACGCTCTTAGTCCCGCACCCTTCGAGTCTGCATCTGCATCGAATTTTGGTGGATACACAAGGCCTTCTTTGGTGTAAAGTCTGAAAAGCACAAATCCAACCAAAGTGCTGTAGAATTCGACGAACGTGCCCATAACCCTGAAATCAACATCTGCAGGAACATTCTGCGCAAACTTATATGGTACTAGCCACAGAATCTCTTGACCTTGAATCTCCGCCTGGTAGTATATTCCCTTGATCGATAGGAAACTCTTTCTCAATGAATGCGTGCGGATGATGTAGTGCTGCCACTCATTGGAAAGCCTCTCGCATGTTGCAATAGTCTCGGGGTTGAGGTTGTGATTAGTTGGAAGGTTGGCAAAAAGAAACAACATAGAAACTGCATCGTCAAGATCACGGAGTGCGTCAGTGAAGGTGGGGTAGCGCTCTTTGACGATATGGTCAAGTTTAACTTGGGGCTTGTTATTAGTCTCGAGACGCTTTGCATCGGAATAGTCCCCACGGCCGAGGGCTTTGTTGAGCTTTTTGGCGAAGGCTTTGTGTTCGCGGAATTTTTCGAGGACGGGCTCGTGAAGTAGATATTGAATATCTTTTGTCTGTAGGCAAAAGTATTAGAATTTGATTCTGACAGTATACAGCACTACTTTTTAGCATACGTAGTAGAATGTAGTGGCGGCGGTAGAGCCCTTATTTGCCTTCCTTTTGTTCCGAGGTTCACGGGGGTAGATTCCTTCATACAGTGTATCAGTAAGCCTAATTCCTTGCCCAATTCGAAGAATTTTTGCATACCTTTAAAAATACACAATCTTCGGAAATCAGGCAGAGAAACCTGGAGCTTACGGACCGCTTTTGTTCTAGTTATGAAGTTTTTCGCATTGCCGGCAACACCTATGCAGCACAAGTTAGTAAAAAAGGTCAGTCAGGAAAATTGAAAGCCCAAGCCGCGGTCCAATTTTGTAGAACGGATTGTGCTGTAAGGGGTGAGCGGGGTTTATTACCCTTCTTCTTGATCCGACCCATTATGAACTTTATTATTTTCTGCTTTTTGATAAAGTACAATGTAGTTGGTTGGCTATTGGCGGGAAGAGAGAAAGTCGCGGAATTTTTTTCTTGTGAATCTGGGTTGCCACTAGTGTAGTGCGGCTCAAGAGTTGGCCTGCAACAAGGGGATTGTCTCAGCTTATGCTTCTTAATTTATCCCCTCACTAGCTGCTTGTTATGGCGCCGGGCACCAATAATCAGCAAATCCGGCCATTGGGTTCAAGCTTTTTCTCTCTACTAGTATAGAGTAGAGACGTATGTACGGGTTATAGAGTATAGAAAAAAGTTTATTTTTACCCCCCCAAAAAGTACAACACTGTAGCTGTATGTGGGTGTATTTCTCGTACCGGGGGTGTTTGGTAATTGGGCGTTGACACTCAAAGTCATCCCACAGACATTGTGATTTAATTCCATACATGTATAGCTATACTCGTATACCAGGGTAGGAACCAAAAATGCAAGTGACGGAAACAGTAATGATTTGTATGAGAGATCACCGTCACCCCATACAAATAATCCTTGCCCTGAGCAACTGGTTCTTTTCGTAGTTCAGAAGCAGATCTATCTTTCTATACAATAATCTTATCCTCCATGCTTTTAGTATCTTCACATTTTCCTGGCCCCAACTCCTACATCACAACTTAGAGACATGCTGAATTAATTCTGAGTACTTGAATACCTTCTCTAGCTAGATAGATACCTTACTACTCGTTGGCAAATTTTGTCCACCTGGCGGTGGTTGACCAAGTGCCCCCGAATACCAGTTACCCGGCCTGATAGGACCTATGACTCGAGAAGCTATGGTGGGTATGTAAACTTCGGCGTTTGCAGCCAATCAATCTATAGAAATTGGGAGATCTACTCCCATAATGGTACTAGCGCCTAGCCCAACGGTGGAACTTTCTCTAATTCCCATACAAAAAAAGTTCCTCTGAAGTTGACACACCCACCCCCATGCCTTCTCGCGCCATAGCTTAGTGGTTGAGCTGCTAGAGTAAGAAAGCTTTGGGTCGAGTTCATGGTTACATGCATGTGTGTACATCGTGCATTTTATTGTGGTGCGCTTTGATTATATCACATGAATTCACCTATCGAATCTAGCCCCATAGTGGGGGTTTAGAATTTATAGTAGCTACATGTACTCGCTTATCAAGTATGTGTTTGCCCAACCAGCAAAACACACTAAAAATTGAGGTTTTCAACTCATAAAAAGTCCTATAGTTGTACCAAAACTGCAACGATCAGGTATAGTATAATTTCGGTAAAGGGGATTCACGCCTCAAATTCTGGGCCTAATTGGTATACTGGTAAAGGTGGAGAGGAAATCAATAAAAGAACTTTTAGACGCCTTTTGCCTACAGGGCTTTATGGATATGGCTTAAAAACTGGCCTGTAGAGTCTTTCAGGTGTCTAGATAAAGGACAAATACCCTCAGGTGAGATGGGAAAGTTCTCGGGATTCTATGAGTTTTGCTGGTTGCGTAAATACATACTTGAAATGCGAGTATAGTATATGTAGTCCTAGGATCGATAACTACATGCATGTAGTAGTGTAGAAGTACCAGTAGTCACCGAGAGAGAGAGCTTGGTATCCATATTCCTTTCATTTACTTTAGCTTCTCGAAACACATCATCACGGTTGGAGAGACTTGGAATTCATAGAATTAGAAGGATGATTGAACAATGTTAATAGATACTTTTAAACTACCCAAGTTATCCCTCATCACAAATGGCCCAATTCCGTTTAGCCATTTAGGTGTGTAGGTGCACCAGTTCCTGGGGATAGTCCGGATCAGCCAAAGAGTATCGCACATTTATATTGGGCTTCAATTTTTTAGTATAATGTGGGGCTTGAACATCTGTACTCACCAGCGGGCTTGATGATATTTCCTGATGCATCCCTGACTTCTGAGTTTGCCTTTGCCCATGCCTTCCCCTCCTCGGTCTGACTCCAATGCTTCCCCGCTTTGATAAGTTCAAGCTCCTCCTTTGTCACTTTTGTCTCTGGATACCTCCCGAACCCCCTTGACTCGAATGCAGCCTCGATAACAGAGAGCGGTGCATTGATTCCGGCTTCGCGTGCGATGTCGAGAATTTCCATACGCCGGTGCGCAGCATCTTTTGTTGCCGTGGCGACGAGACGGTCGATTTCCTCTTTTGTGAGCTTTTGTGTGGAGCTTGACATTGTTTGTATTTGATGTTTGTGTGGAATGAGTCTTTGACGATTGGTGGTGGGTGATGATGAGGGGAGGTCTATGCTTATATAACAACACCTTGTCATAGCATTCTAACCTGTAAATAGATAGCGATGAGTTTAATACTAATGAATCAATTAATCGAACTAGATAGTACCGAATCATTTATTTCTTTACCCGCGGGCAGGCTTAATTAATCTAATGTTTAGCGGGTCAACTTCATGGCTTGTCACTCGCTATGTCATATCAGTGGTACTGTCATCCAAAGTATGCGTGTCAAGTAACGTAATCAGTCTTGGCACTGATTATGTTTTAAAACCACTTTTTATCGTGTAATCTTGTAAATCAATCAATACAATTTTCTTCACGTAATACACTGTTTTCATCCTTCACGGATTCTTGTATTACAGGTACATACATGTATCCAATGTCACGTGGGCACTGCGCGGCTAAAAGTAACCTTTATCAAACCTATCTTATCTTATCTTATCTTATCTTAGCTTACATAGATCAAATTTTTTTCTAAGTCGCACATCACTTTATTTGCCCAACTGTGCGCACGTACAGCATGTACATAATCTCCAATTCAAAACTTGCCCTTCACAACCTCAATAAAGATGGCAGGGAGTGTTAAGGTCACTAGCCAAGCTTCAGAAGAAACCATGGTCCTCAATCCCCCACCGAAGCGCTCAGCGTCGGCAGAGCCTAATCTAGTAGCAAAGAAAAGGAAAGCATCTACGAAAGGTGGTAAAAAACTCGTAAACTTTCCCTGCCTTTTCCTTCCGCAATTTAGAGTATGAACCAAACTAATAAGAGGGGTAAATAGTAAATTCATGTCCTTACCCAGACTGCGGGAAAATATTCACGAAGCCATGTCGCCTTGAGGAGCATATTCGTTCTCACACCGGGGAAAGACCTTACATATGCACTGCGGATCCGGAGAATTGCGATAAAAGATTTTTACGAAATTCGCACCTAAAGGCCCATGTAAAAGCATTGCATACGAAAGAAAAATCATTTAAATGCACATTTATGATTGTTCCTGGAAACGAGGAAGATCGGGGCGCTTTTGGGTTTAAGAGGAAGGCACCCGGAGGTGCCATCGAGCAAAATAATGGTGATGGGAAGGAACCTAGAGAGTGTGGGGCAACTTTCACCACAAATCAACATTTAAATAGGCATTTGGAGAGTCATATGAAAAGTCTCCCTCATGTGGTAGGTTAAGGTTACTTCCATGGTGGGCCCTTAACTGACTAAATTCAACCGTAGTGTACAGACTATCCTCCATGCTTGGAAGGGTTTCGGAAACGCGGTCCATTACGGCGTCATATCCGCGAGGTGCACCTTAAATTATTACCATGGGGATGCACGTATAAGGACGTAGAAAATCCTGAGCATGGGTGCACGGCCGCTTTTGATACCAAAGGAAAATTGGGAGGTCACATAGATAAAGTTCATAAGGGCTTAATGCCAGCACTCTATACCTGTGCCATGTGTAGTGCTTATACAGAAGGCGAAAAAGGACCCGAGCCAGCGCCTGGGGAAGAGATTATTGCCGCGCCAAGGCAAGGAGCAGAAGGCAACAACACACCATTGACAGGAAACCCAGACCTTTGCGATGGTGGAATTGTTGAAAATCTCAATCCAGAATCCTCCACCCCCTTTCCAGTGGTTCGTTCCATGCTTGTCACCAAACCAGAGGGGAAAATATTATATCCTGAAACTGCCAGGTTGCAGGGTAAAATCGGGTTTAAAACATATCTAGAGCTTCGCCGCCACACAATACACATGCATCCTCCTACCTGTGTTCAATGCCGTTATACTTTTAAGAACGCCAGAAATCTAAAAATCCACATCGCAAACACTCATGGTGCCCTTTTAGAAGAAAGAAGGCATCATATTTGTGAACAATGTGGCACGGGTTTCACAAAGGTAAGTTCATCCATAATTTTTAATGTCCAATTACTCATGGCCTTTCCATTTAGAAACATGCACTAAAAGTTCACGTCCGTCGAGTACACGAGGACCTTCGCCCTTTCGCCTGTGCAGACTGTCCCAAAACCTATGGCTATAAATCTCAGCTCCAAATACACATCGAAAACCATCATTCCGGTCGCAGGAAACCCTGCAGAAAGCCACGCAGTAGATCCACCAAGAAACCGGATCTTATACAACAACTTACTGGCATGGGGTACGAAGAAAGCGGGAGAAATATCAAATGCCTTGTCGCCAACTGCGATTATAGATTCGTTAGAATTTACGATTTGAAAGTACATTTGAGGAGTCTAAAACACCATGGATTTGATGAAGGTCAGGTGGAAGAATTGATCATTGATGCAGAATGGGGTAGACGAGAAGAAAACGGGGAATATAACGGGAATGATGACGAGGACGAAGATGAGATGACGGATACAGACAGCTCTGGTAGTGGGAGTGATGAGGAGAGCGATGTAATAGCGGATGGGATGGAATATGTAAATTTATGGGATGATATGGGTGATATGGATTTGGATAAAGAGAGTAGTGGAGATGTTTCTGGGGAGGAATGATTTGTCCTTTCCGGCATGGTAGTACATGTAATCATAAGCCGTGGTGAAAACACTCAAAACATACTTGTTCAATTGGATAGTCTACATGTAGATTTCTTCCTAGCAACGTTTAAATTCTGTACTCTATCATTTCTTTTCCTTTTTAGAAAAAGGAATTGCTTACTAGTACCTCCCCTCTCCTGGGATGAACAGCGTCAAGATATTGACCAGCCTTCATCTATCGAATCATATTCTGCCAATATAAGCAATCAAGGGCCTAAAAGATCGAAGGAACCGTTTTATCGCTGTTTCTCTCTGTGGCATCTCTGAATCCCGTCTTTTGGATTTGTTCCTATTATACCCTTTTAGCAACGTATCAGCCACCTCAATACAAAACGTCCTATGTTAAAGCTGGAGATGCATCCCCCCCTTTAAAACGCTCTGTAACAGCTCCGGACAATTCAGGTTTTGCTGCTGCAAAAGCCAGAGATAGCTTTGCTACAAGGAATATCCCTCGACATCGCTCGCTCAGTCCAAATCCTCGATCTCGGACACATAGCAATGACTCCCCGCGACCGTCAGAAATACTTTATCACAAATCAGTGTTGATAGGAATTACAAGTCCACTTTCCCACTCGCACTCTCACTCTCTAAGTTTAGAAACCGAAAATGCTTCAAGTAACTCTGTACCGCACTCTCAAGTACATGAGTTTGAGTCCAGTACTTCCATGTTACATCCCCAGAACTTAACGAGGTCAGATGATCGTAACTCTGAGCTTCATCCCCCAATGGTTTGCGCTTCCGAGGCTAGTGGTTCATCTATTGGGAGAGTTTATATAAGCGCAGAGACATCAACAAGATCATCCGAGATTCAAAATACACCACGGAATGAAATAGATTATGATTACCTAGGAGTACTACAAAAGCCAGATTATCACTCGAACACATCTTCTCAATCATGCCTTAGCTTTTACGTCCCACCGACATTTGATACGGAGAGGATGCATGTTGAGAATGAGCATTCTAATTCAGGTACGAGCGAATTCACATTGTCTGAGAGCGAGAAAAGTGAAGCCCAGAGCAGGGTATCGGGTTATGTTATGGCCGAAGTCCAAAGAGGCTCTAGAATTGTTCCCGAGGGAGGTATGCTGGATTTACAGTTTCCAATACTGACGACTCCTGACTTACAATCCCTCATAGAAGCATCCTCAAAATTGAGGATAGATCCTGACAATCTTGAAAGGAAGCTCTTGGTTGAAGATCCTGAGCCTTTATTCCATAGATCCCTTAATAGTCTATTACAGGGCGAACCCCCGGATCAAGTACTGGTTGAGCAAGTGGGATCTTTTGGAGTTCATCATCTAAGAAGTGATGCCTTAGGTCAACTACCCCGCATCACTACTATTGAAGCATTGCAATCGTCGCCCCCAGTTCTATCCGCTAAAGAAAGTTTATTGGGAAAGATCACCAAGTTAGAAGTTCCGCCTGCTGTACCAGGTGGAGAGATAACACCTAGTACTGTTGTCCTTCCCGGGGAATACTTTCGTCGGCGCCATAGCGGATCTCATATACTTTCACATGGGCATAGGGATTTTGGTCTGAATCTTCAGATTATAGATCATGTACCATCACCGCCGCCAAAAATAGTTATTGGACCCAGAGTTTCATCTGATAGACCGCCAAACACCCCCGAATCTCCATTCACGTTAATTTCGAGGGAAAAGACGAAAGTGAGGGGTAGAAGACAAAATTCACCATCGTCCTTAATCACATTCTTATCTGTGGTTAGCCCAATTGAGACCTATGGCGTTCTAGGAAGATCGAAACTAAAACCTCCCTGGAATTCGAAGGTGAATTCGTCCGGGATATTACTGGTGACGGTTTCGGCAACTACAGTGATATGCTTGGTACCTGCGTATGGAGAAACGCACATTTTGCTGACTGAGATAGAGAGTTCAGTTGGCCTAAGCAATGGTGCGTACAGAAAATAACTTACACTTTGTATCTACTGACCTGATCGTGCCGGTAGCCGAATCCCTAGCGCGTATTTCTAGGGGCCTTGCCGAGAAATCACCATGCATGAGAAGTTTGAGAAGGTTATTGAGAAGGACGGCCTAAGGATTCTTTCGCAAGGCAACTGATTTGCCTATTATTCAAACTTCGATACATTCGAACTTTGGGACGTCGAAGAGTCTTTTCGATATGCTAGAATGAATGGTCTGGTACTCGTCTATTCATAGCGTTTCCGAATACGACCGATATTGTGTACCGTACAAAAAAGGAGGGCTTGACGCTCTCTTAGATGGTATGAAATAGCAGTCGTGTTCGAAAACGTCATGAAATTAGTAAACTCTGCATGGTCAGGTATTTCCCTGTCCTGAATTAGAATCAGCACTGATGGCTTTCCTATTGGCTACGATGCCAGCCTCTAATAGGGAAAGAAATCGTTTGCTCATTCGATATTCCGTGTGTACTAAGTAATGGTTATAATTAAACAAATCCCTAATTCATGTAAAATCACTCGACCCATTCTCGCCAAGCCATGTGATCTAGTATGTAGCAATGCTGACTAAAAATCGGTTACATGAAGGTGCATCTTTGATCGTCCAGTCAACCACTCGATCACTCAGCTAGGTGCTGTAAAGGTTTACTTGTTGAAGCACAAGAAACAGAAGGAGAGGTGATTAATAACTAAATACATGTAGGTACAGTTACCATACCTATCTAGTCTCGTGTCCAGCCTGTGTTTACTTTGCTAAACATGTTCAACATCAGACAAGCTGTATAACCAACATAACAATATGACACACAATATCAATATTTACACCCACCCTTCTTCTCTCGGAGGCACTGGCCTCTTCGCAACTACTAAAATCACACCTGGCCAGCTCGTCCTTAGTATACCAGAGCCTCTCGTCACCGTCCCAGACGATATACATCTTACGGAATGCTGCAGTCGATGTATGCTGTGGAGACCTGCCGGAGGCGGGACTTCAATGTTGAACTTATATGAAGATGAGAGATCTTTGAACTATTGTACTGGCTGTAGAGTGGTAAAGTACTGTAGCAAGGTATGTTTCTATAGCCAAACTCATCAGGAGCGAATAGTCGCTAAATTGATATATACAAAGGACTGCCAAAGAGCCGATTGGCGCGCGCTCCACAAAGTAGAATGTGCAATTTTTAAGAAGCTTCATCCACGTATACTTCCCGGATCAGTTCGTGCTACAATACGCATGTTATGGACCACTCCCGGGGAAGCATGGAGTCAGATAAATTCGCTCGAGAGCCATGAGAGCGAATTGAGAAAGACTGACAAATGGGAGATGATAACTTTAATGGCCAAAGGAGCACATGGATATTCTGGAACGATTTTGGGGGAGAAGGATGTCCGGGGGGTTTATGCAAGGGTCTGGATATCTACGCCTGATACATAGAATGTGGATTAACAGAATGCTAACGGAGGAATGGAATAGCTCTTGATTAACAGTATCACCCTCGTTAACTCTACATTCGACCCAATTGGTATCGCCTTTGACCCCTTAGCAAGTCTGATGAATCATTCGTGCGATCCAAACTCGGTGATGGTATTCGATGGCCGCACCGTTTCCGTCAGGGCACTACGGGAAATCGCAAAGGATGAAGAAATAACAATATCTTACATCGATAACACTAATCCGACTTCTCGTCGCCGTTCAGAGCTCCAGGGACGATATTTTTTTACATGCTCATGTCAGAAATGTGTGTCACCCGCTACTTGCAGTGGATTGAAAGAGGTCTTTATCGATATTCCAGGTGTCACCACTTCTAATCTCGAAGAGTATGCCTGGGCGGCGATTTCTACACCTTCGGAGGATGTTTTGTTAAAAGCAATAAGGGCCCTCCATACGACGAAATTATGGCCTCTACAACGACAGCCACTGCCACTGCTGCATCATGAGCTCATACACAGCGTTTACATCCCTTTATCGAAATGGCCTCAAGCGCTACTTCACTCGCTGCTGCTATATTTATATGTTGACCCCGTGCACTATCCCCAAAGACATCATCCAGTGCGGGTAACACATGCGTTCACGCTTGTTAGTTTATTTCTTCAAGTTTCCGGAGACTTGGACTCGTTAGAAAGGGTAGCGCCAAAAGCCAAAGGAATGGATTTGGATTTAGGAAAGATCATATGGGGTTTGCTATGCGAGATAGTCGCGCATGTAGCGTTATCACATGGTACTGAAAGTACATTTGCTCAAACTGTAAGGAGAAAAAAACAGGAGGTGGGTGAAGATTTGGGTGCTAATGAGACTACTGGGGTATGGGTGGGGAAAAGAATAAATGATGTTGGACTAGAGGAAGAATTGGTGAAGATTAGGGTACTCGTTGATGGATTGTTGGAAGAAATGAAGAACTAAATCTACATATATTTATGGTGTAGGACACTACTAGAAGAACCAAATTATTACTTAATTCGATAAGGGCAAGTTACAATGTGGTGGATCTGGAAATTTAATTATTCAAGGAGGGATTTCTGTTTGTACAGAACAAAGGCCTCCAGCGCATGATTACCCCAGTCCCGGGTAGCCCAAGTCGTAGACCTCCTTACCTTGAGCTACCTCAGAGACAAGACCTCAAATATATATGTGAGTGGTAATGCGCATCACTGCTACTGGGTAAGTGACTGCAATCAATGAATTAAACAAAAAAAAAAAAACTGGGCAAGTGACTAGGGTTAGGGTTATACATAATAAAGCATCTAGATGTAGCGAAAGCTTGCTATAAGGGTATATATATGCTCAGGCCGGAATTTGGTACCGTTACAGGGAGATTGCCCTTATATATAGAGAGAGTGCTAGTACTGAGAACTAAAGGAAAAGTACCGACAAGTGCTACTCTTATAGAGATTGCCCCTTTAGAAGGTCCCTTATAGCAAGCTTTCGCTGCACTGAGAAATCCTACAAAACACAATTCAATGACCAATGATCCAGAGATCAGTGCCTGCTCATGTATTCTGATACAATAGAGGAGACTTTTTATGTACAGTAATTTGGATTAGAATCTTAGAAATATTTAACATGCGCCGTACCAACTATTACTTAAGATAATAAGAAACTAAACTTAAGGAAACAAATCACGATTATCGAAGGCCATTAGTTTTAGTTGTTGATCACCTTCCTCCTCAACATCTCCATATAATCTTCCGCCTAAATCTGCCTGCGTATCTAACCATAGCAAGAAATCATCAGTAGACTTGCACTCAGCATGTCCATGATGTTTCCTCTTCAAAGCACTTAAAGCACTAAAGATTTTCTCCTGGACGTCGTTATCGATTCCTTTCTCGGTGCTTTCCAGAAGAGTATCTTCGAATAGCGAGCAGAACTTCCTTTCGTCGATGCCATCTCTAGCAGGATTAAAATGAGTTGATCCACCTTGTTTCTTCATGACTTCTGCGTCAGATCGCATGTCTTCGTTGAGAAAATTGTCCTCAATGACGATAGCAGATTTGCCTATGAATTCAGAATCACCATTCTTAAAGAGTTGATGCAGTGTTTGTAGGCCTTGTCTAGTGAGAAACTCGGCGCGAGTTATGGGGGACTTGATAGCTTGGTTAAGCGCATATAAGATCCGTGCCTTAGCGTTGTTGTCGGTTTCCTTTTCGAGGGACGAAAGTAGTGTCCTGATTAGCTTCACCGAACTATCCGAGGTTGCAGAGGCGAGTGCTTTTGGATTGTTTGAGAGCGCACTGCCGATAACGAGAGCTGCCGTTGAGCGAATAGTTGGATCGGGCGAGTTTGAAACTAAGGTGAGCAGAGGGGAAACGTATTTTGGAGCTGAAACTTGAAGACCCCAGTAAATTTCGTGAACTAGGTCTTCCAATGACAGGAGAGCGTGAGTAATCTCAGATGTGGAATATTTTGAGTGCTTGAGAAGGACTTCGAGGGAATCCGAGAAGGCGAGCGCTTCGCCAGCAGATGAGGGTAACGGTGGCTTTATAGCGCCATCAGGGCTAATCGGCGCTCGAGGTATAGGCTTTGGTGAATCTATGATAGCTGCCTCCTCATCTTTATTGGGGATAACAACCACGCCAGTATGATCATCATCAGAGTCGCTGGCGACATTTATTTTTGCCTCTTTCAAGCCCGTCTCGACGTTGAGTCTATAATGAAGACCAGGGGGTACCACTTGATCGTCGTGAATGGTCTGGAATTCATTCGTTGGAACAAAGTGTTTTGAATAGCAGTTTATGTCATGACAGATCAAATCTGATGATGACTCCTTAGTGGGATGTTTGTCGGGGATGCTGTGCGTTGCACTGACCACGAGGGTGGGAATTCCGAAAAAGAGGGCGAGCCAGGGAGTTCTCATGACTGAGATGAATTTCAGGAAAGTAGTCTGTTTATGAGATTCGGTCTGTATAGCAGGTAGATAGTTCGTATGCTGCACAAATGAGAGGGAAACGGAGGTCTTATACAGGGTTATAATACGTACCATGTATTTATATATCATCAGTAGAGTAAAGTATTGCTGAGATGATCACAGGTGGCATCTTCAACAACTTCAGTCGAGACTGGGTGCCAAGCCGCAACTAGATGGGTTAGGGGTTTTCATGTGTATAGAAAATCTAGTACCGATGTTATGCGCCGGCTTAATTGACCATAATTGGATAATCTTTGTGGGCTTTATTTTTTCCCGATTCGATTTTGAAACAAAGTGGCAAACAGGTCTTGATGATTTCTCGAGGACATAGGGTATCCTTACCGTTGACTCACTGCCGTCCGTCTTTTGTCGGTTCTTCTAATTTTGCGGTGTTGCACGGGAGAAGAGCTTCTCTGATTAACCCCACCAACTACCAGCGACAACCCCTCCTTCACCCCTCCTCAACTACATTCCTTGTTCCGCATCGTCTCTTTCGTACCATGGTTTCCTCCGTTCCCGTCGGACCTTCCGAGGTGGAATGGCCTGCTCGTCGTGTAAGGGAAACCTTTATCGAGTACTTCAGAAAAAATGGTCACACTGTTGGTTGGTTTCCAATATTATTGTGTTTCTCGTGATGGTGAAAGGCTAATATTTGAACCCGGTTTTTGTTTCTTCTAAAAAAGTGCCTTCTTCGTCCGTTGTGCCTCTGTCTGACCCAACTTTGCTGTTCGCCAATGCGGGCATGAATCAATTCAAGGCTATCTTTCTCGGAACTGTGGACCCTGCATCGGATTTCGCAACTTTGAAACGTGCCGTCAATACTCAAAAGGTGAGCTATCAATTCGATTAATCGTCTATCCGCTGAGCTCCAATCTTCTGTATTCCACATTCTAAACATTTCAAGAAACTAACGCCAAATTGCAGTGTATTAGAGCTGGTCAGTATCCAGCCACGAATTCAATAATCTGATAAAACATATCTAATAAATAAAAGGCGGCAAGCACAATGATTTGGACGATGTTGGGAAAGATAGCTACCATCATGTAAGGTTTTCTTAAGCAAAATTGTATCTGCGCGGAGATTAATTAAAACTTATGATGTTAGACTTTCTTTGAGATGCTCGGGAATTGGTCTTTTGGCGACTATTTCAAGAAGGAGGCTATCGCCTTTTCCTGGGAGCTCCTTACTAAAGTTTACAAACTCGATCCCGATAGGTTATACGTGACATACTTCGAGGGAGATAAGGCTGGGGGGCTCGAGCCGGATCTTGAATCAAAAGAACTTTGGAAATCCGTGGGTGTTGCTGATGATCATATTCTTCCAGGGAACATGAAGGACAACTTCTGGGAGATGGGAGACCAGGGCCCATGCGGTCCCTGCAGTGAAGTTCACTATGATCGCATTGGAGGGCGAAATGCTGCTCACCTCGTCAATCAAGACGACCCAAACGTGCTTGAGATCTGGAATAACGTTTTTATTCAATACAACCGCGAAGCTGACCGGTCCCTACGGTCTTTACCCAACAAGCATGTGGACACTGGTATGGGTTTTGAACGCTTAGTTTCTATCCTGCAGGACAAGTCGTCCAATTATGATACCGATGTATTCACGCCACTCTTTAAGACGATCCAAGAGCTTACTGGTGCAAGACCATATGCTGGTGCTTTCGGGGAAGACGATAAGGATGGAATTGATACTGCGTATCGAGTGATCGCAGACCACGTCCGAACACTCACATTTGCCATCTCGGATGGGGGAGTTCCCAACAATGAAGGGCGCGGATACGTTGTAAGGCGTATCCTGAGAAGAGGTGCTAGATATGCTCGAAGATACTTCGATGTTCCAATTGGTGAATTCTTTTCCCGGTTGGTACCGACTCTCATTCACCAAATGGTAATACCCCCGATCACTGGTCTATTAAAATTTCTCTAAAATTTCAATCAGGGTGAAGTTTTCCCGGAGATTAGAAGAAAGGAGACCGACGTCAAGGAAGTGTTAAACGAAGAGGAGGAATCCTTTTCTCGCACTCTTGATAGAGGTGAAAGGATGTTTGCACACTACGCTCAACAGACCAAAATCAAAGGCTCAAAAACACTCAATGGTACCGACGTTTGGCGTTTGTACGACACCTTTGGTTTTCCAGCCGATCTTACAAGGATTATGGCCGAGGAGAGCGCGTTGGAAATCGATGAAACTGAGTTCGAGAAAGCAAAAGCGGAAAGTAAGGAAGCTAGTAAGGGCAGAAAGAAGGCTGGTGAAGCCGAGCTTCTTAAGTTAGATGTGCATGATCTTGGTAAATTGGAAACGATGAAGAGCGTTCCCAAAACGGATGATCAATATAAATATGGTGAGTAGTGTGCCACTAACAGTCGAAAATAGAACTAATACTTCCATAGGGCGGGGAAATATTACGAGCCAAATCAAAGCTATATATTACAACAAGCAGTTCGTTGAAAGCACGAAAGACATACCCGAAAACGCCCAGATTGGCCTTATTGTTGACAAAACCAACTTTTATGCGGAGCAAGGTGGCCAAGAATACGACACCGGAAAGATTCTTATTGACGGGCAAGCTGAACTTGATGTTCAGAATGTGCAGATGTACGCAGGATATGTTTTGCATACCGGCTTCATGAAATATGGCTCGTTTTCAGTTCTTGACGAGGTCATTTGTGAGTATGACGAGCTTCGCCGCTGGCCTATCCGCAATAACCATACCGGTACTCACGTCCTTAACTACGCTCTCCGTGAGGTTCTTGGTGAGGGTATCGATCAGAGGGGATCTCTTGTTGCGCCGGAAAAGCTCCGTTTTGATTTCTCACATAAAACTGGTGTTACCGACGCGGAACTTGAGCAAATAGAGAAAATCTCAACTGATTATATTCGACAAAATCTCGAGGTTTATGCTATGGACGTTCCTCTTGCTTCCGCCCGCGAGATTGAGGGAGTTAGGGCTGTCTTTGGGGAAACTTACCCCGACCCAGTTCGTGTTGTCTCTGTCGGAGTACAGGTCGAAGATCTTTTAGCGGATGTCAAGAACCCCCAGTGGAGGAAGGTTTCCATCGAGTTTTGCGGTGGTACTCACGTCCAAAAGACTGGTGATATCAAAGATCTTATCATCCTTGAGGAGAATGGTATCGCAAAAGGTATTCGCCGAATAGTTGCTGTTACCGGTGAAGATGCCCACGAAGTCCAACGCATTGCTGCAGAGTTTGAGGCACGAATAAAGACCCTTGAGAAAATGCCTGCTAGTGCTTCAAAGGAAGCACAAATCAAACAAACACAGGCGGATCTTAACAATCTTTATATCAGCGCTGTTAAGAAGAGTCAGCTGAAGGAGCGCTTCGCAAAGATCCATAAACAGATGCTTGATGATCAAAAGGGGAAACAAAAGGCTGAATTGAAGAAGGCTGTTGAGATAGTCACCGAGTACTTCAAAGACAATAGCGATAAGAAGTATCTCATTGCAAAACTACCAATCAGCGCAAACTCAAAGGCAGTGAGTGATGCGATCAAGCATGTTCAGAGTAAAAATCAGGATAAGACCGTCTATCTTTTCGCTGCGGATACTGTCGATCAGGGTACGGATGGCAAGGTTATCCATGCTTGCTATGTTTCTGAGGTAAAATTATGCTATTTCATCCAACGAGAATCTCTATGTGGCTGACTTGTCTTGTAGGAATTTGCAAAGAAAACCTCGGCGAAAGATTGGGCTGATAAAGTCTCCGAAGTGGTTGGTGGTAAGGCTGGAGGGAAGGGTGCGACTTCTCAAGGCATTGGGAGTAACATTGAGAAGGTTGACGAAGCGGTTGAAGCTGCAACTAAGTATCTTGAGGGTCTTTCTCTGTAGTTAGTATTAGTCCGAACTTTAGCCATGAGGACAACGGGGGTGTTTGGTCATTTCGTTAGTTCTGTTTTCACTATTTACCTTACTTTTTTTTCCTTCCCTTTTTCCTCCAGGTTTCTAGGTGGCCGTTTTGATTCCCAATTACCTGCTCAGATTGTGGTAATAGTGAACCAAATATTGCCTGAGCAAAGTTAAGGGTAGGGAACCGGTTTATTCTTAAATCCAGGTAATCATTCAACCCACATGCACAAAAACCAAATTCTAACTATAGTAACAGTGTATCGAGCGGAGTTTGAGTATATCACAAAGATTGTAATTATCTTCTCAGTTCCGCAGAACTTACATGTAGTATTTTGGAATTGCTTTACTGAAGATCACGCAATCGATGTTTTCGTCGCACAGTGACTCAGTCAGAATCACGGATTCAACGCAAAACACACTAAGAATAGCTCTTTCCCCCAACCAATTTTTAGTGGATCTACTTGAAGTCTCGTATTCCTTAGGCCGTCAGGCCGGATATAAATTACGTTGGCTAACTTACTAGAGTGGAAGTTTTGATAAAAGGAACACCCGGGCAGAGGTGATATATTGCAGTACCTTCACGATCAGTTGCTCAGTTCTTAATGTCACAAGTTCTTCTGTAACCAACAGATTCTAGTGGTCTAGGTTTGAATTCCACACAAATCTTAAGTAGAGCAACTGTATGAAGGATACCAGATCATGGAATCGCAACGTCAGTGTAACTATCCGTCGAGACGAATTATGTACTATAAAATTCCAGCTCTGTATGCTTGAAGAAAGAGAAAGGCTTCGACCTGACCCTAAATAAAATGAACCGGGGTCTGAGAAAATTTGAGCGAGGGCCAGCTGCAGGACGCAACTCAACAACCAACAAGTAGGAATATATAGATAGACTACTACTATATCAAGGCAAAAATTTCTATGGTACTGTCAGAATAAAGGATCTAAGAGTGTTCTCTTAATCTTTATCTGGTATCTCGAAACCGTAGGTCCCAACCAACTTAATAATAAACCTCCTACTTAAACGAACTTCTGAAAATACAATATACACTATATTTAGAACATGCTCTATCAGCAGGAGAAGCTTTTGGGTGGATTGACTAGCAAAGACCCAAAGTCTCCGGGTCCCGTGATTCTTAACCTTATTCATCCCACCATGATGCCAGAAAATAGCCTACACGTGACCCGAGGACTTTTCGTCTTTGCTAGTATGTACTTCGGGGGTAGGGGTAAGTGAGAAGACACCCTTCACGCAATCTTGGCATCGTGGTGTCTTCTCACTTATCCCTGATACCGAAGTACACTCTATCTGGGTAAATAAGGGTTAGGGCTCGAGCTCCTTACCCGCATGTCATCACGCGTGCGCCAAGTCCGCCGTTGCCTAAACTTTTTGAGCGACACTACCAGTTGCAGGTAGAAGACTCTGCTGCAACACACTGCAGAGGTGAGGTCCTGGTATCCATTTTCACCATACCCAGGGGCAAATTCACTAAGCGGCCATCAATCAGACTTCGCGCCTCAGTTACGTCTTTCAATCTCTGCCTGATAAATTAGTGGTTTTAAAGACTTGCTTCTCGGTCTCAATAAAAAACAACTTCAAGACCACCGAAAGTTACCAACAACACTTCTTAGCCATGGGTGACCGCGGCGATAGATACACCCCCTCGCACAGTCGCGACAATGATCGCGACTATGACCATGACCGCCGTGACCGTGGCGGTGACAGATATCCCCATGACGACAGAAGACCTCCCAGCGAAATGCCCCGTTTCACTGGACGTGAAGACTCTCGTGCTAATAGTCACGAATTCTCATTCGAGCACTCTCGTCAACTGCCTACCGACTCATATCGCCCTGATAGCAACGACCAGCGATCTCGAGCCCCACCGTCAGGACCTCGTCGTGGGGCTGGGCGAAGCGGATCTTCGAGAGGAAGAGGAGGGGGAATTTCGCCAGAGGCGGTAGGGACGGGAAACCCTTTGTGTTTCATCCCCCTGTCCCTGCACATGAGAGGCCTATATTATATTTCGACACTCGCGAGAAAACACCTGAATTGATGGAGGGAATGGCTCCAGGTAGTGGGGATCGTTTCAAAGAGGATGTTGAGGATGGGGTCAACGAGGGTCAGGTCGAGGGTGAATATGAAGGTAAAGAGAAGAAAGATGACGCCATGGACACTCCAATGGAAATGTCGGAAAACGAAGGTGAAGCTGGAAGCGGGAGCGCTACTAAGGACAAAGGTGGGGAAGAAAATGCGGGAAAGTCGGAAAAGAAACCGGACGTTATATCAATGATCCGGGCATTCAAAAAACAAACCGCTACCACTCGCAACGAGGTCGCTGAAAACGACGACTTTATCCCGTTCTCGTTCATCGATGAACCGGCGGCGCAGCAGCAGCAGCAGTCAGAATCTGAATCAGAATATGAAGCTGAACGGGAGCGCGAGGAGGGTCGTAAGATGCGCCGCGCTAACGATGGTCACAGAATTGTCGAACATCATGGCCGTAGCAGGGACTTGAGTAGTGGCGATCTAAAAAGCTCTTCTATTGGCGACTTCTCACATAGAGACGCACTTTACGGCCGTGTCGATGAAAAAAAGCCTGTTCAGGATCTTGGCCCGCCTGGGGCATCAACTTTCATGGCTGCGCCTGCAGCACTTTCAGCGCCTCCGGGTCTAGGAGGGCCTATCAAACTTAATCTAGAAGAGGGCTCGAAAAAAGTTTCTACTGTTGAACATCTACCGAAGCCTGCCAAATCTTTCAATAACAAAGACGGAGATATACCTTGGCCCCCCCGCCTCCGAGCCCTCTTACCTCCGTCCCCACCCCACCCCCGCCGCCACCAGCTGGTATGGGTATACATATGGATATCCCTAAGAAAAGGAAGTTTGGTGAATTCAACCGGAAACGGAATGTCAATCCCGCAACCGCTGATGGAAACGTTAAACCCGAGTGGGCAATTAAACCTAGCAGTGGGGTCGATCCTATACCATGGGTTAGGGGAGGAGCTGATCACTCGAGGTCTTTGGAAACCACAGATTGGTATGTATACACATGCACGAATCAAATAAGATACTCAATAAATGTCTTTAAAGCCAGCTAATGAATTTTAAGGCTGCACAAGGAAATTACGGATTTTATGGCCTACATTCAACCGCGGGCCTATGAACACGCTATTCGCCGAGATCTCGTTCACCGCGTTCGTCAAGTGATCACTAACCTGTGGCCTGACGTTGATGTTCGCGTTTTTGGTTCCTTTGCAGCAGAACTTTACCTCCCGACATCCGATGTCGATTTGGTAGTTGTTTCGAAATCTTTCGTTGAATTCGACCTACCCAAGTATAATACAAGACCGTCCCTAAACAAGTTAGCAGGTGCACTTAAAAAGTCTGGCATTACAACCTGGCAAGACGTTCAGGTCATTGCATCTGCAAAAGTGCCAATCATCAAATTTACAGACAACATAACAAAAATTCACGTGGATATTTCATTTGAAAACTCTTCTGGGCTCGTTGCAAATGAAACTTTCCAACGTTGGAAAATTGAATACCCAGCAATGCCAGTCCTTGTTGTCTTGATAAAACACTTCCTTTCGATCCGCGGCCTTAACGAGCCGTATCAAGGCGGCCTTGGATCCTTCTCTGTCACATGTATGGTAATTTCCATGCTTCAACTCCTTCCATCGGTCCGCAGCGGAGCAGTCGACCCGCGCCTCCATCTGGGTGTAATGCTTCTTGAATTTCTCGAACTCTACGGGGAGAACATAAATACTAGTGTTGTTGGGATCCGCGTCGACGATAACGCCCCGGGCTATTTCAGGAAGACCGGTGTATTTAATGTTAACCCCAACCATAAGACCTGGCAATTATGCATACAGGATCCCCACGATCCTGAGAATGATGTCGCAAAGAGTTCATATCAAATATCTCTCATCTTGCAATGTTTTGCCGACGCCTACCATGCGCTAGTGAAACAAATGGCTTTGCTTGACAGTTTACCATTCGAAACGCGAGCCGGAAGGTCAATTCTCGGTGTCATAATAGGTGCCAACTACAGGAATATCAGTTCAATGCGGGAAACCCTGAAGCACGTATATCGACAGAAATATGGTTCGCTTGATGTAGAAGATATTATGGGAACAAGGGAAGCCAAGGGCCCTGCAATTACTGCAAAAGAGAAAAGGGAGAAAAATGTGGGCGGAAATTCTGCTACAAAGCCTAAGAGATTGAGAGGTCTTGAGCAGCCTCATGAGAAACGGGATAGTAGAAAAGCGAAAAAAGAGGCGAGAGTAAAAGAGAGGGCGATGGAGAAGGAAAAAGCAGCTGGTGGTGGACCGAAAGCCAAGGAAGTGATCATCATCGATTGAATGTCCTGGATCTAGACTAAGATATCTCTCTCTGTTACTACAATCTTTCTATCTTGTTCTTCTGGGGTTTAAAATTCATTTTTATCGGTATCCCGGAGTTTTTTTCTTCTTTTTCTTTTTCTTTTTCTAGGGCGGTTATTTTTTCCAGGGCGGTTATCATTGTTTCTCTCCCTCTCTCTCTCACTTTTCATATCCCTTCTTTACTGCTTCTATGTATTCGACAATAGGGTCTTTATCAGCATCAGCATACTGGTTTTCAAAAGGGGGACGCATCGAGTGTTGAGTCATCAATTTACAGAATGGATTGAACTTAAATTAAGAGTGTCATTGGCACTAGACTTTAAAACGTTGCATATTGTCAACCTCATCTTGTACTCGATGACCATTCTCATTCTCATTCTTGTTCTCATCCTCATTTTCTCCCCACCATTCTAAATCGCAAAAAATTCTCTCCCGTAAGTGTAATTGTTACCTGTGCCTGAGCTATTTGGTTGTTGCATAATGCATTTGCCTGCATGTGCCTACATGTGCTACTTAACTCTCTAGAGTACACGCAAATTTACCAAACCATAATATATCACGCACTTAGTACTTGCGAGTCCTATGGGCCCTTAAGGCCTATGGCCCAAGATAATTATAAGACTTCAAATATCCTCGCGGGGTATTATCGAACATATAGGTACATATATACATACTCTACGTACATACACATGTAGGTGGATGAAGCTCAGTGTTACACGTGCACTCGATTAGATTATGTACTAGTATGTACTTGAATCACGACCCCAGACAAGCTTTCCCTGGGCCCTGATCTACCGCTAAGCCGCATTTTAATGCGAGACGGGCCAGGCTGTCAAAACTGCGGGGTCCGTGCCTTATCACCAGAATCTAATCTCTTTCCTATGGTACCATAATACCATAATACCCTATAACAAAATTCATATCAGCATCTTACAATGGATCCCCAAGTCCAACTTCTCCGTCGGCAATATCTCCAGCTTGTTGAACCCTCAAACCTATCGTTCCCCACAGATCCCTCAACTCTCCGCTCTCCACATTTCCAAGCATCTCTCTACGAGTCCCTTTTCGCCCCAAACCAGCCAAATAATACCTCTCCTCCAGAGAGATACACAGCGCGTGTCCTCAAAAAGCTTATAACCAAGCTATCCGAACCACCAATTGCACTAGGAGGAGAAGAACAAGATCAAGAGCAACCTGTGATACCTACCCCGTCCATTCATCCCGCAAAAAAAGTTAAGATCGACAACCTCACACTACTCCCCGAGCAGGAAATCCATGAGCAATTATTAGAGCTCTACACTGAGCTACTCTCACGCTCCTCGTCGGCGGCCTCTCCTCTTGATCCAGAGGCATCGAGAAGCTATGTCACATACATCTTCCCACCGAGCCCGTTCAATGGGGGTGAAATTGGTCTGCCAGTAACGCTACATGAGTCGAGAAATATAATATCTGGTGCAGGGACGACGGGATTAAGGACTTGGGAGGCAGCTCTAGCGTTGAGCGAGTACTTAATTTGTACGCATCTACAGAATATCTACAAGAACACAGCGTTCACTCCGACTATTGAGGGTGTGGGAAGAGTCCTAAGGGAGTATAATAGAGTATTGGAGCTGGGGGCAGGTACAGGACTAGTATCAATTGTTGCTGCGAGGTTGGGAGCGCCAAAGGTGCTTGCCACGGACGGAGATTCGATGGTGTGCGAGGCGCTGGCAAAAAACGTGCACTTGAGCGGTGTTAGCGAGACAGTGACAGTAAGGAAAAGACTATGGGGAGATGAAATCGAGATGGATGAGGACTTCGATCTAGTCGTTGGTGCTGACGTGGTAATTTCTCCTACTTTTTATCCCCCACTTCCTTTGCTGCGTGAACTGACACATCAGACCTACGACGCAACTGTGATTTCGTATTTGATCAAGGAGCTTGAACAGCTTTTTGCTAAGAATTCTCACATCCGAGTCGTCATCTCAGCAACCATACGCAACGAAGATACTTTTGCTACGTTTGAAAAGGCCTGTCGTAAGCATGGCCTACCCAATATAGAGTCATTCACCCTAATAACCATTACCTGAATATAGGGAATAGCGGGTTTGTGTTGGAACAAAAACTCTGGATTCCACCTACCCCACAGATATTCTTTTATGACCAAATTGCACAGATTCGGATCATTCACATTACGAAGAGCACAGCCAAATTTTTGGGGCTTTAAAGGGAGTATTTGTGCTCGTATATATCAGATTAAGTCGTTAAAATCACAGAGAAAAAATTGAGAACTGTTTCTTTTCTTGCAGAACATATGCATATATACTTTACATACATGTAGTAACTTTCCCTAGCGAGTTAGCAAGGGTTATTAGTGAATTAAGTATACAAGTTTATACATAAATACATGTACTAAATGAGCCTTCGCCTAAGTCTAATAATTGAATGATCTATGTCAGAAAGGTTAATATGGGACTGAAGATTGAGGCCATCTTTTTCCCCGCTCAACCCTCCTTCGTACTGGGCATGGGTATCGAGTGATGATCCATGACTCACTGAGAGCTACAGGTATCGGCCTATAGCTTATAGACGCCCTCACAGGGGGTGTGGGGATATATGGGCTGTTTCCTTCTACAGACAGCTAAATTTATAAGATTAAGTATATTCCCGATATCTCGTGGGGTTGGGACGGTTTGTAGTCTTGTAAAATATTTATTCCAAAATTGATTGGTACTCATCACCGACGTTGCAATAGCGAAATCCCCACACCACCATAGTCGCCGTACCCCCTGAGCGAGTGTAAACGAAGTTAAAATATTGAGATTCTGGGTATTTTCGGTAGCCATTCAACTAAGGAATGTCTTGAATTACCCCGGGAAAGAGGCTGAACGGATTGTTTGCTTTAGAACTCCGATTTTTTGTTTTTTGGGGTATAAAGTTTATGTGAGGATATCGTTTCGGGAAATAAGGCAGGTTGATCGCGACCAGCGTTCAAGGCATAAATGTCTTTCCCACTTAATTAACCCAATGCGATTTATTTGTATACATTGCATCGTAATTGAAAATCTGTGGCATAATTAAATTTTTAATCTCTACCCTTTAAAACCAAAGAAGCAAGACAGTGTGGGTCCTTTGGTTTTCTGTCCGCATCTGACAGACTAGGGGATATGTATACATGTATGGTGCGCCCACTCTTAAAGGTAACCAAAATTGATGGAAAGTCAATCGCTTATAACTTCATCATCAAAGATGATATCAAAGATGATATCAAAAATGTGGCAAAATAGAAGTATAGAAATAGTGATGAACTTTAGTTCTATTTTGCCAGATTTTAATATCTATCATGGTCATGAAGTTATTAGAGATTTCATGAAACTGGCCAAGACTGAACAAAGTGGTGTATAATAATTCATTAAAATGTAGATACCAAGTACTACGGATCTTTATGAATATCGTGGGTATCACTCGGATCTTTCATTATTATCACTCATAAACGAATTGATGTACTATTTTGACATTCATAGGCGCGTCTTTCTAAATCACCTCGAATATGTACATGTAGTTAAGTGGAAGAACTGAATCTTTCGCGCGCCAACTTTAAACAATCCCAAACCTAAAACAAATGCATGCGCCCAACACCATACATCCCAGGCCACGGGAGAAGATACGATACGAAAGATAGAGGGCCCCTTTACCTATTCCCCTTCGCCCCACTCGGAACACCAGTTCTCCTTTTTTTCAAGACATTCCCAACCGCGTCCCTAACCTCTGGATCATTCCTGACTGTGTTCTCAACTAACCAGTTTTTCATCTTGGTCTGTACATCCCTCACCGCATCCACATCTGACTCGTACGGGAGGAAGTCGAGCGCAAGGAGATTGCTAGCTTCGGTGTCTGCAAACTTTGTAAAACCAAATAGACGTTCCAGTTGTGGGCGCATGGACTCGACGGTGGGAGGGCCCGTGTTTCGTTGTGATTGAAAGAGTGGGGCAAGTTGAGAAATTGCAATAAAAGTCGTAAATGCAATTTTACGTGCAAGAATGAGCTGCTCGAATGGAAGGAGAGGGGCGAAGAAAGGGAGTGAGGGAAAGGCAGGACGGGTCACAACAGCAGTTTCGAAAGTGATCAAGCAGAAGAAGGTGAAGAATCGCCACTATAGAAAAGTATTGTTAGAGTGCTGACAGAAGTGTATAAGTCAATGCGACATACGTAACGCCCAAATTCTGCTTTCCCAAGGACCGACAAGATCACTAGGAATAATAGACTTCCCGCATAATATGGGAGCATCATTGTACCCCCTCTAACCAGATAGTCGTACATTGAACTGCAATGTTTCCAGTCTAGCATGTCAGGCCCAAAGCGATCATACGCAAATCTCTTAACCGGATCAGACAAAACATCATATGCCAGCTTCAACATGACGAATTGCTCCTCTCCACCAAGTCCAACTTTATCCGGATGATATAACACTGTAAGCCTACGGAACTTAGACTTGAGTGTTCTTTCGTCCACATCAATATTGGACCTCATGAATGCGTAGAAATTGGGCGTGTGTATAATCCCATGATAGGACTCGTAGATTGTGTAGAGTAGGTAGGCGCCTATAACACTGATATTGATGCGTTTGTAGTCACGTACCCACCGCGGGGTACCTCTTTGTGGGATTGGATCGCCAGCGCGCGTTATAAAACGGTACCAAAATGACAGGATCCACCCAGTGACCAGCTGTGTGCCAAGAATACAATTAATATACATATAATTGTAAGCTTAATTATAAGCTCCTAGCACCTGAAAATATAAACCTCCAGAGAGAACTTACAGAAGGTAAGAAAGACCACCCGATGAACGAAAGAAGTGCTGACATCGCGACGACAGAGCGATGGTCCCGTTAGCTGTGTGGAGAATACAAAGAGATGATCTCACTAATGTGGCCACATGGAAGCTGCCGGGGTGCATGAAATCAAGGTTACCCTGCCTACATGCACAACTGCCAAGATTTCATCCCAGGCACCGAATGCGCGAACTTTTTTTACTCTTCCCAAAAGTTGCAGGAAAATAGCAATAATGTCATCAGTAACCCCCACAAAACGCGAAAAGAAATCCAAAAAACATAGCAAAGAAGAGAAAGGCCTTAAACGCAAACGCCACGCGGAATCCTCACAGCCTTCTCTGTCCCCGGAAATATCCAAGAAACCTCGAACTACCATTGCCTCTACAAAAAAACAAGCTCAAGCTCAAAATGGCGAACCAAAAACCCCCTTCCACCTCATGAAAACTTCATTATATCTTTCTGTGTCCCCTCGATACTCCTTCTGGCCCGAAGAGACGTTTGGCCATCTCATCTCAAACCCGGATCCATCCCTCCGCCCGACCTCCGAGCAGGCTGCACGGATGCTCTCTTTCACTCCAATCAACGGCCTCCGGAAAGATCACCTTGATCCACTTCTAATGAGCTATTACGAGCCTCTTGATGGTGTTGTAATTGCATACGACAATATCCGCTTCGAGTCTGACAAAGCCCGCATTGCAGCAGAGTCCCCGTTTGCGCACGTCTGGATCACTGTTGACTTCCTTGTATGGAAACCCAAAAAGGGCGATGTCTTGCAAGGGTGGGTCAACCTGCAGAGCGCATCACATGTGGGATTATTAGTGGAGAATACGTGGAATGTCAGTATCCCTAAGGAAAAGATTCCGGAGAGCTGGAGTTATCATGAGGTTAGAGAGGGGTTCACTCCAAAGAAATCAGAAGCCCCAGTTCCGAACGAGGTGGGAGAGCTTGAGGAGGGGATGGAGGGGATGGAGGGCGTGGAATATGGGAATGCCGAGATAGATGCTGGTGGATGGATGGATGCAAACGGTGAATATGTGGATGGGCTCCTCAAATTTCAGGTAGAGTCTGTCCAAGCAATTGGGCATATATTCTCAATGGAGGGGAGTTTGCTCAACACCGAGGTTATTGAGAGGGTAGTGTTTTCGGGCGGAATTGGAGATAAAAAAGAGAAGAAGAGGAAAGATAAAAAGCACAAAAAGTCTAAATCTTTAGCGATAGAATAAAGGAGGAAATGGAAAGGGAGTTTTGTATATATACCGCGGTCTTTTTTTCTTTTTCTTTAGTATTTTTTTTGAACCTAAAGTTGATATCGATATGGGTGATCACGTTAAATCTAGGAATAATTGTAGCATACAGTACAACCAAGAAAAGTCTGAATTACCCACGACTTGAATTCTATGGCTCACCGAAATTTGAGATCGAGATCGGGAATTTGGAGTAGTAAGTTTGAAACCATACATGCACTGAATGCTAACATTCAACCTCGGCTGGTCAGTCCTCCTTGCATATTTCAAAGTACGCCTTTGAATAGAATGGGGAATATCCCTAGCTTGAGAATTTTGCGATTAAGGTCTTTTAAATACACCTGCTCACCACACAGTTTTTCCACATCACATTATCTAGACAGCGTACTATCTACCACACCATCAATCACCCACCATCAATCACCCCCCACCCCCACATCAACTGCCCAACAAAAATCATTCCTATTCAAACCACTATAATAACCAAAGCAAAGCATGCTAACATGGCACCTATGACTGTATATGAATGGCGCTGCTGCCTCTCTGATACTCTTTTAAATAGCACTAACGATATTTCTGCTAACCTGCACGACTCGGCGGTTGCTTATGAGATATATCGCTTCAACCGTATCCATGACCTTGAACGGACACTTGAGATGCGCAAGACTGAACTGGAGGAGATTCTTGAGCGTGTCAATTCAGATCATCAAAAGAAGCTTGAGTTAGATGAACTCTTCGCAAGTTTGGATGCGGAGGATTCGCAAATGAAACCAAATGCTGCCGATGGGCAGAATACAAAACTGGAAGGTCTTGAGGAGCACTTAGTACACAAGAGGCTACAGATTGGGGGGGATGCCGTCAGTAACCGGAATTATCTGTATGAATGGCTCGGAATAGCAGCGGCTGATAAGGAAGGTCTGGAAGGTTTGAAAATAGATGGACTGGGTTTGGGGGATGTGGAGATAGCACGTGTAAGAGGCACCGAGGAAGGTGCTGTGAATGGCTTGGAGAATTTGGAAAACGAGTGATAATCTGTGATTGTACATAGGTTTCAGCTGCAGTTACTACATGTAATTAAAATTTTCTTACTAAGCAACTTATTTCTAGTCTGAAAAGTTCATTGGGAGGATCATACTTGTATTAAAATAATCCTTTATTATGTATTCGTTTGGTAAGTATAAATACATGTATTTGGAACGGGTAGAGTTTTGAGGAAACGTTGTGATATAGTGCAAATACTCCGTCGAGGACAACAATACATAATATAAATAGTAACAGTATCTTTTTGGAATTTTTTTGATTTTGTTCGATCCCCTCAACATCTTTCACCCCCATCTTCTGGATATCACTTATCATTGGATTACACCGCAGTCATGGATCCTAATCGTTTAACAATAGGGCCACCCTTGTCTCCCCCCCCTATATTCGAGGTCCTCTCCCAACACGTTCTCCAACTGATGATATAATTCGGAAGTGGAACCTTGCAGGAGAAACGAACAAAGCTCGCCATTATCGTTATGAGTCTGAACGTTACCATCGGGTTATAATGAGCGAACGGACTCTGGAAATGAGGAAAGCCGAATTGAGCGCCATTTTCCAATGTTTCACCGTCAAAGAAAAGGTAGGGAAGGCGAAAGGGTCCCTTATTATGGAGGACATTACCAACAGAAGCGCGGTTATCACACTTAATCCGTTAAAAGAGCTGAGGAGGAGCATTGGCCCAGAAAAAGGATTTCATCTCACTCTGGACCTTGAGCGGGATATATCGCAGAGATTGGATGATTTTCTTACTGTCGAAGAACAAATTGATCAAAAGAGCATATCATCGCGAGCTAGCTGTAAAGATATGTTCATAGCGCGGGCTAGTAAGCTACCGAGGGGTAGCTATTTGGATGAAGAAGCCACTGATAAAGAGGAAGCTGCAGAGAGATCTGATGTAGGTACAGAGTGGGGGCTTTTGAGGGTTAAAAGAGATATAGAGGATTCATTCGGATTTGACGAACATGAAGATATTATACTTGTTCCGCGGAGTGTTCGGGCATCGAGGAACGGGGGCAATGAGTTATGTTGATATCATGGGGATTCAATATGATAAGAGCAGTGGCGTTTCCCCCGTAGATATGGACGATCACTGTTTCTGGGGAATTCCGAGCAGCGGAAAGGCCTGTTACAACATGTATCGCACTGGGGTTTATTTACATAATTGAGTAGGCACCTACATGAATACATGTAAGTATGCCGTCGCTTTGAGGTGTGTAAATAAATTACACACATATAATCAATACAGAGTTTGTTTAAAACTAAGGGCCCGTTCGGACAACCTTAGATTATTTCTTCGGGTTATTGGACAGACTGGATCCATGGATTATCAGGTAGCGGAAGTGATAATCATAATACTCATAATAAGTGGATAATCTACATGTCCGGATAACGTTAGCTCTCAGGATATCTGTGTTGTGTGGGAATAATTACCTCCAAAGGTGATTGTTTTTTTGGCGGATTATTGGGATAATCAGGAGTTCCGAATGTTGGATTATTCAATTGCACGAACAGCATAGATTATTGTGATAATCCAAAAGTCGATAATCCGTCAGATTATCGCCAATAATCTAGATTATTGGGTTGTCCGAACGGGCCCTAAATGATTTCAAGCTCAACGTGCTGGTCAGCTGACTATGTAGCTAAATTGCACGAATGATTAAAAATTTACTTGCTTGATTTTATAAATCGCACGGTTCATCACCCGCCGAATCTCATCCTTGTAAGTAGAATGAGACTGTGATTAGGGAGTTCTGTGGCTTAGTACGTAGTGGGTTGGTGTGCCACAACTAGAGAGCTACAAGGTTCGTGCGAGAAGCAGCAAGAACGTCACCTCTAGATCTCACCAACCCGTCTCGATTATTTTAGAGTAAGCAAGCGAAATATGGAAACCATTAAATTTATGGAGTAAGTGCACACTTACTTCTATCAGTTCGTAGCGAGCTCCATAAATAATTCCTCGCACAGTTACCTCAGGTCGGAAATAATAATCCTTCACGTCGGCCCAACAAAGATCCAATTCCAGGCCTACGAACTAGCCCTACAAAAAATACCCCTTTTCAAAATTTCTCTACTAGAAACTCAACCCAAAGAAACCGGGGCCGCAAGGAGCATCTCCCTCCCGGATGATAATGCGAACGGTATTGCGGCCTTAATTCAATATTTATACTCCGAAACATATACACACAATATACCAGAAGCACCCACGCGCACACTTATCGAAGACTGGGAGTATTAAGGTGTGTGCCATGCCTGGGTCTATAAGACTGCCGCAAGATATAAATGTCTGGGGCTGTGTAAGCTTTCAGCAGAGAAATTTTGGGAGGTTTCTGAGAGAATGATAGAAGCAGATCTGCATATCAATGCGGTAAAGCTTTGGAGATCCGCGTATAGCGTGGGATTTCACTGTTTTATGGATGTGGATGGCCACAATAAGGAAAGAAATTGGAAAGGAACTTTAAGTTGTGTGAGGGACTTGGCTAATAATAAATGGGGGGCGGTACGAGGGATTATGATCGATTGCCCAGAGTTGGCTTGTGATTTGTTGGCCTTGACAAGCAAAAACATACCCGTACCATACGTTCATTAGCTATATTGTATATGCACGTACTGTACGTTATCATATCTATAAAGTGCTATGAAAAGATGCACTACATGTATACGTATCTCCTTGCATGTCTCTGATTAATTGAGAGCGGAAGCTACATGTACATGTATGTAATACGTACTCGAGTATAAGATGTACATGCATATACGAGATAAACGTGAAAGCAAGAATATGTGGCGTATAACGCTAAGGATTCTATATACATGTAGTTATATATAATGTACGAAGCTGTATATAAGGTATACATAATCTTATGTGAAATCATCAATCGCCCTCGGTCGGTGGTTTTTTTGTGAATTATTTTTTGCCGACAGCTTAGCTCAAGCTCACTGTCAATACATGTTTTGGCAGGCCTAAGGCTTTGTGGGCAAAAAGACTACGATGCCATGGATTTAAAAAGTATTGCCCTCCGTGGCATCCATTAATTATGTGTGGCATTCTAGATAAACACAAAGAAAAATAAGACTTTTACCGTTAATTTGTAGGCCATGCAGGACTAACGTCATCCGAACAAAAGGCCACTTAGACTAGTTCAGCTACATACATGTCATGTACGTATAGCATCTCATCTATTCCACCAAGACCGAGCAATACCACTAGCACAAACGAAAAGTCCAAAATGTCTGTGAATCCCGATACTCGCTCTGAGCAGGATCTTCATCGATACATGTCATACACAAAAAAGCGAGCACTCGAAACAGCAACCCGACACCAATATGAAGCCACACGACAAGAACGGATAAAACAGAATGAATATACAGCCGAAAGTCGCAAGAGTGGGTTAATGGAGATATTTGAGAGTGTTGATAAGGGCTCGCAGTTACGGAAGTGTAGCCAATCGGGAAAGCCGAAGACAACCCCTCTGGGAAATGCCACTAACACATCCAAAGCTCTTAATGTCACTAGGGTCGAGGGATTCGTTACAAAAACCGAGATAGTACCAATGCTGCCATGCAAGGGCTATACCCTACCACATAGGAATCTGTTTATCGGAGGAAAGTGGCCTGCATTAGACGTGAATGAGTGGAGGTACGAAGTGTTCGGGCTGGAAAGATTAAGAGATGAGACAATGCAGAAGATATACAATATCTCAACTCTTCAACATGAACACGAAAGATCTGATGATCAGCAGGGAGAACCTTCAGATGGGAGTCAGTCACAGTCACAGGGTTTCGATGTGGAAGATTCCCAATCACAAACGCTTGAGCAGAAGACATTCATCTTTACGCAGGAACCACAAGGTCTATGTCATCCAATACCATTGAAGGTGGGTAATAACTTTAACAAAAGTGGTAATGGCCCTGGGTGGGAGGATGGGATCTTGTGGGATAGTGGGCCAGCTTATCTCTGATCGGTACACATATGTGTAGTCTCAATGATGTTTTCAAAAGCCAAGCACTTTCAGAAAACGATCCCGTATATTGGTATTGCGTTTATGTGTAAGAACAGCTTAATTGGTTTATCAATACCGATGAATAAAGGGTAAACTTTGTACAGTACAGTACATAAAAGATAATAGAGGTATGATGTTATGTTCTGGCTGTAGCTGCAAAATTGAAAGTAAGACTCCGTTTGGGATTACTCTGTAGCTGCGGTTACGATCTACTGAGAATGAGATATATGGCTTGGCCTTAGCTTTTGCCGGTCGATATATATATATTCCAGTAATGATTGTCAGACACTACTGTTTATAAGGGGGCCCAGGAGTATGAGTCTCCGGCTCCGCAATGAGGTCCCAAAATAACGAGGTACGGAATATCGAGGTAATACTATACAACACTGGTGGAATGAGAATTAAGATTTATGTAGGCACATAAAGTACATGTACGTACATGTAATGTGGGTGGGTTTCTGCTCGTGGAGAGAGTTTTCCCAGCACCCGGCGCCCAAATGGGACATGCAGAGAAAAATGCGGAGGAGTGTGGCTAAGGTATGAGTGCTGGCCTTGAGCCGGTTGGGGTATTCCACATCCTGCTGAACGAAGCGACTAGTAGGCATAAAGGGTGAAGCCCTGTACTTGTACTGAAGATTGTAGTACGCCGCCATAGACTACGGTCTGCATGCGAGTATGAATTAAACAAAAAAAAAAAAAAAAAAAAAAATGTACGTACATGTACGTACATGTAAGGTTGCGTCCGCGATTGCCAAGAACGAGTGATAGTTCGTGAAGAACTCGGCCTACCAATATCGGTTGCGGATCGGTTAGGTAACCTGGGATTTTATCGTAGCTTTCGCCTTCACCCGTTTTGCGAAGAGATTTTCTAACTAGTGCGCACACTAGGACGAACTCGTCTCTTTTATAAAGTAGGGTCTGAACACTTTAGATGTATGCACTAATTTCCTCGTGGTAGAGCCTCTAACCATATATTAATTTTTACAAGTTTGATCGATTGAAGTGTCCAAACCCCGATCTGGGTAGACATCAATTTTAAGGCCAAGTTTGTAGGTTTGTAGAGTGGTTCTGGGGGGCGCGGGGGGGGGGGGCGAGAAATGTAGATATCTGGGCGTTAACTACCCAAAATAACTCCGCTGATTATAAACGGAGCCTAGTTACTCGGCTTTTTTTGGCCCTTGGATATAAATTCGCCAATTATTTCCGCTGGACTCCTAGAATAGTGCCAAGAGATAGATATCAGTAGCCCGGCCTAATCTTCCAAAGAACAGTTGAAGAGCTAGATAGTTGCTAAACCATTCGTGGTAGATTTCTAGACCGAATGCGATCGTGTAGGTCGAGAAAGGATTAAAGCTATGCTAAAAATACCTTTTATTCAAATTAGAAATCTACTTTTATTAGAAGTTTCATTTGGGGGAATCATATCATAGCCTCGACCTCTGCAATGTCCGTACCGTAATCGTTTCATCATATAAAAAGAAATACATGCCTATCATAAACTCTGTTTAACCCCTCAAAAACACACGTATATGCTTTGAGACCTTCGCTTGGTATCAAAGGCCACCATAATCATCATCGTCGTCGTCATCATCATCATACAGACAATGTCGGGCATTGACCAAGTACATATACTGCCAGAAATCGTCGAGGAGTCTGAAATATCTGCCATATCCACAAAAGATAATCCATCGGAAACCTTCAAGACAACAGATATCGCCATGTCGAAAGTAAATAAGCTCGAGGAGCTAAACGATACCGCTATACCAGCCGGTGAGCAGATGCTAATATCAGAATCCGTGATCGAATCAGAAACCACCACCGATATTGACATCCCGTCCAGAGGAACCAAACGTCCCGCTGAAGAGAGTGTTAATGTAAGGCAAAAACTAGGAAAAGAGGACAACAAGGAGGAGGCAGAGGAGGTGATGGAGGTGATGGGGGAGGAGGACGTCGCTGCCACGGATGGAGGAGAGCTCTCGAGGTGTGAAAGTAGAGCCCAAACCAAGGATAACGGCCTACTGGACCTGAGTATGAACCAGGAGCTAGATGCGATGGATGTGACTGACCCGCTCCCAACTACGGATAGCTCGAGTACCAAGCCCCTGTAGCTCGATGGGTGATAATGTTCAAAGTGAAGAAAAAAGCTGATGCATAATGATACTCAGATATCGATGCTCATATTCTCACCGACAGCGGCAACATCAACTCAGACCATGTATCCCCAGTCTCATCTGGTATATCCAATATCTCTCCGCTTGATTCACCGCTCTCTTCGCCTGGTAGTCCGCCATCATCGGCTATCCGGGAGGCTATTGAGAGTGTGTGGAGCTCAAGACCGCCATATGCGGATAACTCTGCATATATGACTACTCGACCATTCAAGTCCCGTAGGGCTTCTGAGCTTAGTGTTTACGAGGCTGCCAGACGCAAAAGAATCACAAAAAATGAGCGGAGTGTCGCCATGAGGAAACTCGAGATGATGCTGTTTTTGGAGCAAGCCGACTGTCATATGAGAATGCTGGCTGCGAGAAAGGCCAGTAAAAACAGGAAGGTCGTAGAGCGCGGTGAGAAAGAGCCCGGAGGGGCTAGCTTAGTGAAGCAAGAAGATGATGAGGAGGAGGAGGATAAAATGGATTATACACTGGACGAGCTCTTTAACCCAGATAAAGCAGAGCTGGGAGAGGCTTTGAGGAGGGTAAGTCCTGGCGCTGGATTCTAAGTTTTGAAAGATTCGGATCCCCAGAGGCTTATAAACTACATTAATTGTAAGGATACAGGCTCGTTTTGAGCGGCTGGGTCGGTGTAAGTCGATGCCTCACATCTCCACCTAAGAGGTCTGAGAAAAAAATACTGCCCTTTTGAAATGTCTACTCCATTACTATAGATCGTTGAAGGCTGCGCGAAGGTTACAACTGCTGTTTCGACGATGATAGCTCAGGGAGTGTTTGTATGAGTGGTTTGGTAAATGTCTTGTCTTGGTAACTCATCATGATTTATGTGTGAGCTTTTTTTTATGCATTAGATGCAGAGGATACTATACTTGTACTGCGATTCGTTGATGTATAAATATTCGAGGTTGAATTCGATTCAATTGCTTTGGTCATGTATGGATTTGTTTTACAACTTCCTGCAGGTGGGGGTCTCTGGTGTATAACAGAATCGAGTTCCCCCCCCCCCTTCTTTCCTCGTCGCCATTTTCGTTTTGACTCTGTTTCCTAGGTAATTATTTTGTGAATACGCGCGTGCGGGACTGGTACGGTCAGGTCATGGAATGTCACTCGGTCACATGGCCTGCCTACAAGCGTGTTGGTGGTTCGTATATTGTATCGCTCCGGAGGCTATGACAACGTTCAACGAGAGCTCATTTTTCTGTACTTTTGGCGCTGGAGATCTCGTTGGGGTTCTCGTGTTTTATGTGTTCACACGGTCACTAATATATAGGGGATAAAATGATCATGACTGGCAATTAATTGGCGGGAATATATCTAGAAAGGAAGGAACACGAATTGAATTCGAGGAGTTGTGTGTAGAGTAGTCATCTATGGAAGTGAAACGGCTAAATGACCGGCGTATCAATAGAGGGGCGGATCACTGGGGTATTTTTGGGTTTGGGTTGTTTGTATGTGTAGTTATATGCCCACGGGGTCAGGTAAGCTTTTGCTAGCTAGGTACATGTATTTGATTGGAGTGACGAGGTCTAGAAGCCCTTTTTTAATTTAGCTAGTTGTCTTTTTTAGCGCGCTATAGAAGAGGGTTGTTAGAATTTAATCTGATGAATAGGATTTGATTGCCATGCTATTATTATTCTCAGATCACTATTAACATCCTAACCTAGCCAACCACACCCCTTTCTCCAACACCCCCACCCCAATTCAAGCCCCCAAGCACTTCTCCTCAAACACGCCCACTCCCCACCCCTTCTTTGAATACCTCATACACCACCTCATGCTCCCCTCCCCCTCCGCCTCCTGCCCCCTCCCATACGCGACAATCTCCTCGCCCCCCGAAAACTCCTCCTCCGCCGCCCTTCCCAGCGTATGGAAGCAGAAGTAATGCAGCGCCCTCGCGATATTCGCCAGCTCCCCATACCAATCACACGCCTTGCTGTCCCCGCGATTGACGCTGGTGAAGCGCCAGTCGGCGGTCCAGTCGCGGTCGGAGAGGTCCACGAACTCGGCGGCTTCGCCGGGCGCGAGGCAGGACTGGTTGGAGAGCTGCTGGATCCCCCAGAAGAGGTTGGAGTATTTGTTGCGCGAGAGGGGCTTGCTGGAGGGGAGCGGGGTGCAGCCGTAGCGCGTGATGGTGTGTTTAGAGAGGGAGGATTGAAGGTGCTGGGTGTAGGTTATGGGGCGCGGAGGGGCGGGGGCGATGCGCGGGTCGGTGGTGTGGTTGCCGGCGGGGTGGGAGTAGGGGGCGGGGACGCGGAAAGGAGCGGGGGTGGTGGAGGTGGGGGTGTCAGTGTCGGTGTCGGCGTGGTGGGAGGACTTGGAGAAGTCGCAGGTGTAGCGGTTCTCAGTGAAGAGCGGGCCCCAGGTGTCGTGGTAGGTCACGGTATAGGTGAGCTTGCAGTGGGAGGAGGAGGAGGCGCCGGCGCCCGTGGGAGGGTGGAATTCAGTGGTGGTGGTGATGCTGGTGGTGTCGAGGTCGGGGAAGTACTCGGCGGGTAAGGCGAGTGCTAGAGACACCAGCAGCGGGAGTATGGATTTGGGAAGCATCGTGTGCGAGGAATGAGCTATGGCAGCAGCTGCGGTGCTGGTGCTGGTGGTGGGATATTGCCGGTGTATATAAATACTGGTGCGGGGGAGGGTAAAACAAACAGCCCACCAAGATAGGTCAAGTCCGGGGCAGACAGCTACGTCAAGCGCCTATTTGTGGAGCAGAGCTACATATTGCATGGATAGCTCTTATCTGCAATCTGCAGATTATTTTCCTGTTTTGGATGGAGCTGTTGTGCGACGTGAGCGGTTCCGTCTGCACCTCCACATGCAAGGACGTTATTGGCAAGATGCGGTCACCTTGGGTCGAGTGGAAATGTTTCTATGGATGCAGTTGGATGATATGTAGCTCAGATACATGTGCTCTAGGTTCTTGACTGCCCTGATTGGGGTGAGAGAGATGTTCTCTGGTATTTTAGCTATGCTGTATACGTTTGTCGAACCCACAATAGCTGTAGACCAGCGATTCTGAGCTCGATAATTCGATACCTCTGAGTAGGCCTTATGGTGTGCCAGCCATAACGGAAGTAAACCGTCGAATCATTGGGACTTCAAGACCAGTTGACTCGGAGTCTCAGACATGTATATAACCGCCAACTAGAACCAGGCTGAGGGGAGCAAGTGCAGAAACCGCAATTTGCTTTCCACATGTATGTACCCCGCTCATCATATACTGCGGTATCGATGTGTCCAGCACCTTCGGTAGCGTAGCGGCCGAGACATAGATCACGAGCCATCACTCGTTGTGCATACCCGTGACCGCACTACCGCCTGTCGCCGCCGTGTAACCGGTATCATGCGCCGGTTACGTGTACACAGCTTTCTCTTGAGCTCGTACGTCTCCAAGAACCGGCGCCTTGCAATTGAGACATTGAAAACGCCTGGGCAGGCAGGTCCTTCTCACCGCTCATGGTCCGGGTGTACGTGCTTCTGGCTGCTTGTAAGGCAATACCCATAGAGGGTAGAATGGCCTCATCTAATTAGGGTATATTGTGTGTGTGCGTTATGTATACATGTAGTAAAGAAATGTCCTTGGAAATCCTCGAAGCAAGGACAGGTGGTGTCCTCGAGGGAAGGACAGAGAGAGTGTTCTCAAAGCAAGAACAGATAGTGTCCGTCCTGGAGATGTACGTAATGCCTCTGGTCATAAGCGTTATGTTCGAGCTTAAACTCTAGAAACGTAGTTCATATAAAAACAGGAAACGTACCTCCTATGTAGTAGTAGCCAAGTAATTCATTGTAAGTCTTAAATTTTAAATCTTTGCAAAGCTGTCAAACTTTAAAACCTCTAGCGCTCCCATAGGCTCAGAAGATGCTGCGTAGATCAGTTTGGAAACAGCCGTTTCAAGGAGAGAGATTTGAGTCAAGAGATATACTCATTAGTTTATTGATGAGATTATGTTGATTTTTCAGCCCCGATGCTAGAGTTTGGGTTTGTTCGTTAGGCTTGGCGGACTCGAGTGATAGTCTGTGAATGTACCCTGTCGCTGACGCTCTGGAATTTCGCCAGTGTGACGAGAAACGGTGTGGTCCTCGAGGACGCTCCCAAACCTCGCCTCGAGCGTCCTCGTGGAACACACTGGTGGGGGACAATTGGTTGATGCTGGGAGGAAACATTGTAGAATAGCCACATATAAGAGAACAACAAATCTGGTTTTCTTCGGCCTTCGTATCGGTTGATATTTCTGTGTTCCCAAACTTAATGCCAGACCAAGCCATTACGAGGCCGGTACATACCCTACCACATGTGATTTATTTATTTCTACAGATGCATCTTACGTGTCTTCTAAGCCCTTAAGGGCCCTTACCCTTTCTATGGCCAACATACCAGTGCCAAGAAACCAATTTTTGGCCGCCCGACGTGGCTATAAAAGCTCACCTTCCCCCACACCCCTTCTTCTCTCCCCATCTCAGTGCATGGGCAAGATCGATAGCGGTGAGGATTCGTCCGAGCTTCGATTTTTGCTAGTTGAAAACTACAACTATGTTGACTGCTCTTGGCTTGCTTCGGCAGGCCAAGGAATTTTTGGATTGAAAAAAACCAGAAGGGACCTTTTTTGGTCTTTCTCTCTTTCGTTTGGTGCAGGCCGCTGAGCGTGCGTCCTTTGAAAGAGGTTGGGTTTCTTGTGGGTGTCCTTGTTCCTTGTGCCTTGTGCCTGTGTTTGTCCCTTGTGCCTGTCCCCGTCCCATTCGTTCCTGCCCATTGTTCCTCCGTCCCTTTCCTCGTCTTTTGGTCTTACTGGCCATTTCATAGGCGGGCTAGGAGTATGCTTTCATCCCATCCCCTCTCTTTCACTCGATTCAGGCCGCTGCGCGTGAATCCTTTGAAAGAAATCAGTTCGCTCGTGGGTCCGTCCTCGTCTTTTTCGTTCCTGTCCCTGTTCCGTGGTCCCTGTTCCATGTCCCTGTTCCGCGCCTGTATCCCTCATCTCTTATGGTCGTATAGACCATTCCCTATACTGGGGCAAGATGAGCTTTTATCCTACCTCTCCTATCTCTCCTTCACTTGATTTAGGCCGCCATGCGTGAATCCTTTGAAGGGTCTTGATTTGTTATGTAGGTGTTTCAGTTTCTCGTCCCTTGTAGGATCTCATATGTAGTCCAGGGCGTGGTGTTCTTCCGTCGAACCCCATCTTTTCTCCTTCCACTTGGTTTGGGCCTGCTCTTGAATCTTTGGAAAGAGATCAGCTGCTTGCTGATGGCCTTCTATTCACAACTCTTTTCCGTACCGTGCTTCGTAGACAATTTTACCCCCTCCATTATTATTATTATTATTATTATTATTATTTTGCTCCTGTAATGGCTGGGGATATAGAGCATGGGTCAGGTACAGAGCAGTAGTTGTAGACGTGTACTCGGGCGTTCATTAAATGGTCGGATATCGTTGCGACCAAATCGCTACTAAGAATCCCGACCATTTAATAAACGCATGAGTAGAGGTATTACAGTCTGCTCTGGCAGCTACTGTACGAGCAACAGGCCGGTAGCATAGTGGATAATGCGCTTCCATCGGGTAGCCGTAGGAACAATTGCCGGAAGAGATGGGGGTTCGATCTCCCCCGGCGCTGTTGAATTTCTTCTAAGAAATATCCTTCCCCCCCCACTTTTTTGCTGCATACACATATAGGTAGAGATATGTAGCCCATGAGTTCGAAGGCCGGGGGAACTACGTGAACTGAGAACCCAAGAGGTCAGCCGTCTCACTGAGCCATCATCAGTCAACGCTGTGGGGTACATATACATATAGGTTAGCGGAATAGGTGCCGGTGTCATATCATGACAGGCAGGCTACAAGAGCTATATGTACGTTGCTGTACTAATAGATTGATTTAGCATATGTACGATATTACATGTACCTACATGTAGCTTTGAGGCCCTAGAAGTTAAGCTGCGCGCGGCAACGCACTTATATAAAAATCCAATCATCATCAAGTGCCTCTCATGTTCACAAGTCGATCGAGCGATAGAGACATCTACATCTTCCTGATCGACCCCGATCGCCAACCAACCAACCTGAAAAAATGGTCCCCTCACTCACGCAAGATTAAAAGCACATTCCTCGAATCGGAGCACTCAAAAAAGGGTTCTTTGCGGGGGTTTGATGCACGCAGTAGGGGCGCGCGCGCGCGCGCGGGATTTTGTCTTGGGAGTTACATGTTACAGCTGGCCTGTGAGAGGTGGTGCTAATCATGAGTTCTCACTCGCATGAGTTTGCCCCCCCCCTCGTTCTGGCTCTTGAGAGGGGGGGGGGGGGGGGAGGGGATCTTAGTTAGGGCCCTACTTACTACTACTTAGCCTTTAGCAACAGTACTACTAAACTAAGCTATAGATCTATCATTTTTTTTTTTTTTTTTTTTTTTTTTTTTTTTTTTTTTTTTTTGCAGGCCCGTAACCCCCACGTACACTACGAAGAAAGAAAAAAAAAATTAAAAGAAGATACTTTCATTACCGCAGTAAGCCCGCCCCCCCCCCCCCGGGCCCAAAGAAACAAAAAAAACAGAAAAAAAACAAAAAACAGAAACCCCCACTTCATTTAAGCCCCGAGCAAAAACTCCCTCTGCGCCTTAACCCACGCCAGCGCCTCCTCCTTGCCCGCGGCGGGGTGGTCCCACTGCCATTCGAGGATCTTGGGCAGCGTCTTTGCGATCCATGCGCCGCGCGGGCGCGAGAAGATTGTGATGAGTTCGTTGCCCTGTGGGTTTTGTTTGTTTGTTAGCGGGAGGGGAGAGGGGGGGAGAGAGGGAGAGAGGAAGAGGGAGGTACGTCGACGAGTGGCTTGATGAGATAGGCTTCTTCCATTCCGAGCTCTACGATCCGGGCGGCGAGGTGTTCGTATTTGTCGATTATGGCTTGTGATTCTTTTGCTAAGTACGTATATATATGCGTTAGTCCCCGTTATTATCATCATCACACTTTTCTCACCGCCGGCACCCCCAACCACGAACGCAACCGAAAAACGAGCAAAAAGAAAGAAAGAAAGAAAAAAAAAAAAAACTCACAAGGCCCCTCCTCCCCCTCCCCCCACACCTCCACCAGCTCCAACACCTCACTCAGCAACACACAGCTCCTCCACGCCGCGCCCAACTCCTTCACAAACCCCCCCAACCTCGCCCTCCCCCACCCCCTGCCTCCTCCTCCTCCTCCGCAGCCAACACGCCCCTCACAACCTCCACCCCCCGAAACGCCCTCGCAACAACATCACACACCCTATTCACCGCCTTGAGCCCCTCGCGGGCCGCCGTGGCCGCCGCCGGCGTCCCGCGCTTCATATCAACCTCAAGCACGACGCCGGCCCACGGCGTCAGCGCCGCCAGCAGCCAGAGGAGGTAGTGGTCGTGCGGCGTGGGGAGGAGCGGCGTGGGGAGTGTGGTGAGGTGGCGGGTTGCGGCGAGGGCGCGCGGGAGGGTGTGCAGGGGGAGGGAGGGCGGGAAGGGCGTGGTGGGCGGGCAGAAGATGGCGGGGTAGAGGGAGTGGGTGTGGAGGAGGGTTAGGGAGTGGTGCGGGGAGGGGCCGGTGAGCATTTTGTGCAGCTCGTCGCCGACGCGTTCGCGGGAGATTTTGTGGCGGAGGGCGTCCTGGGTGGGTGTTAGTGGGATGTGGTGAGAGTGGGGGGAGGGGGAGGGTGTGGAGGGAGGGATAGAGTGATATCCATGTCCGAGCAACCGAGTCATAGCCCATGCCCAAACCACTGTCACAGCTCACACCCAACCAACCAACTACCCACACCGAAAAAGGGACAGATACACATACAATAATCTCCGGCAACCTCATCGCCTCGCTCGCCTCGGGCACAATCTCAAAGCCCAGGCGCGAGCTGAAGCGCACCAGGCGCAGTATCCGCAGCGGGTCGTCGTCAAAGGTCTCCTGCGGCGGCAGCGGCGTGCGGATAATCTTGTTGCGCATGTCCTCGAGCCCGTGCTCCGTGTAGTCCTCGACGCGGCGCGTGTGCAGGTTGTAGAAGAGCGCGTTGACGGTGCAGTCGCGGCGGAGGGCGTCTTGGACGGGGGTGCCGAATTCCTGTGGTCGATCAGTATCTCCTTTCTAGCTAGTCCTGCAGAACGTAGTGTTGTAGAGTAGAGTGGGATAGGGACAGACAAACCATAATCGGCACCCTCGAATCCCCCTTATACACCTCACTCCTCAAATTCACCAGATCCACATCCAGTCCCAGAATCTTCATCGTCGCCGTCTCCAAATGCTTACTCTTCTCCGGGTTGCTCTCAATCCTGTGCACGGCGCCGGGCTCAATGCCATAGCTGTGGTAGTGGCGCTGCAGAAAGTCGGCCAGGTAGAGGCCAAAGTTGTAGCCCGTCATGCGGCTGATGCCCACGTCGATGTCGTGGCTGGGGACGCCGAGCAGCTTGTCGCGCACCCAGCCGCCCGTGAAGCGCAGTACGACGGGCTCCTTGTTGCGTGCGCCGGTGGTGCGGTTGTAGGTGTCTATTTCGGCGCCGACGTCGAGGAGGAGGCGGCGCACGGTTTCTTCGGTGGGGGTTAGTTTGATGCGGGGGGTTGGGGGGGGGGGGTGGTGGTGGACATTGTGGGCGGGGGGTGGTGGTGGGCGTTGTGGGCGGGGGGTGGTGCTGTGGAGACGGCGGCGCTTGGGTGCTGGGGGAGTTGTGGGAGAGGGAGTTGTGGGAGTGGGAGTCATGGGTGCTGGTTGTGGGTGAGTCATGAGGGGCCGGCGCAGAAAGAGAAGAGTCGTGAGGGCGCGGTTGAGAGAGGCGAGGGAGAGCATTGGGTGGGTGTGTGTGGGTGTGTGTGTGTGTCAGTGTGGGTGCCAGTGTGGATGTCACTGTGTGGAGGGGTCACTGTTCTGTGGGCAGATACTACTACTACAGAAGACACTAGCTGTGGTGGTGTCTGTTCTGTCGCTGCAGCTGGACTGGCAGCAGGAATAGCGGGCAGTGTCTGTCCACAGTCCCCAGAGACTAGATCAGATACATCCTTGGCGCCAAGACCACCACCACCGTCCATCGCCTCACCTCACAACAAAAAGGATCACGGCCAGTGGATCAAAGATCTAGACAGACTGCACCGCACACTCCGCTGCCAACATGTCGTCCTCCTCATCCTCCCTCAAGCACAACCCCGAGAAGCAGGCAAAGAACGAGTACATCCCCCACTTTATTGCCAAAAAGCCCTTCTACGTCGACCAAAACACCGTCGGCGAATACCGCGGGCTCAGCAACGAAGGCGACTACCGTACGTTTCCCCCCTTCCCTCCCCCAGTTGTCCCCCCCCCCCCCCCAGTTGTCCCCCCACTAACACCCCCCGCCCCCAGTCGAGCATCAGCGCCTCCAAAAACCCGCCGCCGACACCCTCAGCACCCAGAAATGGTACGACCGCGGCGCCAAGACAACCCGCGCAACAAAATACCGCGCGGGCGCCTGCACAAACTGCGGCGCCATGACGCACACCACAAAGGACTGCCTCAGCCGGCCGCGCAAGCTCGGCGCCCGCTGGACCGGCCAGGACATCCAGCCCGACGAGGCCATCCAGACGCTCGAGCTCGGCTGGGACGGCAAGCGCGACAGATGGAACGGCTACGACGCGCGCGAGCACCAACGGGTCGTCGACGACCACCTGCGCATGGAGGCGCTGCGCAAGCAGTCTGAAGCCTCCACCGCCACTGCCGCCGCCACCGCTGCCGCCGCCGCTGCCGCTGCTGCTGGCGACGGCGATGACGACGACAACGACGACAAGTACGCCGAGGAGAGCGAGACCCCAGGCCAGGGCTACGACGCCGCGAGCCGCATCAGCACGCGCAACCTGCGCATCCGCGAGGACACGGCAAAGTACCTCCTCAACCTCGACCTCGACTCGGCCAAATACGACCCCAAAACACGCACCATGGTCGACCGCGGCGCAACCTCCGACCAGGCCGCGGCACTAGTCGCCGAAGACAACTTTATGCGCAGCTCCGGCGACGCCGCCGAGTTTGAGCGTCTGCAGCGGGCCGCATGGGAGACGCGCGAGCGCGGCGAGGGGAAAGGCGGGCGCATGCACCTTCAGGCCAACCCGACGGAGGCGGAGCGGCTAGAGCGGACCGCAAAAGAGGCGGCGCAGGCGCGGCGAGACGCGGAGCGGAAGCGGCTGCTTGAGCGGTATGGCGGGGGGGAGTATTTGGCGGCACGGCCGGCGCCGGTGCTGGAGGAGGAGGAGCGGTATGTGGAGTATACGCCGGAGGGCCAGGTGAAGGGGCGGGAGAAGGTGGTGGCGAGGAGTAAGTATCGCGAGGACGTGCTGGTGGGGAACCATGGTGCGGTGTGGGGGTCGTGGTGGCGCGCGGGGAGGTGGGGGTATGCGTGCTGTCGGTCGCATACGAGGAATAGTTACTGTACGGGCGAGGAGGGGATACGTGCGGCGGAGGTGGCGGAGGGGATGAGACTGGGATTGGTGGAGCCGGTGGCGCCGAGGAGGGTGGTGCAGGAGCTGGAGGTGAGGGGGGAGGTGGAGGAGGAGATGGAGGAGGATAGGGAGGACAGGGGTAAGGGGAGAGGCAAGGGCAAGGGGAAGAAGGAGGAGGAGGGGGAGTCGGCGACAGAGAAGGGGAAGCGCAAGCTGGCGCAGATGAGGGACGGCGTGACGGAGGAGGATATGGAGATGTTTATGAAGCAGCGCAGGCTGGCGGAGGATCCCATGGCCGGCTTTGTGGACGTTGTGTAGTTTAGTTTTTAGTTTTTAGTATTCTCTTCTTTTCTTTATTTTTATAATGATTAGGTCCTTTTTAGATGGAGTTCGTTTTTGTAGTTTCTTTCTTGCTCTGTTTTTCTCTTGCGATTGGTTTTTAGCTAAGGACGGATGGATGGAAAAAAAACCACACACACACACACAAAAATCAATGGTGTAATAAACATGAAAAATCAAATTGCAAAGCAAGTAACCCGCACGCACGCATGCTACGTAGATACCACCATATAGCTACCTCACTACACCTAGCCATAGCCCCCCTCTACAAAAAAAAAAAAAAAAAAAAAAAGAACCATATTAAAAGCGCAAAAAAAGAGCACCCCACAGCTACGAAAGCAGCCCAAACAGCAAACAAGTCCTCTTCCAATACTCCCTCGCGCAGCCCTCGAGGCGCCGCCGCAGCTCTTCGTCGAAGCCCAGCTACATCGCACAGTCAGTCAGCAGACACTCTCCCAACAACCAAATCCAGCCAAAGCGGAACAGAACAGAAAGAAAAATCCAGAGGAGAAAGAGGAAGAAGAAGGATACATACCCGTATGCCCACCGTAGCTTCAATCTTGCCCGCAAGACTCAAGATGCCAGAGTTCCTGGCGTTGGCGCCCTTGCGCTGCAGGGCCTCGTCCAGGTACAGTGCGTCAAAGAGTAGTTGCACGGCCCAGTCTCTGCCGATCACGCGGGCGTCTTCGTTTGTTGCCTCCTCCCCCACCACCTGCTTCTCCTCCGCCTTCTCCCCCTCATCCCCATCCACATGTCCCTCTCCCCCCAGCGTCTTCTCTCCGCCCCCCGCTTCTTCTCCCCCCTCCCCCTCTTTCTCTTCCTTCCCCCCTCTCCCCCCACCCCAACATCCGCCACCTCCCTCCCCACAACCACCCCCTCCACCGCGCCCCAAAGCTCCTGACACGCCAACACCTTCACCCCCCTCACCGCCGCCGGCGTCCACACGTCATCCCCCGCCACATGCATCGCCTGCACCAGGTCCAGCAGAAACTTAAACACCAGCGGGCTCGGCTGCACCGGCAGCGCCGGCGCCCCCTCCCACAGCGCGCGCGACGCCAGCACGCCGCTCCATCTCCGCCGCCGCAGCAGCGTCGCCACCGTGTCCAGCGGGCCGCGCCCCACGTGTGCGGCGACGGCGGTGTGCAGCCGTGGTAGCTGCGCGCTGCAGAACCAGGGGAGGGGTAGTTGCGGTGTGGGGTGCTGCCGGATTTGCCGGATGGTGCGGAGGAGGAAGGTGGTGCGGCGGGTGGCAGTGGAGGAGGTAGGAGAGGTAGTAGTAGCAGAGTCGACAAGGCGGTCAAGCGCAGCTTCAAGCGCGCGGTATGCAGCGTCGAGGGCGGTGCGCAGCTCCGTCTCGGCAATCAGCGAGTCCTCGAGCGCCTCCTGTGCGCGCTGCTCTTCGGCCTCAAAGTCGTCGTCGGCGTCGTCTGTGCCTGTTCCGGTGGTGGTGGTTTGGGAGGGCGAGCTGCGCAAGGAGTGCAGGATGGCGGTTGTGGCGGCAATGTCGGCGAGGAAGGCGTCGTAGGTGGCGCGGAAGGACTTTATGGCGCTGTCTTTGCCGTGCACGCGCGACTGCACGCTTTCTTTGAAGAGCGCGCCGCCGGACGTGAGCGGGATGGTGAGCAGGACGGGGTCCCAGAGGCTGGTCGAGTCTGGTACATGTAGTTAGCACACATCCCAAAAGCGGTCAAAACAATCATTGACCCCAACCTCCCCCCCCCCAATCCATCCACCCAGGAAGAGAAGATACAAACCTTCCAGCGCCCCCACACCCTCCAACTCCTCCCTAATCCTCTCCCCCACCTCCACAAGCTTCTCACTCTTCCCCCTGACCACCTCCGCGACCCTCGCGCCCACCATCTCCCTCAGCCTCTCCCGCTGCCTGCCCTCCTCCAGCCCATCCCTGCCCGCAAACGGCCTGCGCGCCCTCTCCCCCGCCGCCCACAACCCCAGCAGCTCCACGCGCAGCCCCACCACCTCCGCCAGATCCCCCATCCCCGCCAGCGTGCGCTCCACCCCCTCATTCAGCAGCAGCAGCTCGCGCACCGCCCACGCGCCCGCCAGCTCCGCGACTCGCGCGCGCTCCAGATCGTCATGGCGCACCCAGGGCACAAATCCCGCCAGCTCGTCAGGCAGCCAGGGGGCGTGCGTGTCGAGGCCGAGCTCGGGGCGAGCGCGGGGTCGGCGAACAGGGGGCGCGACTTGAGCAGGATGAGGGCGTCGCTGAGGCGCTTTGGGAAGTGTGCGTCGGCGTGGGCGAGCGTGTGGTTGTAGAGCGCCATTGCGGCGAGGGCGGCGTTGGGCGTGCGCTCGGCGGTGTGCAGGAGGGTGCTGATGGCGGAGGAGCGGATGTGCAGGAAGTGGCGGAGGACGTCGGAGGGGGGGGAGGTCTTGAGGAGGGAGTAGGAGGTGAGGACTGTGGTGAGGTGCGGGGCGGTGGGGGTGCTGAGGTGGTGGTCGATGTGGGTGGTGAGGTGGGCGGTGAGGGTTGTGCGTTGGTGTTTTAGTGATTCGAGGAGCGGGACTGAGGGGCCCTGTTGTGGAGTAGAATGGGGGGTCAATGATTGTTATTCTATAAATTGCCAACCAGGGGGACGGAAGAGGCCAATGATCGCAGCCACCCCCACAGCACATGCACAAACACACCTTCAACAACAAACTCTTCAGCAGCAGCCTCAGCACCACAAACACCTTCGTCGCCAGCAGACAATTCTCTCCATTCTCATCCCTCTGCAGCAGCCTACTCACCACGCTCGGACAGCTCCCCAGCACCGCCAGCTGCGCCGCAAACACATACTTCTCCCTATCTACCCCACCCGACAGTCAGCTCAATTCAATTCAATCCCTCTCTTCCCCTAGATAGCAGCAGTAAAAGAGTATGGACTAGAGTAGAGAGAAAGAGAGAAAGATACCCTCAGCGCCAACCCGCTCCTCAAACATCCTCAAATTGCGCGCCTTCCGCTCCAGCAGGCGGGAGCTGCACGTGCGCGACGTCTCTGCCAGACAGCTCTCAACCTGCTGCGCGTCGCGGTCCATCTCGACGATTCGCTCGGCCGTGCGGAGAAGGTCTCGGTAGCTCTCTCTATTTCACCCACACCCATTTTATCCATTAGCACCCCCACCCCCCCCCACTCCACACTCCACACTCAACACACTCAACAAAGAAGACCGGGGGATACAAACCCAACCAGCCCCCTCAGCTTCTCCTTATTCGCCGCGAGCTCCGTCTGCAGCTGGCGCTCGAGGGCGCGCACAGCGGGGATCGGGTGCTGGAAGGCGTCCTCCCACTTTGTCAGTTGCGATGCGTCCGGGCCCGGGGCGGTCATTGCCGTTGCCGTCTGCTGCTATGTATGTAGTTTGTGGTAGTGGTTGGTGGTGGTGGGGGCGGGGAGGAGGGGGTAGACAGGTAGATAGATGGGGGGGGGGGGTGGAGATAGCGCTGGTTGGCCGGTTACATATGCAGATAGAGTAGAGAATGGCGGAAAAGTATCCAGTGCGAGAGCCGCATGGTTGGCGGTGGGGAACCCTAACCCTGGAGGTGGAGTGACAGGGGCTATTTATAGATACTGATAGGTACTAGTACAGTCACTTACTCGGGGCTTGGGTAGATAGGGGTCAATGATATCTGTGCACATATCACATCCAGAGCTCGAGCATCACAGTATTACATCAGGTAGGTAAATACGTGTAGGTATCAGGGTCCGGTATGGGGGTTAATACCACGCGCACCCTCACGCTACAACGCTGGGCAATGATTTACACAACTACGACTACGACTACTTATTCTCACGGCACAGCACAGAACAGACAGATAGTAATACCAATCGCTAGAGGATCAAGACGCTAAAGAGAATTGCTAGTTTTATTATTGTATCTTTATAGAAATCAATCTAGTAGCTACTTACATGAACGACCGTTTTATTGATACCCTCGCCCCATTGCCCCCTCCCTTCCCGCATCAATAGTAGTGAAGAAAAGTGGTCCAAGCCTCCTTCCTTCTTCCTTCACCGCCTAAAGTAGCCATCAGCACGAAAGGCAAGGAACGAACAAAGCGTAAAAAGAAAAAAAAAAGTGGAAACGAAAACGAGAAAAAGAGAAAAGTGGAAAAGAAAAACGGAGTGAAAAGCTGGGTGATACGGCCCCAACTTCCCCAGCCAGGGACCCAAAAAAATCTCTCTCTCCCTCTCTACCCCAACACATTCCTCTCCTCGCCCCTCCCCTTCTTCTTCTTCTTCTTCTCCACCCGCCCCCCCAACACCCCGCCCCCCTCCTTCCCCTTCCTCCCCCCCGCGCCCACAACCACAGGCTTAATCTCCGTATTACTCCTCTTGAGCAACACCGGATGACTCCCAATATACTTCCCATTCATCTCCCTCGCCGCGCGGAAATACTCGTCCCCGTCCGAGAACGCCACAAACCCATACCCCTTGCTCTTCGTCGTGCGCTTGTCCCTAATCACGCGCGCCTTCTGCACGCTCGGATATTTCGCAAACGCCTTGAGCAGCGAGTCGTCCGTCACCTCCCCCGCCAGGTTGCCGACAAACAGCCGGAAGTGGCTCGGGTCCCACTCTAGCAGCGTCCCGTCCGTCCATGTCTGTCCGCCCCCCTGACGCAGCACCGTCGGCGCATTTCTACCATTCCCCCCAGCCCCCCGGCCCCGGCCCCTGCCCCGCCACCACCACCACCACCGCCGCCAGCAATAAGTGGCTTCGCATACTCGCCGTCAGCGCCCTTCAGCGCCGCGCCAGAGGCAGTAGAGGAAGACGCGGCGGCGCGCGCGGCAGGATCATAGATCGACTGCTGCTGCGCGATCTGCGCCTGCAGCTCCGGTCCAGATCAGGGTATCTTGGGTCGCTACGACGGTACGGTGCCGCGGCCGTGGGCAGCGGGAACGGGTTGATGATGTGTGGGGTTGTGGTCGTTGGCGCGCTGTATGTGGCTGGCGCGTAGGTTGTAGGTGCGGCGGCGGCGGCGGCGGCGCCGGGGTAGGGCGGCTGCGTGTAGGTGTGGGGTGGGTGGTGGTGGTGGGCGTAGGGGTTGTGGTGCTGCGGCGGCGCGGAGACGATGGGGGATGGGGCGGCGAGGGAGCGCGGGCGGAAGCCGGAGAAGGTGCTGGTGGGGGCGGATTGGTAGGTGCGGACTGGGGGAGGGGGCGGGGGGGGAGGGAGGAGGAGGAGGTCCCGGGGGGGGAGGGTAGGACATGATGCTGCTGTGGGTGCTTGGGGTTCTGCAGATGCTGCTGTGGGTGCTTGGGTTCTGCAGATGCTGCTGTGGGTGCTTGGGTTCTGCAGATGCTGCTGCGGTGGTGGTGGTGAAGGGTCGTGAAATTAAAAGATCGGAAGCTCAGGGAGGTTCGAGAATGTTGTCACGTCGGGGCTTGGCACAGGTACAGGCTGGTGGCTGAGTAAGCAAGCACGTGACCCGTGCACTGCACCGTACATCTCTGTAGAGTACATGTGGGTACAGGTGCCGCCGACACAAAGGCTCTCTGTGCTCTACAAGCAGAGGTAGACAGCCCTTACTTCCTATACTACACGGGGCATAGCCAGGTGTATATACATATATGATGGAAGCATCGAGGTGTAGAGCCAGCAGTAAGATAAGCTCTCCAGATCTAGCGCTAGACACCACCTGGGTTCCTGTAAACACACAATGCAGGCCGTCAACACAAAAGAAACACTGCTACTTCCCTGTCACCAAACCCCCATTCGAATCTCATCTCATCTCACACGACCACGGGCCGGTGGCAATGTCAATGATCGCATCCGCTGCCAATGACTTCAACACACCCCAGGGTTAGGGTTACTGCCTGCATGACGACCACCAACCACGGTGTTTGCAAAGCCCCCACAACACAATTCCAAACCAGCCAAAAATATAGGATACCAACATATACAAAACGGAAACAAGAGAATAATACAAAAAACAATGACAGTGACCGCCGGGCAGCTCGCTCACGCAGTCCACGCCAACGTCGTCTCCGGATCCTACCCAGACTCCGAGGACGTCTACAGCGCCACCCTTCCATCCAATGCGCTCCCCGAGATCATCGCCCACCTCGAGAAGGCGTGCGAGGAGGTCAATGTGTGTACTGCTGCCACCATCCACTACTGCCCTAGCCCTCCCTCCCTGGAGTCGTCACTGTGCTGACATCTGCTGTCCCGGCGTAGGAAGAGATCCGCAAAGTAAGCCGCGCAAACGGGCCCGAGCTCGACTCCTGGATCCTGCAAGCGCGGCGCCTGCAGAACGACATCAACGCCTCGAACGCGCAGGCCGACCACATCCTCGCGCTCGCCGCGCAGGAGGAGGCGCTCGAGAAGGAGCTCGCCGACGCCGAGGCGCAGCACAAGTTCCTCGGGGCCGAGATCCGCTTCAACGATGAGCTGCTGGGCCGGCTGGGGCTGCTGCAGATGGTCGCGGCGACGCTGGCGCAGGTGGAGGCGCTGAGCGCCGGTGGAGAGCTGGCGCAGGCGATGGTGGTGCTGGAGGGCGTGGAGAGGGCGCTCGTGGAGATGAGGGGCGAGACGATCGTGGTGGAGCTGATGAAGGAGCGGGCGGCGGGGCTGCGGAGGAGCGTGGTGGAGAGGGTGGAGAGGGGGTGGACGGAGATTGTGGGCGTGCAGAGGGAGGAGGGCGTGTTGTGCATTCGCCGGGAGATTACAGGTGGGGCTTCTTCACTTCCTTTCTGTCTGTCTGTCTGTCTGTCTATGAGTCGCTGCTGTTGTTGGTGCTGACGGACAACTGGAACACATAGAGGGCGACTCCGTGATCTCCAGCACCGCAGTCGTCGAAGCTCTCCAAGCACTCTCCCTCCTCAACACCAAGGTCGACCACCTCCACCAGCAGCTCGACACCCTCCTCATCACCCCCCTCCTCGACACCCAGCGCCCGCACGCCCCCACCTTCACCGTCGCAGGCGACACCCTCACCACCACCGGCCACACCACCGACCTCAGCGCCACACGCATGTTCGCCACCCTCCGCCTCATCATCAACTTCCTGCACGCGCAGCTCCCCTCCGCCGTCACCTCCCCCCTCTCGCGCATCCTCGTCTCCAGCCTCACCACGCGCCTCACCTCCTCCACGCTCCCGCACTCGGTCCCCAGCTCCCTCGACCACCTCCCCGCCTTCGAGGCGCTCCTGGCCGAGACCTGCCGCTTCGAGGAGCACCTGCAGAGCATCACCTGGACGCGCGACAGCGAGCTGCGCGAGTGGGCCGACCGCGCGCCCCGCGTGTGGCTGGCCAAGCGGCGCGAAACATGCCTCGACGCCCTGCGGCAGACGGTCGCGCAGGGCATCCGCGAGACAAAGGTGGTCGAGCGCTCCGAGACACAGAAGGTGCCCACGAAGCCGGCGGAGCGGAAGGGCTCTGTTGGCGCGGCGGCGTGGAACGAGGACTGGAAGGAGGAGGAGGAGACGCAGGCTGTGGCCAAGGAGGTGGCGAAGGGCCTCAACATGTCGATTGTGGACGACGACGACGACGACGACGACGATGCCAGCGGGTGGGGGCTCGACGAGGACCTCGATATCGATGATCCCACACCCGCTGAGCCTGCGAAGCCGGAGCAGGAGCAGGAGCTGGAGCTGGAGAAGGCGTCAGCACCTGCAGAGGCGGCCCCGCAGGAGGAGGAGCTCGACTGGGGCGAGTGGGGCGACGACGACGAGCCCGCAGCTCCCACGACGCCCAAGACGGCCGACTACACACCAACGACCAGCGAATCCGCGCACTCCAGCTCCCCCGAACAGCCAGCAGCGGCCTCCTCCTCCTCCTCCTCCCCCTCCAAAGACGTGACCCTCAAAGAGACCTACACCATCACCTCCATCCCCGACGCCATCCTCACCCTCATCAGCACGCTCACCACCGAAGCCACCACCCTCACGCGCCTCCCACGCAACGCCATCACCCCCGCCGCCACCGACCTGCACACCCTCCCACCACTACTCCTCGCCGCATACCGCGCCCTCGCCCCCCTCCACTACGCGCACCACCCCGCGGCCGGAATGCTCCTCTACAACGACACCCTCCGCCTCACCTCCCTCCTCCCGCCCACCATCCCCGCAGAAGACACAGCGCGCACAACCGCCTTCGGAAAGCGCACGTACGCGCGCGAGCTCCACAGCCAGCGCATGGTGCTGACCGACTACCTCGACTCGGCGCAGGGCTTCGTCAACTGCACGTCCTACCCGCAGAGCGCCGCGTGCAAGACGGCAATCACAAGCACGCTCGCGCACATCCGGCAGCTGCACTTGAGCTGGTCGCGCATCCTCTCGCGCTCCGCGCTGTCGCAATCACTCGGCTCGCTGCTGAATACCGTGTGCGTGCGGCTCGTCAGCGACATCGAGGACATCAGCGACATTGCGGCGGCCGAGAGCGAGCGGCTGGCGGGGCTGTGCGAGGAGCTGGCGGCGGGGGTGGAGGCGCTGTTTCCGGTCTCGCCGGGGGGCGTCAGTATGGTGGGGGTGTATTGTGGCGGGTGGATCAAGTTCCGGGCGCTGCAGCAGGTGCTAGAGAGTAGTATGGTGGAGATTTGTTATTTGTGGAGGGAAGGCTTGGTGGCGGAGTTTGGGTGGAGGAGATGTGTGAGCTGGTGGTGGCGCTGTTTCAGGAGGGGGAGAATCGCAGGAGGTGTTTGGAGGAGATTCGGGGGCGGAGGTAGGAGGTGTTCTTTTTGTGGTAGTTAGGGGGGAGGGGAAGTAGGACTTTTTTTTTTTTGTTGTTGTTAGGTTGGGGGGAGGGAGGGGGGGCTTGGAGAATGGGCAGCGCAGTGATATATTATTACTATCAGGTAGATAGATAAATGGCTTCAAAGTAGTGGTTCTTCTAGTACTTGTAATGCCACGCCCACGCCCCCGTTGACGCACAAACGACCGTGAAGATCCAAGTGCTGGTAAACGGACCAGAAACCCAATACAAAAAGTTACCCATTCACTCACTCGCCCTGTAATTGAGGTGAAGGCTATACTATACAACTCTTGCCGGACCTCAATACGAATCGCGATCATCAACTATCACTCGCTTACTTGCTTCGTGCCACGAATCTATGTAGAAGCTACTTAGCTAGGAAGCAATTCAGGGAGGGTCCCAAATATGCCAGTGTTTGGTTGGTTTGGTTTGGTTTGGTTTTTGCGGGTAGTGAGTGAGCGCACTTTACGGAAGAGCTGGATTTTTACTCAAGGCTACATGTACTGTATACAGCCCGCCAAGGGTTGATAACCTGTTCTCTTCTTTTTTTTTCTTTTTTCTTTTTTTTTTTTGTTTAACCTGTTCTCTAAATCATCTGCGCGGGAAAATATAATACAGGAGGACTACATTACCAACAAAAAAAAAACGGGGGTGTATAGACTACGGTAGTAATACCACATTTTTTTTTTTTTGAATACCGTATGGGCTGGAATACCGCATGGATACCGTAATCCAGCAACTACCGTACAGGTACCACATTCTATCAAATACCGTTGGAATTAAAATACCGAATCAATACGGTAATTAATCTGATACCGTATAGATACCGCACCTGTATTTTATTCCACCAATTACTTTATTTCCTCAAATACCGTATATGTACCGCATCATGTATGTAACATATGGTTCGATGGTTCCTGCACCTCCTTGGGGTACTCGGGTGTTATGTAATCGACACATAGTAATACGTTGCAGTATTGGCACCCTTTGCTTAGGGTTGATGATGCATGCGTGGTGGTGGTTGTGGTGGTGGATGGGCTGGGGTGGTTGGTGTCTTGTGGTGATTTTTTTAAAAAATTCACTTAATCATTTGAATATCGCATACTCGGTACGCTCCGGGTTTCTGGCATTTCTATGGCTTCTTTGTCAACGGTTCAGTTTACTTATCCCACTACCTGGTGGATATGCTATGGCGGTTAGCTGTGCTCTGCAGCTGTGCTCTGCAGCTGTGCTTTGCAGCTGGGCTCCATTTTCCCATTAGGTAGGTAGCTTAATTGTGGTTGAAGTAGTCCATCACAAGGTATCACTCGACCAGACCGGGCTTGGGGCAAGGGCGTCTAAAATCTAATTTTTTTTATTCCATTCCGCCAAACGAGTAAAAAAAAAAGAACAAGGATACTAAAAGAGACGTTGCAACCACTTTGACTATAATTTATAGAAACATTCTCATCAAGTAGTTCCGGAAGAAAGAAGGGGGGGGCGGGAAGGTAGTAAATAGTAGCAAGTAGTTAATAGTATACAAAAAAACAGCAATCGAATCATAAAAGAAAAAGAAAAAAGAGAACAGGAAATAATAGAAATCAACATGTTCACACACTTTAATCGTAATTAGCATTCCTATGTCTTTTTGAGGCCCCTCCAGCGGGGGATCTTTCTCTCTCTTGCAGGCCATGTTTCTGCCCTGCCTTTTCTCCGGCAGCCTTCACGAAGGCTTCCACGCCGAAGGGGTCTGCGGTGTCTTTTTCGAACTGGACGGGGCCGTCGCGAGCCTAGTACAACACAGACACACCAATTAGCAACTGTACCAGAATCCCAGATATGTATAAACTCACCTCCTGGTCGCCACTCCCCTTGAACCCCTGCGCCGCCCTCCCCAGCACCTCGAAACGCCCGCTCTTCTTGATCCTCTCCATCTCGCCCTCCGCCGCATCCTCATCATCCTCCATAGAGACCTTCGGGCGGTAAATACTATTCGCCGCCTCCTGCGCCGCAAACAACGGCTTATCATACGGCTGGTCCTCATTGAAGCCCACGTCAAACCCACTGCTCTGGTTGAACAGCCGACTATCCCACATCGTCTCCTGGCTCTGCGTCGGCTTCGCAAGCCCCAGCGCAATCTTCTCGCCAATATCTCTCCCCTGCTCACGCGCCAGCATCGCAATCTTCCGCTCAGTGCCCATACGCTTCATGCGCAGCTCGCGCTCCGCCTCGCGCCGCCGCTCAGCACGCATAGCTGTCCTTGCGGCAGCACTCGATGTGTCGGACCCGCGCGAAGACGACCGACTCCGTGACGAGGCCGGTGAGCGGGAGTCTGCGGAGCCAGAGCGGGAGCGGGAGCGGGACCGAGTGCGGCTGCGGCCGCGAGTGGCGTCCTCGCGGGCCTTCTGTGCGAGGGCGCGGAGGTTCTCCTCTTTCTGCATCTTCTCCTTCTCGGCGAGCTTCTGCTGCATCAGTGCGCGCTGCTTGACTTCCTCTCGGGCGTGGCGGTCCGCCGTGAAGAGGGCTTCGGCGAACTGTGCGAACTTGTCGTTGATGGTTACGTCCTGGAGACCTCTGCCGTCGGCTGCCAGACGCTTGTCGAGTGGGACGGTGTAACCCTTGGGGTTCTTCCAGTTGGATACAGGCGGGGGTATAGTCCACGCCTCTTGGTCTGCAGCTGTCAGCTTCCGCGGCGGCGAGTGCATGACCGGCGGTGGGGGCTGGGCGGTCCTCGGGGGATCTTCTTGTGCTTGAACTTTGGCGGTTCCATGGGGTCCTGCTGGCGCTCGACGATCTTGATGATCTTGTCTGACCGCTTCGTGGTATCTCCAACCTGGTTGCTAGGGGTGTAGCGGACGTACTGCGCCTCCTTCCTATTCGTGCCCTTTATCGTCTTCGGCTTCTGAGCGGCGACCGCACCCGACACGAGAGCGGCCAGCGCGGCCTTTGTCTTTTCTGTTGTTGCCGCAACATCCTCCTCTGACGGGCGCTCGAGCGAGATCTCGCCGACGTCGGCGCGTTGTCGCAGCGGGATCAGGTCCTTAAATGACGCGTGGACAATTCTGGAACTGCCGTGGCCCTGGCGCGCGATGGCGTCATATTTTATCTTGCCGTCCGAGTCAACCTGTAGGGAAAGGGCTTTTGATGTTGTCGAGGAGCCTTTGCGGCCCATGTCGAGCGGGTACTGCGCGATGGGGATCTCGGGAAATGCGCCACCATCGTTAAAGTCATCAGTGGATCTGGGACGCCATGATGACCGCTTTCCGTACTCTGGTGGTGCGTTTTTCTGTGCGCGTTAGCTTTGGAGGGGGGTGGGGTGGTAGAGAAATGGAGCTGTAGCATACCTTGAGTACTAGCTGTGCTTGCTCGGCATCGCCGCCGCCGAGGATGCGGGCTCCGCTAGCACGAGAGGGGGCGGGTTCGTCAGGGGTATAGCGGGGGGCGGGGAGAATCTTGTTGAGGCCGGCTGCAAGTGACATTTTGTGGAGGTGGATTTGGGGGGAAGAGAGGTTGTTAGAGGTTGGGGGTTTGTGGGAGGATGCGTGGTTGGATTTTTGGTGATGTCGCTAGCACGCCAAGGAATTGGAAAGTTAATGCCAAGACAGGTGATCATAGGGGGAAATCATTGACAGCTCAAGCTCATGCAACTACAGTGCTAGATTCGACTCTCTGCAATTGATGTTTAATTAATATTCCGAAGAACCAGACCCGGGATTGGAACGAATTTGATAGCCTGCGGTGATTCCGCAGATAACAACTATAATATTAGGTGCATACTAGTTAAACCCACACCCTGTCATTTCCACTTTATCGCGTCGTGACCAAAATCGCGTCTCCCCAAGTCGAGTGAACATACAGCGATCCAGAACTTGCAAACGACCGTGCAAACGACCAGGCAAACGACCACAATGACTCAAAACAACACCGGAATACCTCTTTCGTTCTCTCACAATCTTGCGCCAATCCGTTTGATTGAGCTGCCGCCAGCGCTGCTATCCTTACTCTCAAACACCGACTCTCCGCCCACGTAACAAACTCTACTCAAGTTCTCAACGACTATAAATATATGGCTAACACCCCCATAGACTACAAATTAAAGCTTCATCCGCTCCAATAGACACTCACTCCACCAGTAATCACGCCGTTCTCACTACACCAACACAAACCTTCTCCCTCCGCCAGGTCTACTCCTCCAACTCTCTCCTTCTCCTAAAGCCCTCCACCACCGACACCACCAGTCTAAACGTCGTCTCCACAGCCAACAGCTACATGGAGCTCATTCCCACCATCCACAATGCCAAAGACCTCATTCTGAAGCACATCCCAGTCTTTCCACTACCCGCTGATATCACTCCCATCACTCGTGCAGAAATCCTCGCCTCCATCCCCGTCTCAACCGGCGAGTTCGACGCCGCCTGGAAGGAGCTCCACTGCTTCTCCTGTCCAAAGGGTTTCGCATATCGTCCCGCGCCCTCGGCAATTCTTCAGACGCTGAAGACGATCGAGCTAGTCCACTCTGTGGGAGAAGACCGCATTGAACTGAGTAAGTTCACGCCAGAGGACCTCATAAACGCTATAGACCGCTACTTTGCCTCACTCTATGATGGGGACGATGAGGATGATGACGAGGAGGTTGAGCGCTGCATCCCTGGCCTCGTAGAGGCTGTACTGTCAGAAGTCGGTTTGACAAATCGCGAGATGGTGTCAAGCATGTCGATATGTGAAAGAACATGGATGGCATGGCTTGGAAGATTAGTGTTGGAGGATTGGGCTTCAAAGAGTAAAGGCGATATGCTTTATGCCTCGTTCATGACAAAGTGGAAGCAGGAGGCTCCAGATTGGTGTTCGGCGGTCGAGTGCGAGTTGAAGAGGATTGAGGCATGCATTTTTCCCCTCTCCGGTTTTTCTTTGATGTTGTGCTAATCGTCTCATAGGGGTGGTATACGCTTCCGACTCCTAACACGATTCGTTTTGCGCCAGGGGGCGATGCTGTTGCGGTTGAAGCACAAAAGCCGGAGAAGAAGAACAAGTGGCATGAGAAGTTCGGAAAGGGGAAGAGGCGCTGATATAGTCTGCGTATCGCCCCGGCCCCCCGCGCTTCATGTGATGGGTATATAATGAAACGATACCACAGCACTATTTATTCAAGAGCATCAATGTTTTATTTTTGCATCTAAACTTCTCTTATTTTAGCTTTGGCAGGAACACTGAAAAACATGCTTGATAGATCATTGACTACTTGACCCCTTTGTGAAGACCTGTGAAGCCGGGAAACTATCTACCGGGAATTAGAAGATACCAACCTCTTTATCTGCTCAGCTGATGTCACAGGCCGTTTTGTAAAATATCTATAGTGCTCCAGATTGTAGTGTCAAGATAGATATGTGGAATCATGGTATATCACTCGGTTCCGCGGGAACCGAATGAAAGGATGCTCAAAAAACCCTCGACACTTTAAATACGTACTTACAACTTCATTAATATAGTTTTACAACTACATGTAATTACCCTCACCTTTCATAACGATACCCCACAATGCGTCTCCCCAAAGTTACTTAATTAAAGAAGGCCGAAGTTCGCCTAATCTATACTTAATGTCATACCAAAGCAAGAGAGATAGAACATCCATCTATCCGTATCTGTCCTGGCCCATTCTATGGTGCACGGGCGGCACTAAAAATATATAAAACGCGCGGCAACCCCCCCCCCCCCCCTATCTATGCGGCCATTTGAAATACCCCGTTCGTCGGATCGCACTAGCATAGCTCGTCTCTACTAGCTTTTTGCAGCGACGATCAGTTCACCTTTAAATTTGATTACCTCTACTAAACTCAGTGGAAGCTAAGTGTACCCTTGAGCTCCCGTCATCGTCACATTATTCCACCAACCGGCATAGTTGGATAGGACATCTATCGGGGCATCCGGGCTGGGTTGTGGTATACAAGCAGCGGTGGTTGGTCATGACCTCTCGCCAATCTGTTCATGCAGCCCTGTCACAGCATCGATTTCTATCTCCCAGCAATATGCTAGTGGTAGGTCTCGTGTGCTGGTCACCCTCTAAACATCCACAATACAAGAACTTTCCGGGGAAAGGGGCGTTCGTTGTCAGATCAAAACACTCACCCAGTCCACAATCTTCTGGATAGGCAGGCGGTAAATCGACCCTCTAAGTAGGTAGTAGATACCTACGGTAAAATAGGTATCAAATGGCATGGGAGTCCGGACAGACATCAAGATTTGAACCACAACACACAATGAGAGCCAGAAAGCCGTCGGCTGGGTAACATAACACTAGACAGAAGTCGGCGAGCCCCTATGGAGTCTCCGAAGAACGAATCCAGTAGCCTAGGCGAGCGGCACCGAGGGCAAAAGCTCAACTATCCGGTTATAGTTTTTTCTTCTGAAAAAGAGCCGCCGTACTAGATCGCCCAGTACGTAAAGGTACCGCCCAACCGTGGACAGATTGCGTGGATGGAAGCTACTATAGAACAGCGTTCCTTCCCCCGGGCCCCACGCGCCCATACACTAAACTACCGCTTTTTACGCCCCCGTTCTTCAAGTTTTTTTTGTTGTCGGGTAGAACAAACTATTACTTTTTCCATTTCTTGTGGAAGAATATTGAAGCTGGGGGGTTCTAAATGGGGTAGTCATATGGTATCACTCGACCCATTGGGACTGTTGGCACAGGATAGATCTATAGATCTGCTCCTACCCAATAACTTTTTATGTGTCTATGTTATCACCAGGTGATTCGATGCTAATGCTTAAAAACTTCTAGAAGTCTAATCAACGGGGCGGAGAACCCGCCATGTACGTGCATGGCTAGAGTAGATGTAGAGATAAGTTTTCGCCACAAAGGCAGGCTTGAATTTCATACATGTCGGGATAAAAACGAGAGAAGAAGAAAAGGCTTTAAAAGTACAACACGAAACCATAAGAAAAACAGAACCTAATTATTCCCCAAAATCCCATTTTCGTTTTTCTATGCACCCTCTGCCCTACACAGGCAAAGGTAAGTTTCTCTAAGGGGTCGTTGGCTCCGCATACCTAACTTCATCATCATCACCTGCCCACACGCCTGGAGTCCTCGGGTTTCCGTATCCTGCAGCTGGTGTTGGCGCGCCTTGGTAATACCCACCTCTGGGGTCCCTGGCTGCGTATCCCGATGCACCTGGTGTCGGGGCAGCGCCATAAGGTGCAGGCGTAGGTGCGGTGTCAGCCCATCCACTACCAGAGTCTCTTGGCGTTGGCGCTGACATCGGACCTGGGGTGGGTGCTGATATAGCGCTAGGTGTAGGTGCGGACATGGGATTCCCAGGGGTAGGTGCGGACATTTCCTTGGATGAATATGAAGGTGGAGCAAAATCCGGGGATGCAGCATTATAGGCTCCAGGTGTGCGGGCACTGTAAGACGACGTGGAAGGACCATCCATGAATGAGTCAGGGCGACCGGGTGTCTTAGAACCGGCATCCCAAGCGCTGCGTTCCGAGTCACCAATATATGGGGTACGGGAGGATGGGTTCCATCTGTGTAGCGTTAGGACGGTTCAAGTGCGCTCAGTAGGTCAGGAGAAAATAGACTTACGCTGGAGTACGATTTCCGGCATATGAAGTGCGACTTCCGTCCATTCCCCAAGCAGGCGTTTTCCCTCCAGCCGTATAAGCAGGTGTACGCCCACCGTCACCACCGGCCATCCAAGCAGGGGTTCTAGAGCCACCAGCCATCCAGGCCGGTGTGCGGCTACCACTGTGATCGACCTGAGGCGTACGGCTACCGCTTTGAGAGGCCCAGGATGGCTGGTCTCTAGGAGGACCTGAACCTCCGTGACCTCCACGGTCTCCTCCACCTCGCCCTCCACCATCACCACGGCCGCCCGGACGGATAAATTCCTGATAACTACGGATTGTGCCAGTGATTGGACTAGGTATCTCGTCAGTTATAATCATCTCCGGGTGGCGAGGGGGAAATACTCTTTAAAGCCCAACTTCTCCTTGTCAATAGAAATCGTCTTATTCTTCGTATGTAGCTCTACTCTCGCCTGTAGGTCTGTAGCATCCTTTACAATTCCCATAAGCCCTTTCTGAGGCCCCATTCTAATAATAATAGTCTGACCAATTGTCCTGTCCCTCCCCCCAACTTTTGGCGGCGGGGCCATAGGTGCATTCTGAGGCCTTCCGTTCCTCTGAAGCGCTGGGTTCATCTTCGTGAGATCTGGACCGGTCTGTGTGGCAACTCTACCACCCTTGGCGACGATCGTGGCAACGGCGTTTTGTCTGGTCACGAACACACCAGAGTTCTCGGCCTGTTCACGATTGTGAAGAAAGACGAAAGCTCGAAAGATGTGCAGAATTACACCTGTACGAGTTTCACCGGCAACCTCTTTCACAGTATCGCCAACGCGGATCTCGGAATTGTTACGATCCGTTGCAACTCCATTTCGACGATTGTTGATTTTGTTTGAAATCTGTGAGGGAACTATCATACGGCTGTTGCCGTTTTGATCAAGCACACGCAGAGAATCGCGGTCTACTTTTGTCACACAGGCTACAGTAGCCATGCTGAAGATAAATCAGTATAGGTCCGGAATTTCGGAGGAGATGGGTAGATCCTACTCAAGCTGGACTAAATCGTGTAAATCATATTTACCCGTTTGACTGACTCCACCTGCATCGCTCGCCTCCGTTAAATCCTTTGAGAAGACCGTAATTTCATTCATATTCAGATCACTGAGAATAGTGACCTTGTCTTCAACCATTCTAACAACCATTCCTACTTCATCTCTGTATTTACTTCCTCCGGTAACCTTGACGTGATCACCTTCTCTAAACTTCTTTCGTAGACCCTTGGAAGGAATCTCAATTCTTTTCCCCCTAAGGTCCCCTTCGGTCACATCCATGGTGACGATATCATTTTGGACACTGGTAACCTTCCCAATGACACCCTGCTGTTCACCGTCATAAACTTCAACAGTGTCTCCAGGCTGATAACTGGACTGTGTGTTTCTCAATGATTGTGCAAGTGCGCCTAGATCCAAATTCTCGGTCCCGTCATCGCCAGTGGAGGATGCGAATTTTGACACCTCTTCAAGTGTTGGGTTAACGTTTTCGGTCTGGACCAAACTAAGCTTCACATCCTTAACGAGGAAACCATCTTCATATTCGTCACCGAGATATGTGAAATTCTTCTTTCCGGCTGAGGTGGTTGTGCCTTGTTGAAGATACTTGGTATGATTCTTCCGAGCATCAATCTCGGAGAAAAGTCTTTGCGGCGGCCGTCCAACGAGAGAATTTCCTTTATTTCCAAAAGGATTTCGCTTCCTTTTTACGCCTGGTGGAAGGTTGTCGTTGTCATCTGGATTATTGCCGTAATCAAGTCTGGGAACCATACGAATCCGAACTTCGAGACCACTAGCAAGGACGTTCTCAACCTGCGCAAGATCACCTTGATACTTGCCGCGCTTGAAGCGAACCCAAGTTCCAGGGGTGATCTCAGCCTTCTTGACAACATACAACAGATCAGGCATTTCCTTGATTGGAACCAGTAAGATCTTTGTCATCGGGTATGCGAATGAAACGCCTTTAAGAGCGTGCATCACATCTGCCTGTTTCCTTGCCTCAAGATAGATATATCCCGGCATAGTGTTCCCTCTCTCGAACGCGCTGGTGATCTGTAATGGCGTTTTCGTCATCTCGCTCTCCTCTTGTTTCTTTAAGATGGAGAATATGATCTCCCTCTCTTTCCCAGGCTTACACTTGACACCCCAGATACTATTATCATGAACCGAGGGCAGCAGTAAACGCCTCGGTACCACCTGGGAATCTCCCAGATTACGCCTCGAGGATCTTCCGTGTCGCTCCTTGAATCCAGCCGCAAGCGCTTCCATATCCTCCGCCTTTTCCTGCTCGAATTTTCGATCAAGCTCACGATGACGGTGGTCGTCGCGCGGGTACATTCTCAGATCATTTAGTTCAGGCTGCTCCCCATCATCAGCAATAAAGCCATCCTCCGCGCGATCTTCATCATCATCCTCGAGATCGTCATCCTCCGCGTCGACTTCTGCTTCGATATCCACGAACATATTTCGCGGGGTTTTGCGGTGGCGCTTTCTTCGAGGCTCCTATATTAACCATTTGATTAAGCAAATGGATACCACCAATTGCATTTCCCCTAGCCGCTACGTGAAGCTGGGTGATAGGGGCTTAACTTACGACCTCCTCGTCTTCCTCCTCGTCCTCATCATCGTCCTCATCGTCATCGTCATCCTCTTCCTCGTCATCTTCCTCCTCTTCGTCGTCCACAGCTACGGGGACTGCGTTGACCTCATCATCAGGTTCCCCTTCGGCATCTTGGTCGCCATGCGCAATTCCGGCGCTGAAATCCTGGTCGTCTTCGTCTGATTCGTCGAATTCTTGGTTATGTAAGTTCGATGTAGCCATGGTGTTTAATATTAGGAGGAGTGATAGAAGATAGACTGGGAGAATGTCGCGTATGGGCGGGGGGTAGGTTGTCCTTATATACTCACGGGCAAGGCGTGGAGCTTTTGGAGAACCGGAAAGGTCACGAAGAGCAAAACAAAGCTCGGAGCTGTGGCGTCTGCCTTGGCACATGCTGGGCCCCAGGCAGGGTAATCATAAACTGGCGCTCGGCTCGCTCAGCATGTAGCGACACCTAACCCTGATTTCCATGTACATACAGTACTGTACAGGTATTTACCAAAGTTACATTCAAAAATAAGTACGAGAATAAATTACACTCTAGGATTTTATGGTCCCCCCCACTGCATCACATTATATACGTACATTTAAGTTCCTAATATATACATATACATAAACGAATTAACGTGCTTGACGGTGAAACCGCCCATGACAGGGATTCCGCTCATGCTTATGTAATCGATTTTTATGCATTCAATTCAATCATTTCCCCGACCTCAATACCCTCCCGCTGCCAACAAGTATACTAACTACATTAGAAGAACTTGTAGTAAAGTCCTGATCATATATGGAACACTTTCCCTGCTTGTGACAAGGGGTTGACACAAATTCACTTTCCCCGCTACTTGACCATTTCTCCTTCTCACTGGCCCGTAACCCACCCACTCCACCCTCATGTACTTCTAGATCAGAATCTAAACTAATGATAACTTTTTTTGATATCCGAACATTCTTTTTTTCCTTTGGTGGGGTGCTGGGGGCAGTTCCTTCCTCTAAATTCGCTTTTTTAGCCCTCCCTCTAGGGTTTCTTTTCTTTTCTTTTTTAATTTTATCAACGGTTTCCCTCTCTTCTTTCATTCTCAATACATCCTCAGTAGTGATGACCTTTGCTTTAGTGATTCTCCGCTTATCATTTGTCTTTGCTTTGGGCTTATTCTCAACTCTTTGCTTGTATTGTCGGTGCATTTCCTCCCCAATTTCCTTGTCAGTGATGGCACCTTGGAGACCTTTATTAAGCTGTGTGATAATAGCTTTTAGCCGGCGAGCACTGTTTGTATTACCCTTTAGTAGTCCCGCTGCTTGTCTAGCAAGGCTAATTGCACTTCTTGAAGTCCTGGGAGTTGCGGATACTGTCATGGGCGGGCGGAACTTTGAAAGCTCGGCGTTCTTGGCGTCCAGGGTCTTTTCCCTATCAATGACTTTGCGGGGATTGAAAGGAATGATGCCAGTCTTTCTCCATGCACTGAGGATATTGTCCTTTGTAAATGCGAGATTTCTGGCTGGAAATAAAAGCCTATATTCAATTAATATACCAATTTCCAGATAGTTAGTTGTTAGAAAGCAGTTTTAATGGTACGTACTGGAGGAAGATTCCTTTATTGATTCCTGTTTCTCCCGCCTCAACTAAAAGATTCAACCCGTTACTATAATGGGTTTGTAGGGGACTGCATATGCCGACATCAAGAGGTTGTAATATATGCGTGGAGTGGGCAGGAAGACAGAGGGGTATAATCCGATGGCTCAAGCAAAAATCGAAAAATTCCCAAGTTAAGTGGCTAGTATGCCCATCTAGGATTAGGAGACGATAATCACCATTGGCTTTGTTTATAATTAGTTGCTGGATATGAGATTGAGCTTTGAAGTACGATTGATTGCTTACTGTTTAGCTGAGTTGGGTTCAAAGTCCTTGACTAGCCATTCGAAACCAAGCTTTTGGTCACTCCAACCTTTCGGGGAGTAGCCAAATACTGCTTTGTCACTATCTTTCAATGCTGCGTAACAGCCCATATAGTGACCATCACCTTTGTTTATTATCATTGGTGGTAAGGTGCGACCGTCACCACTGATAGCCTCAATGACGGTCACCCAAACTCGGCTACCGTCATGCGTCAATCGCGGATTTCTCCTCCTCTTTTTACAGATCACCTTGCAGCGTTTAGCCACACCCATCATGAAACCTTTTTCGTCCATATTGTAAGTATTTTGAGGCTGAATATTAAACTTCTTGGTCACCTCATTTAACTGTTTCCATATTGATTAGAAAGAGTTTTAAACGGGGAAATTGAACTTTTACCTTGCGAAAATAATCTTTTAACGCTTCCAGATTTGATGCTTAGGCTCTCTGGCGATCTAAGCGATTGCTGAGCTTAGTCGCTACATCAGGGTTGCGATCGAGGAATCTAGTAAGCCAATGTTTTCCTAGATTTCGATGACTGGTGCGGTTTTTGACCAATACAGCCGCCATTTCCTTTACTATTGCTATTCGAGGTGGGAAGCCCCACTCATCCATCTTCAAAATCCATCGGACAATTGATTTCTCCTCTTGCTCAGTTAAAAGCTGTTGATGCTGATGACTTTCCTTTCTACTTTGGGCCCCTCCAAGTCTATCACGTAGAGTTGAGTAGGCAATTGAGTACTTCTCTGCTGTTGCCCTTATTGATGGTTCTGTACTCTTTCTGTAGTGATGAATTGCCAAAATCATCCGCTCCTCCCGCTCATCCTTCTCTCTCTGTGATAGTCGACCCATTATTCGTTGTTGTTTGGTTCTGTGATGCCTCGTACTCTTTCTACAGTGATGGGAGCTCGTTTGCTACCTCTGGCTCGGCGCCGAGCGGAATCCCTGTCATGGGCGGTTTCACGGTAAAGTACGTTATAGGGTTTAAACGTCCATATGTTATACCGCGTAATGTGTATCCACCACTAGGTGTAGAGCAGTACTTTATCATGTAGACAAAACACTTCTAAGAGATGTATACAAATTCTTCGAAATAGACTATTCTAGCCTTATATATGTATATGGAACTTATCGGAGGTGCACATGAAGCAATTCCCTTAAATCTATTCGTTAAATAACCTATGGCTCAGTTCATAGACAGCAAGTACTACATAAGTGAATTTCTCAAATATCCATGGCCATCAGATATTCCGGTAAACCCAAATGCCTTCTTACATATTGAAGAAAGTGTCGTAAAGTACATGTACAAGACCAACCCCCCCCCCCCCCCCCAAAAAAAAAAAAAAAAAAAAAAAAAAATTGGAAAATTGGAAAATAGAAATAACGAAAACGGAAAATTGGAAAATTGGAAAATTGGAAAATTGGAAAATGGAAAATGGAAAATGGAAAAGGAAAACAAAGCAGGAAAGAAAGGAAAAGAAAAAACGCCCCATTCATCTCTGAAAAAGAAAGAACTTGAATATACCTATACAATTGTATTGTCCAATTTATCCCATCAAGTCAATTCATGTCCAACGTTCTGCGCATCACCTTTTCTCTACATTGGTACATCCTCCATCTCGACAAGATCATCGTCATCATCATCATCAATCTGGATAACATCCCCAGCGCCTCCATTTGCCTCCCCTCCTTCACCAGGTTCTTTCTGACTATCAGGCTTATACTCGTCCTTCAACTGCCACTTCCCAACGTAAGGTCCGTTTCGATTGATCTGTGCAATTTCTTCGAGAACTGACTTGAGGTACTGTTCAGGCTGTACGAGCCTCTCACGGAGGCCCTTCATTGACCAATATTCGTGCTCGCCAAAACATGTAAAAAGCGCCGAGACAAGTTCGGCGTGTGGAATACGTGCAGCCTTATTGTCGGTTGGTTTTCGTACTTTCTCGGTTTGTTTCTATAATAAAAATTAGAAGCGAAATAAGAGTAAAGCGCCATGTAGGAGAGACATACAATAAATGCGCTGAAACTCTTTGAACCAGCACCTGTAGTACCCGGCGCCAACAAGTTTCCACCAATATGCTGATCGTCCAAAAACTTTGTCGTAACTCTCGGGGTATTTGCCTGATCGAATTTGGAAGCTTGAAAAGCCTTATACTCCGTATTCAATACCGGACTCATAGAGCACTCGTGTCTGACCGTTCCTGCTAATGCCGTCCGTTCTGGGTCCCAATAAACATTAGCTCTAAGTGTTAGCAGGAAGCGCAGTAACGTACTCGGTATAGCCTTCCTTATATATGGCTGGAATCTCTGTGGCTTCCCCCAATTTCCTTTTCCGCCTCCACCACCACCGCCGCCACCTCTGTCACCGCCGCCCTCCTTATTCCGATCCTGGTAGAGAAATCTCGGCGGCATTGGCGGCTCCCCTTCTTTTACTCCACCGGTATTCATCTTACTCGAAAATCCCGGCATATCCTTTTCCGTAAACACAAATGTGTTCGTAACTTCCATGTTGGTAATTCGGAGGTCATACTCTGTAGGCACATCTCCATTCACCTCATTTCGCTCCAAAGATAATTTAAGCTACTCGATGTTAGCGAGCCAACACTCCACGACCTCCAAAGTCGACTTAAGACGAACCTGCTCGTTATTGTTCGGGTTGACCTTCACAACCCCCAACACAATCTCCTCATCCTCATCGATATCATTCCAGCGCTCCGCTACAAAGCTTGGTAGCTTAACGAGCCAAACGGCTTTACTGCCCTCGACCATATCAAGATCCCCGGCATCCTCGTATAGTTCATCATCGGACTCAGGCTTTATGGATGGAATGCTGGTCATATCGATATCTTGGTTCTCAGATTTAGGCTCGAGCTTTGTGCCTGGGTCAGGTTTGACGGTAGCCATTATAGCGGGTTATGGTGAGATCCTAAGTATTGTAAGGGTTGAAAGAGTGGGAGTAGTGGTGAGGCGTGAAGTGGTTGGTTTGAGTAGGATTCTTTGTCTGCGCGTTGGATGTTCGACATTGTATCCGCGGCACTAATTCACGCGTGTAGCTTAGGCATTGTGTCACTGATACCATTTGTGCGCCAGGTAAGGGTATAGCTAGTACCATTCTCCCACCTATCAATGCGATCATTGATATGCCAATACAAGCTAGTATCACTACTAGGCGTATCTATGGAACCATCTGGTAGAACTCACTCTCTAGATAGCTTGGCTCATAGGTACTGAGAAATGAGCGAATGAAATGCGTGGACCAAAATATTTGTATGCAGGTGGGATGTGCATGGGTCTAACACAGGTTACATGTATTGGGGGGTCCTTGGCGGTTATTTTTAAGGATACATTTACATCGGTATCTATCCCGCGATCCAAGTTTGTAACAGTACCAAGCCTTCTTTGGGATCTTGGCCAGATCTAAGTAGCCATGGTCGTAGGAATTCAAGCTCTTCCGTTTGAGGTGAGTTTATTTCAATCCTTTGTTCTCTGCTGGTGAATACCTGCAGTAATATCTATTATCACCAAATATAAACCAATCATCCTAACCTACACATCCCGGACAGTTAATCGAACAGATAGCCACCAATCTTACTGCCATCGATGACCTCAATAACTTTTCCCGAGCCTGTCGAACTTTTCATTCCGCATCCCAATTTGTCTACCGCGAGCTCTTCCTGAGCACCTACGACCGTCCAAATGGTGGGGACTACAACTATGCGCACAACTACCGTTGGAGAAAGATTATCCTCGAAAAATTCTTAAGATCCAACCACTATAGAGTCGAAAACTTAACGCAGAACCAAGTGAGGGTCAAGGTAGTAGAAGATGTGCCACTTACAATAGAATTCCTTGAAGGGGTTCGAGATCTTATCTTCGGTCTATCCACCCGTTCCTATATAATATCAACATACACTAACACACATCACAGAAGCAACCTCTAAGAATTTCGCGCAGCTCGAAAGCTTTGCCTCTAAATCCCGCAACCTCCTTATTTCTTCGCACCTCAAAGCTCCCCAGACGCAATACTTCATGATTGTGCAAATTCTACTCACTAATATTGCCCTTACCAACCGCATAGTTTGGGCAGACAGTGAACACTGCAGCACCAATACTCAGGCTCTCGCATACGGTGAGGCGGGCAGGAAGCTCTTTGCAAATGATTATGCAGATGAAGATGATATAATCCAGATATGGGCTACTGCGAACCTTTTCTTATTACATTTAGGAAATCGCATTTCTGGATCGGAAAGCTTGGGGTTGAAATTGACATTTGATGAAATTTGCGGAGAAGAACGAGGGGCGCCGGATTTATGGAAGAATAACTTGTGGGTTGACGTAGAGCCGGAATTTCACAGGTATTGGTTTGGATTATATGGTAGGCCATATTATAAAATTATAGTAATTTGGATTTTGAAGTGGGAGTTGGCTGAAGCGTGCTTGTGAGCTGACCTGTGGACGCAATAGTGTATCTCGATCCACCAGATCTTCAGGCGCTTCATACCTTCCGCCTCAATGGCGAGGTGCATCAGGAAGACCACTATGACGGCAAACTGACCGTAGCACCCTCTTCTTCTTTCTACGTTTGACTATTCTAACTTTCACTTCCAACACAGATAATGGAGTTTCTTACTAAAACACCCACGACTTTCGTCGGCACCGGCACCGACGCGGATGAACCCTTCACCATACAAGGCAGCATTAAGCCCCTCCCCACTTTTTACTCAATATTTAAATTCCGCCGTGTCTCTTTCACGACTAGCTACAGCGCCGGCGATGGCTGGTCGTATGAGGGGTGCTTACTACCAAATTCACAAACCATCCTTGGGAGCTGGTCTACTTCGGACGAGGATACAGATGATCCCATGCCCCCTCGGGGTCCGTTTATCATGTGGGCAGTAGGGAAAGAGGACTGGGAGTATGAGAAAGCACTTAGGGATGCTGAGGGTAGGGTTGGAGAAGAGGACGATTTTTTGAACTTTTAGAAATTCGGAAGCGATTGGTTGTCAGTTTAAATATATCTTGCATTATGTCTGCGGGCTTATGAAGTCACACACAGACATACTAAAATTACACATGAAATGAACGATAAAAACATAAAGAAAACAATAAAGCCCGGCCCAAGAAGAAATAGAAGGGAAAAAGTTGAGATCAATGAAAAGAAAAGAAAAGAAGGATAGGGCAGGAGGGCTTGCACCAGTCTTCCTCCTACCCTGGTCCTATCATCACTAACCCCGGGCTAGTATCCCCTAGTTTTTTAACATGAAGAAACGAGACAAGCTTGAGTATATGAGAAAGATAAGATACACGGAATTGAATGAAGGTAGGTTTATGCTGTAAAAACTGGTGAAAAAATAGGGGAGAGGGGTTTTATATCGGTCCAACGGAGAAGGGCAAAAATGGTACAAGAAAAAAAGGAAAATTCACATTGGACCTTCGCGACATCTCTTTAAAACTTTCTTTCACATACTATTCTCTCCCACGCACATGTTGCTTTGGTATGGATTACATAAGGAGTTGACCGAATTTTTGAGTTTTGAAAAAGAGGAATTCAAGAGAATTGAAGATAAGGAAAAGGGAAACGAAAAAGAATAAACAGTTACAAACCCCCAACGCTTTTTTTTTTTGCGCCCAAAAACGCCTTATATTGTCAACTCTCCTTTTCCCTCTGTTTTTAAAAATTCGTATGTGTTATTAATGGAAGGGGTTGGGATAAACCCGATAGCTTTTCTTTTCACCGGAACGAGCAAGGCAAGCAAGAGAGCATGATGGTGATAGTATGGAGGTACATAGAGATTGGTTTGCATCACGCTTTGTTTGGCTTTTTCTTTTCTTCATGGCTCTCGCTTTATCTTGATTTTAGGGTTGATATCGACATCCTGTAATACGTATTAGTACCAAGCGTTAATAATACAGGAGGTGTCGAATGCATTACAAGAGAATTACTCACGTCCGCCTTCCTCTTCACTCCACCGGCACCCACATCTGGAGTTCCCGCTCTACTACGTGGGGTGCCTGCGGCCTTATCTTTACTTGCCTCAGCATGGCAGCTGGCATGGAATATGCGGCCCCCAACCTGCTTTGCGTCCATAAATACGAATTCTTCTGTTTCCTCGTGCCACTGATACTTGAGTTCTTCCTGACATATAGGGCACACAGTACGGGTAGGGGATGTTTCAGAAACCACTACATATTGTTCCTTCGGATCTTGCTCTGGCTTCCCGGTGGTTGAGAACTCGGCATTTTCAGGGCCACCGGGCGCGAGCGAAGAGCTGTCTTCGCCATCGTCGCGCGATTTTATCCATTCCTGACGATTAGTTGGTCAGTGCGTTTCATAGACATAAATGAGACACTTTGTTACGTGGATTATTACCTCTTCACCCAAATACCAACTTCTGTGCTGTCCACGCTTCATGGACTCAGCCATTCTCTGATGTACACGGAAGTGCCAGTCTAGATGAGAAGCTTTCTCTTTCTTTCCCTGTTCAGTATCTGCAAAACGTCTTGCGCAAGAACTGCACTGATTCGGTAGAGCTTCGTTCAGCATTGGAAGGAGGTGTGGTCGTGGTCTTTAATAAGCAGCAAAAAATAAATAAATCACCAACTCTCATCAGCATACGTCTTTCTACGAGGATAATAATCTATAGAACTAGCCCTTCCACGAAAAAATAAAGAAACAATGGAACAAAAAATCATGGGAGAGAGTGCACCGCGTAGCTATTACATTTTAAGGGACATAGATTTCATTTCTACGTCTATTGAGCGCCAGTCCAGCTTCCCCTGCCTTTGCGGGGGTGTTTGGGTCAATGGCGGGGGTATAAAACTGCCTCCAGGTGGGGCAAAAAGAAATGAAGGCAGCGCTGATGGCGGCGGAGGTGGTGGCGGCGGAGGTGGGACAGCACCTCCCATCATTCCTGGGAGTAAACCTGCTTTTTGAAGTGATGCTATCAATGATGCCGTATCTCCATTTAATGCCATCGAAAAGTTAGGAAGTTGCGGTAGTCCTGGAGCTACTGGCACTGGCGGTGGAGGTGGCGGCGGTGGGGGAAGATTCATGAATGGCTTCTGCGTCGCAGTCGCCAATAAAGCCGCAAGATCCTGGGACGAAAAGGGCAACTGAACCGGAGGTGGTGGTGGCGGCGGTGGTGGTGGGGGCGGTGGTAGAGCCATCACGGGGGGAGGTGTTGGATTTGCCAACCTTTTAACCTGATCCCTGACTGATGCAAGTTGCGCTGGAGGGAGTTGTTGAGTCTTTAAGATATGCTGTAAGTCAAGTAATGCCTTCAATCTTTTCTGTATATCTTGGTTAAGTGGATCTTCTGCAAAGCGTTTCTGCGATGTTTCAATTAGACCAGATATATCACTATGCAAACTGTCTACACTAGCAACAGGGGGTAGTTGCTGAGACATTCCCGCAGACGGCGTGAGATGGTGATTCGCCGGCGGCTGGGACACATGAGGATGAGAATTTATACTGGAATAATTTTGATGATTGTTGTTTCCACCCACCGTACTTCGACTATATGCTCCTAAACCATTCTGACTATACTCATAAGCTTGTCCATTTGGATACTGTTGGGCAGCACCATTCATGACAGGGGGTGTACCCCGATATTGTGGTGGTGGTGGTGTCGGAACACCTGGGCGATTATAACCTTTTGGGTCCTGGGCCTGCTTCATCTGTTTCTGCTGAGTCTGAAGCGCCACTGTCCGGGCTTTGATTAAAGCATTGTCGATTTTCCGGGTGACTTCCGAAGAGAAAACCGGAGATGTAGATGATGAATTTGGCACTGGCTGCTTCCAAGTATGCAACATTTCCTCAAGTTTGCGTCTGATTTGGGGGTCCACCTTGGAATATGCACCCATAAATGTAGAATACAGATCTCTCTGGAAGAATAGAGTATACGGGGTCCCAACATTCTTTGCTATAGAATCCAACAGATACAGTGCCGGGAGCTTTTTGGCTGGGGCTGCCTATTTTGAGGGGGAAGGAACGTTAGCAATCTAGCTGCGCATCGAATTTATTTACGCAAAAGATCATGCACAATAGATATAATGATAACTATGATCTTGAGTCATAATATTTGTAATCAAGTGAAGGCAAGGGAATGGATCAAGACGCGTCGCATATATCGAGGCAGCAAGCCCGGGAGCGTCGACAAAGAGGGCGCACAATATAGTCCAGACCGCCTTAACTTAAGGAAATTTAGGAGGCTTACTTTATTGATGTGATCTTCGATGGACCGAGCGATTGCCTGCGCCGCGTGAATGTTTTCCTTTGCGATGACCGTGAGATTGCTGATTTCATATCTCGAGTTGAAATGTAAATCCTCCAACGATGACTTATAATCTTCAGCTATCTCCTCGGAAGAGAGTTGTGTGGAAGACATCGGGATAATGGCTGACAAAAAAATGAAAGATTGTAAGGTGGAAAAGGTCGCGCGAAAAGCAGACAGGCAGTCAGGTAGCAGCGCACAACACACTCTCTCTTGAACTTCCTTTTCTCTCTTGATCTTCAAGTCTTTTGGTAGATGTCTCTAACTATTCACTTTCACAAAAAGGAAAAGCAATACGAGACTCCGGAGCCGAATCAAAACACACGCGATTCACTTCTGTTTGTCCCGCTGTTCTCCTTTGTTCCTTGTGGCCTTGAGTACTCCCCTCCTTTTCCGAAGTTTTCTTCTTTTTTCTTTCCCTTGTAACCCCAACCAAATCAAAACCAGTATCACCTTCTTGTATTAATCGGCGAGAGGGAAGAAGAATGTTGATATCGCTTCACTTGCCGAGTGTAGTAACGGACGTGTAGGTTTGGTGTTGAAGAGCTGACGTTGGATGTCGTCGTCGCCGTCGTCGGGAAAGATGAGGAGAGAGGTTGGGACGTGAGCGCTGGCCTCCGCCCAAGGGTTGAAACGGTGATACAAGCCTGTGATTGGTTGCGGTGAGTCAAGGGGAGAAAAAAAGCCTTGCTTGCAATCTGATAAGATTGTCCCAACTCCTCGGATATGGCCACTGAATTATTATGTAACATACATGTACTTACTGAACGCCAGCTGAAACCCCCGGGGGGTTTTTTTTTTTTTTTTCAGGATTTCCCTTGACTAGATAGATGTACCTACTCTTTCTCTACAAAACTTTTTAAAGCGACTACACGCACGTATCTCCGGGTCATTTATGTGACGTTGAGAGGTCTAGAAGCAGCCACCTCGGCTATCGAGGAATGCCGGTTGTCACGACAAGCTGTGAGACATCATTTTACACCTAGATCTTACCGTCCAAATCTCCACAGGGTGATCCGTAACTACATGTATTGCTCTATCAAAGGCCTTCATTTAATGAAACTTAATGGCCCGGTAAGTCCTAAAACATAAGCGTGAGTCCCGCGGGAGTGCGTGGTAGTTGTTTTGCGTCGGACCTCAGAGATTGAACTTGTATCTGGGGAGAACTCTTATCAAGAACGGGATCACTCTCCTTTTTGTGTAATATGTTTTTGGTGAAGCTTTACATCTAACCTTTTTTCTGAAGCCTTAAAATGGGGGAAGCTGTAGATAAATTTATCCACTTTTTTTCTTTTCCAATAATAAAAATGGTAGGGTTGCGGGTTCAAGCTTTCGGCGGGCCGAGTGACGTTCCATGATCCAACTACCGCAATCAATATTACACAAGTAGGCTAGTATTTTATTCCACATATAACTCTAGTCTACTGCAAACCCCTCCCTACTTTATGTCGACTGGTATTTATTCTCCCTGGCCACCACCACCTTGCCTGGCACCCTTAGCACCACATATCTCATCAACACGAAGCAGAAGGCAAGCAGACTATTATAAAATTATTAGCCAAGAATTCTTCAAGACTTCTCAAAAATGCAATTAGAAACTCACTTCAATAGCAGTCTTGATACTCTGTAATTTAACAGCCTCGGGTTCCCAAACACCGTACTCCTTCATATCTACGATTTTACCAGCCTCGCCGTCGATCCCAAAAGTATACTCCTTCTGTGCGTGTTTTGCCCTTAGCTGAGTAAGCACCCTAATTGGAGATGCACCACAGTTCTGAACGAGAGTTCTTGGGATGACTTCCATTGCCTCAGCAACGCTGCGGTAGGGCCACTGCTCAACACCCTCCACCGACTTCCCAAGCTCAGCGAGACGGACAGAGACGGCCATTTCAGTGGCACCTCCGCCGGGAGAGAGACGAGGATGGAAAAAGACGTTGCGGGCAACAGACATGGCATCTTGAAGATTGCGCTCAATCTCGTTGAGGATATCCTTTGAGGGACCGCGGAGAAGGATAGTGCAGGCTTTGGGATCGGCACATTTGGTAATGAAAGTGAAATATCTAGTAATGTTAGATGGAGGGCACTAGTAATAGAATGCGAATTAAATTCATACTCATCACCAATTTTCTCAATCTCGAAGAGACCACAGCCTGTTCCAACATCCGACTCTGCGATATCGTCGACACGGTTGACAATAGTGGCGCCAGTCGCACGAGCGATACGATTGTTGTCAGTCTTTCGGACACGACGGAGAGCAGTAACGTTACCCTTGAGAAGGTAGTGTTGAGCGAGATCTTTGAAGTTATTAGTTCATCTAAAACCATATCTTTCCTGACAATGAGTATTGAGATACATACCAGAGACACCCTTCTCGGTAATGACCAGATCCGGTTTGACAGCTAAAATATGATCACACATAGCCTTGACCTGCTGTTCCTCGATCTCTAAGATTTTGCTCCAGTCCTCCTCCTTTGAGATCTCGATATTCGTTTGTGACTCCCCTTTTTTATATTCCAGAGGGCAATCCAACAATACAACCCTGGGATTCTCGATTCTTCTCCTCATCTTTGGGTGGGTGATATCTTTGTTGACCATGACACCATCAAGCACCCTTGAATCCTCGATTTCTCCACCCGGAACCTTCTCAACCTTGGCATAACGTTTAATATCTACCTCGGTCTTCTCTCCAACTTGTTTTGCCACAGTACGAACAGCCTGGAGGGCAAGGCCGCACATCAATTTTGACCACCTGGAAACAAATTTTGTGCCGATTGAAGACGAAATTAACTGGTACATTGCCTCGTCGTCAGAGGTATCGATAGGAATTGAGACCTCCTCAATGATCTGGAGAGCATCGGCGAGGGCGCGCTTGAATGCGGAGATGATGACAACCGGGTGGATATTGCGTTGAAGATGAGGAAGGGCCTGGGCAAGAATCTCACCAGCAAGGATGATAACAGTTGTGGTCCCATCACCGACCTCTTCATCCTGTAGTATCGGGATAGTGGAGTCAATATTTGCTTAAAAGCTAGGTAAGGGGGATAGCTCTATTGACAGAACCATCATAAATCCCATGAAAATCATCAATAGTAATAACTAACTTGTGTCCTGCTCAACTCAATCATGCTCTTGGCAGCCGGATGCGCAACCTCAATTTCTCTCAGGATAGCATGTCCATCGTTTGTCAACACAATCCCGCCCATTGGATCCAACAGCATCTTTAACATAGCCTTAGGGCCCAGACACGACCGAATAATATCGGCAACGGTTTTGGCGGCCGTAATGTTTGAAATTTGGGCCTTGCGTCCTATTTGCGAAGACCTATCAGTAATTATCATTTCACTGATAGCTAATACACGGTGGTGTTGGGATTAACAAACCAGTTTGACGCTCTCCCGCCCCGGTGTTCACCACCATCACTGGTGCCTGCATCATTCAATTATTTAGGCTACTTTAGCTGAGACTGGGAGATCTTTGATTAGGAAAACGGAAATTCGTGAGAGAACGGCGGTTGTAAAAGGGTTGATGGTGGGGGGACTAAGGTCGCGGGGGGATGCGGGGATGAATAATTTGGATGGTTTTTCCGTATTGTTGGTTGCCGCCAAGGCCATGTGAGTAGGGTCCAAAGGGGCCACGGGGATTCCCAGAGCTCTCTTAAAGCTTCAACCTCACCTACCTCTGTCGTTCATTATTAACCCCACAATGGTGTCTTGGTCCACGATCCAGACGCTCCTTGTCCTCTTTGGGCCTATTTTATATACCAGAGGCAAGGCCTTCTACCAATCCACCAAATCCCGCGGTCCTCCTCAACCACTACCCAAAGCTTCAAGGCGTCTCCTTAATGTCCTTTTCGTTACCGCCCTCATTGCTCTCGCCTCAACATTTGAATACTTCACTCCTGAAAATATCTTCACATTAACAGACTCTCGCCTTCTACAAACTCCAACAGACGTCTTGTTCAACCGTGTGTCTCACATCCGCGAACTTACTCCATCAGATGAAATTCTCCGCCGGCGCCTAAGCAGTAAGGAAGGTCGGCTTCTCTACGCAACATATGGACCTGGCCCGCTCTCCGAATGCGCCTGGTGTAAAGTCGATGATCCGAATACGTTCTTCTTTTATGCACTTCCAATAATGGCGCTACCACACCTTCTCCATATTGCTGTCATTGGGATTGTGACATCATCATTCTTCTCTCGTCATGGCGTCATCTGGAGGACTCAAGCCACTATAGCCGGTGTTGCATTATTTCTGGCTGAAATCTACATGGTCGGCATTTCAACCTCTGCTCATACGCTCAACACTATAGCCAAAACCCAACAGGAAACCAAATGGACACAATGGAGTCTGTTTTTATACCGAGGCGTCGCCATGGCTGCTTTGGATGGAATTCTTGGTTATTTCGTTTTCTTGTCTGGAACAGGCCGCTGGACTCTTGGTCTCGAAGGTGTCCGCATAGAAGAAAGACTTGAAACCCTCACAAAATCAATCGAAATCGTGGCATCTAGACTTCACGCAGACAACCTATTGCGCCAGACCATACTCCGCAATAAAACCCTTCGAGAAAGAATGGTCGATCATTGGACAAACGAAGAGAACGTTGCGCGCGAGATTATGGAGGATGATGAGGTCCAGCAGAGTAGGATAAACTTTGTTACGAATAGATCCAATTTGGATAAACTTGAGGAGGAAGCGGGGAAAAAGAGTGAGGGGGTGGTGGATAGGATCAGTGCATGGAGGGGTTTTCCAGCTGGAAAGGCTTCTTAAGTTTGGGGGATTGCATCTGTACGCCGATTTCTTCAACTTTTAATGGAAGAAAAGCATTTTTGGACAACATCTTAGATCCCCAGATTATTACTCGTGCCTGAAAATAGGACTAGTCCACTTCGGAATGCTTGGCATATAAATTCTGGTTCTATGTACTAGCCCCCGTAGCAACTCGCGGTTGCGTTGTCCCATGATTTTTGAACGAGAATTATACAATGGAGGACTTCCCATAAGCAATAGAGCACGTTCTATCGCGCAATAGACCTTGTTTTGTCTTTCTATCGAATAGAACACTGGTGTCTAAGAAACTGGATAGAGCACCATCTTCGAGGGGGGGGTCTATTGAATAGAACATTTTCTATCCACTTGAATAGAACTTTGTGTACTTTCACCTTCCTTTTTCGGTTAGAATACAGAACTCACTAGGAAACGTCCACTGCTACTATACCCTATCTGCCTTAGTAAATGAATGGAACAAGTCCGGCGAATAGAAACATATGGGAACTGGATCTATCTAAGAACCACCTGCTATTGCAATAGAACGTGCTCTATTGCTTATGGGAAGTCCTCCAATACATACATACATGTAGCGAACCTCAATCACAAAGGATAAAGTGCAATACTTTGCAAAGCTCTGTACATAGTTGATCGGACCCATAAAGCGACCAAGGGTATCGAAAACCCACACCGCAGGCACCTACAGCAATGCACTCAACGTTGAAATTGCTTATAAGATCACATCTACTACTATCGTCAATAGATGGTGACTCCCACTGCGTGATGCTACTTCTGATGGGACTAGGACGGTACTTGGGAGTCTGGCGCCGAATTTTTTTTGGCCATACATGTATGTATAGTTCTTGGACATAAGTCACCGTCCTCGCGCCAAAACACGCCAAAAAACGGCGAAATCAGCCCTTTTAAAATAGCTCCAGCACCCACAATTTTAAGATATAACTTGTACCAATTGGTAGAATACAAATTAACGACTAGGAAAATCATCTGGAAGTTCTTAATCTCAAAAATAAACACTGTAGCATTGTTGGTATAGCATTTTATTCAGTTGTTCTCCGAAACTGTGCCAAAACCTCAAATTTGTATGGGGACTTGGCAAAATTCGACCAAATCCCAAAATCTACAAATTCAAGGCCCCATAACTCTCCACATATTTGATGAAAAGAGCTACAGCTCAGAATATATGTTCCTCTATAGTGTATATTCCTATACTGAAAGTTCTATGGTGATTGATAAAGAATTGAGGGTTCGAGAAGGTGCCCATTTTGGCCAATTTTGGTGTGTTTTGCTTAAGTCGGTGACTTATGTCACGGTACTGTACCTACATACCTAGCTTACTTACTCAGGATTATCCAGTACAAGAACCAGCTTCACTAGAAGTCGAGCGTAGGGTAGTTAGAAATCCGTTCAGGTTTCATATCAAGCAATTGAAACTACACGTATATTTTCGACAGGTAAATTCGACTCAATCCTCATTGGCGCACTCGGTCATTGACATCGTGAGTACATGTATGTACCGTACATGTAGGTATTCTTCCTTATTTGGCGATCAGATGATCCTTGGTGCGTGGGTTAGGGTTGGCGGTAAATGTAGGTACGTAACAGCCGCATAAGTACATATCGCGAGCCTACCGTTTATCCTAAGCTGCCACCCCTCATCTCGCAGGAAATCCCTCCTTCCCCGGTACCGGTACCTACATATTCGTACCCCACATTCGCACTTATAAACACCTGCTGTTATTAGGGTTCTTATCCTCTGATTCAGTCTGTGTTCACTACCCGTCCTCAAGCAATGGATGGACCTACAGTTAATTTCGGCGAAGAGCTGAAGGTATGCCCTCTGCCTCCAGCTCCAAAGCTTATGCCATACGTGTCACACAATGCTAACACTTGAACCTATCGCGCAGGACGCCTTCAAACCTGTCTATGCATGGGTACGTGCTCGACCTGAAACGCCACACATAAATACATCTACTAACGGCTTGTTCCGGGTAGACTGCGAACGGAATCGAATTTTTGGACGATGCTCAAGCCTTTTACCGCGAGCGGGCAGCGTTAGAGAAAGATTATGCTACAAGGATGAGCGCATTAACTAAGAAGTTTCTTGACCGAAAGGCCAAAAAGGCCTCAAGTTTAAGCGTGGGTGATACGCCTCAAATGACACCTGGAAGTTTGGAAAGGTGTGTATATGTGGGTGCTGTAGACTACAACTTATAGCTCTCCCCCCGCGAATCGAGTATCTTAGAAGAACATGCTAAAACAATCCTTCTATCTAGTGCTTCAGTAACTACTTGGTCAACAATACTCACTAGTCACGACTCACTAGCGAAAGAACACGATAGCTTGTCTAATGCCCTCATCACACAGATTTCGGACCCCCTAAAGGCTATTGCAACTCGATACGAGGAATATCGAAAACTGTATAATACCCTAAACATGAAGGTCATGGCCGATAGGGATGGCGTATACAGCGAGTTGAAGAAGAGCAAGGGGAGCTACGATGCGGAGTGTAAGCAAGTTGAGGATAAGAGAGCGAAAGTTGACAAAGCTTTTGACTCAAGTAAAACAAAAGCCGAGAAATCTTATAGCCAAGAGCTGATAGAAATGCACAATATTAAGGTCAGTAAATGTGCTAGATCTCTGAAGAACCCGTAATTTACCAGGGTCCCTAACGCCGAACTCGATGAAATTAGAACACATATTTAATAAAGATCAATGTTGCAAACCGACACAAACAGAAATACTATCACGAGGACATCCCTGATATATTAAACGTTTGTATCTTTCTATTTAAACCTTACAGTGAGCACCAACTGAATTTTACTAGTCTCTCCAAGATCTGAACGAGACTCGTATCACCAAGCTAAATGGCATCTGGACCTTGGGTTGTCAGCTTGACATCAATTGCAGGCAAAACTCTATCACTCTCCTCTCTGACACCGTGAAAGAGATTGCTAGAAACCTCCCAGCCCTTGATTCAGCCATGTTTTCCAGGCATAACATGGGTGGTTGGGTCGAGCCAAACAATTTTGAGTTCGAGCCGAGTCAAATATGGCACGATACTAGTGATATCGTAGTCGATGATCTTGCCACAGTATTCCTGCGGAATATCTTAGGAAAGAGCAGGAAAGAACTGGAGGGGGCAAAGGCTCAAGTAGATGCGAGAAACAGGGAAATCGAAAGCCTAAGAAAAACAAGAGATAGCATTAAACTCAATGAAGAGATGCAACTAAAGGAAGCCGAAGTTACCAGGGTGGGTGCCTGACCTCTCCGCGGTACCACCATTTAGCGGCTAATCATGTTTGGCAGAGTCTATTAATTCATCAAGAGCAACTTGTTCCTCACTCATCTAAACTTACAACCCTTCAGGTTGAAATCAGCACGATTCTCAATGCTGTTGGGGATGTTGAGCGTGGTACCCAAACCCATAAATTTAAATCAAAAACTTTTACGATTCCAACCACCTGTGACCTATGTGGTGAGCGAGCATGGCGTCTTACAGGTGCAGGCTTTTCGTGTCAGGACTGTGGATACACTTGCCATGCGAAATGCGAAATGAAGGTTCCTGCACAATGCCCCGGTGTCTTGGATAAAGCAGGAAAGAAAGCCCTCAAGGAGGAAATGAAATCTACAGCTCCTTCGACCGGAGGTGATAGTGGTGTAGCATTAAGCAGAAGTAATACCATGAACTCACTATCGTCATCTTACGCAGGAGGGGGCGGAGGGGCTACAGCGCCTCAGCGGATGGGATCAACTTTGTCGAGAACGACTTCTCCGGCTGCCAATACACCCGCAGAAACCGCTGTTCCCGCCGCATCAAGCTTGAATGCAGTGGCTGCCGCTGCTTCTCCAGCAGTCCGGAGAAATCGTGTCATCGCCCCGCCGCCAGAACGCTATGTTTCTGCACCGCCCCCAGAGGCGCCTAGGCCATCGGCGGAGAAAGATGAAGTAGTAGGCCGTATGTTATACGCATATTCTGCGAATGGTGCTGGCGAGATCAGTGTTGAAGGCGGACAAGAAGTTGTTATTGTCGAGCCTGATGATGGTTCCGGTTGGATTCAGGTTCAAGTGGGTTCCTTGAGCGGTCTTGTGCCAGCTTCCTATGTTGATGCTTCACCACCACCCTCAACGCCTATAGAGGGCAGGCCTGACAGCAGACATTCCTCCTCCAACGTATCGATTTCAAATTCGATAGTTGGAAGCATGACAGGTAGCGGGACGATAAAAAAGAAGGGGCCAGCTGTAAAGCCAAAGAGGGGTGCAAAGAGGGTGAAGCACGTTGAGGCTTTATATGAGTATTCTGCAAGATCGGATCTTGAATGGGATATGCTGGAGGGCGATCGGTTTGTGTTAGTAAAGGAGGATAGCGGGGATGGATGGTGTGAAGTAGAGAAAGGTGGAGTTACTAAAAGTGTGCCATCGGCCTATGTGCAAGTCATTGATTAGCATAAGATGTGGTATCAGTTGTGGGATTGTCTTGATTTGATTCACTGGATTCTTTGTTGCATGCAATGATTGTGAGATTGCTGAAAGTTAAGTAGATTCTTCTCCGTGTAATTTCCTTTCATTTTTCTATACGATTTCTTCTGTTATGCTATTGGTTTGTCCTTATATTGCTGTTTTTTTCTTCTCCGAATGGGACATTGCCTGTGCTGTACGAAAAGTCCTTTGTTATTTCTTTACGGACTGGCTGTGAGGGTCTTGGTTGACTACTATTCGTGATGTTTATGGAGGCGTTCTTTGTATGTTTTGTATTACAATGCTATTCAGTTATTTTTGTTCGTAACAGCTGTTTAGGACTGATAATTTGAGAGTTCAGTGGTGCGTGTGGTACTTTCTTTCTATCTACTTAGTCGACCTATATTCTACGGCACCCCATCTACTATTAGCCCTATTATTCCCGTGGGGCTGGGCAATTCATTCTACACTTTGCCTCTTGGAATTGGAGAAATGATTAAAAGTCGCTAGCATTTTAGAGTTTATAAGTTGGGAGTTGCAGTGTGCATGCATGTATGCGCCTCCAATATCTTGCTTCCTTGCCAAGCATGTCTAAGTCAATGATTCAGATCCCCGGAAGTAACAATTTTCCAGAAAGAGAGTACAGAACAATCTTTATAGAGGGTTAACAGTATTATGAATGTTTGTCTTGACATGATATACATTTGCACGGCAAAAGTTCGGGAATTAACCTCCCCTCAGCCAAACTCCTCCGATTTTCTTCCCAGCGCAACCACGCCACTCCTTGCAGCAGGCAATCGGCAAGATCGTCCAGCTTCTTCCCAGGTGTTCTCTTTGCTTTCTTCCCATTGACCGTCTCGAGCGGGACAAAGTCATCAACCGTATCTGCTACTTCCTGGTTGAACGATATCACATCTCCATTCTTGATCCATTCGGACACTAGAGATATCTTTGCTTGCTTTATATTCCCGAAAGCCTTCTTCCCCGTGGTCTCTGTATCCACATCTTGGCCTATTTCCCTCAAACCCTTACTTATGTTCATCTTCATCCCCTCCATCTCTCCCGCCCCCCCGTCTTCTACCACTACCCCCTCTACCACCCCCTCGGGGTAGTTATGTGATTTATCACTTTTCTTCTCAAACGTTTTGCCAACTTTGTCGATCCAAAATCCACTGACCCTGCTAGGAGAAACACTCTCCGCTGCTGGGCTCTTTCGCTGTGCATTTTCACCGTCCCCTGCATATCCTACAGAATGGAAAAGAGCGTGAAGCATAGCCTCAAGCATGTTAACCCGGATCGTCCACTGTTGGATTGCGGAAGCCCCTTGTGACCTATATCGTTGTTGTTCTATGATGATGGCATCCGGCGAGAAACGAGATAGTGTTTTACGAACAAAAGTGTTCGCTATAACTGCAAATTTGGAAGGTTCGAAGGACTCTGTGCTTTTCTTCGGTTTTCGAGGTTTTGCTGGAATTACTGATCCGTCCAAATCTGGTTTTGATGATTTCCGGCCTCTCTTTTTTGGAGTGACTGTGGGGCCTGTCTCTGATTCCTCCGATGTAATTGGCTCTACTGGCCGTTCAGAAATAGAAATAGTTTCCCAGGCTATCACGTTCGGGAGTGCTTCCCCAACTGGACTCTTCCCCCCAATGGGAACCTCTATCACACACAATGCCAGGTTCCTAATCCCCATATCAATACTCAGGACTCTTTTTGTCCTCTGCCCCGTTTCCACCCTCCTCATTTCCACCTCTTTTTCCTCTTGAGACCTTTCCTTCTCACAACATTTTAAAGACCTGTCGAAAAATCCAACGTCCTCGCAGCAAGATTTTGCAATTCTGGCCGCAAGCTGCGCTTTCGCACCAGTAGAATTGACACCAACTGCTACGGCAAGAGACCTAAGTGCGCTAGCCTTCAACTGGAGAAGCATGGGGGAGAGGTGAGATGCCATGGTGACTCCATATGTTGATACTAGTATTTTTGCTTGATGTTTGCAAGGAACATTCAAATTGCAAATAGGCTGACTAATCCATGAGCTACATTGATTAGCATGTAGTGGTGTCCGTCCTAACAAAACGATTAGAATAACCCCCTATGATTGTGGTTACCAATCATTGGTAATAAACAGTGATCTGACGCAAGGACCATGGGCCTGTATCATCATAATGTATGTTTTATATCCTGATCATTTCCGGTTTCATTCTACATGGGAATGAACCTAGGACAACGTGCGTACTGTACCTACATGTACTTTACTGTAGGTACAATAACCGTATTGTAGGTGCATCCCTGCTCCATGAAGCACACAATATGGATTGGCGTGATAAATAGCCAAACTCTTGTACTTGACCGTTGTGCCGGTTTTATCCATTTATATTAGCAGAAGTAATAACTGAGTAAAACTACATATGCTCAACGAATCCCATATATATAACATGATTTCTGCGGTATTGCATAAGCATCCCGGTGTGTTATCGGCCGTACAATATATAAAAGTACATGTACTCTAGGTACTTGATATAATCCTTCCTACCAATACATACGTACTTAATACTCTAAGCAGGATCATACACCGCTCTCTGCGGTACATTGGTAGGCACTTTGAATGTGCTTTACTCTGTCTACTACATGTACTAATGATGATAATAGCGGCGAGCCCCCATCGCCAAGGATACTATCAAGTTACACAAAATGGTTGAAGGTGCGAGTGGAGTGGAAGAAAGCGTACGGTAAAGGGGATATATTGCTTTGTTCTGTCCATCAATAGTGAGCGGTCAAGGCTATAAGTAGAGTACACGAGAGAAAACCCCCAGGGTTTGCATCGGCCATAAACTCTTTCTACCCACGATGAAACTTAGCCCGCGAGGTTGAGGTTAAAATATGGTAATCGGAGAATTCGAATCTCCGGATCGACAGCTTGGCAAGATGAGGCTCAGCGGGACCCATATAAGTGTGCAGACTAGCGGTATGTAATGACGTTCCCGTGCCCTTCGGGAATGACATAATTCGGGACCAAATGTGTCTAGGAACATGACGTATGTATTCATGTTTATGATGTTGGAATGGCGCTTTGGTACGTAAACAAGATTTTTCATTACTTGGTATTTCTAAATATCCCCAAAATAGGTTTCTTACACAAAAATCGACATCACGGGCTATCACTCAGTGAGTGCCAGGTATTATGTTGAGTATCCACAAAGAAAGAAAAGAAAATACAGAGGAGCGCAGGATTTTAACAAATAAAACAAGAAACGAAAGTGCGGGTCAACCATCAAAATCCACCTTTTCACCCCCTTTAGGTACACAAACACTTAGATAAATCTCCACCTCTTTGCAAGAAAAAATGAAACCATCACAAAAGTGAAAATCACACCGAGTATTCCAAAGAACCAGTAATAACTATCCTCCTCATGTTGGCCGGGAACATGAACGTTCATTCCGAACAGACCACAAATCAAGTTCAGTGGAACGAGAATAGTCGCAATAGTGGTGATCTTCCCTAGAACTTCGTTGGCACGGCTACTGGCCATGACTGAGTCGACCGAGAGCTGAGCAAGGTAGTTGGAGTGTGACCGAGACAGCATCTTCTCGAAATGGGAAAGATTGCTCATCATAGTGATAACATGATCTAATAATCATTAGTTTTATTCACCTACGACTGGTTTGGGCTGAGACATACCTTGGATATCACCAAGATAGAGACCGATCTCGCCACGAGGTGTAACCTGGTATTGTTCGTTACATCTTTTTGCAAAACCCTTGATGACGTCGGCCTTGCCCCCTAATAGTCTCATGAGACCCATACACTTCTTGCGACATTCGCCGATCTGCTTGAGGAGCTCAGTGTAGTCATCCGTCCGTGCAATAAATACAGCATCCTCAATGGCATCAGACTCTTTCTCAATGTCGTGGATGGATGGACCGAATGAATCAGTGATATCGTCACTACAGGTTTAATTAGCATAGTTCATTAAATTATAAGGACTTTGTTTGGATGAAACCTACATCAAGGCGTAGCAGATCCAGTCAGATGACAAAGCTACATAATCCCTCAGTTGTCGTATACGCTTGCGCACTTGAGCACTGTGCTTGCATGGGTTGAAGTGGAAGCTCAGTACTCCTTCACGGAACACGATGATATAGATATTGACAGGTTCCATAAAGTCCGGGGATTCCCTATCCTGGATAAAAGACCGGAAACACACAAAGTAGTAAGAGTGGAAGAGCTCGACCTTCTCGCGGGTCTCCTGGACACGGATATCCTCGGCCGTCAAAGGGTGAATCGCGAATGCCTTCATGAGCATGCTCAATTCCTCGGTGTTGGGGTTGAAGCAATCGAGCCACCAAACACCCTGGCCACCCCGGAAAAGGTCATGGAAGTTCTCGCCGTCGCAGAGAAGGTCGCCGATTTCAGGAGCATGGATTGTAGAATCCATTTCCGAGGAGAAGAAGCTGAAGCGATCAGGGTTGCTCATTCGCTGATTGCGAGACCCTGGTGTCAAAAGATCGACCTTCTCACCAATAACCGAACACACATCGTTATCCTTGGACACCTGAACCGGGACGTTTGTGTTGGTGGGCGTCAATTTGGTTTTGAAACCCTCAAAGTATCTCTCCGCCTTCAGGGAGGAACAGCTGCTCATCTTTCTCCTCTTGGTTTGGGGCCTCCCTCGGTTTTGGTTAGCCACAAATTCATCCATTTCCTCAAAATCAATACCACCCCGGACCCTGGTCTCTTCAGGTGGGGGGAAGCAGACATCCTCCTCCGCTTTCTGTGAAGCCTCATCGCCGGAATTGACAACGGATCCTTCATCCTGATTGGTGAAAGTTGGGCGACGGGACATCGTCCGCCTAAGTCCCAATACAAGCTCCGAAGGAGCTTGGCTGGTGATCGTTGCAGACCTTTCTTGACGACGGCGATGTTCAGGATTCGCGAATGCATTAACTGAATTTGGGGGGGATGGTGAGCGGGAAGAAGCGCGCGACGGATAGCGAACGCTATATCGACTTGTATCGTTATTAGGGTCGGAAGAACGGGGTGACAAGTTGTCCTGGGCATCGTCATCGATAATTGCGTGTTCGTAGTCCCTGTGGATAGGGCTATGGCCATCTCCAATTATGATTGCAATATCGGGACGATCACGAATATCCTCAACACTTCTGCTTATCGTGTTCGAGCGTGGAAGGGAGTGTGCTTGCAGGCGGTGGTCATCCAGTTCTGCCGCGGGAACTCCGAAAGGAGGCGAGTCGGAGCGTGGGGTTTCCATTTCGGCGAATTTTATTGAGAATCTAGTGTGCTAGAAACTGTACTACTCTTTCTTTTTTCTTAATCTTTTGTGCCTTTTTTTTCGTGGCGATATTAGACGGTGGGTATTTTTTTAAGCGTAACGACAAAAAACGTTTCTAGACAAATTAAAACAGCAAGTCTACCAAAGCACGTAAGTAACCGTCTTGATATCCAAGCATATGTTTTCGGTTCCTTACCTATCAAATAAAACAAGCTAAGTGCGATGCACTATGGCGAGCCGCCCTATGCGCTCACCGCGGTAATTGCAATCAATTTGAATGCCGTTGTGGGGTGAGCATGTACCCCTCAAAGAAAACTATGTTTTCGAGGAGGTGGGAAGCGGATGTAGAAGGAACCGGTGAGAGCGATATCAGGGTACGTTATCCTAAAGAGAGACCGAGCGGTGACAGACAGAACTTGGCAATAACACAGGTGATTAAGTTTTTAAGTTGTTGAACCAAAGGTCAATTATGGGGGTTTCTCGGATACTCCGTAGACCCAGAATGGACCGAGGAGAGGGTAGGCGAAGGAGAACTTGAAGCTGGTGGATCCCGCCAACTTGGTGGTTTCTAGGGAAGAAGGGTGACCAGGTGTTGGAATCTCGTGGTCGACGGGGGTAGCTGAGGGACTGAACAGTGATGAAGCTGTAGGTGATGAGAAGAGTGCGGTGGCTGATGTGGCTGAAGATGAGAGGGTGAAGCTTAGAGTTTGGACTTGTTCAGGGCTGGGCAGTAGGAGGAGGGGGCTAGATAGTCAATGCGAAAGAGGACGTTGAGTTTCCATGTGAGTGAGGGAGGAAGATGGGGGCTAGCGTGTGCAGTGGCCGGAGCAGATAGCTACTACGAGAGAGAGTACGACGACGCCGAGACGGTCCAGGGCAGAAGGACTGCGATAAATGGGCTGTGAGATGTGTGGTTGGAGCAGATAGACACAAACAAAACAGATCCGACAGACTGGCGAGATGGATAGTACCGGTATGTGGGATGTAAGTTGAGAGGAGGACAGGCAGACAAGTCAAGACAAGACGTTAAGTTAAATGTGTTCTCGTGGGAGAGAGGGGGGGGTGGTGTGTGAGTCTGTGTGAGTGTGAGTTGTGTGAGTGTTGGGGAGAGGAGTAGGTAAAGAGGACTGGCGCCGAAGAAGTAGCAAAAAAAGAAAAGCGAAAAAAAAGGGACAGTCCTCTCTCAGTCCAAGGAAAACAAGCCCGCTCACCCCAACCCACACAAGTCCCATTGGTCACAAGCACTGACACAACCCCAATCTCGACTAGGACACTCCCTAACCCTAACCCGTTCATACTCGGCAAATCACTCAGAGCGATTTATGCACGCTCTCCCGCCACCTTGGTCCCTTTTCTGCAACCCCGATTTCCTGTCCAGACCTCTCCTCTTTCCAGTCCTGCTCTGAACAACCCACGGGACCCTCTGCCGCCGAGCTTGATCTGAAGTAATAATATCAGTGTAACATCAGGCTAGTTCAAAAATATCCCGCAATTCATGACCCACGCTGGTTATTCATTCGCTCTGGTTGGGTTTATTCAAAATAAAGAGGTGGAGTTGGCCCTGCCCTACCGTTTCAATATCTCCCTCTCGCTCCGCACAAACGACAGGTGATAGCAAAATGAAGCCAACGCAAAATAAATAAATCCTATCTCTTGTCTAAGTCCTACTACCCATCGCAGACCTGGTAGGTGGAGGGTTATCTATGCCACACTTTCCCACCAATCTCTCTCCTATCCCCTCAGCTGAAAGAAGGACTTTCGATTGATTGAATTTGCGGCACCAGCACTGACATCACTTTCACACCAATGGTCAGGCTTCAACGAAGGAAAGAAAGAAAGAAAAACTTGAAGCGGCTACCTACCTAGAAAGTACGGTCCTGGTCTTGTCTACAGTGGAACCATGCAATCCTTTCTTTATATGTCCCTTTTTCTTTCTAGGAACCGAAATCTCCCACGTAATTTTTTTTCTTAATATCCATGTCCTTGCATATGGGTTCGCTTCAAGGAACGACTAGTTTTTCCGTTATTGCTTGCACCACCCCCCAGTTCCCAGCAGAATTTTTTTTCCTTCCTTGATGGAAATGGAGCGGTTGGATGTTGGCTTTGGGTTTGAAATATCAAATTTACAAGAATCAACGCCGAACAAAACAGCCGCACCTTACCGCCCTGTTTGTTCCTGCGCATCATGGACGCCTGGAACTGGATCTCTACATACACCTTCTCAAGTAGATTGCCTACCTACCCGTACGGTGTACCTACAGACAAGATACTCTAATATATCCGTCCTGCAAAATGCAATGTCATGTAGGCAGAGTACTTACCGGTATCACTCCCTAGCCGCAGCGCAGCCGCATTCTCCAGAGGATGCGCTATACCGGACACGGCAATAGGTCGCGAGGACACTCTCACTCTTCAACCTGAGTAAAACCATCTGCACCATAATAATTGCTACCGCACTTTAAAAAGAAGCTGGTGGAAGGAACAGGGACATTCTGATGGATGTCCTGCATACTCTAAAGTACTCCGTGCGACAGATATTGCATTGCATTACATACACATATCATGGAGCACTCCATTGGACCATCCATTGTATGGTTATTTCTTTTGTGAATGGAGGCAAACAGAGCACAAAATAAATGAATAAAAAAAGACGACCTCTCCTCTCTGTTTTACTTAACCTTAGGGGTGCCTAACTACAGCCGAGAAGGTTGTGTGCAGGCGTCCCTGAACATGCAGGTAGAGTAGCAGGGAAGGGCTGATGCAGAATGTGGATGGCGCGCAGGAGGGAAGTGCATGTATGTAGGCGGCGACATGTATGTAATCATAAGGATTTATATTGGTCCTGGAAAAGCAAGTCAATCAATAACTCACTGTGCACTTGTTACAATACTACCACATGCTTCAAAGACCTTCTGGGTTTCAGGGCTGCAGAACTCAGGAGTTTAAAGTTATTCATCAATTAGCATTTTCTGGGGACAAAGAACACACACGCTGTTGATTGCTGCACGAAGAACTTCAAGGATGAAGGATATAGCCGTTATATGCAACGTTAGTAAGCTTGAGCTTCACCAATTGATAGGACTCAAATTTCTACCCTGAGTCACTTGTCTCCGGTAATGATAAGGTGTGACCTTTTCTTAGACAACCTCATGAAAAGCAACTGAGATCGTAGGCTGGAATATGAATCATAGATTCGTTAGGTGCGTCTTAGAACCGTTATGACTACACCAATCAGGTATCACCAATGCCACACTCATATGGCATTGAAGCTACAGTATGTGATTGAAACAGTGGTACAGACATAATTACAGCAGAGCTTACTACGGTTGCGCCCATAAACTTGACAGCGCCGTGATATCTGCCGTGTATGTATTGAAGGCCTAGGTAGATCCGGAAAATAACTCAGGTCCACCACCAAAATAAAAAAGTAAAGTAAAATAAAAAGTACCTGCTGTTTTCAAAGTTCTGGTGCGCTCAACAACTAACACCCAGCACGCTCAGTATGTAGTATACACCCAGGACAAGAAACGCAACCCTCTCACCCCACCAATCTAAGTTTCGGATAAAAATCTTGGAGACGAGATTCCGAGAGAATGGCTCGGCGCTCCCCTTGTGAGGTATCACAGATAGATAGGACGGGACAGCGCATGGGTGGGTCTTGGGTGGTAGTGATAAGAAGGTCCGGGGGAGGTTCCGAAAGAGGTTGTGCTTTCTTGTGGACCCTGAAGAGAACGCGTGGCTGTAGTAGTTTTGCAATTGGCATGGTCAATTAAGTTATAGTTTCTATCTACATCTTTAAGATTTAAGTGTGGCTGAGTAGCGAGTGAGAATTTGTGACGCGGACAATTGTTGCATTCCACACAGCGTTGCTAATAGCTACAGTACAGGCTACAGAATGTCCAAACATAAAAACTCACAATTCAGAGTGCGCGTATGCTATACTCGATCTACGAATGCTATATCAATCTGACGCCAATTGCGGCCACACATGCCCAAAGATCTCCGGCAAGCCAAGATCTGTTCTATGTACATGTATGCATGTACGTACCCTAGTATCTCTAATTGCAATATCACACATAAAGTAGAGTGGACGGGAGAGTACGTCTGCACCTCAAATTCGGTAATGGGGCTTGGCTATGGGACTCCCGGCGGTGCGATGCACCCACGATATTGGATGCGGTCTGTGATGTTAAATCCACCATATCAAAAAGAGACGTGCTCCAATATAGAGTCATTGAAGTACTCACAGAGCCATCCACTATTACTACAAATATATTGTCATACACTGTATATCAACTGGTAGAACCGGACTAGCCGCTAGTAGGCGAATAAACTCAACTAGCTGACGTAAGACCAGAGAGAAAAAGATAAAACTAGGGCCAATTTTAGCTAGTTTTTGCTGTTTTCGGCCAATGCTACTACTTATGTAGGCTACAGTACGAAAAAACGGGGTGAAATCAGTACTATATGACTACGGGATTCAGTGAAGAGTACGGAATTAAACCGGCATTACAAAAAGAATACCGTAGTAATGCCATATTCTTACTGCGTTACTAGCACATTAATGGGGATAACATAGCGAATCCATACCCTTTTTTGATATTATAGATACATGTATGTTTGATTCAATAACTTAATGAATGCGTAGTGTCTCAAATAAGATTAGATAATTGGTGTGAGTGAGATCTTGTGAAGGAAGGAAGATAAGCAAGAAATGCCGAATACCGAATAAGAAATTGTGATCCGATGGTTCCGTGCCACTTTTTATTCCGTATTGTCATTTCGATTGTAGTAGGTTTCGAGCATCATCACACACAGGTCATCTTTGTCCGTGGCCGCGTGGCCTTCTTCAAAAAACAAACTCATAACTTGAACCATCGTAGTTTTTACGCCCAAGGCACTGCGAAGAATGCATGGGTTAATTTTGGGAAGGAGTAATGTATTGATTGTATGGCGCCATAGTTCAAAAAGGGGGTGAAAAATCGCTAATAGTAGACGGTATGCCGACGTACTGCGCCGGTGTCAATTCCGAGGGAACGTAAGCACGGTTTAGAGAAACAGTCCCATTAGCAACCGGCAAACCGAGAAATTTCTAAATTGAGATTTGGTCCGCCAAACAGCGTTTGGTCTAAGTGTTTTAGAAAAGCGGCTTAGTGCTACATTTTCAAAAACATCGTGCCAATTTTTCTCACACACCTTTTTCAATTTTAACGGAGTTTTTACCCCTGTTAACCTCCGTTTAGGCCGTTCTGAAAAGCATCCTAAATTTAGAGATACTTGACCATCTACTCGCGCGTTAATTAAGTCCTGAGAAATTTTGTGAGGTCGTTGCTACCAAGAATTCTCAGAACTTAATTAACGCGTGAGTACATGTAACTCTAATAGATAAGTTGTGACATGTGAATGATATGATGGTTGTCCGACCCAGTACATATCTTAGCTCACTGGTGATCTAACGAGTGGTAATGGTACTCCAGATGTGTTCTATGTACTTCCGGCTGCATCCAGATAAACTTCATATAACTCGGTAGAAATTCTCACATAAACGTTACACAACTCATAAGATAGCCCTAACCCACTCATCTTAGACTCTTTCCGGTATAGTTCTAAGAACCCCGCAGACCCCCCGCCAACTTCATAATACCACCACACCGCGTCTTCCTGTGATCAACACGTCCATTTTATAAACATCTACAGCCACACCACTCCCCATTTCTCCAATTCAATCCTTTTTCCCCTAAATAATCTACGACCTCTGTATTCATAATGGCAGCACCTAGCGCGTCCCTCGAGTCTCGTATGGGCCCAGTCCCGACAGAAGCAGCTCCTGCTGCTAGTAACGCCACTGCTCCCACCGCCGGTTCCAACATCACAGTCCAAGGTGCTACTCCTGCTCCTACCGACGCGACCCCCGATGAGCCTAGTGACCTTGTAGAGAGCAACTATGAGGTCGCTGTGAAGCTCGTAAATATGCAGGGGGACCCGAACAGTCCCCTATACTCGGTCAAGCGATTCGAGGATCTCGGAATGTACGTAGCTTTTGTCTTATTTTCGTGAGACCGTGTTAGTTTAGTATGAAATCCGGTACTGATGCCTCTTTTCTTAAAGATCGAAAGAGCTTCTTGAGGGAATATATTTCATGAACTTCAAGAAGCCTTCCAAGATCCAGGAGCGCGCGCTTCCACTCCTTCTCTCAAATCCCCCCACAAACATGATTGGACAGTCGCAATCTGGAACTGGAAAGACAGCTGCTTTCGTTCTCACCATGTTGACTCGTGTTGATATGTCCATCAACCAAGTCCAAGCTCTGTGTCTTGCCCCCTCGCGAGAGCTTGCAAGACAGATCATGAGTGTAGTTCAGACCATGGGCCAGTTCACCAACATCAAGACTCAATTCGCCATTCCCAATATGGTAGCTAGGGGGCAGAGGATTGATGCTCAGATTGTTATCGGTACCCCGGGTACGGTTTTGGATTTGGTCAAGAAGAGGCAGCTTCCCGTTGACGGGATCAAGGTTTTCGTTTTGGACGAGGCCGATAACATGCTGGACCAACAGGGACTGGGAGATCAGTGTATCCGTGTTAAAAGGTGAGTTCCGTATCCTATAATGTCGACCATTGATACTAATCCCACCTAGTACTGTCCCACCAACCGCGCAAATCGTTCTCTTCTCCGCAACTTTCCCCGATCAAGTGGTCCAATACGCCAACCGATTCGCTCCAAACGCCAATCAGATTACACTAAAACACGAGGAGCTTACCGTCGATGGAATTAAGCAGCTCTATATGGACTGCGAAAACGAGGAAGACAAATACCGCGTGCTTGTCGAGCTCTACCACATCCTCACAATCGGCTCCTCAATCATCTTCGTTAAGAAGCGTGAAACCGCCTCTGAAATCCAACGCCGCATGGAGGCCGATGGTCACAAGGTTGCTGCTCTTCACAGTGCCTTCGACGGTAATGAACGTGACAGGGTTATCGATGACTTCCGATCAGGAAAATCTAAGGTCCTCATCACAACAAACGTGCTTGCACGTGGTATTGATGTCGCAACCGTCTCTCTGGTCGTCAACTATGACATTCCGCTCGATCAGAACAACAAACCCGATCCACAAACCTACCTTCACCGTATTGGAAGAACCGGGCGATTTGGACGTGTCGGTGTTTCCATATCGTTTGTGCACGATAAGAACAGTTGGGCCGAGTTGAACGAGATATCCAGGTATTTCGGTGTGGAAATGACTCGAGTGCCAACCAATGATATCGATGTAAGCTCACCTCTCACTTCACATCCATCCATCTGGCCTTGATGACTAACAAGAGTACAGGAGGTCGAAATTATCATCAAGAAGGCACTTAAGAGTAAGACTGCAGGTGTTTCAAAGGCCGAGTCGTAATCCAAGGGCACCTCTTTGGATTTGCTTCGTGTTTTTATACCTTATTCCTATTCGCAGAAGTAAAAATTGCGATGCGATTGAACGGATGTATAGATCTATGTCTTCATGAATAACGAAATCTTTACAAGGCATGTGAGATGGGGTGGTCACCTTTATTTCTGTTTTGTTTCCTATTTTCTTTGCTTTCTTTTGAAAGTCTGTATAATATCTTTTTGAGGGGTTAAATTTCTTTTCTGTGGCCCGAGTTTTTTTTTTGGCGGAAAGAACAAGTACTATCAATGTTCTTAGAACATTGGTTGAGATATCGACTAGCTGAAAGGCCGAGGGATGAATGTTAGTCAATCTATCTTCATTCTACTTACACTACCCTAAATGATTGAAACGCCTACTTGGTATGTGATAATATGTGCTCTTTATGACTGATAGATCTGTCCAATGTGTGAGCTCAGTGCTCTGGTATTTGAAAGTCTAAAGTTGCATTATGAAAGTAGAAAGGAGGGAGGGCTGATGCTCTCTGCCTGACTTAAAACCGAGTGATATTCTGTGACTGTCATCTGGCGCATCAGTCAAACATCGAGCTCAAACTGTATGCCCACCACTGGAAAGATATGCTTGACTCAAGATATTCAAGAGAAATTTTTTTGTTGAGCACCAGACTTGTTCCCCCCCCCCCCCTTAATTCTGGCTTTTGTGGGGATTTGAGGATGAATAGGCGCATGAGTTTTCTTTTGTGTTGTGGTTTAGTCGGGAAAGATGAACGTGAATGGTTTTGATAATGTGTCCGTTTGAAATTTTGACCCCCCTTGCTTCGTTGATACTGCAGCGAGATGAAGTATGTTGGAGATGCGGGGGTGGGAGGGGGTAGGGTTGGAGGTGAGGTTGGAGGTGAGGTTGGAGGTGAGGTTGGAGGTGAGGTTGGAGATGAGGTTGGAGGTGAGGTTGGAGGTGAGGTTGGAGTGGGCCTACGCTAAAGTACCGATGATGTCGTTATAAGCCCCCCCTGCCAGGAGGTACAGACAAGGTGTGAACTGCTACATGAAGGCATAGGATGGCTGTTACCCTCGTTTTTAACCTTGTGCTTGTTCCGAGCGCGTGGTGCCGTGCTGCAGCCACTACAAGAGGGGCTGGGATGACATCGAAACAGAAACTTTGATGTTTCTCCTACTCGTGTCAACTTGCACAGCTTTCCTCATGCTATCAGTTTTGTGGGGTTTAGGTTTATGCATTATGGGTGAGATTGTATGCTTCACGACCCCCGTGCTTGTATCGGCCGGGACCTACCAGCGTAGGGTAAGGAGCTCTGATTTGATCCTACACTTGATCCTCCCAAACGTTGACAGATACAGTTTGTGAATCAGCCAGCACCAGTACTCTCGTTCCTAGTCTCGTACCAATAAACTACTAGCAGCAATCTGTTCTCTCATGCCCATCTACGGGTAGAATAATCCGGCACATAAGTGTGGGGTTAGCGCGTGGTTGCTAGTCACAGAATATCACTCGGTGACTTCCCCTCCACCACATACATGTATATGCTCCGAAAGCTTGTTTCACTGACGTCTCATAACCTCAGATAACGGGCGAACAACAATAACTCATGGAACGCGGGCTATAATCTCTCCCTTAGTCGACGCATTTATCTTCTGTCCCAACGCCTGCACTTAAGCTATCACATGATGAGACGGCTCGTTGATGGGCGATAATATCTTCCAGGAGACGCAGCCCAGCTTTCTACCTCAAGTCTCTAGAGGATAGAAGAAGAAAGTTGTGAGACTAACTCTCTTGTAGCAGTAGCTTAAGCGCAAATCATCAACCATTGCTTTCTTCATACTATCCACATACACTGCAGCTATAACTCAGGCCTCTAACTTTAAAAGCAGAGGGCCTGTATGTACAAGACATGTGTCATATCTCATAGCTCATATATTCGGTGCAAGATAGAAAGACCATTCAAGTTATGTTTATGTCATCGAAACTTAGTCTCGTAATATATTTCCTGCTTAGCAGCAAGCTGCTCAAGTGGGAGGGCTAGGTACGAGCCTATAGAAAACTCTGACTTAAAATCAATTGGGTCTATAGATCTATCTGGTCTACAATGGTATAAGGCTGGACCATACTATATATTTTGTTTGTCGGGCCGGTTAGAGAATCACTAGAGGACACACTACTATTGGGATGCTGCTATACGGGATATATACAGCGATCTTTTTTAGTGCCGCGGAATGGAGCTACAGTACCTTATGTCCCGACAGAAATGAATAATTACTACCTTTTATAGATCTCTCAGCCCCACATCGGCCTAATGGGCAATATAAACGGCGAATAGAGCTAGCTTGTATGACCACAATACTATGAGAGACACTGAAAGTACTATAAAAGCTTTGGAAGAAGCTTAATAGCTACATGTATATGTCGACCCTTTGGGGCATTATTAATCCTCAGGTACCGCCAATTGATATATATGCTTTATTGGCATTGTGTAGTGTAGATTAATAATTTAAATAGACCTGAGCTCCTTGGCATAGCAACCACAAATACTAGACTGGGTACGAGGTCAAGATATACCCGCTAACCTTTCGTAGGTATCGTAGGTCTTCTCAAATTGAGCTACTGAGCTAAGCCCGACCAGCTCTCAGCAACTATGACAGCACCAATAACCTTAGATTTTTACATCTGTAATTATTCCATCATTATAAAAGAGTGTATTACGTGATTTGAAAGAATATCGTCTCTTACCCCTCTTTGAAACTTTCTATTCAATCCCCTCGAGCTCCACCAATCCTCCATACTATTTCCACGATATACATGTATCTTTTCTTTTTGTACACAGCAAACCATTGATAGATCGATTTCCAACCTGCATATACGCACGAAAGCTTAGCGATTTCATCAATAACGCAATTCCACGAAACTCGGCTCCGAAGTTTGAATAATTCCGCGGAGTACCAGAGGTTCTGGGCTCAGTCCAATTAAGCACGAGATATCCAATTTGACGATCACCAAAACAAGCACCTGTAAACAGTCCCAGAGCGATTGTAAAGCTTCATAGCTCGCAATCACAAACTTACAGTACATCCCCAGCTCTCCAAATCTCTAGGACTGTGAATTCGAGTAAAAACAATGTATATAGGAAACAGACCAAGAATTCAGCATCAATTGAGGCTTACGGCAAGCTCCGTAGACCCCTGCACGCACCTGCGCTAGCGTCTCCCTCCCGTTCGTTCGTTGTGCCAGCCATCATGTCAGCCCGACAGCCCCAAGCCAATGGACCCATCTCCTCCGCTGAATGTGTTACCAAGAGACCCTCCTCACCGGCACTACCACCAGTGCCACCACCACCACCACCACCACCACCACCTGGTCCACCATCACCACCACCATCACCAGTAGTACACTTACCACAGATACATATTCTACGCCGCGCCCGTTTAAACAGGTACTCCCTATTTACAGAGTCCCTCAAGGCAGTCGAACCTCAAGGACGCGAGGCCAAAGGAGTCTTCAGAACAATGCCTGCCGCTGCACCAACCGTCAAACAGACGGTCGAGGTCGGGAAGCCGGGCGAGTACAAAATCACGATCGGGGAAAGCTTGAGGCGACATGCTGACGCCTCGTCGGACGATGATGCTGCCTCCTCCGGGGATGTGTTTACGAGTGTGAAATGTAGCTATAGCTCTCTCTCACTCTCACTCTCACATACTCTGTTTACAGCTATACTGACTGAACGCCTAACTATAGACAACTATAAACCCAACACCTCATTATCGAATCCTATTCCACCCCAACTCACAAAACACGCCCCGACCGGTCCCGCCCCATACACACTGTCGCTGTCGCCCCCAGGCGCCTCCGCCAAAGCTATTACATACACTGGTAGTCAGCACGTACATCCTCCGCGGAAAACAGAGTGCATACTCCTCTTCGACCACACCACGCAGTCTTTCACCCTCGAGAAGCTCACAAGTACATTTACATTCAACGCCAAAGTCTTCGCCCCTGCGCACCCTGCACTGCCGCTCCGCCCGCCAATCCCGGACGGCGAAGAGACTGACGAGGAGGAGCGAGAGGAGGACAACCCGTTCGATTACCGCCACTTCATCAACAAGAAGCCGACTACAAAATCGCGAGCCGAGCAGAAGAAGGAGCGCGAACAGCGCAGAAAAGAGGCGCTGAAGCGCGCTGGCAAGGATGTGCCGGAAGAAGAGCCAGAGGAGGAGGACGACGAGGAAGACCTTGGCCTCGGAATCTCCTACAATGGCCGTCCGGCGGTCAGCGGTAAAGGATTTTTGGCGTCGCCTGCCATCGGGCCAAGGAGGAATGTTGGCGGGAAGTCGCCATTTGCTGGGAAGAAGCCTGTGGGGATGTCGCCTGGTGTGCGGTTGCCTAGTCCGGGCCGCGAGAGCGAGAGCGACGAGGATGAGTCGGAGGAGGCTGACGATGAGGAAGAGGATGACGAGGAAATGGCGGCGCCACCTATACCATCACCAGCAGCGCCGAAGAGGAAGGCACCCGTGCAGAGGAAGAAGGCTGCGGCGGCGGCCCTCGTGGTTGAGGAGCCGGAGGAATTGGTGTTTCCGGAGCCGATGGCCATTGATGAGCCATCGGAAGAGGAGATCAGCGACGTTGACGAGAGCGATGAGGACGCTCCGCCGCCACCACAGAAGCAGCAGGTGCCGCTTATGGTGGAGGAAGAAGAGGACGACGAAGAGGATGACCTGGCGAAGCTGTTGGAAAAGGAATTGGGTGACGGCGACGGTGATGAGATTATTTTCGATGATGATGGTGAAGTCCGAGGCGGTGGTGCCGCAACAGAGAGCGGGTGGGGTGCGGAGAGCACCTCGGCGGCCACCGGCGGAGGCCCCATCAGTATTGCTGGCATGATGGGCGCTGACGATGATAGTGAGACCAGTGAGGAGGAGTAACCTCCTTGCCTGAGTTTTTATTTACTTTTTTTTTATTAAAAATTCTTCTCCATTTTCACCCATTTTTTTATTTATAAAAGAGTCTTTTTCTATTTGGTTTCTCTTAGTGATATTGGGGGTTTCCTTTCGGTGTTTTCTTTCTCTCTCCTTTTTTCTTATTATTTGGTTCTTTTCTTTAAAGGTTATTTATTTATGTACCCACCCGGGTTGGGTTGGGTTTTGACGGGGCGGGGCCGGCGGGCGCCGGCAGTAGTTACTTGGGACAGGACACGAAAATCTGCAAACAGACCTAGTCATGGCCTATATAGTGGGTTATATGAAAAAATGAACGATCGATGGCTTTCTTGTGTTCTTTTCTTTATTCTATTATTATTATTTGTCGTTTTCTTTTATTCTCTCTTTTGAGATGTATATTAGAAGCTTATATCTTGCCTTGACTATAGGTGATTCAATGAGAGGACATTGATTGATATTATGCTGCTGGCCTGCTTTTGTTCAGGTTGAAGTCGTGATTGGGGATTGGGGGCTGGGGTGAGGTTTTTGATGCCCTGCACCGGATATCACTCGCGTCTGTGCACCAATGGTGTTTAGTTTATCCTCCTCACGCTTTATTATTTATTTCGCTGCTTCCCCTTAGAAATCAGTTCAACCAACAGTGGGCGCGCGGCAAGCGCTGAAAATTGGTGCCTCTATCCGCAGTAGTTTGGGTTATTGTTAGCACACGTTTGGAGACCTGCGTGTAGGTGAAAAAAAAGCTACGGCACCAGACTTCAACCGGTGCGATGCAGATTCTTCTTTTGGGTTAGCTTTTTTTCCCTCTCTTTCCTCTAGTCTCGTGCCCAGCCTGTGTTTGCTTAGATCCATGTATCTACACGCAGTGCGACAACAAAACAGTATGGGAACGAGACTATCTTTTCTCATAACTCCTTTTGATCGTCCCATCCTTTCTTTTTTCCTTGTGATGCAATGACGAATGATGCCTCATGAACAAATTCGGTAGCTAGATGACGAGAACATATCCATGATTCCTCTTCAGTTTAATGTGCCTTCAATTGTCGGTGGCATCTGATCAAATGGCCAGCAATAGTGATAGCCTGGCTATCGCTCTCGATGGCATAACGTTATCTTCCGTGGTAATAAATGTGGGTGTGGATATGTCGCACGAGGATATATCCTCAGTGGTGTCAACACTCAGGAGGCCTCGAGGCCCAGAAAACCACTTCACAGGTCTTTCATCCAAGTTTGGGTTATAAAAGGTCTAGATAAGGACTCTTGACGGCTAATAGGGCAAGATATTATGAAAAGATATTCCCACGGCCTAGAGGGAGCTTTTTGTGGTCCAGACTGGCCGGTATATTTGGTTTGATAACAGATACATGTATATATAACCGAGTGATATCTTGTGATGAGGCTCTGTTGGCTTGGAGTAGTCCCCTTAGGTGATCTATTGTATTATTGATAGTTAGAAACTCACATATTAATACACCTAAACTCTCAGACATTATATTCGCCACGCTCTAGACTCGCTATCTATTATTTATAGAAAAAAGACACAATTAAACCCAATTCGCCCAGTAAAGAACTCCATCCCAAGCACGCTTACCCATTAACGCATTTTCAATAGTGTCTATGTTCTCCCGGCAAGCGTCTCCAGTCTCCCAGCAAGCACCTTATGCTTTGCAACGACGCCGACCCACTCTTCTCCTTCCCCGCCTCCACCTCCACCTCCACCGCCAAAGCACTCAACCACACCCAGCATGGCTCCAAACTCACCGCCCAATCTCCCTAGACTCCCTGCCGCATATAGAACCTGCGTCAACAGGCTCTCCCTGCCAGCTTTATCCTCAACCCCACTGAGATACTCACCCAGCACCCCAGTGAGCAGCCCCACAAGGTGCAAAACAAACGAAGCAAGAGGATCCGGCGGCTGTCCTCCCTCTGGATCATCCTCATCCCTCGCAGAACTCAATGTACTTGATGAGCGCGACCTAAGAGTCTCCGTACGCGAGGTGAATGTAGGCGGCGAGGAGATCGTAGGTGATGCCGATGTAGCAGAAGTCGACTCCGCCGGCAATGAGTTCGGAAAAATGCTCCTGTACATCCCAACAATCGCGAAGCTCTGCTCACGGAACACCTCAATCCAACGCTTAAGGTAGCGTTCTTTCCCAGCCGCACCCGTCGCTAACTCCTTCAATGGCTCAAGGGCATCCAGCAGGCTCGACAGGTATGCAGCGCGGCACACCAGAAATAGGCCTCGTAGCCCGCGTTCGTCAAGAGTCTGTCCGGATGTACACCGGCGCAGGAAACCAATTGTTTTCATTGCTGTAGGAAGTTTCAGGGGGCCGCGAAGCGTTGTGATCAGGTTGGTGACCATAGTTTGTTGGAGGGATGCGCAGGCGGTTGCAACGGAGGCAATAGTAGGTGAGTTGGGGTGGAGCGCGTGTAGACGGCGTACATGCGCGAGAAGATCGAGAGCTGTCGGGTGCGAGGACGACGCAATGAGGGTTTGGAGGTGAGTAGGGAGGTGCAGTATGTCTAGTATGCGGTCAAGGTTGCGGGAGAGTAGATGTGTAGAGGCGCGGGTGGTGAGGTGAGGGCCCTCCCGTGTAAAAGTGGTTGTGAAGTGGGTGATCTGGTCATCAACGGTAGGTAAGGTGGTGGTAAGGGTATCGAGGGAGGCATTCAAGGAGGTAATGGCCCCAGGAACGGAGGAGAGATGGTGCGAGGAGGCGATCAGTTGTTTGTGGGAGCGCGAGGAGAGCTTCTGGAGGTTGAGAGTCAGGCTATGGAGAGAAGCGGAAAGGGACGAGGGTTCGGTTTCGAGTATCGAGGTGAGTGAGAGGGAGCTTAGACGGGGGAGGTAGGTGCTAGACGTGGTGGGGTCTGGCGGGGGTGCCGTAGGCGGCATGTGAGGGAGTAGAAGCTCCAGGAGAGGGTCAGTAGCCGATGTACTTGGTGGAGTCGCCATTGTGGTAGGTGTGAAGCTGTAGAGGGCGCAAGTGATATTCACAGATACCGAGTGCTCAGTGATGTCTGTAACTTCAATTAGATCTTCCGAATAGGTAGGTTGTCGGTGTTGACACCCGTGGCCGTTACCCGGACGAGTAGCGGGGTGAAAGCCTATGTGGTACCTACCTGATCTACTAGACTACATGTAGCCAGCTTCCTGAGCCTGGAGCTTTTGTATGATACGTATACATCTCACCTATATTTATATTATTTTACAATGAGAAATTGGTTTTGAACAGGGACCACAAGTATAAGGCTGAGTCGACTACAGCTTTAATCAATTAAGAGACTTGGAGGCTTTCTGCTTTTTAGTAACGGATAGAACTTATTTATGTTATATAGTACGTCGATAGTTTCGAATACTTGGGTGTAATATCACGAGATGTCTCGCCAGTCTTGGATTATTCGTAGGTTTTATGTGACCGAGTGATATATCATGATTTGTTGGCGTGTACCCCGCTGTCTCGGTCTCCCCCGCTTAGTAAAACCCAAATTTCTGGAACAGAATGGACATCAACACCTGCGTGATACTTTATCTTAGGGCTTTTATAGAGGGAGTAAAAGATATGAAATGAGCGGTCTAGATGAAAAGCTCTTCACATTCTCCCATGATAAGGTTACCTAATAATACCCACCAGCGCCAATTTCCTCCATACACCAATTTTTTATATTTAATCTCTTAGCCCATAGTAATTTCGAAGCTAGGCAAATCCTGCAGACCCATACAATGTACCCGGAGCGTTTGCAGCATGTAGGTAAATGTAGTAGTCTTGGCATTAGCACAACCCCACCAAAAGTGATTCGATCCCAGCTCTAACCCCAACCCACACAACGACCTCACCTCCACAAAAGAAAAGAAACACCCCCCCCTTTCATCACCCTCTATCAATTGCCGGTCTCCCTATTTTGCTTCTGGTGCGAGAAAGCTCAGAGGCCTGAGAGAGAGGTACGGGTGTCCCTTACCCCCCATCAGCAGACTGACCCTCCTCTCCTCCGGTTGGCTACAGACTAATTAAACTTCAGTTATAGTAATACAGTGATTCGCAAGCCCATTGCCCATCATGCCGCAAGCTCCCCTCGCGCCAAAAGACGCAGGTCTTTTCCGACAAGTTCTCAAATGTTATGAAACCAAGCAATACAAGAAGGGCCTCAAAGCCGCCGAAGTCCTCCCCCTCCTTTCCTCGAGCACGCGCACACCAAAACTAACCCCCCTTAGCAAATTCTCAAACGCAACCCACATCATGGTGAAACGCTCGCCATGAAAGGTCTAATCACCAACTCCCTCGGCCGCACAACCGAAGCCTTCGCTATCGCCAAAGAGGCCCTGAAACAGGACATGAAATCACACGTTTGCTGGCACGTCTACGGTCTTCTCTACCGGTCTACTAAGAACTTTGAGGAGTCCATAAAGGCCTATAAAATGGCGCTGCGCTTCGAGCCAGAGTCTCAACAGATCCTACGCGACCTTGCACTCCTCCAGATTCAGATGCGCGACTATGTGGGGTACATTGAATCGCGGCGGCAGATCTTGCAGGGGAGACCACAGCTCCGGCAGAATTGGACCGGTCTGGCGATTGCGCAGCATTTGGCAGGGAGCTATGCGGAAGCTGAAAATGTCATGGTCAAATTTGAGGAAACGCTGAAGGTGCCTGTAGGAAAGGGCGATGTGGAGCATAGTGAAGCAGGACTATACAAGAATATGATTATTGCGGAATCCGGAGATATTGAGCGGGCACTAACGGACCTTGAGAAGATTTCAAAGACTACATTGGACAAGATCTCAGTGTTAGAAAAGCGGGCCGAGTATCTGCTGAAGCTTGAGAGGAAAGAGGAGGCCGTGACAGCTTATAAAGTGCTATTACAGAGGAATGCGGAAAAAAGGGTGTACTACCAGGGTCTAGAGAAGGCTATGGGATGTGAGGAAGATACAGCCGCACGAAAAGCGCTGTATGCCGAATATGCGGAGAAAAACCAAAGGAGCGATGCACCCAGGCGGATCCCTCTGGATTTCTTAAGCGGTGATGAGTTTAGGGAGGCCGCGGATGCTTATCTGACGAAGCTACTCAAGAAGGGTGTGCCATCGACTTTTGCGAATGTTAAGGCCCTCTATGCTGATGCTGAGAAGCGTGCGACCATTCTCGAGCTCGTCCAAGGATACGCTGCATCGCTTGAGAATGAGGAGCCACAGGTAGTCGAAACTCCTACCAACGGAGATGCGAATGGTAACGAACCAGCAAAGGCTACTAAACCGAGCGAATTCAAGCTATGGACTCTCTATTTCCTAGGCCAGCATTACGACCATTATCGCACACGTAACACAGAAAGGTCGCTGGAATACATCAACAAAGCCCTCGAACTTAAACCCGAGCAGGTAGAACTCCACATGACACTTGCACGTATTTATAAACATGCCGGAAATCTGCAAAAAGCCATGGAGAAGATGAACGAGGCCCGTAATTTCGACAAAAAGGACCGCTACATCAACACCAAATGCTCTAAGTACCAACTCCGCAATGACCACAACGAGGAGGCCCTCGAGACCATGAGTCTGTTTACAAGAGTACACTCCTAAACCTCCCAGAACTTTGTAGAAAACTGACAGGAAAACTAACCATCATTTCGTAGAACGATGCACATGGCGGTCCCCTCGGCGATCTCCTCGAAATGCAATGCGTTTGGTTTATCACCGAAGATGGTGAATCCTACCTCCGCCAGGGCAAGTTCGGCCTGGCTTTGAAACGCTTCCACGCCATTTTAAAGATTTTCGAGGACTGGACAGACGACCAGTTCGATTTCCATAGCTTCTCGCTCCGGAAAGGACAGATCCGCTCATATATTGAGATGCTCCGATGGGAAGACTCCCTGCGCTCCCACCCCTTCTTCTCGCGTGCCGCACTCGGAGCCATTAAGGCCTATATAATGCTCTCCGACAGACCCCACCTCGCACATTCGTCCCTCTCTAATGGTAACAATGAGAACGTTGACTTCGAGGGTCTCTCCACTGCAGACCGCAAGAAGGCCCTTAAGAAAGCCAAACGCGAGGCCCAAAAGGCACAGGAAAGAGCCGTCGAGGCCGCTGCCAAAGCAAAAGAAGAAAAGGCCAAAAACGCTCAGGTTGCCAATCTCGACGAGGAGAAGAAGAAAGATGATACCGACCCCTTGGGAACAGAGCTTGCACAAACTAAAGAGCCCCTAGAAGCTGCTCTAAAATTTTTGAACCCACTGCTTGAGTTCTCACCAGGCAAGCTGGAGGTTCAAACGAGTGGCTTTGAGATCCACTCCAGGCGGAAGAAGTGGCTGCTGGCAGTAAAGTGCCTCCGTGCCGCGCAGAAACTTGACCCCGAGAGTCCTGTAGTACACGAGCAGATCATACGCTTCCGAACCATGGTCTCAAAACTTTCTGACGAGGATATCAAAGCCCCGTCCAAGGAAGTACTCATCTCAACGCTTGAGGAGATTCTCCCCGCAGCTACCGACCTTACTGCCTACAATGTCGAGTTTTCGGCTAAGCATTCTCAGAGCGCTCCTCATATCCGTGGAGGTACCTTTCCACTTCCCTGTTCTTTGCTACCCGCCCACTAATACACGATAGCACTACGAGCCCGCAGTTTTTTGAGCGCTGGTGCACCCACTACACCGCTGCTTAATGCGCTGGACCAAGAGGGAATATCTCTTTATGATGTTCTGCAGGGACAGTCACTGCTCCAGGAACTGAAGGCTCCGGAAGAGAAGATTAAGGAATATAACCAGAAGGCTGCTGCGAAGTTCCCGGACGCAGTGGTATTCAAAGAGAAGGCTGGGGCGGAATAAAAAGATTAGATATTTTCAAAGAAGAAAAGAATATAGCCATCAGTTAAAAGTCAGGGTTTGTGGTTTGGCTAGGTTTGGAAAAGAAAATTGCATGTATATTTTTTCTTTCCTTTCTTCCCGTCTGAATAGTGAATTTTAGTTCAGCAAAAGGTAGTCTGGGGTTTTAGAAAAAAGGATTTAAATTTATTGGGGGAATTCCAAGGGCAAAAAGTTTCCTTTTCTTTTGTAAGCTGGAGGGTGATAAGAATGGAAAAGATGGTTTGAACTATTTTTAGTATGTTATACCCCATTTAATTGAGTAGAATACCCTTGAATCAAACCCTGGGTCAACAAATGAGTGTAGAACATTTTAAATATATGGCTAGCGCCCTGTACCTGGTGGAACTCTTCCCGTAAGAACTAAGTTATTGTTGATCGAAATATATAGGATGACGCCGAGGACCCAAAGTCGTTTTACACCCGCCATAGTTACGTACATGTAGGTATATTATGATATTGTTTTTCTTGTCGTGGGGCATTCTCATGATCAGTGTATCGACGAGTCCAGTCTAAACCTGACTATAATCTTATCCTGGTTCAAATACCTAAAGCTACAAGTAGTCAAGTTCTTGCCTCTGTGTCGATCTACCCTAGTCCCGTGGTCAAGCAAGAGTCAAGATTTTTGATATATTAGATTCCATGAACGTAATCTATATAAACGAAAACTTAATAGGGTAACTGATAGGCCTTTATTGAAGACACGACAAACAAGAGTACCCATATTTTCACCCACTATTAGAACAAGAAGAACATCAAATAGAAACGATAATAATACAGCGCACCCAGAACATTGCTGTCACTGAATATTATAAGGCTATTATAGAATGACCTAGTCGGCAAGGACGCAAATTAGAATACTCGCGATTAAGAGAAACATGGGTTTCGGAGGACTTACATGGCATATGCTATCACAATTCTGACAATAATTTGTCACATGTGGCTGGGGTACATTGTATAAGATAGGCCCGGGACTATAACGAGATTCCACTCGCACCTGCAAATGATTTTGGCCTTGATGAGTGGAGTGGCCTCTCACAACAATACTCGTGGGAAGCTGGCCCTGAGTTTGGATCTGAGCTCGACGCCGAGTAGACTGGGCATGAGCTAAGGAAGTCTGAGCATGAGTTAGGGAAGTTTGAGCATGAGTTAAAGTAGTATGAGCCCGAGCCAGAGCAGTATGAGCCTGAACCTCAACAATTTGAGCCCGGGTTCTATCAATCCGAGCCTGAGCCTGCGCATGGGGTTGCTGCAGCAGCTCGGAGTTTCCGGTGGGTGTATACCCTCTTGGGAGGATCGCATGGACTACAACCTGTTGTCCATTCTGTCTCTGGTATTGCTGGCCCCCATGGGTAATGGAGATATGAGATCCTTGGGGTAGCACAAAAGTTCCTATCTGTTGAACAGCACCCGCTAGTACCAGGCCTTGATCTGAGGGAAATGGGTGTATCTCATCAAGTGCATGCTCATGAGAGTGGTGGATTTCCGTGATAGGCATTTTGGTGGTTATAGTTTGATATGACTTTATGGGTAAAGACGATAGGCCTTTTTTTAAAAAAGTAGTTATATATATGTCAAGTTTTAGATTGGCGTAGCAGATAGAGAGGGCGTGGGGGAAAAAAAGTGTGTGGTAATTCTGGTGGCTATTTATTGCTTTCTTCGTGATACCTGATGACTTCATGAATAGAAATGGGTTTTAATCACGGGGGCCTCTAGCTCTATACTCTCTCTATATGTTCTCAATTGTAAATCTAATCGAAGAGTAATTTCAATTTAATAGTGTATGAATCAAACCCTTCTATACACTCATGTTGTTACTGTTCACAAAAACACTATCTTAATGCTGTATAACTTGATCTATTTACCGTATAATAAGAGGCCTAAGGCAGTCACTAATATACACGACAGGAATCCGGAACTGATCCTACACTTCTTTAAGGATGCTGCTTTAGACTACATGTAATAATTCCTCAGTTAGCAATGCTACGCCATTGGTTCAGCATACTTTATGCAATTAGTATCACTAACCCCACAACTTAAAACCCGATAGCCCGTAGTATGGTTTACTAATGACAAGTTAAAAACAAACACTAGCACAGTATTGCCATAACTGTAAGGTTACATGCAATTAATGAGCTAAACAAAAAAAAAAAAAAAAAAAAAAAAACACTAGCACAGTTTATCAGACAGCCGAGTGACAATTTATGACCCTTGCATTTTTAGTAAGGATTGGCGGCGGCGGCCCAACCACACATGTATGTACGCAACGACGTCGCCTCTCGGTTACGGGGGTCAATGATACCCCAGGCAATAACGGTTAACCGCTCAATGTGGTTAGTGTGGTTTCTTGGGAGTGTTATTTCCACACGTTGAAGAATTGAATCATAGACTTGGTATTGAACAAACCACAAAAACGTAATTGAACTACCAAGGAAAACAGCTTCATGCCGTAAAGTTACTAAAACCAGCTCTCGTTCTAAAACAATCTACCATAAAGAAACTCATTACACGTACAGGCCTGCTTGATAGAAAGTCTAAGCTTTGCCCTTACCTTTGCCTTTTCCGAAGTCATTATCATCATCTTCAGCCAATGCCTCCATGATTTCCTTCCTTTCCTCCTCTTCCATCAAACTCAAACGAATTGCCATCTCTATCTCGTTCTCAAAATCTTCCTCTTCCTTGTCGTTGCTCTGATACTTCCCTTTTCCTTTCCCAACAATCGGTCGACCGTCTATTTTATCTAAGGGAAGTCGTTCCCATCCCCGGCTTTTCGAAGTGGACATAAGAGAAGAATGCAATCTTGTTGAGTTGCTATTTTCCGGTCTAGAGGAGGATGAAGATGCTCCTGAATAGGGATAGGGTGAGTAGTGACTAGTAGAGCGGTTGGTGCTTGAACCGAAGTCTGAATAAAGGTAATCGGCATCTTCCCATACCCCATCCTTTGGTTTAGAGCTTCCGCCATCTTCAGGGTTATTTTCCAGGAGGCTTAACCTCAAGGCCTCTGCCAAATCCATATCCACATCTTCATGACCATCTTCCGTTGGAGTCTTGTATTCGTCCGCAGTGCTATAGCTGCTCACCGCATCAGGAGTGACAGTTCTGCTGCTCGTAACGCTCTCCCCCAAACCTATAGGAGCTGAGCCGTTTTCACGCTCGAACGTTTCACGACTAATCATTGTTGCGTATTCGACCATTTCCTCTTCACTTAAAGCTGCCCTGCCACTAGCTATACCATAACGGTTCTTTAAGTCCTCTTTTTCTTTGCGCTCCCGTTCCTTCTGTCTGAGGAGATGTTTCGTTTCCGATTCAATTACTGCCTTTATCGCGCCATTGCCTCTAGAAGGTGCTCCACCAGCTCTAGACCTCGTGCCTTGTTTACGTCGTTTTCTTTCTCCTTCTACGGCTGGTGATGAAAAGCTCCAATAGCGGATGTGGGTACCAAGAGCTACTGCTCCACGAAGAGATGTCGCATCCGGATCGAGAATGATGCATCGTGCGGCAAACTGGTTATCTCCAATACCAAACTCATCTTGAACGCCGGCATCAGCCTGGGCCAATCTACGTCTGGCGCGCAACGTAAACCGAGAATGAATATCGCGTATCCGTGAAAGTGTAGAACCTAGAGGATCCCAAGCCTGGACCAAACCGTCTGTACCACCATGGACCAAATATAGTGACGAGAGCGCCAGACTTGCTATCTGAGGAGAATCGGTGTGTATAACTCTTAACGGTCCATAAACTCCAACACCCGCAACATCCGGGAGTACAGGACTACGAATATTCCAGAGGAAAATAGACCCCATAGAAGTACCGACAGCGAATAGCCTAGCATTTCCTCCGGGCACGTCCGCATCCGTTCCGGGTTCTTCGCGATCGGATAGAAGTGCGAGATTAGAGTTATCCATTGCCGTGGCTGTGATAATATGAAACCCTTTTCCTCCAAGTTCGAGTTGTGTAGCGATCCACCTATCCGTGATGTCCGCAGTCGAATTCGAACTGCTTCCCATTTTAATTTTATTTATAATTTTCTCGGCCGAATCTTCAACATATCCTCCGAAAAGAGAGTTTTCCGAGGCGTCGATCTCCTCCGTGGGACTTATTACCAGTAGTCCATGAACAAAATCACTCTTGGCCCCAGAACGTGATGTGCGGGGAGCTAAATGATACCTATACAGAACCGACTCTGTTACATCATCCTGGGGCCGAGGTCGCCTCTCCATGCTCTGCTTTTTCCCCAAGACTACACTTTGATCTGGCCAGTCCACCTCAATGAACCAATCCATTCCCCAACCTTCCCATATTTCCTTAATCTCTCCATAACTCATTTTCATCAATCTTTCATTCCTTTCCTTTCCCCATTCGGCCTGCTGATCTTTTGTCGGGGACATTATGGGCATCGGGAAAGTTGAGTTGCACAAAACGGTTGTGGTTCGTGCTGTTTGTGGTATTATTTTCCAGATGTCAACTAAGTCCTTAAGGTAGTACACCTCGCCGAGAGCATTAACGACCGCAATCCAGAAATTCTTTTGTTTCATCCTCTTGATTGAATAATCGTCATCCACCTTTATCGATACAATTGGGATGCCGGGAGAAACAACGAATTTCTTGGCGCGTGTCAAACCGTTCTCCTTCCCGAAGCTTAACCCATAGATTGATACGACACCCCGGCTGTTACCAACCACAACCCCCGCACGCCCTTGGGTTGTCTCGAGTACTCCACCCGAACGTCTTTTCGCAATCCAAAGAGCCGTCACAGCAGGACGAAAACCATCAATCTTCTCGTGCTCGGGTCGAATATACAGCCCAGGCGGTGACGCAGCTATATATGGCGATGTATATGGGTGGATATAAACTTTTCCATCCGGTACATTTTCGCCATAAATCCAGCCAATATCCTCTGAAAGATCCATCACTCCGGATGTCCCCATATCCGTTGCTACCTCAAAACCATAAAGCCCTAGCAAAGGTTGGTGGAGGTCGGGCCTTTCCTGAGTGCGTAAGGAAGCCTCCGCTATCGGAGGTCTCTCTATCCTGCCTTTATCAAAATTAGCGAGAGGGGCAAGACACCTGCAGATCATATGTCTTACCAATCGTGGGGTCACTCGCACTAACAACTCCGGGAGTATGAACAGATGCGTGCAATAGCCTAACACCTCTCGGCGTGAAACTGGCTGTTATATGACTTACGCTCCATGCTGCCGCAGGATACGTGATGATAATGCTTCCATGAGAATTCTGATTTGTAGGGCTCGATGCACTTGTAGCAAGGGATGCCTTTCCTTTGCTTAGACTTCGCAAGAGACGTGTGCGCAGGATGTATTCTCTTCTCCATGAATTAATGCCATTATCCGATGCGGATAGACGTGTAAAATGACGCCTATCTTGGGAAGAGGACAAGGCGGGGGATTCGTATATATCACTGGATGATTTATCGAAAATTATAGAAGGAAAGTAACGAGAGAATGCAGATCGCCACGCATCTGGTGAAGTTACGAGAGAATAGAATCGCCGCGATATAAGAGCGGCGGTTAAAAGTGTTTGCGGATCGAGAAAAGATAGTGCATGGATCAAGATCTCTGAATAATAAAGATGTCAGATAAGGTCTTTTGGTTATCGTACATTTTTATTTTAGGAACTGTAATAATACCATTAGGAAACTTGGAGATCGGGCTATCTCTCCTTCCGTCCCAGTTTGTCTTCTTGATACGAAAGGCCGTCTCCGTTGTGGGAAAAACACCCATTTCCTCATACTTTCGGATAGCATCTTTCTTAGAGGGATATTCGCTGCCTCCATCGTCCCGAGGTAGGCCCTCTACCGAGCTGCCTTCGGGTGCGTTCAACCGAGACGTTCGCTCAGGAAACCCCTCCCCCGAGGCAGCATCGTCAATGACGCCACCTGAACCAACAACTGCCTGGGGATCAACGCGGATGGGATGTTCTGTTGATACCGAGACCGGAAAGCCATGTTGAGCTGTTTGGTTATGGATAACTGAGGTTGGCTGGATGATGGCTGTATCAGAGGATCCGTTGATAATATCGGGGTGCATAAAACGGGGAATTCAGGAACCGGGGGAAACAGTAAAAGAAAATCGACCTTTTACAAGGAAGTCGATATTTCAAAGGATCAAGCGAAACAAATCACTTGATGGGTTTGGGAAGCGATAGGGTAGTTGAACTAAATCTCTAATGAAAGGAGGCAGCACGGTAATGTTAATGGTGAGAATGTCTTTTTAGAAGCTGTTTGAGGTTGCACAAAGAGGAGATGAGACGAAGGGCTGATGAAATTTATGCTTGTAAGCGAATTTTACATCCCCGAGTCTGCAATTTGTAACTTTAGTTTGAACTGCCAAACAACCTGAATTGCCACACGCCATGAACAGAGTCGAAATTAAGCAGAGCCCGGTGGATGCTGTCAAGGTGGGTGCGTGTAATGGACGTGTCAAGACAACTTTTTTATTATTGTGGCTGATGATTTTTCATTTATTTCCATCCTCTCTCTCTATTTATAGCTGTGAAAAACATTGTAGCTGTGGAAATAAATGTCTGCTCCCTATGGCTTCAACTCCATAATGAAACCATAGTTCACTAGAGATAGTTCTAGAAAGTGAGATAAAGTGAAATAAAGAATATAATTCCAAAGGAAAATTGCATGATAAAGAAAATAAAGAAACGGAAAACCGGACCCTATGAGTCAGCTTTCTGCCGATGGGAACCTTGTTCCAGCAGACGCTTCACTAATATTATGCAACCAATCCCTTCTCATCTCTCCGATCGCTTCGATGACTGGACGACCTGGATCATACATTCTCACTCGACGCTGTGCTGTGACTGCAATTCACAATTCAGCCGGTCGACGTAAGCCACACCCCCATCCTTGCACATCAACGGGATGCAGGCTCTGCTCAGGCTAGCTAGTAAAACACGATGTCACACAGCCCTAGAGATGGAGATGTTAATCCTGACTCCTGGGGCGCCCCGTAGCTGGCATTTGCGATCCAACGGAAATCAAGTCTGGTACCTACCCGCCCCAGTACTCTGCAGCACGTTCCAGCAGCAAAGAGAAATGATATGCGTGCCTGCCTGCCTGCATGCCTACCTACATGTATGTACTTGCAACACTCATGTCTTCCCCGCGAAATCCCCCCCGGAATATACACCGGGCAAAGCTAGGTACATGCCTACATAGATGTCTACTGTGTGTTTTTGTTACTTTACATAGATACTTCATACTCGTAATTATTGTCCACCCTCGTCAACTCACTAGGAGAGGGAGCCTTTTATTTACCTCTTCTCCAATCTGAGGCAAATCCCGAGACAGGACCCTTTCGTTAATCGAAGCGTGCTTTCCACGTGTGTGCGTGTTAATAATTGATTTTCCCTTTTACATTCCCGAGCAGGTGGGCGGCGAATTAAGTAACACAAGCGGGGAAGATGTGTTTCAGGGTGCGAGGAAACTACTCCACAAGATTGCTACGTTGCCATGGAACTACATGTATCTACGCCAGTCGAGGCGCCGCACCGTATGTACCCTCCTACCTCCATGTTCGTGCTTCCAGAATTGCCGGAAGATGGCCGGTTTATGCAATTACTGAGCCGGCTCCGTACTTCTTCGTTACCTGAATACATGTACACACACTTATTTACCCCCGGGATACTAATTGCTGCTTGCCCCTTGTGTGAGATGTTGGAGAGATGTTGGAGAAGGGTATGTCCTACCCAGGTATACATGTACTACTAGTCGTCGTTTTTTGGCGTCTTTAAGGAACCTCATCGCTCACCCCCCTCCCTACTCCAAAACCACCAGAACACGTCTACCTAGAGTACATAGCTGTGCTGTCTATGTGACGATCATTCTTGTGCCGCGAGCTCTTTACCTACGTCTTTTTGGAGCCCGTGCAATTCCCACTTTCCCGGAACCAGCTTTGTCCTCCAAGCGGCCTACCCCGAAATATCAACTTCGGTGTGGTAATTCCACCTGCTCACAGAATTTAAAAGCTAGACATCCCCACGCACACCTGAATCTTGCCCCACCACCGAGGTTTTCACGGGACTTTTAGATACATAGAGGAGCAAGGAGATAAAGTGGGTGTCCGAGCTTACAGCACATACGGCGTACATTTACATACAGCCAATCTCTGGGACGTTGACACGCCATTCCGCCTTTCGAAGATCGCAGCGCCCAACATACGCTGGTAACAAAGAATTCCGCACGCCTCTTGGCCAATTCCAAGTCACCGCCATAAACGGTGGTCCCCGTCAAAAACGCTTGGGTCCGATTCGATCGCTAAAACCCAAATATACGATTCAAATCCCATCCCAACAATACATTCCCTGTCTTACTTAGGCTCCGTCGAGCTGGATCCCGTCGCCGCGGGTGTCGTCGTGTGTGGAATCGAACCAGCATTCGCCGTCTATAGTTAGGCCGTTTTGTTGACCCCCTTGACTTCCCTCAACCAAGGAAAAGCCTCCGCTGTGCCGCTGCCACAGGGCTCTTTGGGTGCGGCAGATTGATTAAAGATCAGCTACGGCTATCAAGGACCCACCCATTTTGAAATATATATATCTCCAGGCAGTCTCCCATGGAAGGTGGATTTATGGATTTATACGTCCCACCTTACGGGCCTCCTTCTGCATTCATGAGCACTTACGGTTCCTCGTCGTCTCACGACCATCCCACCTCACCTACGAGCACAAAAAAAGCCAGTCAGGTGTCCTTGCCAAAGCCTCCAACTTTTGCATCACGGCATGGTCGACGATTTCATGGCGATGAATCAATACCTTATTACTTGCCCTGTGATGTACAAGAACTGAGCCGACAGTCTTTATTCCATGAGGTCCAACGTGAAGTATATGGGGGGTTATATTGCGCAGAATTTAGCGATAATAACATTCCGTGCAAAGTTCTAGAGCTTTGCTGTGGTACAGCGATATGGAGTGCAAGTGTGGCAGATGAATTTGCAGCCCGGGGAAGACCAGACGTTCAGTTCGTTGGTTTAGATATTGTTCCGGTGCACGCGGATATGAAGGGAGTCAACTTTACATTCGTCAAGCATAATTTTCAAGTGTTACCACTTCCTTTTGCAGACGGAGAGTTTGATTACGTCTTTGGCCGGGAAATTTCAATGGCCACACCCATTAGTGATGCAAAGCAGATGACTGAGTGTGTACGAATCCTCAAACCAGGGGGGACCCTTGAGATTCAGTGTTGTATGTGTCCCGACTTCCTAATGCCGGAAGTCATTTATTGATATAGTTTATTTAAATAGCGGATTATTCCATTCGATCGCTACAGCGATCCCATATTACCTCCTATACTCCTGGTTCCAGTGCATACACGATGGTACCAACCACCCAATTTGCGAGCACCGCCGAAAACGCATACATCCACGCCTGGAACGAGCGGATAACAAAGATGCTGACGAAGAACAATCTATCGCCGGTGCCCTGTACACTTATCGGCCCTCAACTTTTGATGGAAGAGGAAATCGTAGGATTGCAATCGAAACGGGTAGCTCTACCGCTAGACGAGATATGGTGGGAAAGTCCCAACTCGGATTCAAAAGCACCGCATCTCACACGGGAGAAACGGATCAGCGCGGATGCTGCCAGCATCGAAAGTAGATCCGGAATTAACCGAAAAAGTAGTCAGTCGGCCACACGGCGTTCTTCGACATCTTCAGGATCCCTTCAGTCGCCATTGACTGCCTCAGAAAAAGCTGTAAGAAATCTGGCAAAATTGACGTTTGCCCAATTAATTGAGTCACTTGAGCCTGTACTACGAGAAACAAACGGAATCCGGCAGGATGACTGGGATAATTGGTACAAAGAGCTCATGGTTGATTTCTTTGAAAATGGAGGACTGACGGGAGGGGAGTGTATGGAATTTGGGGCCTGGTGGGGAGTAAAATCAAAGTCGAGCTAGCTCGCCGACATTTGCCTTATTTTCTGCGGGAGAATGGTGTTTTTTTTCTTTTTTTTTTTTTTATTGATATCCATTTTATTGTTGAAATTGGAAGCGTGTTTTTGGAAGGATTGGGCGGCGGGTTTGTTTTGGGGATTTTTTTACCTTTTGATGCTTAATGTTAGCGATGTTAGTTTGGTATCTTTGTTTGGTGGGTTGGGTTGAACCGCCAGCAAAGAGTCTTGGTAGGAATAAAGGAAGCAAATTGGAGGAGAAAAGTTTTTCCGGTGTCCGGCAGGTGGTGGTCTTTCTTTTGCGGTCGTGGCTACATGTAGCAAGGGGCGTTAATCTGAGCTTATTTTTTTCTTTCTCGCACCCTCTGGGCAACGCAGTTACCCTAAACATATGTATTTAGCGCTTTCTAATCGAAGGATTACTCGAATGAAGAAAAGAACTTCTTTAAGCAGTTTTTATTTTGGCTAATTTTTCGTTCTGGATCGCATAAATGTTAGCTACATGTATGTACATGTATGTACCTACACTCACACACACAGCTCTAAGCTAATCCCGCACAGTCCAACACGCCAGTGTCGCCTGTTGTCAGATCATTTCATCGACATTTATTTTTTCCCATGGATTCACACCTATCTACTCTACTCTAGGTAATTTCTCAAGGGGAAGGTGACAGCTTTGAGACTCCCCGATCGAATTTGTTTTGGTTCGTTTGACGGTTAATAGGCACATTTTCCAGGCATTTAAGGTCGACCCCTGGATCGGGAATGGCGTTGGAAGCTTACCGTGAGGAGATTAGACCAGGACTTGAACCCTGGGGTAATCCTAGATTGACAATCTACCATGTAGAGTACATAGAGAGTATGTATCCACATGTATGTAACTGAGTACGAAGATGCACCATTGAGGCGTTGGGGCATGACTACCAAACACATGGGAATGTGAAGCAACGAATGCTAGGCGGTATTCGCTGGTGATCTATTGGAGCGGAGAAGTGAACTGGATAATGCGTGCTTATTGGATGAAGGTTAAATAAAGATTATCGGGGCAGCCGTAGATACGGCAGAGTTTTCTGCAGTTCTGCGTGTAGAGAAGAGTATGTAGAGATCCCTAGGCTTGCAATTGGTAGCACACTTTCACTGCTATCCACTCGTTCTCTTAATCACCCCCATGGAAAATTTCGGGCTTTACTTCCTTGCCAAAACTCAAACTGCGGAGGCTATCCGCTGGTAAGCATAAGCCATATCTCAGAATAGGTACTAACTAATTTCACATCGTGACGACTTATGCTAGCAGCCGGTTCAATTCAGAAACAGGGCCATGAAGTTTTTTTGCACGGCGAAGGTATGTAGGAGGGTTCAAACTGACTTTGTGGCTTAAACGAAACTACTGGTAGGCGGCGTCCTTCGTCATCTGAGATCGGTTTTACTTTTAACTGCTGGTGGGTATCCTTACTGGCGGATGACACAGGTCTCAGAGTTTGTGTCGGATTTCAGAAAGCGGGAAACTCCGTCCATCCAATCCTGACATCCTGGCCCACAAGGTCACCAGAATAGGAATAGCAGTCTTGAATTAGGTGAACTGGTCTTGGTGCAGGTTTAGACGATTGTTTAATGTTTAGGGAGGTTCGGGGGTGTTTGGATCGCGGAGGGTTGTTCAGCTGGTAGAAGGTCGGCCACAAATCCCCACTTTCGCTACGATTGTCTAGAGCGAGTGATTGCTTATGATTTACTAAACTAAACATGTTCGCTCAATCCCACTGGGCAGTTGGTGTCACAGGGTTAGAGATCGCGCTCACCTGCATACCCATAAATTCCATCCTCTGTACCATCTATCCGATATTTCTCTCTGTATCCTGCAGATTATTACGCGGTTGTTGTACTCTACTGCAGTTGCAATTGCCTACAACACAACATGCAAGCGTTGGGTACATGTTATGATTGAGGATCTTCATGTAACGTGGGGATGAGATCACCAAGGCCTAGGGCCAACCGTAGGGTTGGTTCGTGGGACAGCCTGTCCGCCTTCTGCTAGCGCAATCTGAAACTACATACATGGCATGCAGTTAATGTATTGCCTAATATGCGTCGTTATCAACAACCATCAATCAACGTTGAATGTAATGAGCTCGTGATGCTCTAGCTCATCATTCTCGCAACAAGAAAAACAGGATTCTGGGTTGAATTGGAAAAGCCTTCAGAACTTAATTATCTGTCGGATAAAACTGACATAGGGTACAATGTCCCTCGCCGGAAACCATCTGCAGGTGATTCAAGGCATAGCTAAAATTCATTAGCTTACTTATACTAACGGACCAATATTTCTCTGTAGATGATAATTAAGCTCCAAAAGCAAATAAAATAAAAATACGTGCTTCAACCTATGTAGAGTAACGTGAGTTGGATTGGTTTAAAACGGCGCTGCCTCGGTTTCTAGAGGCATTGTCCACTGGGTGACCTTTCCCGCAGTGCAGAAATACTCGGGTACAAGGGTTAGAACCAGAACATGCAATGAGGTTATTTGTATGGCAGAGCGGCGCCACTCCATACAAATAATCCCTGTTTTTTCACTTGCATGTTCTGGTTCTTATTGCTACACCCGGGTATACATGCATGCACATATGTTTTGCATTTCAGTTACTACTACCTCATTGGGGGAGGGAACTTTAGGGACTTTACCTGAGTTATGCAGACTCTTTTCACCGAGTGATATCAAATGACTTTGGGACCTTCCTGCACTTCAATCCAGATCGAGGTGATTACTCATCTGCGCCTTTCGGCAGTGATAGTCGCAATATATAGCACAGTCATCTTCATGCAGAATAGCCTCGGATTCCGCTTGAGTCCATTAGGAGGTAACGTAATGCCTCAGCTAAGTGCTCAAGGCGCTTGGGATGCGTCTGTATCACCGAGGGCGATTGCTTGACTACGGTTACTTTCTCAATATCTAGAGTGAGTTGTTCACAACTTGCCTAACCCATCGTGATTAGGGGAGTACGAGTTTGAATTGTGCTGGTAGCATCATGGCTTATACTTACGACCGATATCTCGATGGTTAAGAAAGAGAGAAATGCGTCATCGTATAAACCTTGAGCACATAGAGATAATCCATTAGAAAGCGTTACCCCGCAGTCTACATTGATCTTTTATTAATCACTTTATCACACTCCGCTTTTACTTTGAGTTATTTACATTGGATAAATCATGAGGGTGGCATAGCTCCGCCTTAAGGAAGGTTTATTCTCTAGATAATTCATATATATAGGCGGGGAAGTATACCAGTCTCGTGCCCAGCTTGTGTGATTGCAGTATAACTTTATAGAACGAAGAACGAATTGGCAAAAACCTAGGCATGAGACTAAAGGTATACTTAATATGCCCTACAAGGCTGCGCGATTTCATGGCCTTGTCTCAAAGTTCGATAGAAGTTTACGTAGTGATGATGAGGAACGTGTAAATTCAGAAACGGTTGCATGTGAATGGATTTGTTGCCTTGCAGATGGCTATCATCAATCTCAGAGGAATTAATACTATAGCTCGTGACCCCATAAAGTCTCGTTATCTCCGAACTTATATAGTAATGCCGAGTGAGATATCAGTTGTAGAGATACACCTAGAGAGTATAAAAGGGTATGTCAGGTTTTACTCCCCCTGCATACTCTTACACTTCCACCTGATCGATATTTAGTCGACATCTCTTGTTTTTTTTTTAGGCAACCTTGGTAGCTTGACACACCGAGTGATACCTTGTGAGTAAAATTCATCCTGCCTTCTAAAGTTACAATCCCATAGTTAAGGGGATTAACTATATTTGTACCCGAACTCTTCTATGCGTTCTATTGGTTCATCAAAGTATATTTACAACCCACCTGTTGTACCTACATGTACATGTACCTACGTACATTACATAATCAGAGTAAAAAAAGTTATATTCAGGATTCCCGTAGAAACGATGCCTGTTTGTTCGTTTCGTGATGACTTGAGATAAGTATTGAACCAAGATATTAAACTTCAAATATTTATAGACAGGTCCAAGAAGTGGCTGAATCAGTCAATCAACTGCCATAAAGGTATCATGTAGCAGGAAGACCGAGTGACAAATCATGATCAAAATACGAATTACATCAAGGTATTTTTAGGTTGAAGAAAAGGTTTCTGGGGGGAGGGGAGGGATGATTTAAACTACCTTATAGGGACTTGATATCTCTACGAGATACACTCAGGTATTTAACTATTATAATACACTATAGACTGCCAAGTACTTTACATACTAGTAAATACCTCTAACGAGACCGCCAAGAAAAATTCCAGAGCCTCATTCCACTAGATATCGCACTTTAACCACCACTCCACGCATCAGAAAAGGCCAGCCCCACAGCACCTCGAACAAAGCAATGGAGTCACCAGCGCCCGCACCAGCACTATCATTCCCCCCACAGACCTTCCAGAAGCTCTCACCCTCCTCATACCTTCTGCGCCATCTCCAAGCGACCCCACCAACCCGACCCTCTGGCAGATCCCCGAGTGCATTCCGCGAACCAACAGTGCACACAAACTCATTATCCCATGCGCACGGGTCGGCGGTAGTAAGGACGGGAGATACAGCGGTAGTATGTGGTGTGCGCGCTGAAATTCTGAGTCTCAAGTATGGAGATGGAAAGTCTCAAGGAAGGGTCACGGTCTTGAGGAGTAACGAGGACGAGGAGTTGATGAACGACGAAGAGGACGGTGGTGAGGGCGAGCTTAGATCAAGGAACCTGATTGTAACAAATCTGGAATTGGGTATTTAGTAACCTTCTTGTGCGCAACGAAGCCAATAACTAACAAGAACAGGCACTGGCTGCTCCCGCGACTACCACCCCGGACCCCCCTCAGACTTTGCGCAGACGACCACCTCACGCCTCCACCGCCTCATCTTGTCATCTACTTCCTCGTTAATCTCGCCATCCTCCCTCCGCATTATACACGATGACGAGATCAAAGCCTATTGGGTCCTATACATTGACGTTCTCTGCATCTCCCTCGACGGCAATGTCTTAGACACTGCCTGGGCCTCAATTATTGCCGCCCTACGCTCCACACGACTACCTCGCGCATTCTGGGATGCCGACTCAGAGAGTGTCTTGTGTGATCCTGAAATGAAGCTAGGGCTACAGTTGGGACCGTTGTGCTTTACGGCAAGTTTTGGCGTTGTGAGCACGGGCGCAGAAGAAGATGGCGAAGAGCAAGATGGGAGCAAAGTCGTGATCCTATCGGATCCTGACGAGTTTGAGGAGGGCGTGTGTGAAGAGGCCGTGATGATCTGTATCAGGGAGGGAGGTACCATTGCAAGAATTGAGAAAGGGGGCGGGCTGCTATGTGGAATGGAAGGGTTGGGAGAATGCGTCCGGAGGGCTAGGAGTAGATATGAGACTTGGGAGAAAGCAGTTAGAGACGCAGTATAAACATCTCGATAGTCTCGGTGAGCTAATTATGGGTTTCAAAAGTTATACAGCTAATGAGTTTTACATGTTTAAATAAAAACATAGAATCGGATCAACTTAATATTTATTGCGACCAAATCAGTCAAAATCATCGACAAAAATAGGAGCGGTGAAGAGACCGAGTGATATCCCATGAGGGTCAAATTTGCATTCTAAGTCTAACATGTATGTAGTAGATCCAGTCTTCTTCATCGTCGCCTCAATGCTTTTCAACTCTTTGTTTATCAAATTATTCGTGAATAGAGGATTCCCCGCGCGCCCGAGCTCGGAAAGGATCTAGCGCTATCATCTTTAAATAAATAGGCTCAGTTTCTCAAACCTCAAATATATATAGATGGCCTTCCTAATATCTGCACTAGTTTATTGGTTATTCGTATGTGGTGGTGCGCGGCCCAATGACCCCCGCGGCTCCCAACATACTAGAGGAGGGAGGAGTTGTTCAAAACCACTATTATATTGCCGAATAGTGCTTTTGTTCTTCAAGACAAAAGACTTACGTGCCCCAGATACGCACTGCTTCGAGCTAGTCCAGATCTAACGTGGTGGGGGGTTGAACGAGTGCAGCGGTATAGTCATGATCAAGAGAGCCGTTCAATTGAATCCCAATTTATAATATTTGTTAAATAATTTGATAGCTTTGGTCAAGCTTTAGTTTTAGGACAGCCTAATGTACGGTGTTTACAAGATAATGTCTGGCCCCCGGCCGCTGCCAACTCATACGAATTTTATAAGACCTCCATTCTTAAAATGTGGCAGTGGTCATATGTTGACCCTACATACATCCATCCACAGTTCTAGTCGATATATATCCACTTGCCTACCGTTTTCGGACCCAAATTGTAAGCTGTTTAGGGTTAGGGTTGTCTAACAAAGATTGATAAGCCTTAAACCTCATGAAATTCTTTAACGGTGCTGCACAATACACGATTAAAACGATGACTCGCCTCCAAACACACTACGATATTCTCTCTCTCCCTCCCACCACTCCCTCGACCCCCCTCACACCAAATATTCTCAAAAAGGCTTACCACCGTGCCCTTCTCCTGCACCATCCTGACAAAACCCTGTCCCCAAGTACCAAGGCTGAATTCACGGTCGACCAGATCACAACTGCATACAATGTTCTGTCGACGCCGCATCTGCGAGCTGAGTATGATAAAAAACTTGGTGCAATGAATGAGGAGACGGGTGATGATGGGAAGGTTCTGCAGGTTGTGGACTTGGACGATTTTATAGAGAGGGAGGAGGGAAGGTGGACCAAGAGCTGTAGATGTGGGGAGGAAGAGGGATACGTGGTAACAGAAGAGGACTTAGAGGCCGGTGATGATGTGGTCGGGTGTTGTGGCTGTAGCTTATGGTTGAAAGTGGGGTATGAGATTCTTGAGGACGAAGATGAAAACGTTACGGGGCAGAAATAATGCACTGGTATTTTGATATATAGGGCAATGAATCTTTGGCGGAATAAGATCATGGTTTGTTTCCCCAGTACTCACTTCTAGTGAGGGCTAGAGCCGAGCAGCAGTGAGTGGCAACCATTCACAGGTGGCTCTAGCTACATGTACATATGTAGTTAATAGCTGGGTTGATAATAGGGCTCTATCTCAACGAGGCCCAAGATCTCCGAAATCAGTGCCTATCAAAGTACATGCACGTATGAGTTTGGGATGGAATTTGTAAATGAGGAAAATGCAGGAAAGCCAAATCCAATTGATCCCGCCTAACCTGTTATTTTCATTTTAGCTATTTGTTGATTGGGTGCTTTGAACTGGTTGGCGTTACTAATTTGGTAAGAAATCTATGTTTACATGCCGAGCAGAACCTTCCCACTCCCGCGCGTTGATCTAATCTCTAGGGTTGAGCTTGTCACCTGCCAGGGTTCGAAACAGATAAAGACCTTAAAACGCTGGTAACACCTAACCCTGGGATTATATCAATATTCGGGAGGTCAAGCACTAAATCGATCAACCTATCTAGGTGTGAGTTTTGGAGAGTGATTCGGTTTTGGCTTATGGAGTACCTTACCGTGGACCTGGGCTAGGATAGCAGGGCTACAGGCTATGGGTTAAAGTACAGGACGACTATCGTCGTCCTAGAGTTATTTATATATAGTATGTAAAAGCAATTAACAATTCGAGTTTAATGACTATGCGTAAAACTAGATGGTACGAAAACTTTGTAAAAATCAAAAAAGGAAGGAGGTAGAGGATACTACATGTATCTTTTCAATCCATCTCCTGGCATTTACCCAGATGAACAACCCCATCACTCAGAATCTCCAGCTCATATTGACTTGAATCATTCCCCCCACCAGATGCATCTCCCATCCTTCCCAACACTATCCGATACCCCCAATCCACTTCTACGTCAATATCCCCCGTCCTAACTCCTTGTGGCACGTCTGAATATTCTCCCTCGGGGCTCGAGGCCTTCTGCTCCTTCCCTCTTCTCCCAATCATTTTCTCAACGGAGACCCTTAACATCGGCTGCGCTCTAGAGCTGGCCCATATAGTCCGTGCCTTCACGGACACAACCGTCAGCCTTTCCACTTCAAACGGGTAAGCTACAGCATTTGCTCCATCTTTCCAGATACCCTCCACCGTCTTTCTCATCTTCCCAGCAGACTCGGACGCAATTGGCTCAAAAACAGCATCCGCAGATGTGGTCTCAACACTTAGGGTGAAATCGCCAATCTGGTCAGGTTCGAATGTCGACGCAACTACAGTATATTCACCTGCTTGTAGGTTTGTGGCTTCAGCTATTGCACAGCCACGTCGATACTCTCCGCTTTCGGTGATGATGTCTCGGGTTGTTACTGATGCGATGCGTTTACCTCCTCCCCAGACCAGTTTAACGTGTGCCGATAGGGTCTCGCGAGCTTCGAGAAGAAGAAGAAGATTACAAGGCTTGGAGATTGAGAGTCTGAACTGTGGATTGTTTGAGTAGGTAGGCGACTGAGCATTCCCCCCTGCTGTTTCGGGGAGCCACTGCGACTGCAAAGTACGGTGGTAAGTGTATGGATCTTCAGCGTCGCGTATCTGTAGCGGCGTTAAGGAGAAGGCGGAAAGAGTAAAGGTGTGTGGTGTCCTTGGTAGATCTTGTGAAGAAACGGCCACAGTATACGTAGTTTTGGGGGGCATTTCATCGAGACGTAATAGGGTCTGAGGGGAATCAACATAAGGACCTCGATGAAGCGCTCCTTCAGAGCGATAGGCTCGACGGCCCTGATTATCGAATACATAAAGCGAAATATAACCTTTTTTCTTCTTCGGGTCGTAATCCTCCCCAGTGGTGGTAGAGGTGAGATGTCGTCCAAGTAATAGCCAAATAAGTGCCGATTTCGAGCTGTTATTCGTGACTGAGAACTGAGGGTTTCTACTAATACAGCCTTCCGACCTCTTTGTTGAGAGATCCCAAGCGAAATGCAGATCCTGCCGGTGGGTGAAAAGCGCTGGGTTCCAGTTAAGATATATGCTCGCGAAGTGACGGAAAACACTGTCCAGAGATATCCAGAAAACACCTGGTGAACATGAGTCCGACTTCCGAACCGCTATAGGAAGAGATTCCCGGAGATTTTCTGTTTTAAAAGCAGGCCCTGCCTCGTCTTCGTCGTCATCACCATCTCCATCCTCATCTTCGCAATCCTCATCTTCGCCCTCATCAGAATCTACTCCTGAAACACCCGTATAGGTTGCACCTTCACTCCATGGATTCTTAACCTGTAACCACTTCTCTCCATCTTCGTCCTTCAGACCCAAAACGGCATAGTCATGCTCACCCACGAGTCCTAGTTCACTTTCTTCCCGTCTGCTCATGCTCTCTGTACCTAAAGTGATTAACACATCACCACGGTCCCACGCTTTAAGTATTCTTTTCCACAGATTTCCTTGGTTTATATCATTCGACTGCAAGAACACATGTTCCGGAATCCAACTTGTCAATGCAAGAAGATCCGTTCCCGAGTTAGATCCAGGAAAGTCATAGCCACCCATCACTTTCAAGTACGCTTTTTCGATCAGTGCGGGATAGAATACACTGGGATTATTACGACAAGTTACGTATAGCGAATGTTTGTTATTGGAGGCAGGTAAGAGATCGTCGATGACTACCTGCAGAAATTATAAACGAAAATCTTTTGAATAAAAAAGCCGACTAACTTACCTTTCGATAACAGCCATTAAAATATAGTTTTACAAAATATTTGCCAGAAGGACTAGTTTTCGGATTACCATGTATATCTTGTGGGTAGAGAATATTGGACACAAGCTATTATTTCAATCTGTTAAAAACTTGAGTTTTGAACTTTGGTGCACCCGGGTTAACTAATACCTTTCCAAGGGACCTTTCCTCTCTTGCAATCGCAGAGCAGAGACTAGCGACTACCGAACAATCGGTTATTACATCCTGTGCAAGATCAAATACGGACCCAGTTCCCTCTTCAGGATATATCCTTGCATTGCCTTGATATAATTCGTTCGGGCGCTTCCAGCCTTCCAGCATTGTGAACTGTAAGTCCGAAAGTTCGAGCAAACCGGAGGGGTCTCTCGTAATACCATTAGCCGAAGATAGTGGAGTATAGCTAGAATTAGGAAATCTCACGAGAATGGTATTGATCCAGAAAATTCGGTCGCACCTGGAAGGTTTTCCCAAGGTGGGAAGATGTCATTGTTTACCTTGGAAGATTTTAGGAGAAGGGTCTCTTCCTTAATTGACAATTTCGTTATAGATAACGGGGGCGTTCTGGTGGTGTCGGTTCTCTTTTGAAGCCCATCCTGGGATTTTGTAGCTTCCATGGCCTGAGGGACCGGAAGAGGAGTTGGGGAGTTGTCTCTCCCTTTTCGCAACTCTTGGATATTCACTGCTCCTGCGGTAAACTCTTCGCGTTTTTGTTGAAGCTTTTTTTTATCGGCGCTCTTTTGAGCCCGTTTTCCGAGTTTCATGCAATATTCCGCAGCTTCTATTGAAGCTTTCAACGCATCGTCGTACTTCTCGGCCGCGAGGAATGCGCTTATGCGAGATTCGGCTGCCTAAACCCCATTAATTTACAGCTCTACAAAGGGGCTCACACAGGGGAATATATAACTTACAACTATGCTTTCATCATACGGGCATTTTGCAGCTGGTTTTGCTGAAGAAAGTTTCTCTCTAAGCCTTTGCATCGTCGTCAGTGGCACTTTCAATGATCGGGGTAGGTATGTAGGAGCGCTTTTGTAGTAGCTAGCTGATAGGAGATAAATCACATGATCGATATCGTACATGTAGTTACCAATGACACGTGACAGTCAAAGTATATTTCGAAAGTCCTTAATATTATACTTGGCCACGGACTTAACTGTATCTATTTTATAATGAAAGGCTAATAAGACATAAATGGTTTTTCTAGAATCATCCTTTCATAGTGAACCCCTTCGTTTGTCCCGAAATTTCCCCAAGCAGGAAAGACGAGTACTCAAAGTGGAGATAGCAAAACCTTTAATCCTACTACTCTATAGTAATACTATCGCCCAGCTTGGTTTAAAAAATAGAAAACCTTGAAAACAGCGGAAGGGATACATGTAACTTCATCCCATAAAAATAGGTATAGCCGTGTAATTAATTGTGGTTTAATTACATCAGAAGATTAAGGTCACGGTATTTGAAATCTTGGCGTTGCAGCACCCTTGTCGGTCGAGTCGCATTCTAGATGCTTAAAGGTGAGAGACACCAGCTCGCACCTCCGAAACTACAATTCCCAATATCAACACTCAACAACTTTCAAAAATGTCACGAGGGGGAGCCAGAGGCGGCAGGGGTGGCGGCGGTGGCCGTGGTGGACGAGGAGGCGGCGGTTTCGGCGGTTTCGGTGGCTTTGGCGGTGGTTTCGATGATTTGGTACCCGATTACAGCGTTACTGAACTTTTCCCAGTGAGTCATTTTCCTTATGAATTGTCGCCTTTATTCTTCTTTCTATTATATGCCAGTATTAAAATATAAGGAGTTATAGCCTCAACCGCCGCCAGTACAATCCTCACTTATAAAAGAGGAGCGCGCAATAATCGCCCGATTTCGGAGTCATCGGGAGAAAATTCATAATGGGCCTATGTAAGCTTGCAATTTGCGCACTCCTGTAGTTTCTGGGGAGAACCCTAATCTAATTGTGTATAGGTACACAATAATGTCTAAGAAACGAGGCATGGAAGATCCATTTAACGATGTCTCGAAATACTCGCAAAAGTACAAAAAACAGCGACGAAAAGTCCCACAACTTGATGCACGCCCATATATCCACGAGCTTTTCCCACTGGAACTACATTTGACTCTTGGAATTGACCCAGAGGAAGTAAACGGCAAAAAGAAGGCTATCAAGAAAAAACTGCAGTTTAGCGCATTGGATACACTGGATCCATTAGGGGATCTTGCCGATGGTGCGGGATCAGATATAGAAGAAGGTGCAGAAGGGGCTGATAGGGAGGGCGCAGAAAAGAAAAAGGGTGGCCTCCTGAGAGGGTTATTGGGCGAAGAAGCAGGCGACGATGAAGACGAGGAACAGGAACCAGAAGAAGAGGAAATTGAAGATGACTTCGGAGATGACGAAGAAGGAGATTATAACGCCGAACAGTACTTCGACGATGGAGACGATATAGGCGATGATTGGGGAGACGAAGGGGGCGGTGAAGATTATTACTAAAGAATCTTTCCCTGTTTGAAACTACTTCAATTTCTGTATGATAGACATCCGAGTTGAAAAACTAAAACAAAAACCATTATGGCGATAATACTCCGGATAGTCCCTTGCGTTTGATTAATACTTGGCAAAAAAAAAAGAAAAGAGGATATCCCGCAGAGATTCGCAGGTGGCCTGTTACACTAAGCTTTCAAGTGCGTTTCGACCATCTTCTGAAAGCACCACAGACTCATGCTTCACCCCGTCTCCAGCTTCACCTTCAGCTCCCTGGTGATCTTTACTCCCATGCCCACCGGCCTCCTCAATTCCCCGGCGATCCCTATCTTCTCTCCTCACCCAAACTCTCTCCGGGGGCGCTTCCATACACAAATTCTGAAACAAGGTTTTGCCCCCATCTCTAACTCTGATCAACCAAACCGCTCTCTTGAATTCGTCCTTGATCCTATTAACTCCAGGGCCATTACAAGTCCTACTGACGTTGTGTTCAGTTTCGAAGGGGTCCTCTACAGCAAAAAGGTATCGATTCTTGACCTCCGAGTTTTCTGTTCTCCCCGGTTTAATCACAGCTGCAACCCAACCTTTCTCTTGTTTTGTCATCAGCCCTCCCTTTGTCCGGATAGAGACTACCTCACGACCCCACTGAAAATTGTGGGCGTAGTATTCAAAGAATCCCTTCAGTAATTCACCAATATCCATGGCGTTATCCGACTTTGGTAATTTTTCGATGTCCTTATAGAACCATATTTCGAAAGTATCGTCGGAATCACCTTCAAATATTATCTCGTTTGTTGGTGCACTGTCAGGGACTGGGAAAGTTTGAAGGTTTGGGAGAACCGGTGGTTTAACAACATTGATCAGGTAATGGAGGACTATCAGTGCGTAGCCATATGAAGATAGTGTTCCGCGGTACGGATTATTTATATGGCGTCTTTTGGCCCACCACTATTCAGTTGATTAAAAATACGGAACCTATGTGTCAGCAGTCTGCAAAGGATCATAATCCCGGGAATCCTTCGAGGTTTAAAGCCATACCTTAATAAATATCATCATCTCCTTAACCCTGGGATCACATTTACTGTATGTCAATAACATTTGGGTATTGTACAAGGCTAAATGATTGCTGAAACCGATATCGCATTGCAGCTCATACGGGCTCTGTTCAGTAGCTTTCTGCACAAGCTTGAGAATTGGAACACGGGTTTTTGTAAGTAGAGTAGTGCCGAAGCCTTCTTCTTGAAGCTTTGATTCGAGGAGCATAGGTATTCTGAAGTTGGATGATGGATCATCTGAACTTTCATTGAGAATATCGACTCGATCACCGCCTGTGAAGATAACGTCGAGATCGGAATTGGCGGTTGCGAAGCCAGCTGTGAATAAAAGAAAATAATGAAGGTTAAAGCATATTAGATTATATTTCTAGTATCATGTTTGATCAAAGAATGAGCTAAGTGGTACACGTTTAAAGAAACGAGTATCAAAAGGATTTAAAATAAATTCGAGACTTACTAACTAAACTCCCAAAAGCAATCAATTTTGCGTCTGGAACTATCGTTTTACTGATAGCTTCAAGTCTCTCTAGAAGCGCACGCTTCACCAATATTTCTGACTCTGGGGGAGCTGCTTCGGCTATTACTTTTTTCGAAAGCTCACTCAAATACTGGCATACTTCTGGTCCAATGTCCCGCCGTAGTTGGCGCTGGTTATAATCACCACGAAAATTTCTGCGTCCATGTACCTCGCCCCTAGCGTGATGGGGGTTAGTATTGCGGGTGTCAATTGGCAGTGGCTGATACTGAGTACGCTGCTGGGGTTTTGCTGTTGTTGACTGTTGCTGCTGAGAATAATTTGGCGGAGGCGTCTTTGCTTTAGTAGGTTGGGTTCCCAGAGGCGGAAAGTGGTCTAGCGCATTCAAGGGTAGAGCTCTGGGTGAGTTCTGTGATTTGTTAAAACCCTGACCACGCTGACCACGAGGCGGACTTCGAATATCCCGCCCCGCCGTCATTTGCGGGGGCTGGTTCCGTTGTCTCGGCGGGGTATTTTGCTGTGGTGGTCGGCTCTGCGGTCTGTATTGCTGCCCCATCTGAGGCGGTATATTCCCTATATCACCTGCGGTATTTGACGAGATGTTTATATTCAAGTTTTGAGACTGAAGCCCAGAATATTGACCAGGCGGAAAATGCAATCCAGTTGGTGATACTAAATTTGTGGCTTGCAAGCCTGGTGGTTGCGGTGGTTGGGGTTGTGATACGGGGTATTGTCGTGGATAGTTTTGGAAAGAATTCGTGGGAGTAGATGCACTTGAGAAATCCCCTGGAGAGAAGAAACCACGTGGTAAGCCATGGAAAGTAGGTAAGGCATTTGAGCCCGTTGGATATATAGAAGGTAGCGTAATGGGATAGGGAAACTGGTCAGAATAGGGCAAAGATCCGGCCATATTTCCTGGCAGCATACCAAACAAAGGAACAGACTGTCGCTGTTGGTGCAGTGGAGTTTCATGAGGAAACCCCGGCAATTGTGTAAATGACTGCACTGGTGCAGATAGGCGGGGGTTTACAGCACGATTATTTGTAAGAATCATTCCTCTCAATTGGTTCTCCAAACTCTCCGCTGAGTGAGAACCTGGAGGGGAAGATCCTGCAGGGTGGTTAAACGACATACTGATGCCAAATGTGCCGAGACGTGGAGCGATGCGGTATTGTGAGATTAGAAAGGAATCGTGTGTTGCGGGTCGATTGAATACATAGAATTTGGTGGGGTGGTAGGCTTTTTCTCATGGCGAGGATGAATGGATGCACAGCAGATCTGCAAGCGGGTTCGATGTCATACTTTCAGGCAGCAGCTAGTGCATCACGTGTGGAGCTTGGCTGCATTACAGACAGAGCCTCATGCGTCGAAGTTCTGAACGTCGCAACTTCCACTGCGTGCACGTATTTTATATTCCCACCCCTTAGGTGGTATCAACACCTTGAATCAAACCACTTAAGCCTTTCTGAAACTTCATATAAAGGCCGGTCATATTCTAGAACCGCATCACGTTGCCTACTGTTCTCCTCTTCCAGGTCTCAGCGGTTCGAAAATGCGGAATGGCAGTTATATTCGTGCTTTAGGCCGGCAATCGTTCGAACCATCTCAAGGACCCTCTGTTCCAGATATTGAATCCCCAGATCATGGATCTTCCACCTCAGAACAATCACAGGAGATGCAAAGACGTTTGATCAAAGCCCAGAACGATGTCTTGGCTACGGTTGGTGTCTGTCTACGGGATACCAAGGGGCAGGAGACATCAGAGGCTATAATGCAGGAAAACGAAGTCGGATTGCTTGTCGGTGCTGTGGATCTGACTATCACATATTTGGCTAGTTGGCCATTGGTAGGTATCAGAAACAGACTCCAGGTAAATATCCACTCACCAGAAATCACTCGAGTATCAGGATTGAGTTGGTATAATGGCTGATAATAATAACCTTAGACTTATCGGACTTATGAAGGGTGGCGGTATAAAGATGTTTTAATAATGTCCTGGCGAAGCAATAATATCTTTCAGATGCTATCGGGAATGCCAGCCCACCTGTGCTATCAGCTTGTGAATGTCGGGAGGGACTATCTTCAGGCAAGGTTCTTGAGGTGGTTGAGCCGTAAACCTCTGTTCATAAATAAAAAAACAGGAAAGCCGCGCAGATTTGTTTTAAATTCTCTCGATAAAATGTACATCCGTTTTTCAGCTACAAGATTCTCGGCGATAACATGGCTGACCCGTCCTAGATTTTCTACGTGCTCCTGGTTCCTTGTATATCCACTCTACCAACACTCAATTCTGCAATCGCTCCACCTGATACCTCCCACTCCATTACTTCCTCCTGTCACTTCATTTGTACCATTTTCTGCCCTTTCGCCATTATCGCTTCCTGAGCTCACCACACCCTCATTCTCTCTGGTTACAGTATCAGCTTTGGCTACACAAGCTCTCGGGTCGTATTTCCTGTTTTCTTTTCTTCAACAATCTGTCTGTGCAATGTTGCAATACAATCTTTTTCACCGCCTCCGCCGAGTCTTACCCCGCCCCGATAATCCAGATGGTGCATCAATCTCAGGGGCTCTTGATGATGATGATATCGATAGCTATGGCCGCTGGGACTCTGGACGTCAGCCCCATACTCACCCACGCAGAACAGTCATGGATGAACCTAGCATAGCAGCAATAATGATTGAAGAAACCCGTACTTTCGCTGAATTTGGCGACCGAGAACGAAGTTTCTCGGCCACGGTTCAGATCGAACATCAGCAGAGATCAGGTTCACCTCCTGTCGACGCTACACAATTAGAAGAAGACTTGAATGATTTTGAGGCCAGAGCATTGGAAGCAGCAATACAAACCAACGGAGGTCCTCTACCACACCCCCATCATCACACGCCAGCTGATCCAGCTGCCGTAACCGCTCGTATGAGATCAGCGAGGCAACAGCACCGTGTAACACGTCTATCACAGCACCCTGCAGACGTCGTAGCCTCTCATGCATCAGATGGCATCGCAACTGCCCTCAGTAGCGGGTTTGAAAGTGCTGTTATGAGAACTGTAGCAAGGAGCTTCATGATCCGGCAGATGGGGGTTGATCCAAGCCCTATTTATAAACCAAGCGACGTCTTTGCAAACTGGAAACTGGTAACGAAGGCTTTGGCAGGAGAATGGGCCTTGATGTTCATGTTATTTGAGGGCAGTTATTATGCCACGACTTTTATTGGAATTAGGTGGTTCGGGTGGGTGCAGTATGACATATCGTCCCATGAGGGTTTGTGACTAACCTTTTGAGTGTAGGTATCCGAGGAGCCTTTGAGCATTGTCCCTTATGCACGACCTATTATTTGGCGTTTGTGATATCAATCGTTGTCTTTTAGCGGCTGGCTTAGGTTTTATGTTCGATTTATTCAAGCATCAGGAGGGTCGCCGAGTTTCATCATTGAAACTCATCAATGAAGAAACTTTATAGTTAATTATAAATTAATCTTACTGCAGTCATTCGTAAACCCAAAATGTTTTACTGAGTTTAGATGCTCTGCCTGCTTGGAATGAATGAGTGATGGCATGTGTTTAAGGGCTTGTTTATTAGAGTTGTTTGTTCACAATACGACAAATTGCACGTATATAACTATGTGCAAATACAGAGCCTAAGATTTACATCAACCCTTTGCGTACTGGTCTAATTGTGGATATTATGTAAAACTGTATGTCAACCCAAGGGATAATGAGATCTTACCTATCAGTACCAAGTTGAGCTCTACTGCAGCTTCATTACTTGTACATATAGGTACCGCTATATACTTAAGTATATTTAAGTACAGTTACACCGTGTATATAGGCTCGTCTTACCTCCCCTCTTTACTATATTGCTATATGACGAGGTATAAGCCATACTTAGAAAAGCAATCATGTCTTGCAAGTCGAGCTCTAGGGATTTTTAATCGACTTCTTTATCACAAGGTATAAGTGTAAGCTCAAAGTCCCAAAGAGCCAAATAGATGCTAGGCTTAGATAGACGTCAATCTCGCAAGTCACAACTCTCTTCCTATCGGCACTTCTGAAGTAGGTTGGAGTAGCGATAATTGCAGTACTCACTCACGGCCAACCCTCACAAAGTACATGTCGTAGAACTATTAAACCTCGGAATTATGATATTTACTCTTCAACGACCTGTAACCAACCTCTAATCCCAGTCATCGTCATCGTCACTCTCCACCACCTTGGTTTTGAATATTCCTCCCGTGATTCTACCAGTATCCTCCGTCTTTGCCCGCTGAAGTACTCCGCAAGCAAGCAACCGGTTCTCCAACATAGCAGTGCTGAAGTTATCAGTATTTCCCAACTCTGCGAAGCCCTCGATACGATCTACACTTTTGCCATCAATGAATGAGATAAGGCATGGTAGAACGACAATTTTCAGTCGCTCTACGAGGAAGGGTGCGTTCTCGACATGTATACGAGCGAAACGGGTGTCAAAGTGTTTAGGTGCGAGAGTGGAAAGGTGGGTATCCATGATCTGACAACGCCGGAAATCAGGGTGAAAGAAGTGGATTATTGTGTATTTTGTAGAGCTGGAGGATGGTGAGTGAGATGCTTAACAGGAAGGAGTGGGCTAGATGTAATATACGTGGTGAAATCCATAACCTCCTTCTCTGATGTGGATTCTTCATATCCTCCGTGAGCTTGGTCTCTCATCTGTCGTGCTCTCATCATCCTACAACACGCCCATTATAAGCAATCCATAACTGCAAACAACATGGATTGATAGAAGCTGCTCATACTCATCATGCAACTGTTGCATCCTCTTCTCGCGGAACGCGTCCAATGCCGCCTCGTCTGCCTCAAGCTCGTCCAGAAGCTCATCTTCCTTGTCGTCGTTTTCTTCAGCATCCGGGCGTTCCTTATCGAGGACCTTTGCAACAGTTGGATCGAGCTCAGCACTCATTTTGACAGCAATTGGATTGTAAAATAGCTCGCAACTTCCGTTTGATGGGTTAGGGTTGTTTGCGGGGTTGTGGTGTTCTGCAAGGGCTCTCCTTTCCTGGACTTCCTTCACCCCCCGTCGGGAGTTAACCACGTTGGCGGTAAAGTAGTGGAACGTGCACACGCGAACCTTGGCAAACGTAACCCCAGCTGTCCCTGACCTATCTGGGCCCTTGACCTTACGAGTCTAGAATTATATATATAAACCAGCTCTACAATGGCATCTTCCGCCCCTCCACCTCCTCCGCAATTCCCTCTTCCAGCTGTACATACCGCTCTATCACCGTATATACATCCTCCCCAAGAAACACTTCACATCCGTCAGCTAGCAACACAGCACCTCACCAATCTCTCCGCCGAGAAACGTATCACGGATGGTTCCGGCTCTACCGACGAATTCCGCCGCTTCCTCGACTTTGAGCTCGGCCGGAAGGGGCCAGATTCTAGCGTACGGAAGGAGTATCTAATCGCGCTACGAGAAAACCTCCAAGCGAAGCGGGAATATGAAGATATACTCCGCGAGGGAGATGACGATAGTCCCGGCGATGAAGGGGGAGTGAAAGTTTTGGAGGAGGAGGAGGAGGAAGGGTGGAGGGAACTATATCTCAACACGCTGAAGCTACGCCGGCAGCATGAAAGATTGGAGCTACTCAGAGTTTATCTGAATACTGTATCTAATCCTACCGCTGAAGATCTTGCCGCAGAGGCTGCTGAGAGCTTTAATGAACAGCCGCCTGCACCGCCTATCCAACTTACTGCACAGAGAGGTACAGGCATTGGAAGTGATAGTGAGGAGATAAAGGCAGGGGTGGAGGCAATGATACTGCGACTTGAGAAGGAGGTCGTTGCGGCATATGAAGCCCTTGAGCAGGAGAAAAACAGGATACAGGATCTTCAGGAAGGACTTCACGATGATCCTCAAGGCACAAAAAAGGAAGCTTTAATGCGAGCTCGAGATACACTCATATCGTGGCTTGAAGGCCAACTTGCACGTACCACAGCTGGTGGTGAGCCTGAAGACGCAGATATGATGGATGCTACCTCCGAAGAACAAGCCGAGGGGGGGAGCTCGGCGCAACAAATAGTAGACCGGATTCAAGCAGCTTACAACAACTATCTCAGGTCCCGAACAGAACTAGTACATATCCTTGCCTCTGCATCTTCCATTGACGAAATCGGGCCCCTCTCTATTGATCCTACCGATCCCCCAACTGAGCTCCCGGGCACGATGAAGAAGCCTATACCTGCGCCCCCAATCCTCAGTGTGCTAACAGCGATGGAGCACCTTCTACCACTTACTAAATATGCGAAATCTCTTCTCTATCAACGAACACAGCTCTCAACCTCGCTCTCAGCGCAGCAAAAGCAATTACTCCGCCTTCTAGAGTCTTCCCTCGAAAAGTTCTCAATCCAGCCTCCCCCTATCGCCGCTACCACCGTCTCCCCATCACTCGAGATGGTGACAGCGCTAGCTTCAGCATCAAAGGCCGCGATAGCGAAGAATTGTATAGAGGTTGGCAAAAACGTGACTGAAGCAAAAAAGACGCTTGAGAACGTCGAAAGCGTGCTGGCGGAGGTGGAAGCTTTAGTTATCATGCCAAAGAAGGAAGTGTCCAAAATCCCTATGGCAAGGCGGAAAAAGAAGGGGAGAAGAGAGGAGGAGGAGGAAGCGGACAAGGGCTTGTGGGGAGGACTGGGAGGTGGGGTGGGGGTCATTGGAGATGGGATTTAATGGTGGGGGGTTAGTAACGTAAGAGGGTTTGGTATTCTATGTCATTTTATTTTATTTTTATAGCGCTATTCTAATAATACCTAGCAGTGTGGATATAATGTTTTTTTTTTTAGAAGTATCACTATTGTAGCTTAGACCTTGAATAAGCAGCATGATGGCCTAGAGTATTTACTTTGTTCTAGGATAAGGAATCCCGCGAGAAATACTACGGACGTGCGACCTGGCCGGGACTGTGATAGTACCAGAAAGAGAAAAAAAGTCTTTCCCATCTTAAGCAAACATACATATGTAGCCCAGGAGAGCTTATTCGACACTAGCCGTAGATTCGAGCCATATATTGACGCTAGAGATCCCCGCTTGCAATTGATCTACACTCGTGCTAGCTATGGATGTACCGCGTGGGCTATAGAGCACCGACATAGCAATGGCATGGTAAATTAAATATAAAGTAGACTGTACCTAGCTGCGAGGCATCTTGGTGGGTATGGGTGTGGTTATAACTCTGGGAGGAGCTATAAGGCTCCTTACTGTCCGTTCAATAAAGCTACATAATGTAGCTATAGCTAGGATTGACAGGCTGCATGTAAGAATACCAGGAAGTGGAAAGAACCTCCAACACTAGAGTACGTAGTAGTAGAAATTCACACTTCTGCGCCGGTCTACGAACGCCAAGGAATCACAATCACAATATATCACTCGGTCACTACACACACCACATTATGTAGCACTTCACATTCCAAAGCCCACCCCATGCCCAGTACAACACAGAAGAAACACGGCCAAAGATATGATTGATTTTTCTCAGCCACTACGGTTATCTAATTTGTAGAATTTCTACCAACAAACTAACTACTGCCTCCAGACCCACAACCCCAACCCCAACCCAATCCAGGTTACTAAGAGTCCTCTGGTGAGTGACCCGGCATCGGTATCGTTCTCTGGATATATGTCTAGTGCGCAACCGGGAAGATGACGATTCTCCCATCAACACTGCACACAAACACGCACAAATTAGCCACCCACCCACACCGCCAACATCCCCAGCAAGAAAAGAAGAACCAGCATAACATACCCACTACTACTAAACCTCACCACCGCGCCCTCCGCACCCTCATACGCCCTCAGGCTCGCAATCGAGTTCTGATGGATCGTCTTGAGACTCGCATCATCGCCCGCCCCACTCTTCCCCTTCAGGTCCATCTGCCTAAACATATTGAGCGCCGAGCTCTCCTGCGCCTCGCCCTGCTTCGCCTTATTCGGATCATCCACCGCATACGCCTGCCGCCACCCCTCCTCCGTCCCCTCAAACACCACGGGATGGCAATCATGCCCCGCCGCCACAAGCTGGTCCTCCCGCGTCCAACACAGCGCCACAAACGGCAGCATCTGCGTCGTCACCGTGACAACCGCTCTCGGCGGCGCGTCCGGCGCCGCCGGATACACCACCGTCACACTGGAGTCATGCGCTGCAAAGGCGAGGGCGTTGCCGCTCGGCGAGAACGCAACGGCGTGCACCCACCCGCCCGACGAGTTCATGTACTCGCCGCAGACGGTGTTGAAGGGGATGCGCTCGCCCCACGCCGTGGGCTCGGGCCGCTGGTCGACGCCCTTGATGAATGCGGAGAAGACGCGGGCGTGGGCGTCGGCGGAGCCGGATGCGAGGAGGACGCTGTTGGGGTGCCAGGAGAGGGAGAGGACCGTGCTGCGCAGCGGCTTCTTGAGGTGCTTGGACACCCACCAGTCGTTCTCTTGCTCAAAGTAGCAGACGGCGATGGCGCGCGCGCCGGAGCCGACGGCGAATTTGGATTCGTCCGGGGACCAGCGCACGTGTGTGGCGGCGCGGTTGAGGCGGAGGAGGACGAGGGTGGGTTTCCAGCCCGTGGGGGAGGGCTCCCAGACGAGGGCGTTGCGGTCTGGTGACGTTAGTAGGCGAGTTTACGAGCATTGAAACCTCCCACAACCCATAACCCACAAGCATCCGCATAAACCGCCCTAAACCCAACCAGAAAGGAAGAGAAAAAATCAGAACCCACCCTGCGAGCACGTCACAATCCTCCCACTCCTCGCCGCAATATCGACACTCGTGACGGTCTTATCGTGGCCGACGAGCTCCTCCTTGAACTTGAAGGAGCCGTCGGGCTCGTGGCCGTAGAGCTCGACCTTGATGTCCCTAGAGACGGCGAGCAGGCTCCTGTCGGCCGAGAAGGAGTGGTCTGCGATGGGGGCGTGGAATAGGAGGTGGGCTTCGGGGTGGGGGGCCATTGTTACTGCTGATTAATTGGGGATTGGGTTGGATGAATGGAGGGAGGGGGATGGAGGGGATAGGAGCAGCACTCGACTATCACGATGGGTGGATTGATGCTGCTGTGAGCGTGGAGGTGTGAGGTGAGGTGAGGTGAGGTGAGGTGTTGCAGTGAGGGTGAGGGGAGCTGCTAGGGCTTGGCGGTGCCGTGGAGCAGCACACAGACACGCGGGTCAGACATGGAATATCACTCGCTCTCCTTTTCTTCAACCACGCTCAGTCACCCGCACTTGTACTCTATCGACGGAACCTGTAACATCAATTCCATCCCCCACTCGCGCACCACTAAAATAACACTCATCTACCTATCACGAACGCAGAACGCACGCATTCATACAAACACACAGACAGCTACACAGCTACACAGCTATATAGCCAACCTGCCAAAGGAAATAACTTTATACACACACCGCGCCCAAGAAAGGCATGGCGACAAAAAAAGTAGAAAGAAAAACCAAGAAACAAAACACCCCCCAAGACGAGATGAGATGAAAAACAGCAATAAAAAAAAGGAAACCCTCCTAATTAGATGACAAAACCGCCTAGAGCTCATTCTTAGGGTTCAAATAATTATCCCCCTTCCAGCTATAAAACGCCTCTCTAGGCGCCCTCCCCATCGCGCGATCCCACAGCTGACTCACCTCCGACAGTCCAATGATCATTCTACGTACCGCCAATTCAATTAGCCTTCCTGTCCACTTTTTCACCTCCAGCCACAGAGAAGAGAACGAGAATAAACTTACAGATGCTTCGGCACCTCGTACCAACTCCTAAGGACAAACATAAGCGTCATCCACACGAGCTTTATCTCCTGCACCAGCATCTCCCTAATCGTCAGCTCCACCTCCCCCTCCGTTTTCGGCCCCGCCGCCGCCCTCCTTCCCGCCTCCCTCTTTGCCTCCAGCTCCTCCGCCTGGCGCTGGTCCCACATCGCCTTGAAAGCATCGAGTGCAATGAGGGAGTGCGACACGCGGTGCAGCGTATTGACGAGCGCCACGAGCTCAGTGCGGCGTAGGACCGGGTTCACGCCGGGCTCGGCGTCCTCGTCGAATTCGAAGAGGACCTTAAGGGCGGTTCCGTATCCTTGTGTCTGGACCTTACCCCACAGTCGGCATTTGTCGCAGCCGACGCAGTCCATGAGCCTGGAGACGTTTCTGAAGCGATTGCGGAACTCTTCTTTGAGGCTTGTCATCTCGTTCTTGAACATGAGGGACTCGTCAAAGATTGGCTCGGCGGAGGCAGCGGTCTTGGCGAGCTTTAGAACCTTGGCCCTGGTGATACGGCTCTGGTAGGTGTCGCCGGAGCAGAACGTGTAGTCCTGGAGGTAGTTCTGGAGCTTCGAGACGGCGCGCGCAAGGACGGCGTAGTTGAAGTAGATGTTCTGTACACGCTCCGGGTGTCCCTTGAAGCGGGACATGAAGCACTCGTAGTTGGGGCCCCACTCACCCGTAGACTGGTTCAAGTAGTCCCAGCACAGATGCATCGAGATACTCGCATGCATGCCCGAGATGACCCTATGGAAGACCCTCTTCTCCAGACACATATCGTCCGCATCAAGCTCCACCAGGCCCTGCTTCCCGTCCTTCCCCACGCCAAACTCATGCTTCCCCTTCTCCTGCATCACGCCCGCAAACTCCATCGCCGCCGGGTTCCTCTTCGAGAACCCCGCGAGCCCCCCTTTGTCTCCTCCAGCTCCGGGTGCCTGTCAAAGCAATTCTCCCTATATATCGCCTTCCAGACATTCTGCGCGCCGGCGCCCGCATATCCCGTAAATCTCTCTGGGTTCTCAAGCAGCGACACATAGTCGCCCTTGCTTCCCTCCGTCTCGTCCTCGGGCACACAGTAGTCCCTCTCATCACACTCGTCCTCCTCCACGATGCAGCTCTCCTCCCTCTCCGCGCCCAGTGCGCCCCGCAGCGGCGACGGCTCCGTCGGCTCCCGACTGATGGGGTGCGACGCCTTGGGGCCCGCCAGCTTTCCTAGCTCCTCGGCGCGCCAGATCTCGGGGATGTCCTTCTCGTCGTCGATGGTGGTCACGGCGCAGGCAATGTTGCCGCACATGCCCTCGTCGTCCCAGAAGGGGCACGTGCGCCCAAAGAGGTCGAGCCGGTAGTAGCTGAAGTAGTCCGTGTCGTGGGTGATCTCCTGCAGCAGCGGGTTGAGCTTCCTGTTGAGCGTCTCGATGGTGTCGTAGGAGGCGCAGCCGTCGGGGACGAGCTCGCTCGGGGAGTTCTGTACATGTGAGTAGGCAGTTCCAAGGGGTGAGGGTGGGGGTGGGGGTGGGTGGGTGCGGGAAGTTACATTGCAGACGCTGGGTGGCGGGGCGGCGGCCTCGATGAGGGCTGAGGAGAGCAGTGCTGCCCCGGCTAGGAGCTGGGAGGTGCGGGAGATCCGCATTGTGGGAGCTGGTGGCCTTCTCGGGGGTGTTAATTGCAGAAGTAGTTGTAGTTGTAGTGGGTAGGTGGTAGGTATTCACAGAGTGTTGCACAAGAGGACAAATAGGTACACTCAGGGAGAAGAAGTAGCAGAAGCAGAAGTAGAAGCAGAGAACTATCGAATTCTTCTGGCTAAAGATGTGGTACTAGTAGACAAGACGGGAAAGGAGAGAGAGAAGAAAGAGAGAGAGAAGGGAAAAAAGAGACCCGGATGTGTAAGGAACAGGCCCTGATTATAAAGCTCCCGAAGCAAGGAGAAGCGGGAGAGAGAGCAGACTTGTAGAGTCTCGCAGTGGCCAGCCAGGAGTGCAGCGTGCAGCAGAATGCCAGTAGAGGCCAGATATCCGAGGCCCCGGTCAGTAAATGGAAATATATGAAACCCGCTCACTCACTCACTCACTCACCCGCGCGAATCACCTCAATTTACCTACAGCAGCAGCAGCCCGCCAGCAAGCAGAAATGGGCAGACAAATTGAATTGATATACGGGGGGGTACAGCAGTATCGAGGAGGGAGAAAGGGAGGGAGGGAGGGCAGCCCATATCTGACACCATCAACGGATGTTCCTGACCTTCTTTCCGCCTTCTCATCCATCTTTCCATCTATCCCTTCCACTCCACCCCATCCATCCATCCATCCCTCTGCCTATACATCCATCTTGCACCAGCAGGTGCACTTCCTCCAATTCAGCTCTCTCCACCTGTGACCGTGCGTGCCACACCTCTATGTAAAGACAAAAGGCCACCTTCGACCCAGGACAGGGGTAACTAACTCACAGCACAGCAAACCCCTGTAAGTGGCGCGTGCGTGCGTGTCAGTGGCTATGCAAGGTACAGACAGCACCGCTCGTGTCTTCTGGAAGAGTCGCTAAATGGATCCGCGTCCACCTCCCCACCCAGGGCCCGCCTCCATGGGCCACCTCCGGGGGTATGTATTATATACAGTTCTCAATAGAACAAGCCCATGAAACCACTGCCTACATACTTTACTTGTTTCCGCGAACAAGCAGCTAGCCACATCTTAATCAATAGTAGCTGTGGCGCAGACACATGCCATACCGCACTCGGATGATTTCTGGGGCCATCGTACGCTAGTTACACAAAGTCAGACAGATACGATCACCGTTACCGGGTGGGCGCTATTAATAATTTGCGCGAGATGGCGTGGGCGTGGGCGTGGGCGTGGGATTATGGTTATGGGGTTATGTATGAGCGGGAAGTGATAAAGGACAGCTATCATAAAGGAATACGAGATTGCAACAAAGCCTGAGCAGTGAACCGGCTTTCTTGTATAGGGCAGGATCGAATCTGGTGACTATCGATAACTACATGTACATGTAGGTAAATACGTGGTAGTAAAGTATTCATACTCAAAGTTGGCCCGTTTGAGCTAAACAAATCTTCGATTCTGCCTGTCTATATGTATGTAGCTTCGCCGATAGCACAATGCCATGGTTAGGCATGATATATCGTGTCTGTGCAAACGTAGTAGACAAAAGTCATAGACCGCCGCTATGATACAGACCCAAGCATAAAGCGTGGTGGGCCTTTTTACTAATGCTACTATATGACAGCTTAGTTACATCCCAGGACAGGATCTGCTAGTTATAACCCGCGAATCATAGAATCCGACACAAACAGCCCTTAATGTCATGCATGAGACCTAGCAGTATGTATTTAGATACATGTAGATGTAGTACTCACCCACAATTATATACATACAAACTCTCGATATGAGACTACCTAGAGTATCTACGGGCCTACAACTCAAAGCACCAGTGTGACAAAGGTTGGAATCTAAATCTGCCAATGCTGTCATTACTAGAACAGCGCTATAGACACATGTACATATGGAAATGGCCATACGGGCATGAACCGCACTCCAGCTAAGGCCCTACCCAAGCATCTCAATTTCGACAAAACACAGATATCTATCTTCAACCCCCAGTATAGTGTATTCCACCCGCTAACTACTCCAAACCAATGAAGAAAAAACCAAACATAACATATATTACACCTTAAGCTTAGAAACCCCACAAAACGAAACGAAAAAAACTAAACCCGCTGCCTCTTCGCATCTCTCGGCCCCTCAGTGCCAGGTCCGCCTCTGAGCCGTTTCCGCGCCATATCCTCCCTCATGATGCGTTCGGCAGCGCTCATTGGCCTCTCTGGCGCCGCCGCGGCCTCCTTCTTGGGCTCCTTCTTGGAATCCTTCTTTTTGGCCGCAAAGACGTTCTTCGGTTTATTCACCGCCATCTTGATCGCGATCTTTGGCGGCTGCACCGGGGCCGGGGCCGGGGTCGCTTCCACCTTCGTCTCCGTCACAGCAGACTCCGTGACCTTCTCCATCTCGTCCTTCCCACCACTTTCCGCCGTCTCCACCTTCCTCGAGCCAAACGAGAGCTTAATCTTCTCCCCCTCCCCCCTCTTCAACACCTTCTCCTCCCCCTCCAGGTCCCTCCCAGCAGCCTCCGCATCCCTCCTCGCCCTCTCCACCTGCTCCCTAATCGCGCGCTGCTCCCTCTCCTCATCGCCCCTATCCTGCCTCTCCTTCCGCCTAATCGCCTCCTGCCGCTGCATCGCCTCAGGACTACTATCCACCCAGCTCACAAACAGCCCCTTCTCCCCCTCCTCCACCCGGCAAATCCCCTCGCGCCCCAGGTGCTTCACAAACTCGCTCAGCGAGATCCACCGCGTCGCGTTCATGTGCACGTGCTCCTTGTTGGCGATGTACTCCTGGTAGAAGTGGTTCGCGTTGATCTTCTTCTCGCCGTGGCTCGTCCTGAGCAGTAGTAGAAAGTCGCGCTGGAATTGGGTGGAGTAGTCCGTGATGAACTTTTTGGCGTTGTCGCCGATGACGAGCATTTGGCGAACGTGGGACTCGGATTGGGTGTGGCATTTGAACCCGTTTTCGTCGCGGCATTGCTTTTCGCACACTTGGCAGTACCAGCGGAGGCGTTGGAGGCCCTTGGCTTTCATTTTGTTGTTGAGTGACTTTAGGGAGCCGGCTTCGGCGCGGGGCATGGTGGGCGGTGGGCGGTGGGTTTGGGGGGTGGTTTGGTTTTAGTGTGGTTTGTGCTTTTGGTGTGCTTTGGGGTGGGTGCTGGAGATGGTGGAGAGCTGTTGTTGTTTCAGGGAGAGAAACTTGAAGCTCCAAGCTGACTTGCTGCCACGCCAAGACTGTCCTGTTAGTCAGCTCCCCCTTCCCCGGATTAACCGTTAATCCGCGGGCACCAACGACGTCTCTCAGAACCCAGAAAGAGCAGCACCACAGCACAGCACAGCACAGCACAGCGCAGTGCAATTAAGCACCGCGCAGAGAGAGAGAACACGCCCAGTTCCACATTCTACCCCCAGACACCGCATAATCCCCCCTCCACAGGCCATCACTCGATCCCCCGCCAAGCCCCCACCATCCCAAAAACTTTTGACCCGCAACGCAACGTCTTTCCCACCACGCACACCCCGCCATCCACAACACCCCGCCATCCACAACACCCCCCCGGCCACCCACCACAACCAGCACACCAACCAGCACAATGCGCGAAAAGCTCTTCACCCTCAAACGCCCGGTACCCCCCTCCCCCTCCCCCCTCCCTCCCTCCCTCTCCACACACACTAACACCCCCCACCCTCACCACAGCGCATGCGCCAATCCTGGTCCAAATGGAACCTCTACAACCTCACCCGCCAGCGCCCCCCGCGCCTCGAGCGCCGCACCTTCTTCCAGCAAAAGTGGACCTCCAAGGCCGAGACGCGCGCCTACCACGGCGAGTACCTGACAGCGCGGCAATGGCAGACCATGTTCCGGCGCACACTCAAGGCCGTCGTGCCCATGTACAGCGTGGATCTCGCCGAGCACAGCGGCGCACACATGGCTGCCGGCCGGGGCGCCGGCGTCGGCGCTGACCAAGGGGTCGGGGTGCCCGCTGTGCCCTATATGAGCCAGCTGTATTGGCCCATGGAGAGGAGGCTGGATATTGCGTGCTATCGCGCAATGTTTGCGGCGAGTCCGAGGATGGCGAGGCAGTTTGTGATTCATGGGTTTGTGAAGGTGAATGGGAAGAAGGTGAGTCCTTTTTTGTGTTTGGAGGGTGGAGTGGGGGGAAGGAGGGGAGGGAGGAGGGCTAATGGATGGGTGCGGTGCGGGGGTAGATGACGCATCCAAACTACATGCTTAACCCCGGCGACATGTTCTCCGTCGACCAGACCAAAGTCCTCTACGCCACCGGCGCCCCCAAAGTCGGCACCGGCAAGTCCGCCTCCGAATCCACCGAGTCCGACTCCGAATCCACCGAGACCCCCGAGGCCACCGAAGAAGAAGAAGGCACCTCCGCCGAGGCCTCCGACGAAGCCCCCGACCCCGTCACCCCCGACGAAGCCCTCGCCGCCCTCTCTCTCGACACCCCCTCCAGCAGCAGCAGCACGCACAAGAAAGGCGACCCCAACAACCCGGTCGACTACAGCAAGCCGTACGCGACCCCCTGGCGCCCGCGCGACTACCTCCCGCCCTTCGCCTTCATCCCAAAATACCTCGAGGTCAACCACAACACGTGCCACGCCGTGTATCTGCGCCACCCCGTGGCGCGTCCGGGGCAGACGGAGGTGCCGTCGCCATTTGGGCCCGAGGTCATGCAGTTGGCGTTTAATTGGTTCTTGAGGAGGAGGTAGAGGGGAGTATGATGGGAAGGGGGGGGGGGGGGTGTATATAGGTTGTGGGTTGTGTTAGATTAGATGCTTGTTGGTGGGTAGGATATGGTAGCATATGATGGGATAGGGCAGGGCAGGGGCTGGTCAGGGGCTGGGTAATAGACGGCCGCTGCAATCAATTTGGCATTGGTAGAGCAGTAATCTGGCTCGAGAATCGATCGCGGGGAGATGGGGGTGTGTTTGGAATTGTGTATAGCTCTTTCTTTCTGCGGTGGCGCCCGCCCGCCCGCCTCGTCCATCTATCTATCTATCTATCTAAGCTCGCATCTACATACATACATACATACATACAGGTACATTATACCTACCTGCAGGGCTTAGATCCGGACTACATGTACTGTATCTGCAGCTCCATAACCCTCTTCTATCCCGCCCTTATATATCTAGTGCCCCGAAATATAGCCCTGATACGTTAGTAACTATCGATCAAAAAGAAAGAAAAAATCGCCGTGCCTGGTTTAAGTAAAGTACGTATACATGTAGCTATGCCCAAAACAAAGCCCCCGTGGATGTACTAGCTAGGTAGTTAGACGGGCGAATCAAATAAAAAACAAATCACACTCCCCACTAACCCCCCCCCCCCCCAAACACTGCCATATGCAGTACGAAACACACCTCAGAGAGAGGGGGAGGGGGGAGGGAACAGCCAAAAATGCTGCGGCCCGCTAGAAAAAGTATGGTGGCGTCATGAGCTATCACTCGACTATCACCCACCCCGGCCACCCATACCGATGTGTGGGACGACTGATGGCTATAGGGAGGGGGGATGGTTGAGGAGAGCTAGTGGTTCGTTGTGCTTTACTTGTACTGTGATGTCCATGAATTAGCAGTATATATTGGCGGTGATACAACTGCAATAATAAGATGCAGGTGCTCAGCTGCCTTTCCGCCGGTGTGTGTATGCGTGGGTCGGAGTCCTAGGCCGATATGTAGTTGCCCCCCCCCCCCCCCCCCGCAGCGGAACCCTCGCGCCCAGATCACAGTTGAAGACGGGAGCATCGTTCTATGTACGTACAACATTGACATTTAGTTCGTATTAGTATGTGGTATGTGCCTAAAAAAAAAAAGTACATACACCTAACCCCCCACCCCCACTGCAGCAGCCGGCTCAAGTGGAGGCCGCAAGCTCTCATCTCGCCTGCAGTTATTCAAGTAAACCGAGTGAGTGGAACAACCCCGCCGGTGCGTAGGGTCCGGTCCGTAGCCTGCCTGGTGTGCAAAAGACCGATCGACTGCAGTCCTGCAGTAGATACATACATGTAGTTATTAGATACATGTATCATTATGAATCTAGTTGTAGCCGAAGTTTGTTGTAGTTCTCGTAGAAAAAGAGCTTCGGTGTGGGCGACAGCTGTCACCGTTCTCCTCCAACCGGCTGGTACGTGGCATGGGGAGGAAGGTTGACCTAGGCAGGGGGGAATATTGCGGGGGATATCTAGACACCGGATGCTCGCTCTTGTGGTAGATTACAGCCATGCAGAGTCTTGAGGGGTTGGCATCGTTGGTGCATGCACTTGGGGGATTAATGTTGGGGTTTATATCCTGTTAAGCAAACATATTTGCAACTTGAGAGGTTTTTTAGGTTTTAGACGTAAATACTAGCTATGGGGCCCGTGTCCTACAAAGTCTTGCAATTGGTTTATAGGAGTTGACAGATAGTTGTGCCAGTCTTATATCGGATTCCCATAAGCAAAATGTCAATGGTTGATCTTACACTCTAAACATTCAGACTAGGCGAGCTCTAGATATTGTGTACCTACTAAATCCTGCACATCGGAATATTCTCGTAACAACATTAGAGACATTGTGAAATAAATCATCTTTCATTATTCTAATATAGATAGTGCCATGCGTGAAAATGAAGTCAGCCACTACATGATACCAGGTCATCAACCGCTGCTATAAACCAACCCCTACTCCGCCTTTACTCTGCAGTCTAAAATCATGATAGACCTAGCCCTTTATTAGTAGGCAGAGTAATCATACAAGGATTCGAGATCCTCCGGGCCCCTCTTTCCACATCCTCCATATTATAGGTTCTCGCCTCCACCCCTCGTCTTACTATTTTTTTATAAAAAAAGACCACAAAGGAAACCGAAAAAATTACAACCTACGCACCATTAACCCTCTTCCTCCCGCCCGTCCCTTCCACCACCTCCTCCACCTTCTCGCTCAACTCCGGAAACGAAACCTTGATCTGCTCCGCCAGCACGTCACGAAAGTCCCGGTATGCCTCCATCTTCCCCTTCATGAACTGGTTCTGCTTGACCACAATCTCCACAAACTCTCTCGTGTAGATGTCCGGATTGCGCCCGTCCTCAATGTACTGTATGACCTCGCGCGGGACCGCGACGTCGGGGGGCAGCTTGGAGGCTGCGTTTGCGAGGGTGCCGTACTGCGTCGATAGCTTATTTCTATATGTTTGTCAGCTTCGGCCGCCGCCGCCGCCGCGCAAAGCGGGAGAGGGGGGGGGGGGGGGTGGAGATCGCAGCTAGCGGTACATTTGGTTCGCAAGGACGTCTGCGGATTCTGGGCCTTGGTAGCCGTATACGCCGACGGAAATCTCGTAGAGTGTTTCGATGACGGCACGGAGGTGGCCTACAAGGGTAAGTTAGTCGCGGTAGGGGGCGAAGGACAGGAATAAAAAGGTACCGTCAACGTTCTTGAGGGGCTCATTTACAGGAGGGGGTGCCATCTGCGCAAAGGAGTGTGGGGGGGTGTTGGTGGTGGAGAGGTATGAGGGGGGAGAGCTTTGTGTGTGGAGGAGAGAGCTTTCGCGCGATCGGGTCTGCTGAGATGATCTTGAGATGAGACAAGCTTTTGGCGCTAGGTTAAATCAAGAATAGAATCCACACACAAAACCCTAACCCATTCAATGTCAAGCATGTGGGAAATGTGTGAAACTACATGTATTCGGAAGCCCTTATATTTAATACATGTATGTATACCATAATCCGCCGTTGCTGAGTAGTCGGAAACCCCCATCTTTCTTGATGTGAGAGCCTCGAAATGAGGTTATATCTCTAAGATGTGCCTGGATATACTGGGTACGAAGGTCACAATCCAATACTGAATTTTTTTTTCTTTTTTCCTTTCCTTTTTTTTGTTTAATTTATTAATTGTATGGATTGCAATACTGTAGGGTAAATCGTGCCAACGTAGCACCTCACCATCATCACCAGTTTGGTTCTGAGAATGCCTCATTGAAAGAGAAAAGTCTTACATATTCTACCACAGCTCAAAGAACCCATAATTTGTACATGGGAATAAGATAGCTCAATATTCAGCACCCCCACCCACCCCGCGCTCATGAATTGGATCCGCATTCCTCTACAGCATGATATAGACAAGACAAGCCCACTCCTACCACCACCGCATACTTTTCCCCCACGCAGCAAAGGAAAAAAAAAGAAAAGAAAAGAAAATGAAAAAAAAAAATGGGCCATGCTAATAACCCGGAGAAAAAAAGAAAGAAAATGAAAGAAAAAGAAAAGCACAAAAACGCAAAACCGCCTCCCCCATACACGGGCCAGTTTTATAAACAAAACTACACTAGGCCCTCAACCCGCATGCTCGACAATCTCACTCTTCAACAGCCCGCCCTTCACCGTGTGTCTCAACTGCTCGGGCACGGGCTTCTCCACATAGTCCCACTCATCACTCCCCTCTGCCGCGTGCGGGATGTCGATGTTGATTGCAGTACTCTTACTTGTCAACACCTCAATGTCGGGGTTTGTTTTGCTCAGGTATATCGTGCCACCATCGCACTGGTCGACCTGGACCGTGGGCGCGCTGCCGTTGATCTGAAGCGAGAACGAGTTGGACTTGATGATGTCGATCGAGGACACGAGGTTGTCGACGATCACACCCGTCTTGGTGCACTCGTTGATGGACACCGCATTAATTTTGCCGTTGATCTGGATTACAGTGTTTTTACAGCGGAAGATAAAGACGGATTGGTTAATTTCGACGTCCTCGAGTACGAGAGCGCTTTCATTTTCGTAGTTCTCCTAATGCAGCGTTAATAATAGCTAAAAATGTAGCAGCAGTATATGCAGGGTGGGAGGGCATACAATCATCCACTTATTCCCATCCAACTCCTTCTTTGGTGGCTTCTTCATTGTCAGCCCTGCTGGCTTCGCTCTCGTCGGCGGTGCTGGGGACTTCCCGCGCAGGCTTCCTGAGGACCCCGGCCTCGCGGCAGGAACCACAGAACTGGCGCGCAGCGACGGGTTCTTGTGCGTCATGTCTTCCTTGCTCACCTTCCTCAAGCCCGCCGTGACATCTGCACCACGGTTGATCGCCGCAAACACCGAGCTGACAGGGTCTGCCTTAGGTGAACTGCTCCCATCAAGTGCCGCCAAATTCGGTAGTGGCGGAGGAGGTGGGGGTGGCGCCCCGCCCGAGAACCCAACAGGATTAGAACTGGAAACATCGTCCAGAGCCAACAGAGCTTCCCTTGCATCAATACCCTTAGCGTTCCATGTCAGCCCCGCAGGATACCACTTCTTCGTGTACGCCTGCAACGCGGTGATCCAGTTATATATGGAGCGCACCCACTCGGCGCCCGCAGGGTGCTTCGTCGTCAGGATGCGGTTTCCCCAAAACTGCGCTCCACCGAGGGTCTCTCCAACATGTTTTGCGGGGGCCATTTTTGCGGGGGCCATTTCGGTTGCAACCCAGGTGAGACTGGTGATACCCTCGCTAATAGTCTGTAAATAGTTAATGTGAGGTGAGCCGCGGTTGGACTCGCAAATATTGGAGGCGTTTGCCCATTCACGCTGCATCGATGTCAAGAGGTCCATGAACTGTGTGGACCCCTCAGGCTTGCGCGCTTTGGTCGTGATCAGGAGGAATTTGCGTTGTGCGGCGAAGCATTTTTCGACAGCTTTGCTCTGCAAACTAAGTTAGTGGAGCTCCTCATGGAGGGGTGTATGTGTGTGTATGTGTGTGTGTGAGATGAGAGTGGGCCATACCTGCTCAATGATGAGCGGTTCGTCAAGAGCTTTACTCTTCTCGACATAGGCCGCTACAGGGCCCGCAATGAGCTCATCAAACTCTTCAACGCACGGAGGAAGCTCCTCTTGGACAACGGGGGGCTGCAGCAGTGGGACGTTCCTGATTGTCGATGCCGCGCTCTCGGTGCTCTGGATCTGCTGCGTGGTGGTGCTGGACGCCGGGTAGCTTGGGATTGAAGCAATATCTTCGAGACGAGACGTTGCGGCCTCGAGCCTAGCTTCTAGTGTCAACAGAGCTATCTAAGAACCGGAGAAGAAGTAAGAGGGGACAAACCTCTTGATGAGGGTCGTTAGGTTGTGCATTTGTGTAGGATGGGCAGCCATGGTCGTGATGAAGTGTGGGAGTATTGAGGAGTGAGGGAGAGTAGAAACTCGGTGGTGGCTTTCAGGGGGGAAGATGGGGTGAGGGGTGAGCTTGGGTGTGTAGGGCTGGGTACTTGGAGGGGGCTGGTTACCCGGGCGAGGCCGAGTGAGCTGTGGTGAGCTTGTGGGACGTGAGGTTACAAAGTTCCATACATGTATCTAATGCATAGCACGCAGTGGGTAGTAGTACAGCGTCTCAGGAAGTGAGCACTGGATCCAATCCCCATCATGCGCTGAAGATCCCCAACTCCAGCAAATACAGAAACAACTGTGAAACCACCTTCGCATTACGACAATGCCCTTAAACATGCGATAGGGATCAATATTATTACTATCATATCACCCCCACCCCCCATATCTGCATTAGCACAGCATGTATGTACCTACATGTAGCAGTAGAGCAAAGCTTCTCATAGAACATGTTACACAATTAGTATCCCTCTCAACCCCAACCCACTCCCGCAGAGCCTCACCACCATCAAACCAAACCGACTAGGGCAAACCCTACCCACACACAACGACCCAGTCCACCCTCCGCCCTCTCCGCCAAAGCACGCATCACGAAAAAAAAAAAAGATAATACCCACTTCGCAACCACCCACCTCACACTACCCTCCCAAAACCTAATTTTCGAACTTCCCTCTTCGTCAAAAATCCTCAAATCGTACGTCTTTTTTTTCTCTTTCGCCCCCAGATGGAAACGGCTGGGAAAAAATTGATGACAGGGACAAAATTGGCTGACTGGGTGAGGAGGGAATTATAGATCAAAAAATGGATTCCGGAAAGGCTGCCGTTAAGCTCGTCAAGGTCGTCAAGGTCCTCGGGCGCACTGGTCCGTAACCTCCTCCTCTCTACCAACTTTCCAGCGATACAACCTCCCCCCCCCCCCCCCCAACCCAGAATCCAAAAACCCTAACCAATATAAACAGGATCCCGTGGAGGCGTTACCCAGGTCCGCGTCGAGTTTATGGATGACACCACCCGTTCCATCATCCGTAACGTCAAGGGCCCCGTCCGTGAGAACGACATTCTCTGCCTCCTCGAGTCCGAGCGTGAGGCCAGGAGACTGAGATAAGCGGTTTCGTGTGTTCGTTGGGGTTCTCTTTTTTCAATGTTTTTCGCTACAATATAAAAAAAATGGAATTGGGCTTCCCTTTTTTGAGTCCGGATGGAAAAAGGATTTAGGGGTGGAATGTACCGGTAGGATTTTTTTTTTTTTTACAAAAAAACAAAACTATCGGGGATTTCAACGTTTTTGGCCAATTTCTTCTCTCTGTTTTCTGGGTGTGGTTGGGAATAATGGAGTGTGGGACTTGTTGATATATCGGCGTTCAATGATTCATATTCGACTTTACGAATCGGTACTCGGGGAACCTTCAAGATTATGGATATTGGGGATATTTGAAGATTTTGGAAGAATCAGCAAGAACCGGAACTAGGTTATATATTTGCCAACTCCCAAACGCAGCAAGTCTCGAACATTCCCCCATACACGACAATTTCGTAACATATCCAATGTTTGTCGAATCCAAAAGAAGCTGCTATTATACCATGAAATGCGAAAAGAAAAAGGATGCAAAAAAGTAGAAAATAAAAGAGAAGGGACAAATTAAACAAGTGATATCAATTACCCACCTATAGCTGTGCCAACATAGTCTCCAACGAGTGCCGATCATACTTAACATATTTGTCCCTCATTAAGTCCTTATACTTATCGTAAAATCTCCCATAAAGTGGGCCAATAAACCCAATCTCTTTGGCCAGCATGGTACGTACTTCCTTATCAGGAAATGTGTACTGCTTATGTCTCTGCACAAGGTCCTCAAACGCCGTATTGAAGTTCTATCCCAAATCAGTCCTATACCACACCAAAGCTATGAGCATTGAAACTTACCTTGAACTTTTCTTTGACGCCCTCCTTCTCCTTGCTAGTTAGTGTGACCTTCCCCCCTGAGTGCTGCTTCGTGTATGTGACGTCCATCAGGTATGCTGCACATTCCTTCCACTGCTCCATATACATCTTTACGGCGTCTTTTCTCCACTTTTCGACCTTCTGCTGCGCTTCCCGGGACATAATATTCGCCAGGTCGCTCTTCCGGATATTGCTCTCGATATAGTGAACATTGTTTACCATAAAGACCGCAACCGTGGATGTCTTCTTGATCATCACCCTCGCCTTCTGCTCCAGCTCATGTATCAACTGATCAATGGCATCAAGACAGAACTGCGATAGCAGCTGCGCTCCATCCGCACCAACGTCAAAGGCCGACATTGTAGGTGCAGTATATGGCTTGTTACCATGCCAATTTCCCTCTCCCAAAGAGACCAAAAGACCTGATATCGCATTAGGATAATCTGACATTCTTCTGAGTCGGGCCATGACATTCGTAGTCAGCTCTGCGACAGTATTGTCCAATGGCAGAGCAACTGTGCTTGACCCACTTTTCTTGATGTCCTCAAGAAAGTGCGAGAAACTACTTTGCGCGGTGAGCCGCAGCGGTTTCAGGGCCTCCGTGAACTCGCGCTGCTCGCCTGTTTTTGTCTTTAGACGCAGACTGGCGGGCTGGACGTTCTCAATAACGTCGTATGCGAGGAAACAGTCTGTCACCATGTTTGCCTTGACGAATGCATTTAAATCTGCCAGGGTCTTTTTGAAGACGCCCATAGGCTGCAGCGTCGTATTACTGTACACCGTTGGCCACTCAGATGACGGGAAGAGATGGCAGATATTGTCGTACTCGGCCTCGAAGATTGCCTCGAGGGCGTTTGTGTACATCGATATACCATTCGAACCCTTATCGTACGGTGCGACAGTGACGCGGCGAGTAGTATTTACCGTTGCAAGGGCTAGAGAGGCCAAGGAGTTGGTCATGTAGGGACCACGGACTTCGGCATATATTGTGTTTGCATTGGATTGGATACCGGAGGACTGGGCGAGTGTTGACGAGAGAAAATCATTGAGCACCGCAAGCATGTTGACCTTCTCAGAACTAAAAGTCGGGAACGGCAGTTCCTTTGTGATGTAATGGAGTGGTTCGACAGACTTGGACTCTTCTGCCAATGCTTGCCTGAATAGGTCTTCCAGCTGCAAGCTTCCGGCTTTGAGCAGGCCGGTCTTAATTCCGGGTTAGCCAAAAGTGCTCTCTATTTTTTTTTCCAAGTTGTGGGGACATGGATGTGAATGCAGACCATCTGCCCGACCGCTTTCTGGGAGCTTCTCAAGTTAGACTTTTTTAAAGTCCCCATTGCCTCGTTGATCCTCTTGAGAGCAGCAAGATACTCGGTCAATCCGGTCGCCTTAGGTCTATTGAACGGATGAACAAACAGAGTAAGCTATCCATCGTATTGTGTATTATAAAAAAAAAAAAAAGTTGAAGGGTAAAACAGAAAACATTGCCATCGAATGACAAGCTGCAAGAGAACCCACCCCCGACGAATGACGCCTTCCTCTTGAGAAACGACATCTGCAGGTTGTCGTATCTTATCGATTGCGGCTATGGCATCATCGATATCTGTCAAAAGTGTCCAGTTCATCAGCCTCCGTCATCGCGCCGCCCCACAAAGAATTTTTTCCCCCATCCCGCCAGCGAATAGAATCTGCTCACTCCCAGCAAGGGCCGTCAGGGACTGTGTCTTGCTGTAAATCGGTTTCACAGCCTGTTCGACATTCTGGGCGCTAGCTGACAGCTTCTTCAAGCTTAACGAAATCTTGGTAGTGAGATCTGCGGTCTTCAATAGCTTCCTGTGGGGAGGGAGGCAGGTAACGAGAGGTGAACCCTGGGGTCAGGAAATGAATTGCTTCTAGAATGCTCGCGGGGGGGGGGGGGGGGGATGGATGGGGTGGATGAGACTCACGACTCGAGAACCTCTACCTCAGCAGACAGCTCGTCCATCCGAAGGCCGTTCATGATGGACGTCAAGGGGGGTATGTTAAGGGACTTGTGGGGTGGACTGTGGGGGAGAGAACTACAAAGACTTTGACCCTGGGGGTGGGTGGGTGTGAACGGGTGAGCGAGCGAAAAGCTGTAAGGGGGGGGGGGTAAAATGGTAGTTTAGTTTGGTACGTAGGATAGGTAGCTGTGTTGAGTGGTTTGTTTCCGACGAAGAGAGCGTTGTCGTTGGACCGTCGGTGAGATGTCTCACCCCTGTTTGGTGGTTTCAAGCGTGCATATCTATCTTACGAGGGGACGCGGCGGGAATTGAGTTCCCCCAACCAAGAACCTTTTCGCAGTGTTCTAGAAAACGACACACTGCATGCCAAGTCTAGACCAAGACCCAGTCGGATCCCCCCACGGTTCGGAGCCTCTCAATACCCGGATCTGTCTTCCTTGGAAGGGGAAATAATAACTTTATTCATTGTGTTACTATTACTCTCTCCATGCACCTACACATGTGCAGTCTTTTGATCTTCAGAACTCGGCAATAGTTGGGAGAATGATGGCTAGCCAGGGAACACCGATTTTCAGTATTTTTATACGAAAATCCTCTCTTCATGCTGGCACAAGCTTATTGCTCAACCCATTGTGTACCTTGGACATGCATCGTCTGGGCCCTCGTCAGTCAGGACCCTACTCGTCAGACTCTCCAGGCGCTCGGGCTTTGTGCCATGCCTAGAGAGAGCGAGGTGATGTAGGTCCCAGCCTACCACCAAACAACACACGCAACAAGGGTTTTAGATCTCGAGTCATAGATCTCCTCATCCAAGCTTTTTCCTTGTCATCTCGCCTAAGAAGGGCCTACTATGCAACAAGCCTTCGACAAGAAAAGTAAAAAATAAAAAAAAAGAAGAAAAAAAGGGTTCAGCTTACATAGTTTAGTCCATTTCACAAGCTGGTGGTGGGGTTGGTTGCAGGAAAGGGACCTTTCCACGGGCTGGACTGGCCAGTAGGGAACCATCAGGATGATTGGAAGCGGGCTAAGGTATAATGACATCAGGGCGCGTGCTCTACCAGTAAGGCGAAACAGAGCCGCACGTTTTTTACCCTCCCTCCACACCGGAACCAGCCGCAAGTTCCAATGCAATGAGAAACACCCCTTCACCACCCCATCTGCGGCTATTTGCTCTCTCGTCCGACTCTTTCCTCCCCCTGTCCGGGGGTGCCTACATATATGTGCATATATCTACTCATAATGGGGGTTGTATCTCTCCCCCCCACACCTTGTCCTTCGTTCAATTCCCGTCCTAATAATCATTCACCTACTACTATTACTACATCTCCACTACTACGTCTGCTGCTACTACTTCTGGCTAAGATAAGTTAGTATCTAGCGTGTGCTCCACAACCGACACAAATATCATTACCAGCATTATTAAGCATCACATATCACGAACCTGTTAAATCCGCCATCCGCTCAACGCCTTTTTACGAATAAACATCACTACCTTTTTACTATTTCCACCTGAACGAATATCAGCTCTTGTATATTTCTTACAAAAGATTTAAAAGAAATTATATATACATTCATAAAATACACCCTCAAATGCCACACTCCGAAGCCGATATCGATGGAGCCTATTCCACTACCGGCTTCACCTGTACATCCTGTGATGTGACATTTGGTGATCCTGATGACCTCAAATCTCATTACACTAAGCATCCCAAGCACCACTACTGTGACCGATGCCAAATGCACTTCTCCACGTACGAGCACTTGCTCCAACATCTCCTCGACTCACCCAATCACAACATTTGCATCACCTGCCGCCTCGACTTCCGCACGCCCACCTCCCGCAACCAGCACTTCCGCACATCCCCTAAACACATCTTCTGCGGTCGTTGCAACGAACACTATAGTACCGCCGCCGCCCTTTCCTCCCACCAGGAGCGGTCCCCGCACCACCACCACTGCCGCGCCTGTGCCCTCGACCTCCCATCCCACAAGGAGCTCCTCCGCCACTATAAAGCTGACCCTACAAAACACCTCTACTGTATCCCCTGCAATGAACTCTTTCCCACAGTAAAGCACCTTCGTGCTCACATCAAGGGCAAAAAATGTAACCATTTCTGTGACCGCTGCAACACCCACCATCACACAACCACCTCCTATAAATCTCACATTGCCACTTCGCCCCACCACCATCCGTGCGACCGCTGCAGCGCCGACCTCCTCTCCGCTGATGACCTCGCCGCACATCAACGCCACGCCCACCCGTTTAAAAAGGTCTCCTGCAAATCACCGGCGTGCATGCGCTCTTTCGAGACAAGAGAGCAGATGCTAGCCCACCATGCTAAGATGCACAAGCAGTTCCATACCTGCCCTGTTGCGAGCTGTCGTGAGAATTTCATGAGTGAGGGCACGATGCTGTCACATTTTCAGCGAGCACACAAGAACCAGGTGCGCTGCAAGGCGGCAGCCTGCGTGGACTCGTTCGAATCGATCGAGGACATGCTTTCTCACTACAGCAAGTGTCACCGACTGCTGAAAGGGTTCCCATGCTTTAATTCACGGTGTACGAAGATCTTTAAGACACTACCAGAGGCAACGAGACACTCGAAGGAGCCACATTTGGCGTGCGCGGTGAGGGAGTGTAGGGAGGTGTTTCCGAATAGGCAGGGGATGGTTACACATATGTTTGGGAAGCACTCGGCGTGTGGTGTGTGTAAGGAGAAGGGCGGAGAGAGGTGGGTGTTTGGGGACCGCTGGGAGTGTGAGGAGCATTTTAGGGAGAGCGCGCATTTGTATTGTTGGCTGTGCGCGGAAATGTTTTTAGAGAGGGGGATGTTTGAGAGGCATCATGAGGAGAAACATAGGGATGGGAGGAAAGAGACCGTGGAGGAGGTTGAGTAGTTGTGGATAAGTTCAATCCCCTTTGTTTTTTGCTTCCTTTGGTGGTGGCTTTTTAACTTGTATATAATGATGTGTTGGTACATATTTTAGTTTTAGTTTATAGCGTCTAGTCTACTTTTCTCTTTATTTTTTTATATTTCTCTTCTTTACTTTACGGCCTGGTTTTACCCGTTACATGCATTCACGACATTTACGACGACATTCATTATCCTATATTTTCTTTGTATGTACCCATACCCTCCTTTATACCCTTTTCCTTTTCTCAGACCAAAAGTCACATCTGGACATGAGCGTACGGCGTTGGTGGGCAAAAATAATATCTACAGTTGTTAATAAAAGTATATCTGTCAAATGAGTGGACCAATCAATCAGTCAATGAGTAATTTTATCAATCGTCAGATCAGGCTAGTGGTTGTCGCGCGAGTGATATTCTATGCATACTAGTGCGTGGTAAGCTAGAGTCTTGCTAGGCTCGTCCCCAACCCGTCTTCTTTCATGCTTCCATCGGACGGGGCAGCTTGCTACAAGTACGGGACGGGCACGAGACTAGGGTCTTGCCACTTCAGAGGTCCAATTAGTAGAGTACATGTAGTGGTCGACACACTAGCACCCAACCTAATTTGTTTGCAGAGTCCTGGTAATCGACCCCTGTCAAACCTTATTTTTATTTCAGGGCAATGTTTCAAAATGGCAATTGAAACATTATCGAGGAGATGACTACTTCCTTTGTATCTTAGAAACGATGACACTTGGCACCACGCCCATGGGCCCACCCTGTACACGGGATGCTACATGTAGTTGAGTTCGGAGCCAGGGCTAGATGACCCCACGTTTTCTTACGGTTGGCTACATGTACATACATGTAGGTCATAGTTGGCACAGCGAGTTAAAGTACAGATATCACTTAGACTTGGAGTATCAATGAGAAGAACCCATCCCATCTTCTCCCTTCAATCAACACCCTATCCCGTATACCTCCCTGGATTTGTCACTGGATTCACGGATCGTCTCTCGCCAATCACACAAGTCCCTCATCCCAGGTGCCCAAGACTCATCAGATGAGCTCCCCCTGACAAGTTACCAGTATGTACATATGTACCATGAAAGTCGAGTTAGTTGTAGATAGAAACAGAAACTAACTACATGTATAGATTACCCAGACCCCTCATAGTTGAGGCTTGTAACTTCACAGTTTCTCACTCGGACTCGGTGAACTTATAGCCCCGCCAAGCGTACGGGCCGGGATCGATACACAATCGAATCAACTCTGCCACTCTCTATCCATTTGCTTCGCAACCCGTAAACGATACATGATAGATCTACTTAAATCTACATACAAATCTCTCGAACGTGGGATTAGAGTTCATCTCGCGTAGCACGGGACGATCCAGTACGGGGATAGTCGGTGCCAAGACCTGTCATGTTACCGTCCGTACCTGCATGTGCTGTGCTGTGCTGTGCGTGTCTCCCCGCCATCCTCATCCCCCACTACATTAGGGAGTTGAACATCACCACCACGGTCAATGATTTTTTGTTGATTGACAGCAGCAAACATTCAGGATACCCACCACCGCTCTGAAGAACCGTCTCCTCTACTCCACAACCCACAATGTCCTTCTGCTACACCTGCAACCGCTCCTTCACTGGCCCCCGCTCCCTCCGCCAACACCACAAAACCTCTCCTAACCACTTCTTCTGCAACCGCTGCCACGCCGTCTTTGACAGTCGCACCGCACTCACCCAACATCTCAACAATTCTCAGCTGCACAACATCTGCCCTCTCTGCCCTCTCATGGACTTTCACACGCCCTCCGCCCTCATTGCACATTTTGTGCACTCCACCCGCAAGCACTTCTACTGCGAACGCTGCACCCGCCATTTCCCCACAAAGACCGCTCTTAATTTTCACAAAACCGACTCGCACAAGCACCACCTTTGCCGTCCGTGCGGGCTTGACTTTGCCACCTGGGACGGGTTGCGCACGCACTACATCCAACAACCGTCCGCGCACAATTACTGCGCGCGCCATAACCTCCACTTCACTGACGCCCGCACAATTAGACAGCATTACCAAGAATCGCCCGAGCATAATCAGTGCGAGGGGTGTCGCCGTGACTTTGTGAATGCTAGGGGCCTGAGAGAGCATTGGGTGCAGAGCCCACTGCACCATTATTGTCAGCGCTGTGATCGACACTTTTCCGATACAGGGGCGTTAGGGCAACATGTTGAGAACTCGGGGAGCCATCATGTGTGTGCGGTGTGTGATATGGATTTTGAAACTGTGAGGGGGCTGAGGGAGCATTATGTCCAGTCGGAGAAGCACCATTATTGTCACAGGTGTGATCTGATGTTTCTCACCGCTTGGGCGCTGCAGAAGCATTATGGTGACAGCTGGGAGCACCATATTTGCAACCTCTGTGGGAAGGATTTGAAGACGAAGGATGGCCTCATTAGTCATGAGGATCAGGTGCACTATTGAGGGAGTGGGACTGGGTAATGTTTTCTTCTTTTTTTATGCCTCCATTATGGGTCTTATGTGGCGGGCTAACAACCATTTGGGTTATTATTCTTGCTTTCTTTGCTTTGATTCTATGAGCTTTATTTTATTTTAATTTTTCTAGCCTAGACGATATGTAGGGTGGGCGTTCGGTAACCTTATATGGACTTGCTCTTTGTTTTTAGTGGGGCAGATATTCCTGGCTGGATGCATGGTTTCAAGCCCATCAAATAACAAGTATCATGCACTAGTAAGGGCGGTCAAGTTTGCGTCTAAAGGAACCCCTGATAGAGAGGAGTGGACTGCAGCTGGACTGACTCTTTTATTATACGGTAAAACACAGTCAGGGCCTGTTGAAGATTCGCATAGATATCACTCAGTCCCAAGATCGTGGGTAAATTCTCGCGCTGCTTGTTTTATCCATCATGTCTACACTTGAATGAAAGATGTTATGATATTTATCGAAAATTGGCTCCCAAAAAGAAAGTATCGTACAAATTAAGCTAAGGACCACAGTCTGTCATCCATCAGTACACCCTGCCAAGGATCGACAAATATATATATTTATATATATGTATGTGTGTGTGTGTGTGTGTTGGAATGGCAGGTCCCTTTATGTATGTTAGGGAAATGGCTTTGTAGAATGCTAAGGTCCTGCAGCGCCGACTATCTTCAATCCCAATGGATCACCCGAATAAGCCAACCAGTACTTGTTCGGGTGCCAGGCGACATTAGGGACTGGATGGCTTGTAGGGACCGTATACACATGTTCACCAGTGTCCAGATTTGCCTATTTTTGTTATTAGTTGTTTAGTATATATAGATATACAGAAATTGAGGTTATAAACTCACGATATCAATATTAACGGCCCCCGGTTCATCGCTTCCAGCGCAGATATACGCACCGTCAAATGAAATACTTAGATTTCTGACAGGGCTTTCCATGTTTCTTAACGTGCGTTGGCAGATCCATTCTTTGGTATCCCAAACGCTCACAACAGCATCACTTCCACCAACTGCTAAAGTAGATCCACGAGGGTCAAGCTCCAGGCAGAAAGCACCAGACGAATGCGCTTCTACCGTATAAACGTGTTCTAGAGATGGCCAGTCGCGGAGCACAACATGTCCCTGGCCAGTGGTAAGAAGTAGAGTATCTCCAGAATGTGAGAATATAATTTGGTTTGTTTGTGTTCCTTCTTTATGTGTTTTAAGAATTTGCGATGTATTGCGTGGATCAATAAAGTGTATTTTGTCATCCTAATCAAAACCTTAGTAAGGTGGCTTGTTGTCAAGGGTCTGGAATGGTTATTACTTTTGTTCCTACTGCAACAACGGAGCCTTCGGGATGATATGCCAAGCTGATATTCTCGCCGCTAGTTGAAGTGATTCCCAGGCACTTGTTACCTAACAAATGCTCGCTTTAGCGTCTCGTTCGTTGAGGGATAGATTAAATGCGCTGCTATCACTTACTTCTGTAGTCCCAGAACCTAACAATTCCGTCTCCTCCACAGCTTACTAGCTTATCTGCATGGGTTGGGTCCCATGCGACTCTATCTACACCCATAGAATGACCTTTAAGTTCGGTGCTGTTACGGATTTCCGGCTTTTCAGGATTCCACACCCGTACCAGCTTATCGGTCAGCCCGCAGGCTATTCGGTTCCCCAAGATATTCCATGCGATTGAGCGGATAGAAGTGTGTGAATGGTTGCTCGATCTATGCTCGCGATACTCTCTGGTTTTCAGACCCGCAAAGAATTGGGGAGCTGGGATGGATTTCATCATCAGCTCTGATGCACTATCGTTCTTTTGACGATTATTGGAAGATGGATTTGACGAGGACACGGCTGGTTGTACATGGGAATTCAAGGCAATACGAGGGACTGGTGGGGAAGACACACCCTCTGCCGGAATGGCAGCAGGAGAGCGTGTGATGGAGGATGATCGAGCGCCGCCCTTAGGGTAGTAATGGTGACTGTTCATCCGCAGCTGATTTGAAGTACGAGAGCGGGAGTGGGAAGCATCGTTCATTGTAAAAGAGGAATAAAGGAGGCCCAGGAAGTGAGTGGTGTAATTGATGGATGAGGGGGACGAGACGGGTGGATGCGGGGGGATATGAGAAGGATGGAGGGATAAAAGCAGGAGATGGTGGTGGTGACGATGCGAAAGATAAAGAAAGTTGAATGTTTTCAGGCGTACCTCTCTCTTTGGGCCATAATTTGCGTGGAGGAGGTGGAGGAGCCATTGCGTATGGTGTGGATACAAGAAAGAAAGACGTGTAATATCGTGCTAACTAGTGGGTAGCCGATGCGAGGTCTGCACGAGCTCAGGCTACTTTTCCCTATGATGTTAGACTCTGTAGTTCTTGAAAGGTTGCGGCTCTTAGGGCTTCGCGTCTTCGCGTTGCGGCCCAGCGTTGTTGTTGGTTGCTAGGGTGGCGCAAGCCAAGCATTGTGAACGCAACTGCCAAATACGAACAACAAATATTGCATTTGTCTAAATGGATCTAGTCAGCTGATTCCTGTATTCCTACCGCATTTTTCATTGATCCCTCTCACAGCAGATTTATCAAAGCTCCCAACAAACGATCAGTGCATGCACATGTCACAACCTACATGTTCTACACGTACTCGCACGTCAATTATGTATTTGCCCAACCAGCAAAACACACCAAAAATCGAGGTTTTCAACAACTCATAAAAAGCCCCACACCTAAACCAAAATATCAACGACCAAGCATAGTATAATTTTGATAAAGGAGGTCCATGCTTCAAATTCTTGGCCCAATTGAGATACTGGTAAAGGTGCCATAAAAGGACCCTTTTAGACACATTTCACCTTCAGGGCTTGTTCTTTGTAGATATGGCCTAAAAGTGGCCTGTAGAGTCTTTCAGGTGTCTAGATAGAAGACACATAATTTCAGGGGAGATGGAAAAGCTCTCTGGATTCTGTGTGTGTTTTGCTGGTTGCGCAAATACATACTTGATATGCGAGTACATGTATGAATATCTTAATTGCCATACTTAAACTACATGTACATACATATACTTGCAATTGTATATTTCGGAGGGGTTTAGGTCATACGGTACCAAAAAGGGGATGTAATAGGTACTTGACTATACCAATACGGAATTATGCAAAACTTCCGAATTAAATCGGAATCCTAACTATTATACGTATAGCAATACCGTAGCAATACCACGTAACCTTATGATATTTTGCCATATATGGTACCGCAAAGGCTCGATAGCTGTGCCCGGGCTCACCTATCGAATTCGAGCTCTCTGTTTGGTTCCTTTACGTTTCTCCATTATTATTCACCCTGTATTTTTGGTTTAAGCCCGGGCTAGTCACCTATCGGGTTTTACGGTACTGGATCCGCCCGCTTTTTAGTACTGTAGGTAAAACTACATGTACAAGTAGCAGATACTTTTAGCGGATATACTGCGCCAGTCAGTGAAGTTTGTATAGGCAAAACTTGCTGGCACTTTTTCCCTTTGCATTTTCACTCGCTGACCGGCGACACCCCTGTGCTGATGGGATTTGGCTATTGCAAAATGGGGTTCTGTATAGGAAGATATACCTGTAGGAATTAACTCATCCAGCTCTCTGCCGGCTTTGGGAGAAGCGGAAAAATACAGTCACGAACTTCCTTATTTCGAACTAGATTCCTGTAAAGGGTAGATTCTTCTCACGGGAACTGACCAACGCCCACTCTGTATAGCACTTTTTCCCCTACCAACACTGACAAAAAAATACTCTTCTATTGTACTCTCACAAACACTAACAAACGGCCTTTTTTCATATTAGATACATGTAAGTACAACTGACCGCTGACATCCAGACTTCACTAACCGGCGCAGTACATATGTATGTAAATTACATGTAGATAACACTGTACTATAAGTATGTGACCTGCACGCAAATACATGTGCATGTATTCCACCGCTAATTTATGAACGATTGATATGTACAATATGCACTTAAGTGTACTTGTTTATAGGGTACGGTAATGCTAGGGGGAGGGGGAAACTTACATACCAAGTACATGTATCTATACCAATACGGTGATCTGTTTCATTTTTCTATTAATGACACTATCGAGATCATACATGCATGAAGACTCAGAAGACCTATCTCAGCCGAGTGACATACTGTGACTAACGCCAAGCCTATGCGGAAGCACCCGTCCCCACCAAAAAGTCTTCAACATTGAAAGTTCATCTACCATTCAGCGCACGTATTCCTCACAATGCCACCAAGATACAGCATATTCGCCGCCTTTCCGGCCCCTTCGGCTTTTCTTCGACACACGGGGGCCCGTAAAATTACTATAAACCCTTCGCCCCCTCGTGGTAGCTTCCCCCGCTTTGCTGATGCCATGGAACGCAATGGCAAGCCCTTCAGCGAAGGGTTAGACGCTCGATTACAGCTGTTAAGGCCTCAACAGCCCACTGGACAGCCTGGAGCGGCAGAAGAAGATAAGAGGGTTGCTGATAACGAACTCATCATGACGAACTACAGGTTTGCACAAGGTGATACCTATGCGCCGCATGATCTGAGTTTCCAAGAGCAAAGGAAGAGGAGGGCAAGGAAGACACCGGCCTTTGATGCGATGGACCTGTTGGGAATCAACCCCATCAAAGAGTACAGGGTAAGTGAATTGGAAGTGAACGGGAGAAAGTGAAATGGAAGCTAATGACAAATAGAACTTTTCGATGATGTCGGAATATGTCACTGAGTTGGGTCGTATCAAACACAGTAGTGTGACAGGACTGCGACCGGTAAACCAGAGGAGAATGGCCAAAGCGATTCGAAGGGCGATTGGGTTGGGTCTTATGCCGGCGGTTCATAGACACCCTGAGGTTATGGGGTATGCTAAACCGGATAGGAAATTTATACCTAAGGATTGGTAAGGGGGGGGGGGGGGGGCTTGTGTAAATAACTGTATGTGTGTTGGTATATATCACTTTCTTCTCTGTCTCCGATCGATTTTACATAGTGGGGAAGGAATAAGTGTTTCCAACTACATGTAATTGCATACGATAACAAATGCCTAAACAGCTCGCTGCCCCTAGATATGAGGAATGGTGTTAGAACGAGGAGCAGCTAATGGAATATCTGTGAAAGTGGGGCTATAGTGTTGGGCACACAAAAGAAATCCCGTTAAATACTGGGAAGCATGACCGAGTCATTTAATCCGACTACTCACATGTAGAAATATACCTAATTGACACGTAATCGAGCGTAACTGCGGTGCCATACTCATAGAATATATGTAGGTACTTACACATACCTGAGATTATATGATCACTAACCGCAACTAGGTCTTCTGTTTATGCCATAGTCTAAGACTGCATGCAGAGTTTTGTACCTAGAATCAATTAAACTACATGATTTAAAAAAAAAAAAAAAAAAAAAAAACTAGGTCTTCTGTAATCTAGACCATGCGCTGAATTTAGAGTTGGGAAGTTTAGGTCCTCAGAGAGTACATCTGCGGGTACATACCTGTCTTAATCTGCTGGAACACGGAACGGTCGAAGTATTAGGTTTCGCGGCGCAGAATTCAGAACGTTCCGGATGCAGGGATCTGGTCAGGAACGGCACGTGCCAAAATCTTCCGGAACATTGCCAAGCAGGCTACCATGCACAGTAAAGCGGCGGAGCAGCGTAAATATAAGGAGGTGGGTTCCCTCCCTCCCTCCTGTGAGTGGGAAGGGACGAAGTCCTTCAACCTCATGACTCGATATACGGATACAGAACAGAGTAGCGACAAAGACGAGAGATTCGAGCACAGATTGGCCATCACGACGAGAGTGTATTCCTTTCTTTTCCTGCAAAGTTCACGGCACAGCAGCGAGCAGGCAGCGACCAGCACAACCACGACTCGACTGTATTCAGCGAGTCTGTTTAATGTCACGAGAACACAGTAACTATTTCCCAAGTAACCTAGCAGGGAAACCACCGACAATCCAACCTGTTGCGCTAGCGGCTCAACTCAACCTGTTGTCCTGACCTAAGTCAATCTGGCACGTTGAGCCACATTGTCATAAAGTAGAACGAGAATACGGTGTAACTCTAGATCTAGACTATACAGACTATACAACTAGACTAGACCTCCTAGACTTCTAATAAACCATCCTCGCTTCGTTCTGCCTCTTGGGTCTTTAGTGTGACCTGAGAGAACAGAACACCCCCCACAATGTTGAGCAAACCTGCTACTAGGACTGTTCCTCACTTCCATCGTGTGATTCCGAGGATCCCTTTGCTTGGACACCAGATCTCTTTTATCCAACGCCGCCACACGAGCACCTCAGGAAACGAGGGGGCAAAGAGTCCGGGAGAGGACAGAGCAAGCAACACCGGGAATGAGGCGGATGGGAGTCTTTCATAGAGAGTATCCCTATTGGAGGGGTAAGATTTGTTACCATGAATCTCCTTGGCCATAGTCTGAGTGTTTGTGAGAACGTGAACGAGAAACTCGGAGAAGTGAACGAGGGTTTGAAAGAGATTAGAGGATGGTTCAAGTGGACTTGGGGACTCTTTTTTACGGGAGTAATTTATAAGTGGATTCTTTCTACCCTTGTACTGACAAATTTGCTAGCTTGGAGCAAAGGTATTCTTTGACCGTGACACGGAGTTTAGGATGGAAGAGAAGATAAAGGAATAGATGGACGGTCTGGACACGAGAATCGAAAAGAAGATGGACGAGCAGGAGGCAAGAATGAAAGAATATATAGGGATTGGTCTGATTCAGCTTCGATTCGGCTGGAAATGAATAATGATCCTTTAAACGATCAGGTGAATTCCAAGAGGAAAGGGTGGTTTAGTTGATCGTGTCTTTTTATTTTTTCCACGAGGTGTTCGTTCATTGGTTAAAAAAATACAATTTAGGTGGGGCAGTTGTTTGTTAAATAGATTTCTATTGATTCATTTGGGGGGACCCCCTGAGCGCAGCGAACAACGAACTGAGTGAGGCGATAGGTGAACGAACTGAGGAGCCTGGGCGACGAGAATAGCGGTGCGCCGCTATGGTGAACGCAAGCGTTCCCAGCAGATTAAGACAAAAAGCTGACTACATATGTAATAAGTCTGTTTTCCCGACAATGAAAAATTCCATTGTTTATTTCCTGTTGCAACGAATATCACGATATTCGACCGTCTTGGCACAATATGTGAGATTCTTGTCATCCAATTAGAGCCCCAATATCACGATCTAAAATACTCAGACCAAAATATCACCATGCTAGCACCAAATTCACAACCAAATTCACCAGCCACAACTGTTGTATTGCCAGAGCTCTCATTTATATGAATTTATACTCATCGAGACACCATTGTGGCTTGCGAAGGCTTGTTGTATTATGGATAGCAGAACACGCCCTAAATTGGCAGGTCTTGACCTCACAATATCTGAAGTGGACGCGGCCTTAGTCATTTCCAATTCAGGAAATTCTTTATTCATTTCATTAATTCTTTACGAAAATTATTTTCATTTTCACAAAAGGGCAGCATAATTTCACTTTGGGGAACTCTCTCTAGTAGTCTGAAGGAAAAGTTTCACTACTATTATAAATAGAAGGGCCCCAAAGTAGAGAGTAGAGCAAGGGTCGTCCGCCATAAAAGATACCAGGATTGGAAACTGGGAGGGCCGAGGTCATAAACAGGCATTTCGTTGGGGTGGCAGTGATTGGCGGGAAACGATCTAACGCTTCGTCACCTCTCCTATCCCTCCCCTCTCCCTCTTCTTCTTCTCTACCCCCATCCCCACTCCCCCCCCTTGAACCTGTCCGTAATTCAATCTCATCAACCCTCTTTCATTCATTCGCTCAACCTTACTCTCTCGCTCATTCACAAGCCTACCAGTAAGCTTGTAAGCTTGTAAGCTCGCCATGTACAATGCGACGGGCTTCCTGGGTGCGAACGGCCAACAGGCTGGTCAAGGCCAGTATCAGCAACAACCGCAGCAGACTGGTTTCCCAGGTCAACAGCAAATGATGCCACAGCAGACTGGTTTCCCAGGCCAGCAACAGCAAATGATGCCACAGCCAACGGGATTTATGCAATTCCAACAAACAGGATTCCCAGGCCAGCAAGCTCAGCAGCAACAATTTCAAAACCAGCAACAGCAGCAACAACCGCTTCAACAACAATACACGGGGTTTCCAAATGCTCTTCAGGGATTTCCAAGTCAGCAGGGAATTCCTCCGGTACCCCAGTTGCCGAATATGACTACGTTTTCACCACCACCGCAACAACAAAACCAACCACCACCACCGCCTCAGCAATCTACTACTCCAACCCCCAAGAACCTCGCAAAGATCCCGAATATAAGGCTGAGTTTCATTACTGTCGCCGATCAAGCGAAATTTGAGCAGCTGTTTAAGGCTGCAGTAGGTGATGGGCAAGCACTACCAGGTAAGTAGCCCATCCGAGCGCTATTACTAGAAACTAGGTCTAACACCTGGAAATAGGCGATACCGCGAGAGATATCCTTTTGCGATCTAAGCTCCCGGCACAAGATCTGCATCAAATTTGGCAGCTTGCAGATACCACCAAGTCCGGGCAGTTACTCTTCCCCGAGTTTGCTTTGGCAATGTATCTCTGTAATATGAAGCGTAACGGGAGAACATTACCTTCAACACTCCCCGAAGTTGTCAAGAATGAGGTTAGCGGTATGGTCGACATTATTTCGTTCGGTATTCCAGATTCCGCGCCGGCCGCTCCTGCGAGGTCGAACGTTCCCAGCTTTGAGGTCAGCGCCCCAAGCCAGCAACCACCTGCGAGACAGAATACAATCCCCCCTGCAGGGTTTGGTCAAAACCAGACGAACAACTCACAACTCTTGGGAATGAATATGAGCACGCAACCAACCGGCTTTCAACAAACCGGATTCCAGCAGCCTCAACAGACTGGATTTCAACAGCAACCAACCGGATTCCAACCACAGCAGACCGGATTTCAAGGGGGTCTTCAATCCCAACAAACAGGATATCCAGGCCTTCAATCTCAACAGACGGGGTTTCCCGGGCTTCAAAACCAGCAGACTGGGTTCCAGACTCCATCGTTACTGACATCTCAAGCAACTGGATATCAGTCTAGTATTGGTTCTTATAGTGGGTCGATACCCCCCCCTCCCCCGATTCCAACCGGTATGTCTTCACTGTCTGTCGGGGGGCCGCTCCAAGCCCAGCCTACGGGACGTCCAGGACAATGGGGTTTCGTTAATGCTCCTACGAATATTCTTGGTGGTATTGAGGCTCTGCAGCAGCGTATGATGCCACAGAAAGGCCGGGAGGGTGGATTTAGTATGCAAGGACTACAGGGAAATGCAGTGATTCCATGGTCAATCACAAAAGTTGAGAAAGAAAAGTATGATATTGTCTTTGAAGGCTGGGATGGCTTTCATAAGGGATTTATCACCGGTGACACCGCAATCGAGGTTTTTGGGCAGAGTGGATTGCCAAAAGAGGATTTAATGTCCATCTGGACCTTGGCAGATACAGGAAATAAGGGAAAGCTTAATAAGGACGAGTTTGCTGTGGCAATGCATTTGGTACTTGCGATTTGTGGTTATTCATACATGCTGTCAGATTACTAACTTTACTAGATCTTCCGTAAGCTCAACGGATACGATATCCCCGCCCGCCTCCCCCCCGAATTGATCCCACCATCTACCAAGAAATTTTCAGAGTCTCTTAATACTGTAAAGTCATATCTTCAAAAAGGACAGACAGCAAACGCTCTTCAATCCCAATCAACCGGCGTCAGTTACATGAAGAGTCGTTCTTTCCATAGTGACACTAATACCAATGCTGGCAAGAAAGACGGAACAGTATACCGTTTTGATGACAATGAAGTTGCCTACACATCTAACGCCCGCCATCGTGCACGTGGCGGTAGATCACCATCCCCAATGCCGGGCACTTCTGCATCTCCTGCACCCGAAGAAATGTCCCTTGACCAGCTCCGTAAGAAAGTACGAGAAAAACAAATTCTTCTCGAGGCTGTCGATATAAAAGATGAGGCCGAAGGCGAGAACGATGAGATTCTTGATAGGCGTGATCGTAGGGACGCGGACGACCTCTACCGGAGGATCAGAAGGGTTCAGGAGGACATCGATTCACATCCCAATGCTGGACTTACTGGTGGGGATTCTGAGGCCGAGAGAAGGCAACTAAGGAGGCAGTTGCAGAACCTTACAGATCGCCTTCCAGATCTTGCAAGCAAAGTGAGAAAGACAGAAAGAAACATTGCAGACACTAAGTTGGAATTATTTAGACTACGAGATGCAAAGGCTCACCCAGGATCTGCTGCCTCTATTATAGGAACTGGACCTGGAGGCTCAATAACCGAATCCGATAGGATCAAGGCGAAATCCAGGGCCATGATGCAGCAAAGACTCGCGGCATTGACAGGGAAGCCAGTTGCACCGAGTGGTGACGATGACGAGGGTGGCTCCAGGAGACTGGCTGAAGAGACTCAAAAAGTGAATTCCGAAAAGGAAAGGAATGAGAAGATGATTAGGGATGTGGAAGAGAGTTTGGATGACTTTAAAAAGAATCTAGAGGATAGCATTAGGGACATACCTGCGGAGAGTGGAAGTAGTGCCATTACTGACCACGAGAGAAGGAGGTGGGATGAGGCTTTGGGCGTCGAGGACGAAGTCAAAGAATTCATTTTTGATTTACAAAGGCAAAGCCGTGTTGCTAGGGACAAACGTGAAGAGTATGCTAACCCCTGATTTTATTTCCGGGAGATTTACTGATATCTTTCAGCGACCGTCGTTATAATGATCGCCCAAGAACAAACTCTTCTAGAGCAGCTGAGGAGCCGACAAAGACTTTATCATCGCCTCCTCGCTCCTCAACTCCTGCTTCTAGCACTGCCTCATATTCATCCTTTAAATCTTCAGAAGAGCGTGCAACGTTCATTAAGCAACAGGCCGAGAGGAAGATGGCCGAACGACTAGCGGCTCTCGGCTTGCAACCACCCAATCGATCCACCATGGGTGAAACTACCCAGCAACGCATGGAGCGTGAACGCAAGGAGAAAGAAGACCGCCTTAGACAAGCCGAAGCGGAAGAATCTCAACGTGAGCAGCAGAGACAACAGAGGCTTGCTGACGAAGGGATTAAACCTCCGTCGCCTATTGCTTCTAAAAAGCCGCCACCACCTGCGCCAAGGAAGGCTAATAATTCTAGGATCGAGGATGAGAGAAAGAAAGCCGAGGAAGATGCAAAGGCCGAGCAGGAGGAGAACTTAAGGAGGGAGCAGGAGGCTCAGGAGGCTAAAATACACGAGTTGGAGTAAATCCCCCCCCCCCAAATATACTTGAGAAATGACTTTTGATGTTAATTTTGTTCGATAGGGATGAGACACGACAAGAAGAAGAGGAACTCATGAGAGCACAGGAAGCTGCCAAGGCCAGACTACAGGCACTCGAGGAAGGCGTTAAACAGGGTAAGCTGAGAAAGGAGGAAGAGAAGCAAAAGAAGAAAGCAGCACTCCAAGCATCAAAGGAAAAGGAGGCTAGACTTGCAGCAATGCGTGCCGAGATTGAGAAAGCTAAGGAAGAAGAGGAGTAAGTTATTGCTCTATAAATAAACCATTGACTCGACATGCTAACTTACGTTCTAGACGCTTGAGACGTTTGCAAATGGAACTGGAGGAGGATTCATCTTCGGATGACGAAGAGCCAGAGACCGTGGGTAAAAAAACACCCACCCAAGAAACAGCAGTCGAGGAGTTTGTCCTTGCGCCCTCAACACCATCAAGCCCTCCAGCACCAACACCACCACCGCCGCCCCCAGCACCCCCCCTTCCACCAAGCACTCAGGTATCCTCTCCTACTCCTGGGACCCCAGCTGCCGATAAGCCAAGCAACAACCCCTTCTTCAAGAGTTTCGGCCCAGTTCCTACCGAGAGTGCTGCTGCTGCTATAACCTCGCCTCCTTCGACTGCTTCCGCAGCTAGCAAAAACCCATTCTACAACTTTGGGAACGATGCCGCCACTAGTGCGCCTCCGGCAACCCAATCTCCTCCACGAACTTATCGTCACCGCCCCTTAGACGAAGATGACTGGAGCGTAGTCGATGATGACAACTCTGATAGTGACGACGATGATCCTCTAAACCGCCAAAGTACCAAGGAACTTGCGGAAAAATTCTTTGCGAACATGGCCCCTCCAAGGCCGTTGAGTAGTATGGGCAATGAAGAGTCCTCCTCAAGTCCGGTACAAACTGGTGCGCCACCACCACCGCCGCCGCCACCACCACCACCACCACCACCACCACCACCTCCAATGCCCGGAATGCCTGGAATGCCCGGGATGGCGGCCAATCCAGTTAACTTGCCTGCCGCACCACCACCAGATGTTGCGAGTAGTAGGGGTGATTTACTAAGTCAAATCGCTATGGGGAGACAATTGAGGAAGACTCAGACAAAGGATAGGAGCGCACCGCCCTCTGGTGGAAAGGTCCTAGGATAATTTGTGAAGATGGTCTTGGGGCTAATAGAGGGCCCGAAATGTGAGATATTGGAATTTCCACCATTCTTTAGTCGGAAAAACTGGACCTTCGTTAGCTATCTTATTTGTTTTTTTTTAATTCTGTTTGTCTTTTGCGAATAACCCATATACACACATCGATTCTCGAAATCTTTTTTATGTATGAAATAAATTGTTGGGGAGTAGTCGTAGTCTTAGTCGTAGATTGTGTTCCTAATGAAATTACCACATCGGTATACTTTACATAGTTAACTCCCAATTGTTTTTGGAGTTTTTAGGGGTGTTTTTCTCTACCAATGTTTCCAGAATTGCCAAACACGAATCGATCTCGAGCCCAAAACTTAAGCAAGGCGTGGGCGGGAGTCGCTGCCCTGGATAGTGTGGCATTCTGTCAGTACTGTGACCTATAGTTATACCACGGATTCTCAGTCAAAATTTATGCTACAGCGTCTATTTAAAAATGTGTTTTTCCCGAGAAATCAGTGCCCAGAATTAAGGCACATGTATGTATATCATGTCCCTAGAATGTTAGACTCAAACCCTGGACCTCAGTGAGTGTTAACGTCAGTGGAGCATGCGCCTTGGCAACGCACACGCCTCGCTAGCTACTGTAACTGCATGTAGTTATTAAGCAGTAACACAATTTAGCTGCAGCCAAGCAGTCGCGATCTTTAAACCTTTACGCGTCTTTGACATCAATCATCCCAGCAGCCAATTTTTTTTCCCAAGATGGCCACTTCAAAACGACGAAGAAATCCAGCTGAGACAGATGAGGAGAGCGAACACGAAGATGTAACCCCTCCACCTAGGAGACATTCGGTACTGTTCATCCCCTCCTAAGAACAAGGCTGGATATATACTAACCAAGTGCTTTGTTAGACATCCAAACGGGCACGTACAAATAGCGATGATAATAATGCAGATGAACAGGACTGGAGAGCGCTCGAGGATGCATCCACTCAACGGGCGGCTATTGCCATTAAGAAGAAGATGAGCGAGGTGGTTGAGAACGTATATACCGAGCTTTAAAGCATCAACGGCCCTTGATAGTTTATTGATCTTTGTAGGTGCCAGCAGATCATGGGATCATACTCGCCGTTATTTGCGAAAACTTTATGGTTCGTGTGCCCTATATGGAGGGAGAAGAGAGGCTAATAAGCCATAGTGCCACAAATTTCTGGAGATTAAATTTGGACCTTTCATAAACTTCGTTATCGGACATAACGGGAGTGGAAAAAGTGCAATTCTTACGGCAATTACACTGGCGCTTGGTGGGAAGGCGGCCAGTACAAACCGAGGGAATGCTATGAAGAGTTTCATCAAGGAAGGCGAGGAGTGAGGATAATCCGATCACAATAGCTTCCCCTTCCTTGCACAGTTCTAATAATAGCGAGTAATAGACAGGCTAGAATTACAATCAAGCTCAAGAATGGCGGCGAAGGTTTCAAACGAGATCAATATGATGATGTCATTATTGTCGAAAGAAACTTTAGTCGAGAGGGAAGTAGTGGATACAAACTCAAGTCGAAGCAGGGGAAGATAATATCTTCGAAACGGGATGAATTAGATGAGATCTGTGATTGGTTTGGGTTGCAAGTCGATAATCCCATGAACGTACTGACACAGGATCTGGCCCGTGCGTTTTTGAGCACCTCAACAAATCAGGACAAATATAAATTTTTTGCGAGAGGGGTACAGTTGGAGCAACTGGATCAAGATTATTCTCTCATCAAGAACGGGATTGATAGTACGGAGGCAATCCTGGAAACGAAAGTCGGCGATATAACGGAACTAAAGGCCACTATGGATCAGTGGGCTGAAAAACAGCGGCAATTGGAGAGCCACGATACCCTGAGAGACCGCATTCAAACAATGAGCCATCAAATGGCCTGGGCACAGGTTAGAGAGGCTGAGTTGCACCTAGGGTTCTTCGGGAAAGGCTTCAAACATCGCAGAGCAAAGTAACTAGGGCTGAAGAAGAGCGCGAACAAGCGTCTTCGCAATTCGAAAATGCAAATCACGTCCACGAAGAACTAATTAAACAGGTCAGAATCGAAGAAGAAAAATTGACTCCCCTAGAGGAAGCGAAGGACGCAGCAAAGGCACAAATGGATCACATCAAAAAGGAACTTCAGACCTTAATAGTATGTGTCTTCAATCTCTGATTGTTATGTTAGTTATTAATGGGTTCAAAACGATAGGGATCAGAACGTGAAACAAGGAGTAATGTTCTCGGTGCAACTAAAAAGATCACCGAGACCGAGCAAGAGATCATGGATGAAGAGAACAGACTAGAAGGAGTTAATGGCGGAAGCAATATTCAGCTGATGGAGGACCAGCGAAGCGCTGAAAATGATGTTATTAGGATTAAGGCGGACATGGAAAGCCACGATCAAAAGAACAAGGACGATAACACAAAACTCCAGGAAGCAAAGCAGGAATTCGATCAAGCTATAAAGCTCGTCCAAGCAAAAAAAGCTGAGATCGCAAGCAAACAGACAGCTCTCAAGCAAATTAGTGCTGCGGAGGGCGATTTCATAAAGGTATTTGGCGCAAAGTTACGCCCTCTTCTTGATGCCATCCAAAGTGAGCGTAGTTTTCGTGTCAAGCCCGTCGGTCCCGTGGGAATGTATGTCACGCTTCGAGAGCCGAAATGGTGGAGCATCATCGAACGGATCTTGGGTAATAATCTATTGACTTTTGTCGTCACTTGTTATGAAGACAGTGAAATTCTAAAACGATTGATGAAATCTATCAACTGGTACGGATACACCTTATCTTTATTACTCTAAAACATCACTAACATCTTATAAGTCAATATCCATTAAGCATTACCCAGGTGAAGCCGTTGAATCTTGTTGAGCCTGATCCTCGATTCAAGACTATTTACAGGATCTTGGAGGTATTTAACCACTCATCCAGGAGACACCTACTCCAGTCTCTGACCTTCTCTAGATCAGTGACGAAAATGTAAAGAGGCAACTCGTTATCGGCAACTCCATCGAGCAGGTTATCTTGGTTGAAGATTTGGAAGATGCAAATCGTATCATGGAAAGAAGGACTCAAAATGACCATATAAATTCATGTTATGCTCTTAACTTGAATCGTCAAGGGTGGGGATTGAAAGTTGGTGGAAAGTAAGTAGATTCCAATATTAAGTATGAATTTATATTAATTTATTCACGTCTAGCAACGGAGCCAGTGGCGTGACTCCTGTCAATGCTTTCACGAGCCAGGCTCGTATGAGGACAGATGTTGGGGCACAGACAAAGTAACATCCTTTTTCACAATACATCCTGTCATTCATTGATTGACAATTCGCTAATCATTGGGGAAAAAAGATTTATCGAACAAGATATACAACGCCTTAAGAATGAGCTTGCTGACCTCGAGCAATCTGCTCACGACAAAAAACGTGTTAGTGATGGGCTAAATTCCGATATTCAAAACTATAATGTATGTAATGAACCCTCGTTATTATTATTAAGGGCTATCTTAACATTACCTTAGCGTCGCAAGAGGGATTTTGAATTAAAGCTTCACCGGGCCGAGGATAAGATTGAGGAGTGCAAATCTAGGTTAGAGGAGGCTGCGCAGGACGGTAAGCTTGGCGCTTTACAAGAGAAGCTAAAGGCAGGTTGTCCAATTGCCATATAAAGTGCCAACTGCTTACATTTCCTGCAGGTTTTTAAAGAGAGAGAACGCATGGCTACTGCCTCGTTCGAAGAGCTGGTCGTCAAAAAGGATGAGTTTAGTGCTGAAGGTGATAAACTATATGCACAACTGAAATCGACCGAGCAAGACCTAGCCCTTGCTCAACAACAGGTCGAAGACCTAAAGGTAATTGTGCTTTCTTTTTCGCTGTAAAAATCTCTAACACCTATCAAGGCTATGCTTTACAAGTCTGACCGAAAACGGTCGCAATGTCTTGCAAACAAGAATCATTGGTATGAACAACTTGAGAAGTACCAACAAGAAACAGCCCGCCTAGAGGACCAAATCGCAACGCAACAGGCAACAGTTGATAACTATACCGGAATGGCTTCACGGATTTGTGAACGTGTTGAAATACCTAATGACGAGACATGCGATGCTCTGGAAAGGAAGTTAGCCGCACTCCATGAAGAGCTGAAACGTGCTGAGGCTTCGTACATTATCCTCTCCTTTTAACTTATCTGAGCCATCTAATGTTATTATAGGCTTGGTGGAACTGCGGAATATATCCATGCAAAGTCTGCTGAAGCAGCACAAACCTATATTGATGCGAGGGATCAGAGGAATGAATTTCAAAGACTTCTTGGCGTGGGTCTATAATCAATCAGCGTTTACTTAGTACATTTTTAACGCATTTATGTGCTTAGACGCAAACTAGAGTTTACATGGAACGCATACGCCGCTGGAAGGAGTTCCAACGCTACATCAGTGCCCGGGCACGGGCTCAGTTTAACTGGATGATGAGCGAACGCGCATTCAAGGGGCGCTTGCGCCTTGAGCACACACGAAAACCTCCCGAACTTATCCTCGAAGTTCAACCTGGTCAGGAAGAAACCGGCAACCGTGGACCAAAGACCCTTTCTGGTGGTGAAAAGTCTTTTTCGACAATTTGTCTACTTCTTTCTTTGTGGGAGGCAATGGGCTCCCCAATTAGATGTCTTGATGAATTTGATGTCTTTATGGACGCGGTCAACCGTACTATCAGTGTGAATATGATGGTATGTTTCCTCTGACGTTTTATTCTGTTCTGGGCTAATGCTGTTTATAGATAAAAGCTGCTGAACGTTCGATTGGCAAACAATTCATATTGATCACACCTCAGGCGATGAATAGTACGGCTGCATCAAACCAAGTCAAGATCATCCGGTACGCAAACACCGACGGAGTCGTATCCCCCAAGTAAAATGGTACTAACAGTTCCCAAAATAGAATGGCCGATCCCGAGAGAAATAATAATAACCAAACACGAATTGCTTGAATTCAGCAGTCTCTCGGCTACTGTAATGAACTATACTTTTTTTCCTTTGGAGTTTGAAATCTTGTGATCATGTGGCGCTTTTGAATGGTGGATACTATTTTCATGCCCCCCTCGGAAACATCAGCAGGTTATCCTCTCGCCGCTTATTATTACCATGGGCCTTGAAGATGATGAATATAAATATTTGCGCTATCTTAAAAATATCTTAATATAACCGGGCCCGTGAACAATCTTTTGCGCAGGGCCATGGTCACACTGAGCCAATCAATCAAAGGTCTAAGGCAATGGGATATCTAGGCTATTTTTCTATGCCGTAATGGGGGTAAAGCTCTTACTACTGAGGGAATCGAACAAGTTAAAACGATCGGCGCTTAAGTAAACATCAACGATCTCTGTCGAGTGATTTACCATGATCCCAAGTGGCAGTTCAAGCAGGACATCAACCGAATCCCAAGCTTTCGATTTCCAGAGCTTAGATCTTGAACACCCTCTTTCCAGTAATAATGTGTGGCCCGATTATATTAATTGTTTTTCTCTGATCAAGATACAACCAATTTCAGCTGACACGCCATACATATCACGATATTCTACTTCTTTATGAAACTACGGGCACACGTGTACAACATGCGTTTAGATCGAGCCCAAATAGAATCTAGGCTTAGTTTGAATGAATTACTCACGTTCCCATATCTAGATCCCAAGAAGTGAAGTCATATTCCCAGATCCTCCTACAGGTGGTTCCGCGGACTTTCCTTTTGAGAAGCTATAGGACAGCGATGATACGTATCTCTAGCTCAAGGGTGCGAACATAGTGCGCAGTCAAGGGTCTAGTTAACCAACAAGTTAGTACCCGGAAGATCTAGGCGCATTTCCTCGCTCTTCATGCAAGACAACTGTACTGCATCATCATGAGAATTTTTTTGATAGAAAACGGAATTATCGATGCCATACAAGAAACCAATGGTAGCGGTAGATGTAACTGACCAGTGTGGTATCAGGTGGCAGTAAAATTCATTCATTAATTCATGACTGGGTGAATAACTAACGCACTAAACTCCCATCTCAGTTTCTGGAGGGAGGTGAAGAGAATTCCATCGATATCGATCAGTGTACGTGTGTCAATAGTCATGATCCTGCAACAAAGCCTTTTTGGACAGAGGACCTAGCCCCGGCAACTAAAAGAGAGAAAAAGAAAAACTGACAAAAAGATACTTGGCTGTCAGATGAGCTTCAAGCGCATTTTGACGCGCGTCTCTGGGAAGTGAGTGTATGGGATGTGTGTGTATATTGGGTGGGAAGGATATTGAAACGAAACATTGAGACGGTTTTTATTGCTTCTGCCCGCTCATCCCCTAGTACCATCCACTGTCCACGAGGGAAACACGTGGTGCAGTGTGGGGCGGAAACAGCAAGAAAAAGTTTTCCCCGCCAAAGGACATACCCCATCTCCAATATATCGTACATAGGCAAACTAGGATTCTTTATTTCCCTTTCTCAGATTTAGATATATACCTATCATCCATAAGTCCCTAGTCGATGTGAAACCTCAGGTTTGTCTTATATGGTCATCGTTATCGCCACGTGGGGGGAGACAGCTGCAGTGCAGCCCTTCTTCAAACCTTACATACATACCGTGTTGATAACAGCAGATAATGCGTTGACCGTTCGGCAGAGAGGCCACTTCCGGAAAAACCAGAGTGCTGCACGTAGCTAACTATTGGGGTTGGAATGTCGACTGGATTCCAACCACGTTTTGATGCTTCGCAATCCCAATCCGAACCAGCACCATACCCCTCGGGGTGGGGATTCATATATAGACTTCGTCCGTCTCTTAAATGATAAAATATAGGGAGAGTATATTATTTTAGAGTATTTTACATACTTCATGCACGTGCACGAATTCAGTGATCTGGATCTCAGAGATAAAAGGCCGGGTAACCTAAAAACACTTGGACGATTTTCCATGTTCTGATGCATGATAAGAAACGGCGTGTTTCCCCCAATCGGTAAAATTAAGCTATAGGGGACCGCAGGACTAACCTGGGTTTCAGAATATGTCATGTACACGCTTACCAGCGTAAGAACCAGAAAATGCAGTTGCTCAGGGCAAGGATAATTTGTATGGAGTGGCGTCGTTCTCTCATACAAATAATCCCTGTTTCCGTCAGTTGCATTTTCTGGTTCTTTTGAGGGTAAGCTGTAGGCTAAGTATTGATAAACCTTCCTTATTCTATGGTATGTGCGTCAATGAATTTGCAACGTTTATTCGGGGATGGTATGGCTTCACCTTATTTACATGCAAACAACTGCAGTCCAGATATACCTATTTATTTAGTGATCAAATAATAGGCTTAAGACAAGGAATATATAGATGGAAGAAAAGAAAATAAGTCGCAATAACCAAGTGTTGCTGTGAAACCGACACAGATTGAATCGAAGTCAAAGCCAATCATAAGTGCAGGAATTTGATCATGCATGAACTTCCGCTTTGCAGATAAGGTTCATCTCAACAACGACAACCATAATGTATCGAATTTTAAACCTACCTAATAGGTTAGGAATTATTGTAAGAGCCTTAAATGAGAACTGGTACTAAACCAGTGCTCTGTTAAATTACCTTTGGAAAAGTTGGATCTTATAGATGAACAACAGCCCCGGAGCATCATATAATCTCACTCGGTTCCTCCGAAACGGAAATTTACTGGAAATATGTTCAGAAAATGCCCACAGCTTGATAGATGGTAAATTTATCTCACTTTAAAGTATTTAAAAAATTCCACGGGATTATTTGGCAATATTTTGAGAGATGGACATATGCTGTGCCTTGATGAATCTTTGTATGACGTCGACTTATTGGTGGACCATGCTTTTGAGGCCAGGCGGGGCTGTTTATGCCCACTGTAAGCTTAGATAATACAAAACCGTTCAGCTGAAGGCAGCCCCTTACTTGCCCCATCATCTATCTTGCAAGTTTCTGTTGTATGAACTATCAACCTTTCACCTAATAAGCTGCATTTGTCGAACATCTCCGAGCGACATTATGTAAATGCGATGAATATTGCCGCAGCTTTTACTTAAACCCCCGCAGCACATGATGTAGAATAAGGAAATTTTTTGATGCGGGAGTTGGCACCGGGGAGGATTATTTGCTTGATCACGGCGAGAGCGTCTCTATCCGGAAGCCCCGCCTAGAAACCTACCCCTCAAGAGGAAAGGTGTCAGGAACGGGAACGTGGGAGCCAGGAGAACCACGTTGCGAGGAAGCGTGGCATGCGCGTGCTAATTTTGCCATGCGTTTCTGCTTATTTTACGCGCTTGAATAACAGCAGGGATAACTTAGGTGCCGCTTATCACACCTAATCCGTCAAAATATTATTACTGCAACCCTAAGATCGTCCAAAATCATCCCAATTTCGATTCATTGTTTTCCACAAGAGCCTGCGATCTATAGAAAACCAGCTGGTGGGGTTTACGGGATTGTCTGTCAGTATGCATCACCTCTAACCCAGAAGCAAAACAATGGCATCTGCAGTCCAGCAGGCCACGCTTGTGGAATTGCTATTTACCAACGATAATTTTTGCCTAGGGCTGAGAGCGGCCAAAATCTTTAAAGTTTGCAAAGACATTACCAGGTATAGTACCGGTTTATCCAAATGGAAGTACTGGGGTAGGGAAAACGCAGCCGTGGTGATTTTTTTATAGCATACGAACATCGCATGTTAAAGGATTGAAGAACCTATAGCAGGCCTAAAGCCTCCCTTACTTTTACCATGGTTTCCTCGGCACTATTTGCTGCCTTCGCAGAACCCTCTCTAACTACCTTTTCCAAAAACCCATCCCCTTCCGTCTCCGTAATTCTCGTGTATTCACTCCTGATACTCTCTAAACTCTCGTTGATACAATCGGCCACCCTCTCTTTGAAAACTTTCTTCGTCAAACCCTCAAACTCACTTGCCACGTGTTCAAAATCTTCCCGGCCTTGTATATGCGCATATATTTCTATCAAATTCGATAGGCCAGGCCGTTTTTGTGGGTCATAAGTGATCCCGTAGGTTTCGAGAGAATCCGTTAGAGCCACTTTAATCTTTCCTTGCACTGAAGTGGGACTATCCGTAAGTAGGATCCGGGACTTCGGATCCGGGGCTGACTTTGACATCTTTTGGGTCGGGTCGCTTAATGACATGACACGTTTGGCAGGAGCTGACACAAATCAATATTATTGCCTGAAGAAATCAGAGGGTAAATTGCTTACACAGCAGCGTGGCCGGTAGCGGAAAGACTTTGCCATAGTTATGATGAAAGGCACCGACAATATCTCTTGTCAACTCCAGGTGTTGCGCTTGGTCTTCACCTACAGGAACATGGGTGGCTCTATCAAACATCAGCTAATTTAAAAGAATAAAGTAAGAAGTAAGGGGAGGCTTCGAACCTATGCACCAGTATATCAGCAGCTTGAAGCACGGGATAAGAGAACAATCCCAGTTTAAGTGTTTCTGTAGATTTATCTTCCAGGGAATGATGTTCTTCCGAAATACCTAATTTGCTCTATTGCCCCACCGCATTAGAACCACCCCACTCTGATATGAAAGAAAGCAAACCTTCCACTGAGTCATCCGTGAAAGTCGCCCTGTACTTGATATGCAGCTTAAAATCCACATCAATTCTGAATGAGCCGGAACTCGGCTTTGCTCAAATATGATGCACCTATCAGGGTTCAGCCCAATCGCCAGGAGTGTTGTGAGCATTTCCTTCTTCCATTGTCGAAGATTGGATGCCTTTTGAGGTGACGTAATTGCATGAAGATCGACGATGCAAAAAATTAATTTTGTTGATTCTGTTTCCGTATTTTGGAAGCTTGTCCATTGTTTGAGAGCACCGAGATAATTTCCCAGATGAGGGACGCCAGTGGGTTGAATGCCAGAGAAGATAGTTTTAGGTGTAAACGATGTAGATGTCTGGAGACCTCGGGGTAGATAACGTGGAGAATACCACTGGGATTG